CAAAAATCTGCTGCCATATCTCAAGCCACTGCTGCTGTTTATAAGACAAGGGCCGGTGCGGGTTGCGGAATGTCCCGGATAGAATATCACGGAGGCGTTCGTTGAGGATTTTCAGGGCGAGCATCGACTTCCAGTCTCGCACGGAGAACCGTACTCGGTTGGAGTCGATGGAGATGACGCCGGCGTACATCTGTGTGGGGAAAACAACGAAATAAGTATTATAACTCTCCAAGAAAAAAAGGAAGAAGAGGTCACGAACCTTAAATTCAGCGTCACCGCAGAGCAGGGCAATTGCAAAATCATCGACTGCGCTGGTTTCATGTGCGTTCAGGTTGCGGTTGCGTGCTTGCATGATGTGGTAGTATGATAGCCACTTCACGGCCGAGTCTGCTCGCTTGTTCACCGAGGTCGGGTGCAAGGTGACAGACTGGTTGTTGGCGACATTGCGCCAGCCTTTGCCCTCGCGGGTCAGAAGCTTTGGGTAGAAACTCCATGCCACAACGGAGTTGACCACCACGTCGTTGCTGCTGTTGAGGTCATACTCTTCGGGAATGACGAAGAATTGGCGCTGTCTGTTGCTGGACCGTGCCCTAGACAAAGAATATCAGCCACCAGTCAACACCGCACGTTCAATACCACCTACCGATTAAGCGCTGTTTTCTGGGTTGCATCCAGAGTCAACAGCCCAGCGTCGGCGATAGAAACGACTAGTTGCATCTTCACATCCTCAATGCCTAGCAGTGTCTGTGGACTTAGGAAATTCTTTCGACAGAAAGCGAACTCGCTCATTCCCGGTGTGCTTCTCGTTCGCTTCCAGACACAGTAGGCGTTGTAAACGGTTAAAAGATCCGAATCACCTTTTTGGAAAGACGCCCGAGCGGCATCACGCTGCGAGTTGGAACCCATTGTATTGACAAATGGGGATTTGGACGAAAGGATGGCAGCGATGCTGACAGCCGCGTCCAAGCACCGGAAAAATGCCCCGTGGATGATTAGTTTCCCCAAGAAAACGTCAAGCGGCAGTTTGGCCAGCTGCATGCCAAGCGAAGTTAGACTTTCACTGTTAGTAAGAGCTTTCACTTCCTTCAGAGCATCAATTGCACGCCGGATGTTCTTGGGCAGTGGCGGGTCCAGCGCTTCGAGTAGTGTCTGTTCCACTTCGCCCAGCTTGCAAATCTTGACTCGTAGCACCAGATCCTGTAGCGAGAGTCGCAGCATCTCTGGGGTTTGTTGCTCCGCAAGCTAGTTTACTATTAGTAGCCGCACTACACTCCTATAATAACCTCCACTTACCAACTTATCATGCCGGAATTTAGTGAAGAGGTGGAAGCAGATGCCATTCTGGACACGACCAGCTCGTCCCCGGCGCTGTTTGGCATTGGCACGCGAGATGAATGACTCGACGAGCCTGGAGAGCTGTCGTCTTTCGTCGAATCTGCGAAAGTTAGCAGAGTACTTGAATAAAAACGGTTTGATGCTTACCGCATCATCTTCTCTTTTCCTGCATCGACAACCGCAGTGATATCCGGGATCGTGATACCTGATGGCAGTGAGCATTTTTATGTTTTCAACGGAAAGAAAGTCCATGACGTACCGGTTTCGGCGATGTTGGTAGCAATGACAATCTTCCTTGTTCCCTCAGGAGGCACAACAAACGCCTTCTCTTGATCTTCGCTCGCAATCGAAGAGTGCAGCGCATGCACAATCCATCCTTTCTGGAAGGTTGGCTCAGAGAGGATCTCGTCATTCATGCGGCGAATCTCCGCCAGTCCAGGCATAAAGACCAGGATGGCTTTACTGTAGTGAGCCATACCCGGGTCAGTTGCGATCTTTAGGAGCAGCCTCTTGATTAGTGTGTAGTCCATCCTGTATTCATCGAGATTGAGCACGGTCTCCTTGGTCTGCTTGGAGTACCCGTCGAGTGTAGCTTGTAACCCTCCCGCGTTGTCACCGGCAACGGCATCTGATACTTCATCCATGTCATCATCGAGGACAGCATTCGAATCCTCCTCGGATAAACGGTACTTTGTCAACTCGACGGCATCTTCTAGATATTTCATCTCCACAGGGAAGGTCCGTCCTGGAATATTGAGAACTGGCACACCGCCAAGGTATGTCGAGAACCGCTGAGCCTCTAGGGTGGCAGACATAAGGATGAGCTTCAGATCAGGGCGCTTCAGCATGAGCCTCCGAAGGACAATGAGAAGAAAATCGCTATCGATTGTGCGCTCGTGGACTTCGTCCAGAACAACGTGAGTAATATCCTGGAAATCATCGGGCCGCTCCAGCATTCGAACAACGACTCCGGTGGTTCTAATCCGAGTCAGTTTAATGTTCTCCACCGGAAAAAGAAAACAAGACGTACGCATATACCAATCGCGTGGATTGGCTGACCTTGCTTTCCAATCTTACCGCAAAGCCGATGAGAGACCGGTTCGTGCCCACATCATTCTTGCTTTCACCCATTTCTTCACTAACTCGCCGAGCCAGCGAGATCGCAGAGATACGCCGCGGCTCAGTCACATAAACCTTGCACGGCCGACCATGGAGCATCTCATGCTCCAGAATAAAAGACGGGATTTGAGTACTTTTTCCGCTTCCCGTCTCGCTGCAGATGATCAGGGCCCGGTGGGTATCCAGCGTGCTGAGGATCTCGTCCTTGAAGCTCCAGATTGGAAGGTTCATACGGCCCACCATCATTCGCTGAAAGGACGGCGTTGAGGCCTTTGCCGTCCATGCCTCTCTCAACTGGTCCTCGGAGGCTTTATAGCTCTCTCGAGCAAGTCCTTTCATGGGGCTTCCTGGTTTACTTCCGACTCCGTTCCTCTTGCGGAAGTTGTCGGACAACACGACGTCATCCTCGAACGTGCCTTGATTTTCTTGGATTAGGCGTTTGAGGTCCTTCACAGTGCTCTTGTCAAGCTCGTCTTCCTGCGTCTTTTTCAAAGTTGAGAACTCTGTCCACAGATCTCTCCAAACTGCGGGGAGACGCAGGTAGGCTTTACCCTCTTTAGAGGTCTGCGGAAAGAGGATAAACAGTGCGAGGGTCGATACATAGCTTTCTGCCTGTTGTGCATTCGGCGTTGCGATGGCGTCCATGGACACAAACGTAGCGAAAGCATTGGACTTGTGTGTGACCAGATCCACTGCCAGTGGAAAAGGGATCTCTTGGGGTTTCGACCACCGCACCTCAACTGCCTTCTTATTGGTGTGGCTAGAGGGCGAGAGATCTTGATAAACAACCTTGCTTGATGAGTCTCTGGCTTTGCAACTTTCTTCCAAAACACGACGAGGACTCAGGCCCGCCCATTTCCCAAAATCTCGAAGAGTGATGGCAGCCTGTGTCTGAGGGGGAGGGAGACCCAAGATAGATCCTGAATCAGCTTCGGCCTCGAACATGTCACCCAGGAGACCGGCATCCAATTCATCATCCATTGGTAAGAGATCAGCGTCTGATTCTCTTGTTGACGCCGGTGTTGATTGGTCTGTTGCCTCCATAGAAGGGGGATTCAGTTTCTTCTTCTCCACAGGGCGCCGCATAAAGGCCGCATCTTTTCGAAGCTCGTCAAGTTTTTCGTTCCAAATATACTCGGCTTCTCGACGCTCAAACAGCACGTCTGCCTCAATCTTTGCAATTTTTCGCTGTATTCTAGACACTTGTGGGTCGTCTGAATGGCCGGGTGTTGTTCCACGGCCAGCTTTCTTGCCTTTTCCAGGGCGATCAAAGAGATCAGGCTGAAGACTATACAGCCGGGTCTGGAGGTCCAGCCACTCAGGAACCATGCTATCTGGATCAATCGAGCTGTCCGAGTCATAGGCAATTGGAGGAGCAACCTTGGATGCCTTCCAGTCCGGTTTTGACTTGCTTTGTTTGCTCTCATTCTGCGAGGCGTTAGGAGTCGAAGACCGTGACGGCTCCGATTCTGATGAGGGTTAGCATCTCGTCTTTGTGACCAATTGGAAGCGGTGATTTACCAATCATCCAGGACATAACACTGTCCGCGTCTTTCTGTGGACGAGCGTTTGCCTGCGTGTAAGATGGCAGCTCCGACTTGTTACTGTGCATAGCGAGCCACTCCAACGACTCGTCCAGATTCCAGACCACATCCCGGCTTGCGCTGGGCGAGTTGCCTGAGAAATAAAGCAGAATATGTTTCAGAGCCTCCTCCACTCGGTTTTCCGGAAACTCGAGTTTCAGTAGTGTCTCCTTCAAAACCCAGAGCTTCGTATATAGCTCCTCTTCTGAGAGGCCGGCTTGTTTTGTCCCTGCGATTCGTCCATTCGACAGCAGCTGGTCATGCTCTTCACTCCCTGCTAATTCCAGAATCCTGTCTTGCATCTCCGTCGGAAGCCATTCGAGCAGACTCAATGACGCCGCTTGCTGTCGGAAGAGCCGCCGTTCTGTCTCCAGCTTGGTAGCCTGTCGGGTCGCATCGCCTTTGCATTTCGCCGCATATTTGTCCACCAGGATCTGGAATTCTGCTTCCTCCAGGTGCTTTTCGAGCTCTTCCGGGGTGTAGTTCTGTAATGAGGCTGTCGTGTCCGGGGCGCTCGTAGTTGCGGGACGGTCCTCTGCGCGGGCTGGTTGGGGCTCGTTGTCCGGCGTAGCTCTAGAGTCTCCTGCTGGCGACGGAGGCGTCTCTGTGGGTTCTGGCTTGGGTTTGGAGGGCACCGAGACCGTCGCGAAGCCTCGCGCGGGATTGGAGGCGGGCTTCTTCTTCTTGCGGTTGTTTGGCGGCATGACGAGGCAGCGATCACCAGTCTAGGGCAAGGCGAGTCAGATAATAATCCAGTTCAGTAGAAGAGAAAACACGTACCGGGTCGGGTGGTGATCAAAATGACTCTTGGTGACTCTGTTCCGCTCCCCACACAAAACTCTTAGTTCATGACAACATCGGGCGGTGCCAGCCCACTTACCTATCTCTTTTCCTCTTCCGCTTTCACCTTCACCTTGTCCTCCCACCTTAAATTCCCCCCCCCCCCTCACTGACCTCCCGATCATGGATGGCTCTCCATGGGACCAGGTCAAGGCCGGGGATCTGAGTGCCTTGCAGGTCGCGCTGTTCTCCAGCTCGACCTCGCGCAGGCTCCGGGCCCTGCAAGAAATTCGCGACAGCAATGGTACGGACCCGTGTGGCCGCCCCATTGGAAGCGTTGGACTGCTCGCTAATTCTTCCGGTCGCAGGTTCCCAATTGTCGTCGGAGTCCCAGCATGAGATTCTAGAGCTGCTCTTCCAAACCTACCCTCTCTACGTCGACCGACCCTCTCGACAGGCCGTTCAACAATGCCTTCAATCTCTCCTCCGAACGCCAAACAAAACCGAAGACCTAAAATTCCTCACACGGACATTACAAGCAGAGGCTGTCAAGCCTGGTCTGGCGGCTTCCTCGGCGTTTGTCCTGCTGGAATGGGGTTGCATTCTCCTACAACAGGCCACCGAGATCCCAGAGGCGCCGTTGGCCATTGTCCTCGACCTGATTGCGGTGGAGGCCAAGGCTCTGGAGAATTGTCTGGCACACACTCCCAAGCCGGCAATGAAAGTATCGGCGCTTCGGGTCACGCGACGTGCTCTACGTGGTGTTTTCTCGTCCGACTCGTGGGGTGAGGATGCTATGCGGCAGTCCATCAGTCGGTTGACTGCGGACTCAACAGCAGGATACAAAAATGCACCTCTGCTGGGTGTCATCTGTGGGGTTTGTGCACGGCTGCCGGCCAGGAAACCAGTTGTGGAGGAATCCAAAAAGACCATTCTGGCGTTCTACGTCAAGGAGATCCTGAACTCGAAATCCGTGGTTCCCGCACACGTCGCTAATGGATTGCCGGACTTCTTTGAATCATTCGTTACATCCAAGGACGTGGCAACGGAATTGGTACCCCCCATGGAAAAGTGCATGCTAAGAGCGCCGGAGGTCGTATTGACAGGCGTGATCCCGCCCGTCTGTGCCTCACTGCCGAAAGAGGTGGACCTTGCGGAGATTTTGCATTCTCATCTCTTGAAGCCTCTTTTGGCGAGCATGAAGTCGAATAGCCTAGCAATCCGGCAAGGAGCCGCTGACTCGATTGGGTCGTTACTTTCTAGGAGCAAGGACGAATCTTTGCTCCCGAAGATCACCAGTGAAATCCTTGGTCCTCTAAAAACACAAAAAATCACCAGTCCTGAGCACCGTGTTTGTTATGCCCAAGCCCTTGCGGCTGTGCCTCCGTCTGTGGATGTCTCGAAAGAGATTGTCCAGGGATTCGGACTGGTCTTTTCACGGGAGTCCAACGAATCTGCTCTCGAGGAGGAGATGAAGGCCTTCAGCAAGCATCTCGCCGTTCTACTCCAATTCACTGTCAAGGTCAGCGATGACGTCGTTAGTGCTGTGGTGAAAGGCATTTCCGACAAGCGAATTCCATTTCGAAAGATCTGGCAACTCAGCGTGGGAGAGGTTTTTTGGAATACCGATGTTGTCAACTTGAAAAATGCAGAAGTCGCGCCGCTGTTCACCAAGTTTCTCTCAAAAATGAAGGATTTGCATGGCGAGGTTGCTTCCAATCCCTTACCATCGGCGCAAAGTGGAGCGTTGTCATCCGCATACATCTTCTTGGCCCTGTTTCGGCGTGTTTCTGATATTGAAGGATCAGAGAAGTCTGCCTGGAATGAAATGGTCTCTCAAGCAATGACACTGAGTCCCAAGCCGTCTTTCGTATTGAACCCCAGAGCCTACTCTAAATTGGCATCCCAAGCAGAGGTGGAATGGTTTGTCCGAACTTTGGCTGCTGTCACTTCTGGGTCTAAATTCTCGAGTGCTGAAGATCCGGCCAAGGTTGCTTGGGCTCAGTCGTTCATCTACGCCATTACTTCTCCCTCGATGCCTACCAGCTTCCGAAATCGGGCTGTGGAAACATTGTCTGAAGTTCACTCAAAAGATGTGGCATCCATTGGGAGTGTGATTATCCATGGTCTCTGGGCTTGGATTCTTTCATTTCGAACTGCGGAGAAGGAGTCTGCGGCTGTCTCTGCTGGTCCCGGAAGCGCACACCTGCTCCACCAAGTTCTGAAGGCTATCTGCCCATCGGCCAGAGACGGCTCTGAAAACGCTTCTTCTAAGCTCAAGAACCAGCTTCTCGATATTCTGGTCCTCAGTCGACCGGAGCTGATTCCTAACAGCTCTTGGATTGCTCTGTGCTTGCGCACGGGTACGGACCCTGGCAACCTTGTCCGCCTGCATCCCACTGAATGCATCGAGCAATTGGTTCGGGTTAACGCCGATCCCATTCAGTCAACAGTCCCACGAGTCGACCTAGCTGTCTGGAGTGCAGCTTCGGATTTGGCATTCGTGGCCCCTGATGTAATGGTTCCGCGTCTCGTTGATCAAATCAGAGACGATCTAGACGCTACTCGCCTCTCCAAGTTCACTGCTGTCGACGCCGCCATTGCCCGCACGCCTGAAGGAACTGCTTTTGTCGACGTCCTAAGCTCAAAATCGAAACAGCCTACCTTTGACAAGAACACCAAGGACTACGATACCCTCAAATGGGAGGAGGAGCTCAGAGCACAGCTGGCCGAGAAGAAGGGACAGAAGCAAAAGAAACTCACTGCAGACGAACAGTCCAAGGTTAATGCTCAACTTGCCAAGGAGACCAAGATCCGGCAAGAAGTGTTGCAAGAAGTCAAACGGATTGAACGAGGAGCCGGACTCATTCGAGGCCTTGCAACGGGTCCTGCCAATGATGCCGAGGGTTGGATTAATGCTGCTGTTACTTGTCTCCTCGGCCTTGCCCGGGCTGGTGCTGGTCTTTTTGTTGGGGATGTTGTATCCCGAGCATTTATTGTTTGTGCCGAACGTCTGACACCGCGCCTGGGGACTCTTCGACCCTTCGTGGGCGTGGCAACCCTGCGCGCAATCGGGAATACCAACCTCCCGCCTGGTATGGAGTCAGAGAATCTTGGGGAGCTTGTGACAAGAATCTTGTATCGATTGCGCTTTGCATCCGAACAACGCCCACTCGACACTGCGTCTCTGGCCTATGTCCTTCCGTTGATCTTCCTCGTCATTGGCCAGAATGGTATCGAAGAGGTCAAGGGAGAGGAAGAGGGAGAACAAGTCCTTCTTGCCATTGAATTCATGTCCTTCCACTCAGGTTCCTTCACTGATGACCGACTCCCCCGTGTTGAGGCTCTTCGGCAGCTTATTTCGGCCATGCAACGATACACTCAGCACTACAAGATGATCAAGGATACCTTGTTCGATTTCTGCAGGTGCGTGTCGCCAAATATCACCGACGAAGAACTCGACACCCTCCTGCAAGGCACCATCGTTTCCAATGCGTCCGTCCGGACGACTGCGCTTCAAGTCATCGAGGCTGAGATTGATTTGACCGATCTCGACTTCTCTGAACACATCTGGCTTGGCTGCCACGACCATGTCGAAGAAAATGCCGAGATTGCTGAAGCCATCTGGGAAGAAAACGCCCTGGAAGTCGACGATACCTCCTTTGCTAAAATCATGAAATACCTGGATTCTTCGGATTCCCAACTTCGAGGATCTGCCGCTCGTGCCTTGGCCCATGCAATTGAATTTGACAAGAGCAAGTTTGCCGGAATTTTGTCGGAGTTGCAGGCAAAATACGCAGAGAAAGTCAAGCCGAAGGCCCCGGAGAAGGACGCCTACGGGATGCCGAAAAAGATGGACACAACCGACCAGTGGGAGAGTCGCAGTGGTATCGCTCTGGCTTTCAATGCCATGACAACCCTGTTTGATGGCGAGCAGGTCACTTCTTTCCTGCAGTTCCTGATTGAAAGAGGTCCTCTGGTCGACAGGAATTCTTCCGTGCGGGCCCAGATGGCCGAGAGTGGAAAATCCGTCATTGCCCTTCGAGGCCAGCAAAAGGTTGAGGAGCTGATGAAGCTTTTGGAGACGACTTTGGAAACCTCTGACAAGGCGACCCAGAGCTCGGATCTACTCAACGAGGCTGTTGTTGTGCTATATGGATCTTTGGCAAGGCATCTGAAGGCTGAAGATCCTCGCTTGCAGGCCGTTATCAAGAAGCTTCTCGCCACACTACCCACACCCTCTGAGACAGTGCAGTCTGCAGTCTCCGAATGTCTGCCGCCGCTGATTAGACTGTCTGGTCCGAAGACAGCAGATTATGTCCAAGAGATGCTAGACGAGCTTCTTGGCGTCAAGAACTATGCCACTCAGCGCGGCGCAGCCTATGGTCTTGCAGGCATTGTGAGTGGAAAGGGTATCTCAACTCTGCGTGAGTTCCGCATTATGAGTCTTCTCAAAGAGGCCATTGAAAATAGGAAGGAGCCACATCAGCGACAGGGTGCTCTGTTAGCATTTGAACTTCTAGCCACAGTGCTCGGCCGGACTTTTGAGCCCTATGTGATCCAAATCGTTCCACAGCTCCTCGCGGGCTTCGGTGACCCTAGCATCGATGTCCGAGATGCTTGTCTGGATGCTTCGAAGGCTTGCTTCCAGAACCTGAGCTCTTACGGTGTGAAGAGGATTCTCCCTACGCTGCTTGACGGTTTGGATGACACGCAGTGGCGGAGTCAGAAGGGAGCGTGCGACCTGCTTGGAGCCATGGCCTACCTTGACCCTCAACAGCTTGCAGCCAGTCTGCCGGATATTATCCCCCCTCTAACTATCGTCCTCAACGACACTCACAAGGAGGTCCGAAATGCAGCGAACCGCAGTCTCCAGCGCTTCGGTGAAGTTATCAGCAACCCAGAGGTCAAGAGCTTGGTGAACGTGCTTCTAAAGGCTCTGAGCGATCCTACCAAATACACGGACGAGGCATTGGACTGTCTCATCAAGGTCTCCTTCGTCCACTATCTCGATGCTCCCTCACTCGCCCTTGTTGTCCGCATTCTCGAGCGTGGTCTTAGTGACCGTTCAGCAACCAAGCGCAAATCGGCGCAGATTATTGGCAGCTTAGCCCATCTTACGGAACGCAAGGATCTTATCGCGCACTTGCCAATTATTGTGGCTGGTTTGAACCTGGCTATCGTTGATCCGGTTCCCACCACTCGTGCCACCGCTTCCAAAGCACTGGGCTCGCTCATCGAGAAACTCGGAGAGGATGCTCTGCCAGACCTTATTCCCAACCTCATGTCGACTCTCAAGTCGGATACTGGCGCCGGCGATCGACTCGGATCTGCCCAGGCTCTTTCGGAGGTGCTCGCAGGCTTGGGTACGACCAGACTCGAGGAGACGCTACCTACCATCCTTCAGAACGTTTCCAGCTCCAAGGCTGCTGTTCGCGAAGGCTTCATGACCCTCTTCATCTTCTTGCCCGCTTGCTTTGGTAACAGCTTCGCCAACTACCTCAGCAAGATTATTCCGCCAATTCTGGCGGGCCTTGCGGATGACATTGAGTCGATTCGTGAGACTGCCCTGCGGGCCGGTCGTCTACTGGTCAAGAATTTTGCTACCAAGGCTATTGACCTCCTGCTTCCCGAATTGGAGCGCGGTCTTGCGGATGACAGCTACCGTATCCGTCTGAGTTCCGTCGAGCTGGTTGGCGATCTCCTGTTCAGTCTTACCGGTATCACAGCCAAGACGGATGCAGAGGAGGAAGAAGAGGAAGCCCAACAGGCTGGCCAGTCTCTGCTCGAGGTTCTCGGCGAAGAGCGCAGGAACAAGGTTCTTTCGGCCTTGTTCATCTGCCGCTGCGATACGTCGGGTATGGTCAGGAGTGCGGCAATGGGTGTCTGGAAGGCGCTCGTTGCCTCTCCGAGAACACTCAAGGAGATGGTACCCACGCTTTCCCAGCTTGTCATTCGTCGTCTGGGATCGTCGAATATGGAGCAGAAGGTTATTGCCAGCAACGCCCTTGGAGATCTCATCAAGAAGGCTGGAGAGTCGGTCCTTTCTACGCTGTTGCCATTGCTTGAGGAGGGTCTCCAGTCCTCTCCTGACGTGGATGTCAAACAGGGTATCTGTATTGCCCTGAGAGAGCTAATCACCTCCGCGTCTCCTGATGCTCTAGAAGATTACGAGAAGATTCTTATCTCTACTGTGCGCGTGGCCCTGGTTGATACCGACGAGGATGTTCGTGAAGCAGCTGCCGAAGCCTTCGACGCCCTGCAACAGATCCTTGGCAAGAGGGCTGTGGACCAGGTGTTACCTCACCTTCTCCATCTGCTGCGGAACGACGAGGATGCCGAACAGGCCCTGTCTGCCCTGCTCACACTCCTCACGGAACAAACTCGTGCCAACATCATTCTTCCCAACCTTATCCCCACACTGCTTACGCCACCTATTTCGGCTTTCAATGCCAGGGCCCTCGCATCCCTGGCCGAGGTGGCCGGCGGTGCTATGACGAGAAGATTGTCAACGATCCTCAACTCTCTTATGGATGGCATCATCTCCACAACCGACGAGGATCTTCGCTCGGAACTCAACAACGCCTTCGATACCGTCCTTGTGTCCGTGGATGAGTACGATGGCCTGAATGTCGCCATGAACGTGATGATCACCCTTCTGAAGCACGATGATCACCACCGTCGCGCTCAAGCAGCCCTCCACCTCGCCAAGTTCTTCTCGGACGCCAACATCGACTTTTCGCGGTACCATCCAGACCTGATTCGCGTCCTATTGATTTCCTTCGCCGACTATGACAAGGACGTTGTCAAGGCAGCATGGACCGCTCTGCGCGAGTTGACCTCTCACATGCGCAAGGAAGAGATGGAAGTCCTAGCCATTCCCACACGACAAATGCTGCGGCAGGTCGGCGTGCCTGGTTCGGATCTGCCAGGCTTCAGCCTACCCAAGGGCATCATGGCCGTTCTTCCCATCTTCTTGCAAGGTCTTCTCAACGGCAATGCCGAGCAGCGTACCCAGTCCGCTCTTGCAATTGCCGACATCATCGACCGCACTGGCTCGGATTCGTTGAAGCCTTTCGTCACTCAGATCACGGGTCCGCTGATTCGTGTGGTGTCGGAGCGATCAGTCGACATCAAGTGTGCCATCTTCTTCACACTCAACAAGCTGCTGGAGAAGATTCCGTTAGCCGTCAAGCCCTTCCTGCCTCAGCTCCAGCGTACTTTCGCTCGTGGTCTGGCCGATTCATCGAGCGAGACGCTGCGCAACCGCGCTGCCAATGGTCTTGGGATTCTGATCACGCTCACGCCCAGAGTGGATCCTCTCATTGCTGGTAGGTTTTTGAAAAGCCAAAACAAGTTGAGCCCGGTTGCTAACTAGTCTGTAGAACTTATCGCTGGATCCAAGACAACAGACTTCGGCGTGAAGAATGCCATGATGAAGGCGCTTCAGGAAGTTGTTGGCAAGGCCGGCGCCAACATGAGCGAAGCATCCAGAAATTCCATTCTCGCTCTTATTGACGATGACTCTAGTGATCAGACTGGTAAGCTTTTAATGTTAGGCGTGGATTGCAATCGGCTAACGCGTTCCTTGTAGATGCTGTCGCCATTACCAATGCCCGGCTACTTGGAGCGCTCGTTAAGGTCCTGCCAGCCGCCTCTGCGGTTCCATTGATCAAGTATGCATCCCTTGGTTTTTTTTATTCGGGGAGGTATTAACTTGTTGATCTTTCTAGGAACCGTGCTCTTCCTGGGGTCTTTACTCATGCCTCCATACTTGCGCTTAATGCTCTCCTGGCCGAATCTCCTGCCACTCTGATGGAGCACTTTGCCTCTGAGACGCCCTCAGTCATCTGTCAAGGCATCGCACACAAAGATGTAAGTGGAATCTCTCATGTTAACTTGCGAATCTCTGTTAACACACAGAAAATAGCCCTTCGTGTCCGATAACAGCGTTCTCGCTGCCGGAAAGTTCCTGCTGTCCAGTGAGGGCAGCCACAGCTTCGAGACCAACAAGGCCATCTTCGAAGCGCTGGCACCAGCCATCCAGCCAGGCAGTCCGGTTGATACCCGACGGTTGACCCTGGTCGTCCTCAGGACCGTCAGCCGCCTGCACCCGGAGATGGCCCGTCCTCATCTGGCTCTCCTTGCGCCACCCATCTTCGCCAGCGTCCGTGACCTCGTCATTCCTGTCAAACTGGCCGCGGAGGCAGCCTTCCTCTCTATCTTCTCCGTGGTCGAGTCTGACAGCGAGGTGTTCGACAAGTACATGGCCGGACCGGGCGCTTCGCTCCCGCCTGGCCCGAAACGCAGCATGTCTGACTACTTCAAGCGCGTTGCTATCCGTCTTGCGACGCAGGCTCGGGAGCGTCGTGAGGCTGAAGGTGGCGGGGGTGGATTGGGACTGTCGAATGATGAAGTAGATGATGAGAAGGAGGTGTGGAGTATTGGCAAGGTGGACTTGGGAGAAGATGCATTTGCGGATGAGTGATGATGATATCTTTTGTTTTCTTGTTTGAATTGTTTCAGCGTCCAAGGTGCATTTACCCCTGTTCTACAGATATCCCCTTGGTGTCTCTTTTTCAGTACAAAAGTCTGTTATAGTATTGCATGTCCATGATTGAATGTGATTTACTAGATTTATAGGGCTTTTTCTCTTTGTATAGTTAGTTATCTGGCTAGTCTCCAGTCTCCACCGTAGGTCTTCTTTGGTCACGTGATGTAGCACGTGACTGTCTCTCATATTTGGCTGAACATACACCATAACACAGATAGAATTATGAGCAGGAAAATGTGAAAGAGGGTGAGAATAGTAGCCTAATCAAAAACGAGCAACAGACAAAAACGGCTGTCCTTGGAATCTGCCTGTCATCAATTTCCTCATCTGGTCAGGGCTAGGGCATGTCAGCTGACTCGCTTAAGCCGACACAGAAAAGGGCTTAGCTAATCCGGGCGGGCTCAAACTCCTCTTCGCCGTGTGGATTTCCCGCAACGAACATCATCCGCCAACGACCGTCGACACGCCGACATCAAGATGTGAGTTCATCTCCAGCTGTTGATTATAGACCGTCCAGAAGGCCTGCCATTTGTTACGAGTGTTTTTTCCCAGCGAAAAACGACCTGGACACTGCCCATGGAGGACCTGTGATCGAGGAATGTGAATGTGGGAAGATTATGCTGACCGAGTCTTCTTCCTTTCCAACAGGGTCAACCTTCGCACCCAGAAGCGCCTCGCCGCCTCCGTGGCCGGCTGCGGCAAGCGCAAGATCTGGCTGGACCCCAGTGAGACCACCGAGATCTCCAACGCCAACTCCCGCCAGACCATCCGCAAGCTCGTCAGCGATGGCCTCATCATCCGCAAGCCCGTCACCATGCACTCGCGCGCCCGCGCCCGTGAGCTCAACGAGGCCCGCCGGATCGGTCGTCACCGCGGTCTGGGTAAGCGCAAGGGTACCAAGGACGCCCGTATGCCCAGGTATGCACCTCTCTCCCCGATGGCCCCTATTGTCTCGGCCAATCGATTCCCCTATGAAAAAACATCGATGCTCATCATGCTACTTCAGCCAAATCCTCTGGATGCGCCGCATGCGTGTTCTCCGCCGCCTCCTCGTCCGCTACCGTGCCGCCGGCAAGATCGACAAGCACCTCTACCACGAGCTGTACCACCTGAGCAAGGGTAACACCTTCAAGCACAAGCGTGCCCTCGTTGAGCACGTAAGTTACGGCCATCCTCATCTGAAAATAACACCATACTGACTGGAGTTTCCCAATACAGATCCAGAAGGCCAAGGCCGAGCGCCAACGTGAGCGTGTCCTGAAGGAGGAGATGGACGCTAAGCGTGCCAAGAACAAGGCTCTCCGTGAGCGTCGGGCGGAGCGGGTTGAGGCCAAGCGCAACGCTCTGATTGCCGAGGAGTAAATCTGACCTACCAACCAAAAAAATGAAAAGCATATTCCCATCCGTTGTTTGACGTCTTTTCTCGCAAGCCGGCGGTGCGGAGGATGAAACAGGTTAGGTTTTTTTTTTTACGTCTTGGTGATGTGAGCTGGGATGTTTCGGTCCTGGCCGTAGCGCTCTTCCTATATTCGGATACCATTTTCTGCGGTCTTTCATGTGTCGGCACCACACCTCTCTCTTCTATCTCCTATTACAGGGGAATGGGGCTTAACTGGCGATCGATCTAGGAAATGGGGTAAACAAAATAGGGATTTGCGATGATGATGTGATACTCTCAACGTTTTCTTGTTGATACATAACGAGAAAGCGAAAGGAAACAAATTTTTCTTTTTCCAAAACAAACATCATCAGTTACATCGTAGCATCGTAGTAGTTCCAGCTGTACTGGTCTTGAATCTCCGCCGGACCGTAGTTGAAGGTGTCAGTGTGTGTAGTACAACAACCGGTCTTCATTTTACTCTTTTGGATCCCAGAGTGGAAATATATATCCTCTCCCTCGACTCTGTTCTACAGGCAAACGTACAAACCAACGGAACCAATCCCACAAAACTCCCAGCCAACACGAAACCACCACCCAATGATCTAAGTGTCATGACTAGATATTTCAGGTCTACTTGGTCCGCGAGGTTACGTGAGGCTAAATGGGAAGTTCGGGATCAACTTCAGATAATCCCAATTGATAGACAAGTCGATCGAACAAACTACACAGAAGATAAGTAGCCAAAAGAAACGAGGGCAAATACCGAAAAGATGATCAATGCAACTCCTAATAGCTATGCCACTAAGGTATTAGATACTCTAGATTAAGCACCGCTCCGTCTGCAGCGGTATTCAATACCTCGTCAAATCACTCTCAGAGAACGCCAAGCACATTTATACACCGGAGACAGATCCATCGAGATGGCAAAAAAGAGCACGCGAATTGGGGGAATCTCCAAAAATCGATAACTGGCTAAATGAGTGAATAAATGGCCGCTTGAAAAAAGAGTGGCTATCATGTCGACATGAACATGAACATAAACGGGCGTAAAGTGGTCGGTTCGGTTATTCGTTTCGCTCAGCGAAATGGGATGATGGAAACGTCGTATGCATATAGGAAAAAAGCCAATAAACAGTGACAAGCTCTGAGAGTGATCAAAAACGCCTCAAGAGATGCAGTCTAGAAGAGGCCGCCGCGAGGTGGTGGCCGGCGCGGCCCCGAGCGCAGCACAGCAGGCAGAGGCTGCTGCAGATCCCATGGATCGCTGTGTTCTCCGCCGAACTGAGCCAGCGGCGAAGAGAAATTCTGAGATCGCCCGCGCAGTATCGAGCCAGTGCGGCTGATCCCATCTGGAATAGGAGGAACAGGGGGAAGATGGTCTGTACTGTCTCCAGACAATTGACCCGGATAAAAATAGGTGCTCGCGCACTGCGAGTCGCGGGCCGATCCATCGTAGTGCGCGAGGATGTTGAGCCCGCCGTGGTATGAGGCTCGGGAGTAGCAGGATACCGTGCGGCTGGGGGCGTTCAGGTCGATGATCGGGGAGACGGGGCTTGCGTCATCTGCAAAGGGGTCCGAGACTGACGATGGAGCCCAGCGGCTGGAGATCTGACTGGATACTCGGTGCGGATTTGTGCCGTTGGGGTACGGGTTTCCGTCGCTATATGACATGTCGTTGTTTGCACCGGACATTTCGGGGTTGTCGCTATAATTGACGTATGGATTCGAGTACCGTCGATTGGAGTATTGTCTTGGAACCCCCGATCTCTGCCGATACGGCACCGGGCGACCTCCAGCAGTCTGGTCATCAGCATGTTTTTGTGCATGAGGACCCAATCCAGGAGGGGAGTCTGTATCGACGCAATCGGGCTGCGAGAACTGGCGGTATTTAAGGACCCTGATTGAGCCCATGAGACTGGATGCATTCCATGAGTCGAAGGATGCCTCGCGCATATGTGTTGGCCGTTTTGGCGGCTGGGACCGTTGTCGCTTTTTGCGACGATAGCAAAAAAAGCATGCTAGGAGCGTGAGTGCGATGAAAGCTACGCCGCCTACAATGCTCCCGGCAATTACTCCGGCATGCCCTGATGCGTCTTCACCCGTTGTGGAACCGTATTCCGTTGCTGCTGGGAGGAAACCTGCAGATCCTGATTGAGACGGTAGTGGCGGCGCAGTTGCCAGCGTAACTAGTGGCTGCATGCTCGGACGCGCCGGGCTGGGAGATTCCCTGGTGGTTGTGTCAGATATGCGAGATGCTTCAGATGTAGTCGTTGAATCAGATGTGCTCGTGTCGGACGTGGTAGACGTATCAAACGCACTTGACGTCTTGGATAGAGTGGTGGACTCGCTCTCCTCGCTAGATGTGCTAGTCGTGCTAGATTCAATGGTGTTGGACGAATTTGTCTCGACAGGCTGCTCTGTCCCCGGCGCACTCGTATGGCTCTCCGGGAGCTGGGACGGAGTGGACGACTCGGTGGCGAGAGTAGTCTGCCCTGCAGCAACCTCAGATGACCACAGCGTAGTAAACGGATCTAGGTTCGGCGTGGAAGTTGGAAATAGAGGGATGTCCCACGAGCTAGGAGCCGGTCCTATGATCTCGGTGTATGTGGGATGGATTACCTCGGTGAAGTAATCAGTGACCCATACGGTGGTTTTTGATTCTGGCGGCGTATGTGGTGCTTCCATCCAATTCTGTAGGTTGCTGGTGTCCTGCACGCGCGGAAGAGCAAAGTCCATAAGAGAGACCTGTCTAGTCGGCCGGCCGACTGGACATCAAGGAGAAGAAAGTGGGATAGCTCAAGTACGACCAGCGGTGCGGGGCGTTACATGACACGTCGCAGTCACTATCTTAGACCGGCTGAGATGCAGGGTGTGTAGATCGAGTGAAAAATTGAGCAGGAGCGAAGAATAAAAGAAACGATGAGGCATCGACAGCAAAGATGATGAACATGTTCTTCAATCATCGACCCCACGTTCTCTGCCTCGCAGGCCTAAGGATCCCGCCACTGGGTCCAGGGCAGAGCATGATCGTACAATAATGATCCCGGAGTTCGTACGGCGTCCAATGCCAAAGGATTCAAGGTGGGATCTGCTGCAGGATCCCAACACGGGGGCCAAACTATCCCGAGAGACTCTTGGATCTCACGTCAGGACGGAGGGGCCGATTTAAAGATAGAAAAAGAAGAGATCCTTTGTCCCCAACAGGGTCCCTTTCACGTACGGCGTCAATCCGACCCAGCGCTTGGACGGATCGAACAAAAAAGAAAACACCCGCTCATAGTCGTTGTGAGGGGCGAGGTGTGGTGAGCATCCCGCTTGCCACTCATGGCCCTCTGCGGTGGCGGCCTTGCCGGCGATCATCTTCAGGGTCGCAGCGCTTCTTTTTATTCCTGCATGATCGAACTTTGTTCGAACCAAGTCCCGGGCATGACTTCTTCTACTTCTTCTGCGTCAACCAGGCCATTTTGGGAGAAGGGGGGTCTGAATCCTCTGGTGAGTCCACCGGAAGTGTCGCCGAGGCGACTGGTTGTTTCGCTTTTGAGCCCCAGTCGGACCCTGGATGGTCGGTGGCACAGAACCGCCACTCACCCCTGACGATGAAACTTGGCTCATCCGAGCTTACCCCATGGTCGAAAAAAGGGTATTTGATGTAAAAAGAAGATCGACCTCTGTAAGTGACGTGGTCGCTGGTAACTAAGTGCCACTACTAGTGCCACTACTAAGTGCCCTGGGGCGCCCGGGAGCTTCCTACGAACGGCTATTATTATCTGCAGTAGCAGCAGACCATGTAACTGGCATAGTAGCTGATTGACTAAATCACCACTAGGCGATTGACTAGTAGTTAGTCGTTCACTAACTAGCTAGTAACTACTAACTAACAACCATGCCGTTATTAATATTCACCAGACAGAGTGATGCTCCACATGTCACACACCACACCACCACCACCGCCTTTCGGTCCTCCACTCCGGCCGACTCGTTACTCTCTCTCTCTCTCAGCGTTTGTTGTTCCACGGTCCTTTTCTTTTCGGAGGCCATCTTTCTTTATTTGGGGGGGTTTTTTTTTCCACTTCTGTGCTCTTTCCTTTTATCTCCCTTTCTGTTTCCATCTCTGTCTCTCCTTGACATTCCTTGCACCCGCCGCCGTTAGTCGGAGTATGTGACGGGTGCCGAAATCTTATTGAATCGACGGCCAGAACTGTGACGCTTTACCACCATGTTTGGCTGGGGCTCAGGGCTGGGTAAGTTGTCTCTCCTCCATTTAATGCCCGCATCATTCCAGGGACACCCGGGTTTAGAATGTCACTGACCTCCATTCCATCCAGCCTTGCCTCCCATCAGCTCAGATCCTGATAAGGAACGAGAACCTCCCTCCGACCCGACCCCCCTCGACTTCCCCGTCTACAACCTCCCTGATGTCGTCACCAATGAGTCCGATTCGACCATCCGAGACATGTACGGCCTCTTGGCGGCCATCAGGCGGCCACAGGATATCTCGCTCTCCCGGTTCCGACCCTTGAACGTCAAGATGGACTCGGATGTCGATGTAGAAGACATGTTCCCCAAAGATCAAACACAATCACTGCCCCCAATGCCATGGGAAGTGGCAGAGGATCCGGTCGAACCACCGCTGTTGGACAACGGTGTCCGATACCCGCCCAAGGATCGGTTCGAGACTCTCAACAGAGAACTATCATTGGACAACGACGATGCATTTCGAGAGGTGGCTCGGCTTCCTCCTCGCGAAGGTCGAAGTCGGGTGCGGATATCACAGACACGAAAGTTCTGGACGGGATTGGAGCGTTTATCTCAGTACTGGGATACAAGTCTGGATCACTACTTTGAGCGACCTGCGACCCCGGAACCGACGCCATCCGTCGACGGAGAGCAGGCTGATGGGGACAAAATGCAGATAAACCAGGACAAGTCGCAAAGCCAGATGGATGTGGATGAGCCGCAGGCCCCGGCAGAGGCTCCGCGGCCCTCGGTGGCCATGTACACTGGACGACGTATGGGTTGCGGTTCAGAGATGCCCGATGAGGTCCGAGAAGAGGTGGTCCGGGCATTCGTGGAATTGGCCGCCTGGCCGTTCGGATGTCAGCTCACGGTGCCCCCGCTTCCTCCGCGGCTGATGGTGAGGAGTCTCCTTTTTCCTGTGCGACAATCCTTCCAAGCCTGCCGGTCTCCGCGCGATCGACAAGTTGCCCGGAGCGGCATCCTGGAAGGACCCGTCCTCATCGCACAGTGTCGGCCAGAGACCTCTTTCCGCACGCCCGATGAGGTTCCCGGATCCGGGATCGGCGAGGTCTGTGACATCTTCCGAGAGGTCGGTGGCATGCTCTTAGCGGCGCAGGAACGTGCCCGCGATAGTAACATCGAGCTGCGGCCCGGCGAGGGCAAATGGTGGACAACAACGCCTCGATTCGGCGGCGCGCCCAACGACGGGATCCTCGACGAGCTCATCAGTAACAGTCACGGGATGTCTCTTCCAGACTCCATGATGGAAGAAGGCAAACCCGCCTCGCCCGCACCCGAGGCGGAAAGCGCACGGAAACGCCACAAGTTCGAGCACTACTATGCCGCAGGACTGTCTCGCCGGCCGAGCGCGATGCGTAAGCTTTCCAATAACGAGAAGTGGAAGATCCTCCAGCCCGGAACGAGCCTCTGGGACAAGCGGATGAAGTACAAGCAGATCGGGAAGGTGCCGGAGAGTCCGTTTGACGATGTAAGTGGCAACTCACTTCCGTGTCTCATGACTGAGTTAAAACTAACTTGCTCCAAAAAAAGATCTACATGGTCTCGTCGATCAATCACCACATCTCAATTCTGCACCTTCGCGTCCACAGACGGTATCTCGAGGTCCTCGGCAACGGCGAGAGTAGTTTCCCGCCTGACACCGACAGCTCCGGGCAACCGTGGCATGTGCTGAAACTCCAGCGCACGCGGTGGTTTGATTTGCTTGATGGCAACGATCGAGTTGAGGCCGCGAAGGCCGTGTGGAGGCTGTTCCACTACCAACTGCGGAAGGTATAGACGTGATTGACTTTCAATTCTTTCTTGTAGAACTCCATAGAGTGGTGGCGTCGTTCGAGATGCAGCGCATTTCCTTCTTGAGCACCTTGGACATATCATAGATCATACCTATTGATCTCGGGGCAGGTACGGTTTTTTTCAGCTGTATATAGCAGTTATTGCCCTACTATATATACTCTTTCTCAATTCATATCCTGCATGGTTTTAGAAACAGGTAATGATTAACTCATACCTGCCACAAAGGATCCCTCTGATTCTTCTTGATCCCTTCCAGCCATAAAGGGGGTTTGGTGCTAATATATGCAAAATGGCATCGAGGACGTGGTGTGTCGGCGCCCTCGACAGTCCCCGGTAGGCCTGGGATTGGCCAAGTCGTGGATAGGGCAGGGCATAGCTAGCGTGCTTGTGCATGGGAGGCTTGGCGAATTAATTTCCGGTTTTTGACGTAGCGTGGGACGCCTTGTTTATTTAGTCCGCGTGTGGTCCGAAACGCCGGGTGCTTGTTCGTTTGGCTCGGGGATTTGATCTCGGCTCCAGGACTTGATCAACGAAGGGAGTAAGTCGTTGAGCGTTGGGGATGTCCACCACCAACAGCACGATTAACATGGATTTGATGTGAACATTATTTCGACAGCATGAAATAAGACCTGCGTCGGCGGGCGTTGGCCAGAACGGGCGATCTTGACCGGGCGGGTGTTAGTGTGTCGCGAGCTGGAAAATAATGTCAGCTCTGACCGGGATTATCTGGCCCCCTATTTATAGTTACGAGGAGTTAGTCAGTTAATCATTAAAAGTCCCAAACGTTAAAATTTCCTTTTGACTCTCCACTCTGCCGAAACTCCTTGCGAGTTCCGCAAGCCTTCACCATGGCGGCTGTCGCGGGATTGTCTTGCGACAAGCCCGAATTCGTCTTCAAATCCTATGACAATCTGAAGGCTTGCTATGATGCCAACAACCTTGACGCCAACCTCCCGTACAACAATAGTCTGGTGCAGCTCGTCTCCACCTGTGTCAGTGATTACTGTGCGAACCCGAATGGCGATCTAGGAGGATGCGAATACACCAAGGTCAACCGGTACAATTGGGAATTTAAAGTATCCCCCATCGAAGAACTGCCATTCTACTACAGCAATGCATGTGGTGGGATCAGTGCAAGTGTCAATAGCGATATTGGAGGCCCTGGGGTAAATTTGATTCCACTTAGAAGAATCAGGGAAACAGGCTAACAGACGTTTTCAGGTGTTCGTCTCGTACTTGATGCAATTGCTCATTGTCTTCTACCTCTGGATCCTTATGCGATCATTCAGGCTCGCTCCTCGGTTTTTCCGACTGATTGCCATCATTGCTGGTCAATGGAAGAAAGACCAGTTCCAAGACAAAGCGCTCAACTGGGAACAAAAGGCCAGAGTCTTCTTGGCGGGACATGGATATGTGCTAAAATCCGTCATGGTCGAGTTCCAAGAGGCACAGTGTTGGTTCATGATTGCTTGCCAGGCTTGCACCATGTTCGCCATGAAATTCAAACACGTCTTCAGCTCCTTGACCCTGATGCAGTTGTGGTCGGACCATGCACTGACGGGCCTGATCGGTGTGGCTGGCATCTTGCCCATCACCATATGCCAATGGAGCCTGCAGAGGATGCACATGAGCTCTGCCTGGATCATATTCCTCTCCACAGTCACTATGATCATGTCACAGGTCACCCTATTCTGGAGCTATTCGAAAGCTGCCCAACCCAGCAAACTGGTGGGTTTTGGCGGCGCCAACTGGCCAACCAGTTGTGGAGGCCATCCCCCTCCGCTCATATGGTGCGCAGACGTTTCGTGGATTCGCAAGGCGATCCATCCGATTGATACGTTTGTGTACGTTATCGATCCGGTCTGCATCTTGATCTACATAATTTGCTTCGCCGAGTGGACAATTAAAGAGCTGCGTCCAATACGGCCTGCCTTTAACAATCTCTTCGAGAAGGGGCCTGGACTGGGTCGGCTTTCGGGACTCGTCCATCGAATGCTCGCGCACAAACACTACAGGCACATCCCTAAAGTGATCATTACAGTTGTCGAGGCGTATTTGTTCGTCTCTGTTATGATCTACTTCTGGTACTACTACGTCGTCGCTAGCCTAGGAACGATTGAATGGTCGATTTGGTCCTTCGGCCAAATCCTCGCTATGACCCTCTGGGCTCCTGTCATTAGCAAATACATCTACTGGACGATGTGTAGGTGGCTGTTCTACCTTAATTTGTCTGTTGATACTGATATATCTCTAGTCGGTACCGAGTCCTACTCCGCGGTCCGCGTCGCCGCACCGTACAAAATCGTCAAGGCTGGAGAGGATCCAGACGAGCACGAAGACAACGGTGTCAATGATTTTAGGCCGCGGGTTGAAACTATTCCTAGTCATGAACTCAAGACTCATGAGTATAAGGGGCATTATGCTGAGCGTGGAGGGGACACGCCACGTCTGGAGGAGGATTGGCGACAGCAAGAAGAGGACGCTATTGCTAAGAGAGTCAATCTTCTTTCGGTTTCCCAGGTCTAAAAGGAACAGCTTTGTTGTTTGTTGTCTCCTTTGCATTCTCTCCTGAATCTTCATTATCTTGTGTGTGTAGGGGTTGTCCAGGATCTGACGGCGTTGATGCTTTTTGGCTGATGTGACACGAATATCTCTATTGATTGCATATTCAAAATAGAACATGGCTTTTGAGCCCATTAATGTTTAAACACGATTACCTGTCTTGTTGCTAAGAACCATCTGCCAGGTCGTAAGGTACCTCCTGCCTTTCCGTATGGGGACACAAATGAATCTGGGGGCTATAAGTCCCACGATCATTGTAACTATCTCCTGCCATCACCAAAGCTGGCAGATATATTGACCAGTGCTAAAAAGAAGTTTACTACGGAAAATCACAATATTCACGCTGTCACTGGATCTGCTCCTCTTCGTCGTCCCTGGGAGGGCTGATTCCCTCCTTGATGTACCAGAGTTTTAGAACCGCTCTTCTTCGGGCCTCAGGTCGAACATTGTGGCCAGCAGTCCTCGGGAGAAAGGACAGCACAGGTCTGTTTCTGTGAACCTCTCATTGACTTCTTGCGGGCATATGTCTGGAGAACCTGCAAGTGAAGGCATCCTGACTGGAAGTAGACCTTTCCCGGGCAAGTGAACATGTGCGGAATAAACTACGGACACTTCAAACTGACGGATTACACTTCATGATAATCCTACAGGATTGGTCTAACTATGACTATATTTCTCCGCGAGTGAATTATCTCACGTAACAGTCTGATGTTAGGGGACAATTGTCCTCATGGAAATCGCCAGCTGCATTTCTACACTATTTCTATCTCACCAGTTGTCGACTGATAAGTGCTTTCTCGTAATCACTACCTAGAATGCGATACATCCCTCTCACACGATCAAATTGCTGATTGTAACCGAGGCTAGGCTCTGTCGTGAGGTAATGGCTTTAGTCCTTCTCTGATCACCATCCATATCGGGGGTTTCACACCACCTGCAAGCAACAGCACATCATACCTGCACTGGTAGAATCCCTCGGGCCCAATTACCAGGGGTTCTTCATCATTTCATGCTGGTACCCGAGGTGTCCAGCGCCTTTGGCGCATACCAGGAGCCAGGAAGCAAGCCAAATCGGGAAACTCAACATGATACAAGACCCAATTCAAAACTTTATATCTGCCTCCCCGAAGATGTCCGACGCCGCAGATTTCACGATGTGGTGAGGGAAAGAGGTTTCTAGGCCAGCGGAAATGTGATGCATCCAATTGATTTTCGCCATCCACGCATCCACGGACCTTTTTACTTTTGGCGTCGTACTTTTGTTCAATGTCAGTGGGGACCCATTGGGGCGGCGCATCGGTTTTTCAGCGAGGGCCTTAGCTCTCGTCGTCCGCCCTCATCTCCGCCTGTGCATGGTGATCTCCGGTGTTGGTATCTTCTGAACCACTCGATTGTAAAATCCTTCAGATCGATCGATCGTTGTGGATAGCTTTCAGCTTTTCTTCGCGACCGGCAAGCCTGAGCGCACAAACTGTAACAGTAGTGACGGAGGCAATTAATAGCAACAATTGCGGACTAGCCTGGGACACTAATGAGCATCCAAACCCATTCCAGATGTCTCTTGCTCACGCCATGTGGGGCGCGTTGCAGCGATAGTTCGGATCAGTCAAACCTATCCCCCCGTGAGTTTCCAGTTTACGGGGTCGCCTATCATGATGGGCGTTCCTCAGTCAGGTGCCTCGCTTGGTATTCAGTATACGTAATGTAATTCGGTACGTACATATGTAAGCTCTGTTTCTCTTGCGTTTCCCACTGCGGACCGTAATCGGAGATCAGACATAACTTAGATATACGAGGCCCGCCACACGCAGCCATCGGGGTTGGATCGGGTAGCATTGAAAGACCACCCTGTCCTGAAGGAGACAAAAGGGAAGATTGCTGCACAAGAGGCCGTTTCTACGGCGGACTACAGTGAGGAAGACGTAACTGTCCGGAGAACGATGCAGCTTGGAAGGAAATCCAGAAAAGAAGGTCAACAATTGGACCTCAGAAGTAGCTCTGGTGAGGGAGATTGCAGACTACGTAGATACGAGGGCAATGGCTTGCAACATGTTCATGCATAGTGAGTTGCGGCGTAGATTATATGAACGTCCAACCACACCAATTGAGTGAGGTCTTCTTCATATGAGACCCTATAGTATACAGTATAATTTCCCTCTGAAGATCTATTGTCCTATTTTTGGGGTGAACTCAAGCGTGACCATATGTCCCTGCACATCATCATATAGTTGACAGTTCTAACTCTCAGAAGGCGCCTGCCATCCGAGGACTGGAATATTTCACTAGAACGCTGCCGACTTGGAATTGTGGCAAAAATACAGCGTGAACAGGGTTCCATACGGATGATGAATGTGCCATGTGGGGAAGGTCGGGCTCGGGAACCTCGGGGACCAAAGCTTTAAATCGGGTTAGCGTGCGTACCTTGCAAACATCATCCATCCCTTGGCGGCATCGTTGATTACGTGCTGGGGGCTGTCCTGCCCCAAGGAAAGTGTGTTGCGCAGTAATCCAATGGCTGGGGCTATGTGGGGTGAGGAGCATGTACCTGTTCGTACAAGACGATCCTTTTCATACTCGCCTAGACAGACGATTGAAGCAGACCAGATCCATCAATCACCTTGGTAGGACGCGCAATACAGACAGCACCAAGGGGCAAAATAAGCTCGCCCGCTTTCGAATGCGACCAAGCCATTACCACAGAAATATTGGGAACTGCAGAAGTGCTAACATGCAGGACTCCCACGAACGGGTTCCTGGCCTGATTTCCCTTGCATTGGTGCCAATCAGAGCCGAACTGTAGGCGATTGATTGATGTTTGCTACTATAGAAAGTATGTCAAGGGGGAGGGGGCCCAAGTATGCCGGGTAAGGAGGCCTGCCCATTTGCACACAAAGCGTAATTCGGGATGAACTGGTTGATTGGTGGTGCAGCTTGGTGCTGGTAGGAACTAATACGGTGAGATACTACATACGACAGACATGGATAATCCCATGTCGTGCGCTCAGTTCCTCTAGGCTGCAAGTCACAAAAAAATCAACACATGGACTCGCTAGCTCCACGTGGAGTGATACATGATACATCAAGACAGTAGTGACTTCTGCTCCGTACAGTATACTTTACGCGACGTATCAGTTTCCGTGACGAGAGGGTTCCTGCGCTGTACGACGTGTATACATCACATTTGCCTTGTGGAGATGCGGAGAAGTTCTGGTGTGGAGGGAAGAGCACGATGAGTTGCTGCAAAACTTGAGATCTACCAGGCTGCTGTAGTAGTTTGCTTTCCAGAAACTCTGCCAGGATAGGTTCGCGCGAAATGCCCTTGACTTTCCCATTGCTCTGGATTCAGACAGCGGCCGATCCCGCACGCGTTAGTCGGGGCTGAGGGAACGAAGTAACCTCCGACTCCAATAACGATCTAGCACACAGAAGTACGTGTATGAGGTCATCCGCGCCTCTGAGTCTGGTTTCAGGTGCACGACCGATCTGATATACATGCACGAATGATCGAGGCGGATCGGCCGATTGAGAACGCCCTGCAAGAGCTGAACATGTTATGTACCACTTCCATCATGCTTAACGAGTGACAATTCGCTAGCTTCCCACCCCCAGCATCTCGTTTACACATGGGACAACTGCTCCCCTGGCTTCAGGAATTCCGGGCAACTTGCTCGGGAAACGATCGACGTGATGGTTCAGGCCGCGTGACTGGCCCCTTGATTCTGGGGATGAGACATGGAGGTTGGCGGGGATTATCTTGATTGTTCACCGCGAAGTATGATTATTGCGTCACCGGGTCATAATGATACCAGGTTTCAGAAAGCCCACTACATATTATTATTGACAAACGGATCTAACCTTCAATGACCCGCCACTGCCGCAGGTCCGATTTGATCTTTTGGGGGTTTTCCGGCGACGGTTTCGGAGTTTCCCACCAGGGCGAGGATCTGCTTCTTAGGAGCCATTCCTCGAGTCTCGTGAGTCTCGTATCTGCTGCTAATTGGACACTCCGCTGACGTCCATGCATATCTTCACCTCAGGAGGCTGTCTTTTGAGTAATACACCATCGGCGGTGTGATGAAGCGTTACCTGGGATGTTTTGCTCGTCCAGCAAGCTTCATCTTCTGAGCGGTGTATCCCTTGCTTGTTGTCACTGCGTCATGGAGTCCTGTGTGGTGCAATGGCATGCATCAGCCGAGGGGCTCTAGGAAAATGGCATTGGGGGCTAGAGATCCAGGAGGATTTCGAAGTTCTCGGTGGAAGGGATAAGGCAGGATGCGTGGACCCGACACTATGGGAAGCATGGACAACGGCCGATCAATAAATCATGATTTGGAATTCAGCACGGGCTCCGTACAGTATGTATGTACTTTTCGAACGCCACTGTGGTAGTTAGTTACTGTACACTTGTTACAGCCCCTTTCCGATTAGGGTTGTCCTCGGCCATGGCCTTGGAATTCACGATCACCCAATAAGCAGCACGCCTCACATCTTTATCCCGGGGGGCCAACAAGGGGCCATGATGGGGGGATGTTGCTTCCCATGTCCTGGGGCGGGATTCAGAGCAAGAGGGACTATTGTACGGTCACGGGCGGTAATGGCCTATTTATGATTTATGGAGTCGACTAACAAAGCAAGTGACAGCCGGGCGACTGCAACGGTTAGGAAAAAGCAAAAACGAGTCGGTCGCGGGCATTTTTCTGTTTGTACCACTGGCCGTTTACCCCTGTACGAGGTCACGAACAAAGCGCAATAATCCGGGTCGTGGACGCCCATTCGCTGAAAATGATGGCCGAGGAATCGAGATAGGACAGGTACAGGCTTGAGTTATTTGTTGTTGACTTATAGATCCAACAACCGTGGATGTCCGACTCCTGATCCATGGGTACATCCTGTATTGCACACCGGTGATCTGGGGACTGCGTCTCCACCGATTTGAAGATCGGAGGGCAATAGAGTTTCAGTTTAGGCCGATGCCGCCCCTTGCGACGATGATTATTAGTGTTCTATCTTCCGATGATGAGGGAACTAACTACCGAGGGTAACGGAGGAAGTGACTAGAGATAGGATCGATAGTCACTGACGAGGCCAAGGAATACCCACCTAAGTAAGATAGTTCCTTCTAGCGGTGTCCCGGTATTACGGTATTCGATCCGTCACCGGAAAGAAGACCTGTCACTTCTGGGATGGATACATAATAACTACATAATAATCCAGGGAGGGGCAAGACTCGTCGATCCCCTTGATTATGTATGTATGTATACCCCCCCGTGTACCATCTGAGTTCCTATCGACCTTCTCTTCCTTCCCTGACCCAAAGCCCCGGATCCCTCTCTACCGCCGAGATCGACAGCCTTCCTGCCAGCCACTAACGACAGCCCAGTACCGTACTTGTAACAGTACGTGCTTCCTCTGGTCCACCTCACCACACGAGAAGTACCAGGTACTCTTCCCCCCCCCCCTTGGGTATCTATCTCTCCCCTCTATCAAGACCTGGCCTGGGCAACTTCAACCAACTCCAACAACCAACCCTCGTCGCACTCTTTGCATCGTCCGTCTTCGCATCCGGGTCATCGTCGCCACTGACCAGCTTCTTTGCTGAGCTGCTCCACCTCGGCCTGACCTCACCAACTTCCTTCTCCGCTTCCTTGTTCGAGCCGGTCTTGGTCCATCCTTCCCTCCCCACCCCCCGGGACTTCAAAGAACTAGGCGACAGGGAAGAAAGAATTACAACCAAGCTTCCTGTGAGGCTTCCGACAAACACCACCACCAAAACTACCACCACCACCCTCTCCACTCTCCGCATTTCCGCCGCAGCTCGCCATGGCCGTTTAAGTGTCTTTTCGTTTGATAAGAGACGAATGCGCATGACGACAGTCCAAGACTTGTGACATATTCGGGCCCGCCTCCCATGCATCGCATGCCCCCTCCTGAAGCGGCGCCATCCAGTGCGCATGCGATGCAGGACCCCTCATGGCGCGCATTTCCTCCCCAGTTCGACAGCCATCCAGACTCCCGCCGTCCGTCCAATGTGTCCCAGGGCCCCCTCCCACCCCAAGGATACCCCGTCATGCCCAACCGTGAGCTGCCGCAATTACCCCCAGAAGGTCCATATAGTCGTTCCAACAGCATACCCACCCCGGGCTATCCACAACAGGACCCGAACTACCGACCATCGATGAGTGCAACGCCAAGTGAAACATCTCCTCATTCTGCTGCGCCAGACTATCGGGCCCGGGTGGGAGGATACCCGCCAGATCAGGCAGGCAACAGCGACCCGGCCGCGGCCACAGGTGCCGTTCCTCCGAACGCGCAGTATGGGCCCGTATCGATCCCAGGTTCCGTGCCGGGACCGTACGATCCTAATTACTATGGCACCACTCCTTTTGGAGCGCGGCAGCGCAAGGCCGCTCGAGCTACACAGGTATTTGTTTTAGGGAGTCCGCTACGGCACGAATTTGGCTAAATCTTCCGTTCACTAGGCATGCGACCAATGTCGATCGAGGAAAGCCAAATGCGATGAAGGGCGGCCAGCATGCAGTCATTGCAAGGAGAATAACCTCATTTGCGTTTACAAAGAAGTGCCACCTCACAAGTGCGTGACTCCGACTGCCCATCATATAAGGCAGTGCTAATCTTAGATATCTAACACAGGCAAGAGAAAACGACGCAAGTACTGTTAGATCGGATCCTACAGCTCGAGGATCGCATGGAGGAGCGCATGACTCAGATACATACAATCGCAGGAGACCATTCTAACCTGCTTACGCAACTCATAATGGGACATTCGCCATTCCCAGGACTTGTCAAAGACCGAGCTCTTCGCTCGACTCCAGTTACGGACCCAACTATGAAGCCGGTTGCCGCCCCAGCAGAAATGGTTGACCACGCATTCCTCCATACAAACCCGATGACGGGACAGGTAGAAGAGGTGAAGATTGATGGTGATGGGGAGCTTTCGATTCCAGTCGAACACACCACTGCGGCCCACAAGCTTCTAATGTGGCCAGCGATTAAGAAGCTCATCTGGCCCAACCAATATGACGAGGACTACGTCATGAGGTTAGAGGAAGAACGGGGCTTGATCAACATCTGGGGCCAAGGGGAAGTCTTGGACATCGCTGACGACAGTGTACCATTGAAAAACCTTGCCCTAGGCCATACAACCTCCGACCTCGATATTCAATCTAGTTCGGGGGCACCAGACGAAGCCGAGGATGCTGAGATCACCGAGAATGGCTACTTGAATATTGACTCAGAAACTGTGCGTCGGTACTATTGGAGCTATATGTCCCGCATGCATATCCTACATCCCTTCCTTGAGATCGGACCACTCTCGCATACTCTCGAAGCCTTCATCAGATGCCACTGCACCGATTACCAACGAGACGGCCCGCGAGGAGCAAAGCGGAAACGGTCAAATGAGAACATGCATGGCGCGAGAGGCGATACTTCTACCAACACCACATCTGGGCGGGCCCGAGTTGGCAAGAACACTGAGAATGCTATCCTCCTTTTGGTCCTTGCTATCGGGGCCATTGCTGAGACTGATGGCCCACTTCGTGGGCCAATCTTGAAAGAAAAGCCTGATTATCGCAAAGAACATATCCCTGGGCCGCCAACACCATCATCTGGCGGTACACATACGACCACTAACGGCATCCTGTCGCCCACAAATTCCGACTCAACCCCCGTGGCATCGGCGCCAATGTACACTCAGGGACCGCTGAATACCAGCCACTCCTTCCCCTCTACCATCAATGACGGGCGACAAAGCAGCTTAAGACGGTCTATGTCGATCACCCGCGACTCCTCCGGAAACACGAGAAACTATCAGGTCATTCCCGGCCTAGCACTTTATGGATATGCCGCTGTAATTTTGGGTGCCGTCCAAGGCAGCTCTTCGCTGCCTCATGTCCATGCTTGTATTCTCGCTGGCCTATACATGGGCCAATTAGCACATCCCTTCCAAAGCTTTGGGTGGATCTATGTGGCTTCAAGGGCTTGTCAGGTGCTTGTCAGACCGTATGAACTGTTCTCCCCTGAGACTCTGCCAATGCTGACCGATCACCTAGAAAACGGTACGATAAGATGGAGGAAGGCCCACTTAAAGATCTGTACGAGTTCGCATACTGGACTTGTTTGCAGCTGGAGAGGTGCGTTTCGTTTCGATACTTGCGCCAAAGTTTAACATGCTAACGCTGATCCTAGTGATCTTTTGGCTGAGCTTGATGTTCCGGCAAGCGGCATCTCGCGGTCTGAATCGCGGATTCCAATTCCGAAAGGGAAATGGACACTCGACATACCCAACGACTACCATAGCCCCGCTTCCCAGATGATGATGTTCTATTCCGCTCAGATCCATCTCCGGAAAGTCCTGAACCGAGTTCATACCGATCTCTACAAGGTGGAGAAGCCAGGCCAAAACCGATGGTCGTCTAGTGTGCAAGGAGCTCTCAGCATGAACCTTGATCAGTGGCGCCGGAGTCTTCCGAAACCCCTAAGTTGGAACGATGGCGACCCGCCAGCCACGGATATCAACAATGCTCGCATGCGAGCCAAGTACTACGGTGCCCGTTATATCATCTTCCGGCCTCTATTATACCATGCTCTTCACTATGGCGCAAGTAATGTGCGATTGGGCTCGGCCCCTACCTCGATCGACTCGCCCACGATACCGCAAGCGCAACAAATGTCTCCATCAGTAACCTACGGCCAGCGCGCCCCAGACATGGCCCGGATGGCTAGTGACGCGGGTGCACGATTCGCCAGCACTTGGATGCCGCCCCAGTTCAACCAGCGCGATCTGCCCTATAAGCTGCGAAATGCCTGCAAGGCCTGCATCCAGTCAGCGATCTACAGCACAGAAGCTTTCGACGGCCTTCCAACTCGTCCGGTAGTGACTAATATCTTTGGGACTGCTCATGCGTAAGTTGTTCGTTTCCGCCACTCCGCTACCCTTCTGTTGACTGTTGGCAACCTTTTAGACAATTCGGCAATATGTTGGTTCTGTCCGCTACCTACATGTCCTGCCTCCAGGAGCTGGTCCCTAAGGAGAAGCTCGAACAGCTCCTCAAGCGGACGATCCGGTTTTTGCTGGCAAATGAAAACATCTCGCCCAGTCTAAGGGCCGATGCGCGCATTCTCACGGAAATCTACCAGAAGATTTTCGGCCAGCCGCCCCAGCTGGGCCCTATTGGGTATGGGGCTTGACGGGAGATAGATACCCATCTCGCCTGTCATGTATTTGATCTTTCTAATTCTTTACCTGTATTTTTTTGCCCTGGAGTTCTCTATCGGTGCGGCGGCATTTTAGGTCCTTGTTGTCGCGTGCTCTGATCGCGCAACCGAGCGGTTTTTTGGGAACTTTCCCCCTTTCGCACTACATTCGGGGTTGACCGACAAGAACGGCGATTCTTGTGATCTGTCAGTCTCTGGGGAGTTCCAAGTGCTCAGCCATACAATGCATCTTCATATCATATTTGTCTACCTAGCCCGTCGGCTTTCTGTCTTGTTGGTCGGCTATGGTGTTTTTGAACTATACCTCAATGAATGCTTTTGCTTTTCTCTTACTCAGACTGATTGTAAGAAAACTGGAGACTGTCCGCCGGTGTACTCTCTTCCGTTCGAGTAGCGAGGGGCCAAGAATCTCGTCTCCAACAAAGGAAGTGGGGTGCTCGGTCCAGGGCAAATCGTAGCACCACTGGTATTCTTGGCTGATGACGCCAATCGATCTTCGTCTGTCAAACCCCACTTCTTTCTGTGCGTGTGGTCCCGTTGTACGGGATGGAGTGCATTCTGCATTATACGGATGGACCTATCACAGCCCCGCTGGGGGCGATAGGGGTGGTTTTCGGCCCCAAGCCCCAAATCCATTGAGGCTCAGGTTTATTTAGAAACGGCTCTATTGCGTGGCGATGCAGTGCTGGGCAGTGTGCTGTGCCCCCAAAAAATGGGTCAGGGGGATATAAAAGAAAAAGGTCAGTCTCGCTGGAGTGCTTCTCATCAATTCCCCGAGAAGCAGCGACAGAAGAAAACAGACGAGGACACCACAGTGCCGTCCGCTTGGGCATCGCAGAATCTGAAATAACACATTTGCTACTCTCCTGTTATCCGTCCTTCAGACCAGATCATTCAACAACAAACCACCAGTCAACCAACCCCGGCCGCCGAGAACGGACCCGACACCAAATCATCACTCGCACAACCAACACAGTATGGAATCACAGTCTCAAAAGCCATACGACCAGGGAGATGTCCCTTCCTCGAACAGTGATAGCAGTACCAATGCCGGGGGCTACAATACAGACATGAAAGGTGCGGAGGAAGGGCAATATGTCCGGCCTACCCACCACGAGATGAACTGGTCCTTCGCGGCCACTGTACATGAGTGGAAGTACGGGTCGAAGTTGAGGGTGTTGAAGTATTACGTGGGGTATTTTGCGCTTGGGTTGCTCATCGGCGGCATTATTGGGACTATTATTGCGGTCGTTCGGGTCTATGCGTTCCACGATTAAGGATTTGGGCTTGGCTAGGTGTTATTATTGCTGCGGTATACCATTATATTATTATCTGCCTAACTCCATTCAATGAGAAGAGAGTCTTATCTGACGAATCATATAAGGTCAGCTCAGCATAAGAAATAATGTAGAAGTGAATGAATGCACCGGGCGGACCTCGGCTTCCCCGCATTCTGGCTCATGTTAGGGCTTCGACCCCAGGGGGTTATATGATGACGTTGGAACTCGCCACTTTCGGGAACATCTTCAAGCGTACAATTATCTAGTTGTTGAATATGGCTCCAGAGGCAAAGAAATGGTTCTCGAGGGAAGGTATGGTTGCTTGTTCTCCCAGATTCCGAGTTTCGCTCATCCGGAACGCTTCCAGGCTTCACCGCCGATGTGGTGGTCAAACTCGTCAACCGCACCGTGCTCAGCCCCTGGAAGGTGGTGCCATTGCTGGTGCTAGCCCAGTACACGACCAAGGGCCGTGAGCTCCTCGAGTCGCGCCCGCAACTTCTCAAGGCCCTCAAGACACTCGCCTTCCTGGCTGTCATCCGCCGGCTCGGGGCGTGGATGGACCGCCGCGCCGTGAACAACGGGGTCAAGGACCACTACAACTGGGACCGCGAAGTGGTCGTCCTGACGGGCGGCAGTGGCGGCATCGGATGCCGCATCGCGAAACTGCTGGGTGAGCGCGGCATCAAAGTAGCCATCCTGGACATCACGCCGCCGACCGAAACCCTACCCAATAGCGTGCGCTTCTACGAATGCGACATCACATCCACCGCCAACATCGCCGAGGTGGCCAATACGATCCGCGGCTCGTTCGGCAAGCCGACCATCCTGATCAACAACGCCGGGATCCTCACGGCCAAGACCATCCTCGGCACCACCGAGGCCATCACCCGCAAAATGTTCGACGTCAACACCCTCTCGCACTACTGGCTGACGCAGGAGTTCCTGCCGGACATGATCGCCAACAACCACGGCATGGTGGTGACCGTTGCTTCGCAGGCCGCATACGCCGTCACCGCCAACATGGTCGACTACTCCGCCTCCAAGGCCGCCGCGGTTGCATTCCACGAGGGTCTGGCCACCGAGCTGGTGACTCGCTACCAGGCTCCTCGTGTCCGCACCGTCCTTCTCACGCAGGGCTTTGTCAACACGCCCCTGATCAATGATCTCACTCCCGAGGATACCTGGATGGCCCCGCTGCTGCACCCGCAAACCGTCGCCGATGAGCTGGTCAAGCAGATTCTCACGGGCCAGAGCGGCCATGTTTCTGTCCCTGTTGTCGGGAGTTATTTGGCGAAGCGTCTGCGTGGTGACCCGCTCTGGTGGCAGCATTCGCTGCGCTGCAGGTTGGAGAGGCTGATGCGGGCGTCTTGATTGTGTTGCTTGAAGCGTACATGGTAGTATACCTCAGTCTGGTCATAGTAATTATATATTTATCTGTTTCGTTGTGCCATTGGTAGACGAGTATGGGATAGATACACCGTCTCTCTATACTATGATCAAAGGTCAATGGGAACGTATTCATGAACCAGCTGCCAAGTATCGCTAGCCAGATCGTGCTTGTTCCGCGAGAATCGCAAAAACGCCTGATCCTGGTTGTGGCTCCACTTCGCAATCTCTTCTTCTGTCGTTCCGGGGGAAACCCGTCTTGCGCCCGAAAGACAGTGACAGGCCCGAGACGTGCCTCTTCTGGAAGGGGTGTATTTGACGATTCCAGTGTCGTGGAACTCGCTGTTCCTTGAGCGGCGTTCACCGCAAACATCATTTCGACCGCCACCATCTTTTCGATAAAGGTTGTCGCTTGCGTGTTCTTGTAGAACCCGTACACCTGCGGCGTTCGACGCAGCAGGGCCAGTGCCGCGCGTCGGAAGCCGGGATCGCGGCATCTGAGACAGGTAAACCAAAGCGGGCTGGCGACGCTGGCATCAAATGTAAATGGTGGTTGTGTGCCGTCTGATCGCGCCGAAGCATCAAGCGCGATCCGGGACTGATCAATTATAGTTTGGAAGTTTGGGAGATAGGCGTCGGTTAGGATCTCTGATCGCGACGTTACGCAGGTCGCGAGCATCACAATGAGTGTTTCGTAATAAGCGACAAGAAGAGCATTGGTGCCAATCTGTTGCGGTGATAAAATGTATTTCGTACCAAGAGACTCCATCAAGTCTGTAAAGGCGGTGTGCCATTTCCTTAGCCTGGTTAACAGGGCTATTTGTTGCTCTTCCAATTCTGGGGGTACATGAGAGACACCGGACTTTCGTATATGCTTGACACAGGTGCGTTGAAAGAGCTGGGCTTCTGTGCCGAGGAGGACCATGGCGTTCCGGGCGGACTTGAGAGAGACAAACTTATATGTCTCTTCAGCGTCTAGCAGCAACGTGCCCACTGGATTGCTGGAAACGGTGGGAGCGATTGCTCCTAGACGGATAAAGATCGGAACAATTGTATCCTCGATTAAGAAAGCGTGAGCTGCTGACACGACGCCGGTAGCTGCTTGAGCGCGCAAAGTGTGAATGAGATACACGCCCTGACTATAAAGCTGCAACGCCTCCTCCACACCTCCCTGGAGGGCTTCAATGCAAATAAAGAGCACACAGCTGACCAGCCCAACAAAGATGTCGACGTCACCGCGCTCAATGCGCTGACGAACGGCAGACACCGAGCGCGAATACCAGCCTAAGGCGTCTCGGTGGTTTTGATTGAGGGTGCAGTGGTTTCCCTGGCGTACGAAGGCGAGGTCCGGGAATGGCTCGGGACTCTCAAACAGTGCAGAAATGGAGTTGATGGCATCCCAGACGGCGGGTTCGCTCCGACAAACCTGCGGAACGATGGTGCGCCAGAAATCAACGTCCAGTTCGCCGCCCACAGACGACGCGGCCTCCTCAAAATAGTACGCAAAGGCGCGACGTTCCCGCCATACTGTGTCTGGCGATAATGACAGCGAACTGGCGGGTTTGGGGGATATTGTTGTGCCTTCGTACTCGCACTTGCGGCCTGTGTTGCTGCATCGAAGACAGCTTGGCTTCTCTTCTCCGCACTTGACTCTTCGAATCCTGAACGAGTTTAATTTATTTTCCTTTGACATGAAAAAGACACCTACTTGCAAGTCTTGCATCCTAGTTTTGATCTCGGAGGACGGAGTGAGCTAGTCGTGAAAAGGGTTGATGGGGACATATCGGCGACATTCCAGGGCTTAGGAGCCAATGCGTTCATGGAGGGCGCATCGTGTGATAAGAACCGGACGTGTCGCAGCCGATATTCCTGCGCGGCAGGACCTGTAGCTGTTCAATTGCGGAAGATAAACGTAACTTCCGCAGGTTGCAGCTTGGAAAGGCTCAAAGCATCATGTGATTCTTCGGGGACATCATGTGATCCAACTGTCCTAGTTTAAAGCGTAGCCTGAGGCATTAAATGGGAGTGTGGGCCATGAGATCGTGGTAGAATGGCACGGCTTGGATCAGTCCTGGCACATGTAGTATAGTGCGTGTATGAGCCAAGTACAATATACCATTCGGAATATACAGAAGGACCTCGAGGTATAATGGTACATAATGTGTATAGAACATGTACGGTTGGCAGCCCTACACTAACCTCTTGTCATCCCAGCCCCGTGATTTTCGGGTGGGCCGGCCACTTCACCGACTGACGTGGATTCGATTCGCCCAGCTCACTCGATTCTTTTCTCTTGTGGCAATGAACTAGAGATACTCTTTCTTTTGTTTTCCCCTGTCCTGTTTGTCCCATCTCTTCCATCTCGCCCGCCAAGCCCCGATCCAGCCGAATCGCTTAGTGCCGACTAGAGCGGTTCGTCTCCACGAGGATCCACGGCTCAGCTTGTTTACTTTTCCCCAGCCCCAAAACAACAACCCTGCCATAACAACCAAAAGATTTCCTAACTATACCCTCATCCTCTATCCCATTATTACATTACCCACCACAGTTGATACTCAGCACCACATTCCTCCCCGCCTCCCACATGGTGGCCTGTGCTGTCAGGGCATTCCTTTAATTCATCGCCCGCCGCCATGTTCAAGGCCCTGATGGGCGGGGGCAAGTCGGCGTCCACTTCGGACGTTCGCAGCTCCGGCTCCTCCAAGGGCAGCAGCCGTCGCAAGACCGACTCAAAGTCCAGCCGCAAATCCTCACGGGGTGACGACCGTGACCGCGGCTTGGGCGATCTGTCGGCTTACGACGGCGACTCTGTTGCATCGACGTACGTGACGGCAGAACCCGAAACCATTGACGGTTCCGATCCCATTATCATCGACCGAGCCCCCAAGCGCCGAGACAGTGATCGCGATAGCAAGAGCTCCCACCGGCGCGATCGTGATCGATCCGCCAGTCGCGAAAGAGAGAAGCGGAAGAGCCGGCGCTCAACGGAAGATTCGGCCAAAGGAGATAATGACAATGACCGGGATGAAAAGCGCGACCGTCGTGAGCGTCGTCGCACCAAGTCTGGCGATCCCTATGGGCCGCCGACCTCCATGCCCTCCAGCGCTCCTAGCGCCCAGTTTGCCGCCGACATCGCGGCCCCAGGATTCTCGCAATTCCCCATGCAATACGACAATGGCATGCCTTCGGCTCCTGGCCATGACTCCTCGCCGGCACCATACGATCCGCATGTACACCAGCAGTTCCCTGGTCAATTCCCCAGCACGGTCGCGGAGCCATATCTTTCCAACCCTGCCGGCGCTGCGGCAGACTATTATGGCGATCAAGGGCAGTCAGTCGCTGAGCAGCCGGGTGTCAGACCAACGCCTCCTGCAGTGATCCCCAACAACCAAGCGCATTTGCAGTCTGCATCGTCATCGGCGAACCCCCCTCCCGAGCCAAGCAGTGTCGGCCAAGTTGGTGCAGCTGCAGCATATTACTCCGCTGAAGTTGATGGATCGGAGTTACAAGCCCAGCCACAACCAACTTCATCTTCTTCCAAGCCTCCGAAGGTCTCGAAGCCTTCGTCCTCAAGCGCAATTGCAGCGGGAGCTGCCGGGGTGGCCGCATACGGTGTTGGGACCGAGCTGCTGTCCCAGCATGAGACAGGGTCTTCCTCCACGACATCTGCGCAACAAACCACCTCATACTCGCAGCCGGCCATGACAAGCACGAACAAGCCTCCCCATGGCCACTCCCAGAGCATTGGCCCTGGCATTGGTCTAGCAGCTGCTGGTGCCGCCGCGGGTTACATGATGGGTCACCATAATCACTCGTCAAGCCCGGCGCACTCGTCGCAGTACACATATCAGAACTATGAGGGGTCTTCTCAAGGTGGTACACCATATGGGCCCCCTGGCCCCAGCGGTGGATATTCTTACGGAGCCGGCTCACTCGGATTTCAACAAAGACAGCGCGGCCCTCTGGGGCGACTTGTGGACTTCTGGCGGGACCCATATGGCGTCGGAAGATTTGAGGATTATACCCAGACGATCGGTGTTTGCAAGTACTGCTTCGAACCAGGCACGTCGTCTCTTGATGCGCCTCGCAAGCATCACTATCATCCCCACCGACGCCATTCTTCCGACCGCTATAGTAGCGGCAGCTCGTCTAGGGTAAACAAACTCTCCCGTTACCAGTCTTCTGAAGACGAGAGTCGCCGGCGCAAGAAGTCTAAGAAATCTTCATCTTCATGGCTGCCAGGAATGCTTGCTGGTTATGCCGCCAAATCACTATTTTCGGGCAAGGACTTTGAGGATTCTTACAGCGTCCGCCCCAATCAAGCCTCTGACGATCGTCCGGCTTCCTACCACGGGGAACGCCGCTCGGAAACCAGCTACACATCGCGCGGCGTTGTTCGTCGTTCCGCTCGCAGTCCGGCAAGAGATCATCACTCCGACACTAAACGGACAACTTACTCTGAGCGTTCCCGCCGAACCAGGTCGCGGTCCAGGTCCTCGTCTCGATCCGGCCACCACTCGTTTGTGAAGGAGGCAGCCTTGGGCGCGGCAGTGGGGTCGGCTGCATTGGCCGTTGCTAAGTCGCGCCAGCGAAACCGCAGCCAATCTCCTGGCAGATCCCACAGCCGGAAAGAGTCTTCATCCGACTCGTCTTTCCTCGACGTTTCACGCAAGTCCGTGGGTGGCGGTATTGGCTCATTCTTTACCGCGTCATCCGAAAACCGCAAGCCTCGACGACCGAAGAAGCGCAGGGGGTTCTTTTCTTTCAACAGTTCGTCATCCTCCTCGCTCGATGATGATCTCGCCTTCGGTTCCGGCTTTGCAAAGAAGCCCAAATCTCTGAAATCCAAGAGGAAAGGAAAGAAGAACGAAGATGTGGATGCTGCTTTGCTGGGTCTGGGTGCTACGGCAACCGCCTTGGCGGCCTCATCTCATGGCCGTAGCAAGAGTACTGGTCAAATCCTCGCAGCTAAAGAGCATCGTTCGCGCCATTCTGCTTCTTCCGCTACGAACGAGGACGATGAGTGGATCGATGCCGAGTCGGAGGACCAGTCTTCCTCCAGTGTCAGCTCTAACCTGGCATTCGGAGGAAGTAGTGCTGAATCTGGCTCTGATTCGAGCGGTGGATGGGGCTGGAGTTGGGGCAGCAAGAAGAAAAAGAAGGAGAAGAAGTCCAGTGCCGCAGATGCTGCTCTCGCAATTGGCGCTGGTGCTCTGGGCAGTGCTGCGTTGGCTTCTGTCGCTCGCAAGAAGGACAGCAAGTCTTCTAGCAGTTCCGGGAGCCTTCAACAGGTCTATCCGGTGCCCACTTCCGATCCTTCTCGCTTTGATGCTGCCAAGATCTCTCCGTCTGTCATGTCCGGTGACCAGACGCCCCTCGTTCGCCCCGGGCCCATCCCGCTTCAGCAACCACAGCCCGTGACTCCGGTGTCTCAGGCTATATACACCACCCAAGGTAGCCTGCCCGGCACGATTCCAGCATACAGTGCCCCTCCAGTTCTTCCAATCTTTGCCAACGATTACGATCGATATGACACCACGGTTCAGTATCCGCGGGATGACGCCGGGGTTCCACCAGACATCCCTTATATTGAACGAGACCCCGTCGGTCCTCTGCGCAGAAGCGACTCTTCACCTGTCTTTCCAACGCAACAAAGTTCTACATCTAGCCTCAAGCGCCGGTCAACAACCAAAGACCAAGCTTCCGTCTCTTTTGACCTCACCGAAGAGCAGGTCGAGAAGGAACGTCGTCGCCGTGGAAGGAAGAGTCGAGATGAGTTCGAAGATGTGCCGGAGCAGTTAATTGACCGAGGAGACGAACTGTCTGGCCAGGAACCCGACCGACGATCCCGTCGCCGAAAGGATCGAGAGCGCGATTCTTCATCCTGGATTGAAGCCGCTGCGGTGGCTGCCACAGGCGCGGCTGCTGTCAGCACAATCTACTCTCACAAGACTGATGACGACGAAGCTTCTGAAGCCAGTCAGCGCCGAATCGATGAGCGCCGCGAGAAACGCCGTGCGGAGCGGCGCCGTGTCTCCGACAGTGAACCTGAGGTGTCCATCGTTTCTAAGTTTGATGTTTCCGAGGAGAGCTCGCCAACGTCTGAATACAAGGAAAAACGGAGAAAACGCTCCCCTCGCCCTGCACCCGTGCATGAGGACTATGCGGAGTTTTTCGCTCCCGAGGGGGTGCGGCACAGTTCTGACAATAACTCGCGCAATGCGTCGCCCTCCCGTGACATGCCGATGATTGTTGAGATCGAGCCTGCCGCCGACAGATTCGAGCGCGAAGCACTGGAGGCTACAAGAGAACCCTACGAAGGCCGCGACCTCCCTTGGCCTGTGCCTCGACTGAACATCATTGAGCCCACTCCTCCCCACAGTATCAGTGGGTCTGTTCGAGATGCGACTTCCCCCACTGTCGAGCCTGTGGACAAATCCTATGCCAACAAGCAGCGCGAGCACCAGACTTATGAGTACGATATTCCTTCGTCCTCCGAACAGGATCCCCTTGAGCAGGAAGCCGGTTCCCCAGCGGGCACGTCCAAGGATGCCAACACCAAATCCGACTATGGCGATGATATTGAGTTTGCTGCAGCAGTCGCTGCGGCAACCGAAGCGGCTGGGTTTGATCCATCCATGGTTACTGATAACCCGACCTACCACACGCGTACTTCGCCTCCTGGGTCTGAGGATGAAGGCGCATTTACTGCGTCCAAGCCCGAACAAGCCGAGAACAGGGAAATCGAGCAGCCAAATGGCAAACATGCGAGGTCGAGCGATGACGATGTCTTTTTCATGCCGGGTGGATTTGATAATGACGATACCCGAGACACCCCTCGCGACGACTCTCGATCTGTCTACTCCGCCCCGGCGGGAGAGCCCGAGACTCCCACGAAATCCAAGAAGTCTCGGCGAAGCGGCGAAGCCGTTGACTTGACCCAGGATACTACCTCGGCGCCTCTTGCCGATGACAATGACGGTGGGAGTAAGAAGAAGAAAAAGAAGCGGCGCTCTAAGCGTGATAGTGGTCTCGACGACGCGACTTCAATTGCCTCTTCGCCTGCCCGGATTGAGGAATCTGGGGAGAAGAGTCGTCGCAAGAAGCGGTCTTCACATAGCGGCGATGGAGACGGTCTATATGATGCTTCGGACAAGGACTTGGACACTAAAGATGATGTGGATCTGGAGGACTACAGATCGGAAAGGCAGCGCGAGAAGGGTCGACGACATGGATATGAGGAGGAGATGGAGTCGGGAGACCAACAGGACTTTGAGAAGGTATAGCACTTGAATTTCCCTTTCTTGTTTCTTTCTCTGTTATTTCTTGTGAACCTTTTGTACACTGTTATTTTGGCACATAGTTTTTCATTTGCGATGGCCTGCGTCCAACTCGTCCACCTGCAAACAAAAAAAGAATCTGTACTAAGCGTTTTCTTCTGGTATTATCCATGAGCAGGACGAGAAATCATTCGACTATAATGATGCCGACATCGACCAGAAGCCTTTTTTAGGGCAAGGCCCCGAAATGCCAGCCGCGGCTGAGCGCGACGAGAGTGGTGCTTCGGGGCTCCAAGAAACGATGGAGGTGGCTACCATGGTCGCTGCAGGTCTTGGGCTGGGTGACACAGCCCTCAAACATCTTCCTCAGGACCGTCCTATGTCCCCTGCTGCAGAGGATGCGACGCGCGAGCTCGCCTCGCAGTCACACAGTATCCCGGCCACGCCTGAGATGGCGCAGGAGCAGGAGATCTCGCCGATGCCACGCCGGCTATCCATGGTACGATCGAGCACCGAGTCTCCAACAGCCGTGCCACTGCACTTCCGTCGACCACCAAGTTCTCCGAAGCTGCAGCGCGTTGTTCCTACCGATTCGCCTACTCCCGTGTCTCCCAGCTCCCCAAACCAGCCACGCCATCGTCGACTCAACTCAACAGAGTTCCGCAACTCGCGTGAATTCCGTCCCCTGTGGCTCGTCGAGCGTCACGGCTCAGCAAAGGCAGAGCCCGACCTCGAAGAGCCCCTGCCTTCCCTCCCATCAAGCAAGAGCTCTTCGCGCGCCCCATCAGTCGAAGACCTCCGATCCCTCAATGAACAGGACGATGTGAGAAGCTGGGAGCCCTTCGACATGGGCCAATCGATTATGGACCGCCGCCGTCTGGCCGGCCTGGCCATCTCAACCGACACCGCCAATCAGGCCCATGACGCAGTCGACCCCGATCTGCTTGATTCGCAGCAGACCACACCGACGGCGATGAGTTTCGGAGAAGCTGCCGTTGCGGTGTCTGCGAAGGAGAAACCCAAGTATGAGTTCCATTCTCCGTCTGAGCTTTTGCAAGACCCGAGCGTGCTTGATGAATTGCCTCCCTCACCTACTCTGGAAGCCCTTCCTTCGGCTGAGGGATCAATGGTTGGTACTGGTACCAGAGATATGGCTGAGTCGGAAGAGAGCAGTGTTGGGCACAAATCACTTCCTGGTATTGATTTAGGCAAGGCAGCTGGGTTTGGCGACATTGTTGATGCGGCTGTTCTGGCCGCTGTGAAGGGGCACGAGAAGCCGGTCTCTCCCTCCCACGACAAAGACAGTACCGAGTCTGCTGCACTACCCAAGGAGACTTCTCCTCAAGCCCACGAGATCCATGGTTTTGGAAATATCGTCGACGCAGCAGTTATGTCCAAAGCCGCTCGCCATGGTCAAGAATTCATCGACGAATCCCTAGGCGAGCTAGGGACTGCGATTGAAGAGCCCATGCCCGCCGAGCGGGAGCTTGTATCTGCATCCGCTCCGGTTGCCGAAACAGCTGCTGACGAAGTTGTCACGACGCAGTCCTCAAAGAAGAAAAAGAAGAAGAAGGGCAAGAAGAATCAAACCAGCCAGAGCGTTGATTGGACCCCTTCGGAATCTGTACCCGGGGCAGAGGGACCGGCCCCAGTCGTGGAAGCGGCAGAGCCCGAATCCTGGGAAATCGAGACTCAACCTGCACTCTCTTACGACAAGGAGGAGGCTCTTGCTTTTAAACCCGAATCCGAGTCCACTGATACATCCAGAGACCTTGATTCCTTTGCTCTGGAGAGTATGCCCGCCGAAGCTGCGGAACCAGTTCCTGTCACTGAACTTGAGACTGCACCGGAACCTGCTGTGACTACACCTGTTGAACCGGTGGAGCAGCCTGAGGATACTGCTGGTCTGTCGAAGAAAGCCAAGCGGGAGAAGAAGAAACAGAAGAAAAAGGCGAAGAGCATTTCCGTTGCAGAGCATTCGGGGGATACTCCTGTTTCGAAGGAGGACGAAGACCTGCAACAGGAGAAGGGCATGGAAATTCCTCCGGATGGTCCACGGGATGAGATCGTCACTGAGTCCGTTGTTCATGCAGCGCAGGATCCAGTTCCTTCCGGCGAGCCTGCATTGACTGAGGCAGTTATGCCCGAGACACGCGAGTTCGACTATACTGGGGCACCTTTCGTGGAATCTGACAGCACTCCGGAGCCTGAACAAAAACCGGATACCACCATCTCCGCACCTTCTCTTGACGACAACACCGCTCCGGCTGACAAAGGAGATATCGAGACCGAAGATGATGACTTCCACGAAGCTTTCGAGGAGCAACCCTTCCCGGTTGCGCAAACACGAGAGCTTGCACCAGGAGCGTCCACCGATGCGAGCACGGAGACTCCGACCGAACCGCAGGAGGAGGGTTGGGAGATGCAGCCCCAAAGGAAAAGCAAGAAGGACAAGAAAAAGCGCAAATCTGTCACTTTTGAAGATACAGATATCCCGTCCGAGCCTACTCTTGCTCCCGAACCCGAGCCCGAACCAACGATAAAGGAACTGAAGCCTGAGGAGTCGGTTCCTGCTGAGCCTGCGGAACCATCTCCAACTGGCGGTGAGGAGGCACTTGCTGATGTTGATCCATCCGTCACGGATATCACGTCAACATCTGAAACTGCTGCAGATGAGCCTGTTCCCGTCTCAGAACCGGACTCTGCAGACCGCGCTGTTGCGGAAGAAGCGGTGCCCTCCACAGAGCCGGTTCAGCGCAGCGACGAAGCTTCTCGAGATGTCTTTGAGCAGCCTGCACCTCACGAGCAACCTGAATTGGGGGCTGAGGCTGAGGTCGAGGCCGAAGCACCCATGACCGCGGCACAGAAGAAGAAGGCCAAGAAAGAGAAACAAAAGAAGAAAAAGCAACAAAGTGTCTCTTCTATTCCTGACGAGGATAAGCCTACTGAACCCCAACCTGCCGAGCAGCTCGCCGACGATGTTACTTCTGCTGCACCCGATGCCGAAGCTGAGGCTATCGATAGCTCCAAGGACGTACCCCCAACAGCTGAAGATGTCTCTGTTGAGGTACCTCTTGAAGAAGCCAAGAACGAGGAGTCTCTGGAGCCTGAGCAACCGAAGGAAGACGATACACCGTCCAGCGTTCTTCCGGAATCTGTTGCAGAGGTGGCAGAGGCTGATATTTCAGGCGAACAACCTCAAGAGCCCCAGACAAAGCCTGCAGAGTCCGAAGATCCTGCTCCCGAGCCTGAAGTTTTCATGACAGCATCTCAGAAGAAGAAGGCCAAGAAGGCGAAAAAGAAGCAGCAACAGCAACAGCAAAGTATTAGCTCAATTACTGACAATGAGAAGTCTGATGAAGTTGTCCCCGGCCCTGATACCGAAGCTACAAACACCAGCAAGCTGCCTTCTGCAGCTGATCCCGAGGCTGAGGTCCCTGATCCGGAGTCTGCCGAGACTCCTGAGACCAGTGAAGATGCTGCGCCTTCAACTGAGATTGAGACACCGGCTACGGGAGATGAGCAAGCTGCTGAGACCGCGGATGCATCTCCTACGTCCGACAAGACAGCCATTCCAGCGGAGGCGTCACCTGAAGAACAACAGGACCAGCCATCTGTTGAAACCGATCAGCAAAAGGACGAAGAACTCTCTATCACGGAAATTCCAGCCACGGATGCTTCAATTGCTCCGACAGAACCGGAACCTGTCCAGGAAGAACCCGAGGCCCCGCCACCAGAACCTGCGGTGCCTTTGACTGCAGCTCAGAAGAAGAAAGCCAAGAAAGAGAAGAAGAAACAGCAACAGCAGCAAAAACGGCAGTCAACGCAGCTGGATGAGCAGACTGCACCCGAACCCGAGCCTGCTTCAATTGAAGAAAATAACGCTGAGACTGAGTCTATGGCATCCACTAAGGCGCAGTCTTCTCTATTCGACGAGGCAAAGGCGACGGAGGAGATGGCCGCAACCGAGTCGACACCTGTGGAGACAGACCGTGAACTCGACCTGAACGAGCAGCCGCAGGATATCATCAACCCCACCGAAGAAGTTATTCCAGAGGCTCCCGTGGAAGAATCAGCACTTGATGTGCCCGGAACGTCCGAACAAGGTACGGATGCTCAGGATCTGAGCGAAGACAAGACCCTGGCACCAGTCGCAGATTATGCTCTTGCTTCAACAGAAACCGGCCAAGAAGAGCCTGCGGGCGATACGGTGACTACCAAGGAATCTACCTTGGAGACATCCGCTGAGGCCATGGCTCCGGATGACAAGGCGATATCTGATCAACCCGCAGAGGATGCAACCACGCCCGCAGACGCCGTTCAAGACCAACCTACAGAAGAAGTGACTACTGCACCACCTGAGCCATCGGAAAATGCAGTCCCAGAACAGATTGAAGAGTCGCAACCTGTCTCATCTGCCAAATCCAAGAAGCAGAGGAAAAAGGATAAGAAGAAGCGTCAATCACTTTCTCTGGATGATGAGCCGCAACCTGCTCCTGTTGAGGAAGAAAAGCCCACTGAGCCTGCTTCCACTGAAACCACAGAAGAGCCCGCATCCATTGACAAGGAGGAGTCTCTTGCCGAACCCGAGGTTGCCAATCCCCCGGAGGAAGTTTTTGCTCCGCCTCAGGAAGACCAGCAATCTGAAGAGACATCGACTGAGCCCGGCACACAGCAGGATACCACTCCCGAAGAACCTGCAGCCGAACTTGATGAGGCAGACTTCCAGCCTTCGGTCTCCAAGAAACAGAAGAAGAAAGACAAGAAGAAGCGCAAGTCTGTTGCTTGGGATGACGAGGCCATTGCCGCACAGTTTGAGCAGCCTCCACCGGAACAAGTTCCATCCGCCGCTGTTGAGAGTGCCCAGTCGGAGGAAGCAAAGGCTGTCGAAGAAACTTCTGATCAGCAGACAGAGGCAACACCAACAGAGAGCACGGAGGTAACCGAGCTCGTCGCAGACAAAGAGATCACCGAGGAGGTTGAGCCCACTCTACAAGAACAAGAATCCAAGGGAGACGAGGTTCTTCAAACGTTCACAGAGTTAACTGAAAGCGCTGAAACCCTCCCAGAGGTAACTTCTCCCGAAGAGCCTCTTCAACTTGCAACCAGCCCAGCCACGGAACCTGACACCGCTGTGTCCACTGACGCCTCAAAGGATGTGGAGGCAACTGAAGCAGAAAGCGCACCAAGAGACTCCGCTGAGAGAGATGACCAGCCGGAAGATGCTGCCGATTCCTTGACCCCGCCTGATCAACAATCACAGACTCCAGACGAGGCGGAGTCCCAAGCTGCTTCAGCGACCGAACCGAAAGAAGAAGTCGCCTTATCTGCCAAGGAGCGCCGCAAGTTGAAGAAAAAGGAAAAGAAGAAGGGGAAATCCGTGGACTTGAGTGCTGAAGAACCTGCTGCCCCGGAACCGACGCAGGAACAACAAGAGACTCTCGACACTCAGGATGGTTCGTTGAAGACTGTCGAGCCTGAGAGCGTTGAGGCAACATATCTTGAAGCAACAGCAGCAGATAATGCGAAGGCTGTCGATGCAGAGGCTGATGCGGAGGTGGAGGCTCCTGCTGAGAAAACCGTTGCCAATGAGCAACCCATTGTTCAGGAGGTTTTCCAACCCCAGCAGCTGGAGACAAAGGAAATCGACACCGATGCAGCTGCCGACGAAGAAGCTGCACAGCCTGAGCCGGAAGCAGCTGAAACTCCAGAAACGTCCGAGACCAAGGAAACGGACGTTGAAACGCCAGCTGGTGAGACGGTGACCGAGCCGGAGCCATCTCCTTTGAATGAAGTGGAGCAGTCCGCTCCTCAGATCACCACGGAGCCTGAGGAAGAGGTGGGAATGTCAGCTAAAGAACGTCGCAAGGCAAAGAAGAAGGACAAGAAGCGACGATCCAAGATTCTCGATGCCGACAACGCAGCTTCCGATGCTCCCTCTGACGAACCGACCCCGGGACCGAGCGTTCCCGCCGACAAAATACCCGAAGACGCTGCAGAAACTTCTCCTCTCGGTGAGACGGACACCATGGAAACCTCTGCACCCGTGACGGCCCCCTCGCCAGCGGAAGATGACGACGGTAAAGAGCAACAGTCCCACGACATAGACACGCACGACGCGCCGGCAAATGATGTGGCTTCGACTGATGAGTTAGTGTTTTCGCAGGTAGAGCAGTCGCAGCCTGAAGGCCTTTCTTCAGACTATCATCTCCAGCCCGTGCTTGAGCGTGGTGTTGAGTCAGGGGAAGCGGAGAAGGATTTTGTTCAGGAGGAGGGAGGTGTTGAATCACTGGTTCCGGAGCAGGAAGCGTCAACCAAGACTAGGGAGGATAGTCAGGATATTGAAACCGAGAGAGAAGGCGTCGAGGAAAAGGAGGATGTCCAGGATCTTGGATTGGAGAAGGAGACTGAGACTGGAACGACAGAGCCTTCTGCCGCTGTTGAGACGGTCGATGTCAATGACTCGGTTGAACAGAAGGATGAGCTGTCTGCAGCGCTGACTCAAGAACAATTCGCCGAAGTGAATGTCGAAGAAGCTCCTGCACCAGCAGAGGAAGAGGCATGGCAGTCCACTTTGTCGAAGAAGCAAAAGAAGGAGAAAAAGAAGAAGCAGAAGCAACAAATCCAGATCGAGGAGGAAACCTCGGCTCCTGAACCCGAAAACTCTGCATTCGACGATAAAGAACAGCCTGAAATCCCGCCTTCCACCGACACTGGAGCCGAGCAAACAGTTCCCGAAGCTGAGAGTGAACCGACCCTCGAGGAGACTCCAGCAGAGCAAGCCAAAGACCTCAACGACGAACCTGCATCTCAGTCCTTCGAGGCCGAGCCCAGCGAAGAGACGACAATATTTGAGACTCCTGCAGTCGAAACCGAAGGCTTCGAAGCGGCACCTCTGTCAAGAAAAAAGAGCAAGAAGGAAAAGAAAAAGCAGCGTCAGGCTTTACTTGCTCAGGAAGCAGACGCCGAGCTCCAGACCGAAGAGCAACCGGTAGCCGAGACTCCTGAGACTTCTGTGCCTGATACCGACGTCGCAGAGAGTCAACCGACTGTCGACGAGATATTGGAAGACCAACCTGTTGTTGGACCTGCCGATGTCGCTGCCGAGACCGCTGAGGACGGCCACAAAGATGTCGGTGAGCAGCCAGGACACATCGCAGAGCAAAAGCCCGCAGAAAACGCTGTTGTGCAAGACGGTTCAGTTGATCCACCATCCACAGAAGCCCACACAGATGAGGCAGAAGAATCTCTTACCTCCATCACCCCGGATTCCACGGCAGACGTTCCACCTGCAGAAACAGCCGCCTCGGAGCAACCCGAGGATGAGCCTATGGTGGAACCCGAGGAAGAGTGGCCAGCCTTCACCAGCAAGAAGAGCAAGAAAAACAAAAAGAAGGCGGCGGCGGCCGCCGCCGCCATTGCTGTCGAATCTGCTACTCAAGATGACGAGCCCGTCGAGTCAATGGAGGAATCGACCGCTGTTTCCGGACGGCTCGCCGACAATATGGCAGAGCAAGCTTTGGAGCAAGAACAGTCTTCCGAGAACCCGGTAGAGCCTCAACCGGAGTCTGTTTCGAAGGATCTTGAAGACCTGGCAGCACTCTCGACTGGAGAAGCTAACGAGGAGACCAAGACCAGTCTGGAGACCCGCGAACAAGAAGCTCCAGAGCGGGAGCTAACTTCAGAAGAGCCCTCGGAAGAGACCGTACCCGTGGAATTGCCTACCCGCAAACTATCCAAGAAGGAGAAGCAGAAGGCAAAGAAACAAGCAAAGCGGAAGTCTACAGGCTTTACTGCTTTCACCGAGGATCCATCTGATCTTCCTGAGCCTGAAACTCCAGAGCCAGCCGCTGCTCCTAAGGAACCTATCGAAGAATCTGCACAGGAGCCAGCTCCTGGGGTTGAGCTTATTACCACGGAAACACCAGCAGAAGTTTTCCCCGAGCCTGAACCTGAGCGCCTGGAAGACGATTCTCCGCCTACAGTCGAGGAGTCTACTGTTGTACCAGAAGAGACCCAACAGCAAGGCTTCGAAGAAGACCAGACCTATGTCTCGCTGGATCCCTTTGACACTCCTCCCTCCCCTCAGGGCGAGGGTCAAGATCGTGCCATTGAGATTCCTGAGCAGGGTGCCATCGAAGAAACCCAGGACCTGCAACTTACTGCCGAGCAACAATATGAGAAGGATGAAGAGGCTGAAGCTCGACTACGGGGGCAGGCCCTTGAGAAGGCAGCCGATTTGGAGGTGGCCGAAGACATGTTCGAAGACCGACCTCGTGAGCTTGAAGTGCCTGCACCTCCTTCAAGAAAACTGTCGAAAAAGGAGAAGAAGAAGCTGAAGAAGAAACTCGTCACGGAGGACATGCCAGCTCAGGAGTACGAGGAGCCTCCAGCCGACGCACCCGCAAAGCTTGAAACAACAATTCCGGCGCCAGAACTTCAAGTGGAGCAGCTAGAGTCTACAGATGATGCTCAGCCTCCAACGCACCCGGAATCTGCAACGGAGCCAATTGATCCAGAGCCGACAGCGACTGTTGCTGAGCCTGTTCAAGACGAATGGGAGGTGCCGCTTTCCCGGAAGGCATCGAAGAAGCAGGCTAAAAAGGCCAAGAAAGCAGCCCAAGTCTTGGAATGGGAGCCGCCAGTCGATAGAGAAGTGAGCGAGCCGACAACTACCGTGCCTGTCGAAGAAGAGAACGCTTCCATTGCGCAAGAGATGAGGCAAGCGGAAGAAACGCGTGCGGATGAAGATGATTGGCCTACGATTGAGTGGGAGAAGGGCAATGTTGAAAACTCGGCGCAATCACCGGATCAGCCTCCTGAATTTGAGCCGGTGACGCTTACCCGGGATGTGGAGATGATTGGAGAGTTTGATGAAGCTACGATCCCGGCCGCTGTGAAGGAGACTGAGGAAGAACCAGAGGATAGTTCTAAGGCAGAGGCTTGGTCGATGCCTCTGAGCAAGAAGGACAAGAAGAAGGCGAAGAAGAACAAACGCAAGTCACAACAGCAAGAAGCCATTGACGAAGGACCCGAGCAAACGGTTGCCGAGTCCATTCCGGAGCCTGCTCCGGAAGCAACAAAATCCAAGGACATCGAGCTCGAAGCACCCGCGAGATCGACGGCTGCTAAGGGAAGCAAGCTTGCCAACCTCTTCCCAGGCTTGGAGCGCGGTGGCTTTCGGCGACCCTTGCTGGCAACCTCATCCGGACCGCTAACAGATGATACTCCGGTAGAGACTTCAGCGGACCCGGAAGGCAGCCGTGAGATTTCCATGCCCACCCTGGAAAAATCCCTCGCGGTCTCTAAATCCAAAGACAATATCAACATTCTCAGCGACGAACCGCCATCCAGCGATGAACGAGGGCTGGAGTTTGAGCCTACGACTCCAACGGAGCAACCTACGACTGCTACGGAGGAAGATTCACCTACTGACCCAGATCTCCCGTCTTTTGCGAGAACTCTAGCCGCATCATCGCCGCCGCCTGCTCCTCAATCAGCCACCAAGGAGCGATCGTCACTGCTTTTCAGCTCCTCTCCTTCTACTCGGACGGAGGTCGACTCGGCATCGCCCAGACATTCCCTGCCATCTCAAGCACATTTGGCGACCGACGATTCGCATTGTGGAATTCGCCGAACTCCATCTGTCATCCATGGGCGGCACCAGCACACTCCCCGGACATGGAGCCTGGAGGAGGCAGCGCTGCAAGCTGAGCGAAACCCGTCACCGCCGCGGTCTCTGTTCGGAGGCCCGATCGATGCTGAGCGGCCCCGGACCCCGCTGGATCCCATCGCGGAACAAGACCCAGCTGACAGCGGGCACGCAACCACGGGCACTCGCCGGACGCCCCGTCTGGAGATCAAGCCTGAACATGTCCTGCCGCGACCACAGACTCCCGTGCGTCAATTTACAGACACTGCGCACGGCCGAGAGAGATGGCCGACGCCGGAGCACGACAAGAAGCAAAAACATAAGAGCTCCGAATTGCAGCAGCCAGAGCTGCGACCCAGCGGTAGCAACAGGAGCCTGCGCCACACCCACAGCAAGGGCGCTAGTCGGGCGCTAGACTCCCAGCCTCCTCCCGATCTCGATCCCGACGCTCTTCCTTCTTCTTCCTCTTACGATCCCGTCAACGACAAGGGCAAGCGTCCCCTGCGCACCATGACCGATGTCTATGTAAGTTATAGTTGTTGTTGTTGTTTTTTTGTTGGTTGGTTTGTTTGTTTACTGACTTGCCTTAGGAGGGATGGGGCGAAACCCCTAGCTCCCCACGGTCGCCCAGCCGACCGCCCAGTGTCCACCGCCGCCGCAGCATGCAACACCTCCAAACCCTCGAATCCCGCCTCGACCAGCTCATCTCTGAGAACCGTCTGCTCATCGCCGCCCGCGATGAAGCCGAGGATCGGCTGCGCAATGCCAGCGTCGCTCGGCGCAAGAGCGACCAGGCTCTCAACAATCGCGGAGCCGACCTGCGCGACAAGGAGGCCGAAGTCGAGCAACTCAAGACCTCGGTGGAGTGGCTGCAGAGGGAAATGTCCCGCCTGACCCAGGAGAACGAGGGCTTGACAGCCTCCAATGCCGCCCTCGCCGCCGCCCATGCCGAGGAAGTCAACACAGTCCGCGAGTCGTCGACGCGCGAATTGGACGATCTCCGATCGCAACACAACGATCTCTCCTCACAGATGGACGACCGAGTCCGGCAGGAGATTGAATCGGCCCTCGCACAAAAAGATGCTGAATTGCGACGACTGCGCGAAGAATTGGAAGAGACTCGCGATAAGGTGAAGGAACTACAGCAACAAATCGCTGCGTCGTTGAATGACAACGCCCTCGTCTTCCGTGACGAGGACTACTTTGACGCTGCGTGCCAGAAGCTGTGTGGCCATGTGCAACAATGGGTGCTGCGCTTCTCCAAACACTCCGACCACCGTCGCTGCCGCACTCTCGCCGAACTAAACGATGAGAAGATCGCCGACCGGTTTGACAACGCCCTTCTCGATGGCTCCGACGCCGATGCCTACCTGTCGGACCGCGTTCGTCGCCGCGACATCTTCATGTCGGTGATCATGACCATGGTGTGGGAGTATGTCTTCACCCGGTACTTGTTTGGCATGGACCGGGAACAGCGCCAGAAGCTGAAGTCGTTGGAAAAACAACTCGTGGAAGTTGGACCGCGTCGTGCCGTCCATCGTTGGCGCGCCACTACCCTGACGCTCCTCTCCCGACGCCCGGCCTTTGCGACCCAACGCGAAAATGACACCGAGGCCGTCGTCCTCGAGATCTTTGGCACCCTGGCGCGTGTCCTGCCGCCCCCGTCACACGCCGAGTCGCAACTGCTGGAGTCTCTTCGCAAGGTGCTCCGGGTCGCCGTCAACCTCTCTCTGGAGATGCGCACCCAGCTGGCGGAATTCATTATGCTGCCGCCGCTCCAACCAGAGTACGATACCAATGGTGATCTGGCACGGCAGGTTTATTTCAATGCGTCGCTGATGAACGAACGCAGCGGCCAGACCACCTCCAATGAAGATCTGGAGAACCAGCAAGCTGTCGTGCGCATTGTGCTCTTCCCTCTCGTGGTCAAAAAGGGCAACGACGTCGGTGAGGGCGACGATGAGGTCGTCGTCTGTCCGGCCCAAGTCCTGGTGGCCCGCCCTGGCAAGGACAAGAAAGTGGCGCGCATGCTCAGCGGAGATCGCATGTCCATGGATGCCTCCAAGTCTGTCTACAGCGTCGCACCGTCGATGATGGACACGAGCAATATGATCTGAGGCGTCACACTCGGACCATGATTGCTCCCATCTGTGCTCATTTGTCTCTCTAGTTGAATGGCGTTACGGTGCCGGCGTCCCATATTGGAGTTTGATCTTTTTCTTTCCTATTGTTTCGTTGTTTTTGTATTTACTTGATGTCTGATGAGTGATGACCTGTAATTCCGCCATAGCAATGTAATAGATATTTTTTATACTTCGATCTTCACTGTAGTTGGTCTAGGCGCTGACCTTATCCCTTCGTTTCGGGCAATTGACTGCGCCGGAACGTCTGGACCAGCCGACTTTCCCCCATCCCTTTTATCCTCCGGTCAGACCTTGTCGTTATTGCTGGTTTATCTAGTATCAGTCGTTTGTTTCGCATTTACTACTGCCCTACTTCTATCTGGCCTTCCCTTTTGCCTTGCTTGATGTTTCCACCTGGACTCGCCACCCGCGTCATCCAGGACCCGCGCTGCAAGCTTCGTCGGCTTTAGCCTCTGCCTCTGCCCCAGCTCCATCAGCGATAGGCCATCACCCTCTGCACTATCCAAGTTCCTGGTTGCTCAGGCGATCGAGCATGCTGAGATCGACTAGGCCGTGATTGACTCCTACTGCGACTGCACGGCCACTCTCGTCAACGTCGGAGCTACTGCGTTTTCCCAGGCCGCGAGCTTGCATCAATTCGCGCATGACGGTTATTTGATCCGCACCGTCTGCTCAGCTTTCTTCAGCGATCTGGGCGCTAGCAGATTCCAGCGCAGCAGCACCGCCTTCTACCTATATACCTAGGTTATGTGGCCATGGATCCTCCAAGGTCGGCTCCCCGCACAGCTTCCGCCCAACACCCACCAGCCGGTGCCTCTGACCACGCCTCACCGACCAGTCCCCCCGAACGTCCACTGCTCAGCTGCACTCCACCTTCCACCGATAACAAAACAGGGTCTGGTCCAATGGCCGGGCGGGACCATCGGCCTGGGCCGGTAACTACCTCCGAAACAACACCAGCACATGAGACCCGCTTGGAAGCCCCCACGCCCGTTGGCGAAACAGGAAAACCAACCAAAGCCTCTAAGCGCAAGAAAAATCGCCAACGCAAGCGTCGCAATCGAAAGCAATCGTTCCTGGTTCCTGCCACCGAAGAGTCTCATGATCGGCCTGGCACTGCTTCCTGTGCTGGTGATGGAAATCAGATGGAAAGCGATCGGCCAACGTCCAGAGGGAATTCACAATTCTACAAATTTGGAAGCACTTTGAGTACCACGAGTTTGGAGAGTGATGCACTGTTAGACCATCGGTAGGTTCCTTGTGTTTTTCGAACTCTATAGCTTGTCGCATGCTTGCGGTTGCTGCTGGATTTGCTAACTCCGGCGGGGGACATATAGGGACCAACCCATGATGAGGCCGCGCCGAGATAGTCGCGTTGCACAATCTTTCCGGCCTGGCCCTATGCTATCGAACGCTTTTCGATCTGGTAATCGCAATAGCCCCGGCGGAGATCGGAATCAACGCAATGCGGATGGCGACAGTGACGGGGAAGAGACAACCGACCGGACACCGCTGATGCAAAAACCCTCGTCTGCACATACCTCGACATTTAATGCTCGCTATGGAACAGATTCTAGGTCTAGTCCATTCTCTGGACGTGCCCGACGACCGTCCGTACAGTCCGGATCGTCGAATCGTTCGCCTCGGGACAACAACCCCCGAACATTTCCCCAGATGTCGAACGAGATTATGATGTCAATAATCCCCCGTCCATACCGGGCACCCCGAAGCTGGGCGGGGATTTGAATTACGATGATGCCGTGGTGACTGGCGTCGACTTTGATTTTTCATTGGGCAACTCCTCGGACAACCGCAGGGACTCTTTCGGCCGACTACGTGATACACTGATCGATATCGATGGCAGCCGTGCCCCGTCACAGTGTTCAGAACCATCCTCTCCTCGTTCTCCGCGCCTTTCTCAGGAGTTGCGGCGACGTCGAACTGTCGCACTGCCCGTGGAGGAAGACGTTTGCTTTCCCAATGAAGAAGCCTCAGAGCTAGGAGATGAAGGGCCGAGGACGCAGCGGGACGAGAACGGTGAACGCCGACGAAGGAGGCACCGACAGTGGCCGGATCTGTCAGTTCTGGAGGAATGGAGCCGCGAGGAGAAGGAAGACCGCAACGGTGACCTCCGTGTCAAGAAGATCAGTGAGCCAATGTTGGTCGAGGGCCGATTACGGCCGCAGTATCAGTTGTGGCGGCGGGAGGAAGACGAAGCACCCTATCGATTTACCTACTTCAACGAGGAGTTTCAGAGCACCATCCATGCTCAAACTATCTCTGAGCTGGTGCAGCCCGGTGGCGGTTTTCGGGAATTGTTCATTCCTGATCCTCCAGAGCTTGAAGAATCGTCCGATGACGAGGATATGGATGGCTCTCATTCTGCTGTTGACGGTCATTCGAACCATTTCGCGGACTGCGGCACACGTGGACCGGGCTCGCATTATCCGGATAACCCTCCAAACGGTGGTGTGGCACCTCCCAATAGAGCGTCTCAGGACACTAGTCCCGGGGCTCCCAACAAAGGGAACCCTCGCTTGTCAGTTATCAGTGAAGGGGTTTCACAGCACAGGGGCGTGTCGCCTTCGCACTCGGAAGTGCCGTCGAAGCCAAAACGCTATGGTCCTCGACCGACCTTCTGGCTGGATGTGTTATCTCCCACCGATGCCGAAATGCGCGTGATCGCCAAGGCGTTTGGCATCCACGCACTTACAGCCGAAGACATTATGATGCAAGAGGCTCGGGAGAAAGTCGAACTATTCCGCAGCTACTACTTTGTCAACTACCGCACATTTGAGCAAGACACAAACAGCGAAAACTATCTGGAGCCCGTCAACATGTACGTTGTGGTCTTCCGCGAGGGTGTTCTCTCTTTCCATTTCTCGCAGACGCCACATCCAGCCAACGTGCGCCGACGCATCCGCCAGCTGATGGACTACTTGATCCTGAGCTCTGACTGGATCTCCTATGCCCTCATCGATGATATCACCGATGTGTTCGGTCCGCTCATCCAGGCCATTGAAGACGAGGTCGATGAGATAGACGACTCGATCATGCAGATGCACCCCTCCACCAAAGAAGCCTCATCTAACCACATGGCGGAGCCAATGGAACCGGGCGAAATGCTTCGCCGCTACGGCGAGTGTCGCAAGAAAGTCATGGGACTGTACCGCCTGCTCAGCAACAAAGCCGACGTCGTCAAGGGGTTCGCCAAGCGCTGCAACGAGCAGTGGGAGGTGGCTCCCAAGTCGGAAATCGGCCTGTACCTGGGCGATATCCAGGACCATATTATGACCATGACGAGCAACCTGGCACACTACGAGACGTAGGTTTTTCCCCCCCTCTAATGATTCATCAGGCTCACAGCGTTTTTACCAGGATCCTCTCCCGTGCGCACTCGAACTACCTGGCGCAGATCAATATCCTAATGAATGAGCGTCAGGAGAAGACTGCTGATGTATTGGGCAAGCTCACTGTGCTGGGTACGATTGTCCTGCCTATGAATATCATTTGTGGCATGTGGGGGATGAACGTCAAGGTTCCTGGCCAGGAAATCGACAATTTGAATTGGTTCTGGTGTAGTATGTTTTCACTTTTCCCCTGCCTCCAAACAAACGCAGATTCCATTCTCGAACCAAGCAGGTGCTAACTACCTTATCTAGTCGTCGCTGGCCTGGTCGTGTTCGCCTTTGCCTCATTTCTCATCGCCAAACGCGTCTACAAAATCGTCTAGCTGGACCCCAGTTCGACGATCCTTAGTTATCCGTGCTTATTCTGTCTTTTTCTTTCCTCGCGTGGCTCGCTTCTCCTGGCTTGAACAGCGATACGATCGGTGTTGGAGGGAGTTTTTTTATTTCTCGAGCATATATCTCTGCCGGCGTTGGACGTTATGTTTTGGACAATATCCGGCTCATGATTTCTTGGATGCACATATATGATTTTATATATAACTTCTGTATAGTATTGTTGCTTATCCGATCGAGAAGAAAATTAGAAGAAGAGTAGTACAGCATAGGGCAGACTGAGCCTCTCTCATGCCCATTTAGCGCGGTGTTCCAGGCTTCCTGCCAGATTCTCCAGGCCAATGAGTCACATGACAATTTACCACGTGAAGGCATGTACTCATATACTGTGTAGGAGTAAGGAACAGACAGAAAAGACAGAAGAGGACATGGAAACAGGCTTGACTGAACAACAAAACCCCAGTGCAGCCAACGCTCCTCTCCTTCAAAACTGGATTAATTAAAAAGCCGATGAGATCATAGCCCTGGTAACGCCGTGACCGCCGTAATGGTCCATTATCTTGCTAGAGCCTGGTAATATTACCGCTCCTACGTCATGTCTCTGTCACCGATCTGGTTCTGTTGGCCTTCTCTCTCTCTCACGCCCTTTTTTGCTTTCAACTCTTTTCCATCCGATCATCGATCATCCTTTCGCAACCTTCTCCTCCAAGCGTTGCACATCTCTTCTAGACCACCGTCCTCCACTCTTCCCCTGCAGTTTTAGGCCCTACCCTGACGTGGGCTCCGATCATTGGCCATCGCCGGGTCCCGGCCCTGACCCTCCTCCACACCGTCAGCCACTTTTTCACCGAGGGTTGTGGTCACCGACTTCTCTTACGGAGATACGCCACACTTCCTCTCCTCAAGCCTTGTTTTCGTAACGTTTGGCCCAAACGTTCACCCGGATCGGCGGTTCCCCCATCTACCAACCAGACCAGCCCCCGGCCCCCGAGACTGGTTCTAGACGACTTTGGTGCGCCTGGCCCCCGGGAAACAGAGCAACGGCTCAAGTGACGGCTGCCGCGACTCCAGCATCGGCCGGCCTAAACAGACAACAACAACTCCACTTCTCAACAAACTACTTCCCCCTCTCAACCCCGGTTCCCACTTGCCCGCAGCTATTTCCGTCTCCGAACAGGATCCCGTTTTCCGTCAACAGCATGTGGTCTTCGGCTATTCGCTCTTTCGCACCGTCACTGGTGTAACGACTTGTATCCTGCGCGACAGATCGCTTGACACCCACATACCATTCGCTCCCGAATCGTTCCGTTGTCAATAACAACAACACACAGCTACACACTTCACACTCCACACGCCGTCGGATCTGCCTGTCTGGCGTGACACCTTGTATCTTCAGGATCCTCCTTTTTTTTGGGTCCCGCGTTGCTGCCCAACTTGCCGGCATCCTCTCGGGTCCCCTGACTTGCGTACACGTCGTGTCAGTTCAATTCTGACTCGATAGCGGCCATGGCGGCGGAGTCCGAGAGGCCGCCCTACCTGAACGGCGCCTCTGGTGGAAACAACGATGCGGATTCGGACCCGGCGCACCGGTCGGGCGCCGATGGTGACATGGAGGAACTGCTGCGGCCGGACGCTGTTAAATCCCAGTCTCAGGCCATGTCCCAAGTGCCAAAACTCACCCCCAGTTTGCGGACCTCCTCTAACCCGGCGTCCGCTTCCCACTCGGTCGTTTCCTCGCGCGAAAACTCGCCCGTTCGATCTCGTATTGCACAATCTCCCACGGCCAGCCGAGTGCCCTCTCAAACACGTAAAGGCAGTCCGAGTCAAGATCGCAGCAGTCCCGCCCGGTCGAGCACCAGTCAGACATCAGGCCGAACTACACCATCCCCGACATCGGCCCAGCTGGGCAATACACCCGTCCTTTCTCCCTCATCTACTGCTGAACCACAAGCCAATGTTCCCGAAAAGGCCAATATGCCATCATGGGCTGGAAGCCGTCGCCCGGATCAAGATCCCAACCTCCCGAATACCTCACACAAAAGATCCACGGTACCGCCGTCGGAGGAGCACGGTTCCAAGATGGATCGCAGCACACCCCGGGCGGTTACAAGGGGCGTCGGTGGGCAAGGATCCTCCCTGGAAACGGTTCAGGAGATGACGAGTAATCCGTCGACTCCGTCCAGTGATACCCCCGTCAAGCCGGTGACCCCGGAAGAGTCTCGGTTACACAAGATCGATGAAGATGCCACCCCGCGAGCCTCAAAGCAGGGCACGGAAAGCGGCAGCGATAGTGGTGGCAACCGCAGCTCGGGGACAAAGGAGGAAGATCCACAAAGTCGTCCTTCAGGCCCCGCGAAAACATCTGGGACTATCATGCCGCAACGGTCATTCACCTCGCTTAGTGCTGGCGCTCGTGGGAAGCCCGCCGACGGCTCGGTCCGCAATATGATCGTCGAAACAGAGACGGTCAGCTCAATACCTCAAGTGTCCTTGGGAGTCCCCTCCGGTGAACGAGGCAATGCCGGTCGGTCGGATCAGGGTACTCTGCGCATGAAACCATCCACTGAGACGATCCGGCCTCGTAAAGACAAAAAGAAGAACAATCGTCGACAAAATAACTTGACGAGCGGTCCCCTATCAAGCAAGGCGGATGTCTTCGAGGCCAAGGTTGCCAGTGCGGTTGATGAGGCTGATGCTTCCGACTCGGACGAGACCTTCGTCTATGAATCTAACCCTCCCGATCCCTATCCTCCTCGACAAAACCGATACCATTCCCGCACGCCTAGCGCCACCTCCATGGCGAGTCAAGTGGACCAACTGGCTGGCCGTGCACGTGGGGGCATGCGGGATGCCTCCCACAGTGTGACAGGCAAGCGTAGCATGAAATTCACGAACAACACCTACAACAGCAGCGTTGATGGTGAAGCTGCCGAGGTCGATGGAAACCGAAACCCCTCGAGAGTGGACGCAAGCGGGACGCTCACTCCGCGGCATAATATTGGCCGTCATAATCGCAATGCAGTGCATCCGTCCCTTTTTGACAACGACTCGCCTTTTCCCCAGCCTCAGTCTCATGTCAAGTCTCCGCGGCATTTTATTGGGGGTGGATATCGGCACGCGAGGCACAGCAATAATCGCGCTTCGCCCAACTACAAGACTATCAACAACTCCAAGAAGGCGGGCGAAATCTACGGATTTGACTTCGATGCGGAGGGGGCGGATGATGAACGCACACCCTTGGTGGGCACACCACGCGCCAACCGCAGCCGTGGCCGACGGCCGAACAGCGCCAGTTTGCGCCAGATGGAGTACATGGCGCAGCGACAACGCGGATATCTTTCACGATATAGCTCATGCGTGATCATCATCTTGTTGATGTTGATTGTCGCAGGTGGTGCCGCTTCGTTCATCGTTGCAGCCACCAGGCCCTTACTTGATGTTGATATCATTGCTGTCCAGAACGTGCTCGCCACGGAACAGGAGATTATGCTGGACCTCAATGTCCAAGCAATTAATCCGAATCTTTTCCCTGTGATGATTGACGACACAGACTTTAACATCTTTGCCAAGAGTCGATATGTCGGGACAGACAAGTTCTGGCGGGAGCATGGGTCGGATGGCGAACTCGACCACTTCCCACGCGTGGAACAAAGTCGACGCCGCTGGAAATTGTCGCAGATGGTGCGCTGTTTGGGTAGCATGGACTGTGTGAAGGATGCCGTGTCTGGTGCATCACGTAAGGACGGCGGCGTTGACAGAGGCACCGATCCCATCACCGATCCCAGTGGCGACCCGCAGACAATGTTGCTCGGCCGGGTATTCCACTTCGACTCATCCCTATCCTTTGAGGCATCCCCCTGGAACCACATGGCCTCCAGTTCCAAGGGCCAAATCCGCCTCGCCCGACCTGGCAACAAGACTGAAGAAGGCGGCACAGAGCGCTGGGAGCGCGTCCTCCAACACCCATTTGAGCTGATCGTCCGCGGCGTGGTGAAGTACCAGCTCCCGCTCAGCTCTCGCTTCCATTCCGCATCCGTCAGTGGTAGTGTTAAAGTTGACCCGGATGACGAGGACCACAATATCCCGGATAATTCCACCGCGCGCATCTTCTCACCCGGAAGCCCACGGCCTATGCGCCTTTTGGACTCAGATGCTGGCCGTTCTCTTCCAAGGAAAGAAAGCGGCGTATCCCCACGACCATTCACCGCATGAAACCCTCCACCTGAACCTGAACACGTTATTAGCGATAGATTGGATTTCTTTTTTCATCTTCATTGACTCACGACAGCGTCTATTTTCCTTACACTACTTTTCTGAATGTACCGAGACGAACACACAAAACCGACAGTCCTTTCCAGCGCCTCGTCCCCAGTTGGGTAGGCGCTGAGATTCCTTTTCCTTTTCCTTTTCTTCTCTACTTCATGGCTCGAAGGTTTATCTGCTGTATACCCATTTGCGAACTTCTTTGTTGTTTTGATCATCTGTTGGTTTACCTTGGGTCTCTTGACATTTGACCTTCTAGCCACGTTGGTTCTCCTCCAACCTTACTCTTTTCCTTCTTTGGTGATCATCCTGAACTTGCCACCCCTTTTTTACGGTGGCAGTTTCTGCTTGCCTCACTGGCTCTCCTTTCCTTTTCCTTGATGCTTCGCGTCACCCACCCTGTACCTATACTGTCTCTTTTACCTCTGCTACTTCGCCTCCTCTCTCTATGTGCCTCTATGTATACCCCTTGGAGCGGAAGTAATATACCATCCACCCCATGACTAGCTAGCTGTTCTAGGCGAAGATGAGAATCAGACACGGCTTTTCTTGAGAGTATTCAGTTGAACTTGTATATTACGTTTACTAGTCTTGATACCTCCAGACCGAACTAAAGTGATAAGAGATGTGAATGTATATTAGCTATCCTTTGAATGAGGAAAGTGACCACATACAGCACTACATTAGTTATGATAAAAGTCTCTGCACACCCCACCAAAAGTATATTTCAGATTTCACTTACTCCATCGCTTTACTACTCTCCTTCTGGAGTTTCTAGGGCAGACTGAAAGAACGGCTCCACCACGCGCATAAATTCATCGGGCTTTGACGAGAACACCACATGGCCGGCATTAAAGACCTCAAGCCGCGATCCTGGGATGTGTTCTTGCACTGTATGCTTGACATCTGGTCGGTACAGAGGGTCCTGAGATCCCCAAACAATCAGGGTCGGTGCCTTAATTTGCGACCCGCGACTGCGCAAGTCATGACCGGGGTCGGTAAAGCTGCGCCAGATAGCAGCGGCTACGGTGGCACCGGACTGCGTTCGAGCCCTTGCTTGTGCATGTTGTGAGATTGTTTCGTCTTGTGGTGTCTGCGGAAGCATATATCTCGGCACCAAAAATGGCATCAGGAGGCGCGAGACGAAGGGAATGCCGAGCAGTCGGGCAAAAACCCGCGCATGCAAGGGCCAATTAACAAAGCCACCGTTGTTGACTAGGACCAGGCCACGGACGTGTTCGGGATGTGTAATAGCCAATCTGGCCGCTGCGAAGCCTCCTACAGAATTTCCAATGAAAAAGGCGGGCGGCAGCTTGAGTGTAGTCGCAATGTCCTCCAAGACGTCGGCAAGGGTCATGGCGCTCAGGGTCTCGGTGGTTGCCAGGCCTTTCGACTCGCCATGCCATGGCCAGTCGATAGCGATAGTTTGGTAGTTCTTGGCTAGTGATGTGATAATGGTATCGAAATCGTGGTGGTCGTGCAAAGTCGCGTGCAGCAAGACCACTGGGACACCCTCTCCTTGGGTTTGGTAAACAACGTCACCCAGTCGAGTGGATACAGACGGCATTTTCTTTGATATTCAAATGCTCTTGAAAAGGAGATGGAGGAAGAAGAGTAAGTGTATGGCTAGGAGAAGGGAGGTATCCAGGGTTATTTGTATACAGTGTTGATAGACGGCAGGCAAGGGAACCACACTATGCCCGGAATGGGCTCGTGATCCCTCGTATCCGTAGTATCATCCCCAGTGCGGAAATCCGGACACGATTGGAGGGCTATCTTATTGGCTTAACCTTATCCATATAATACCGTCGGTCCAACAACCATCCGTCAGTGGTGAGGTAGGGTGTACAGCACTGAACACCAATGGCTGAACAACACCAAATTCGCGACCCATCCTGATCTTCACCCGAAGCTTGACTGCGCCGATCCGACCCCACCTCCTCTCCCGGAAGGCAACACAATTATCAGGACACTAAATAATCTAGGAAAGGGTAAGTAAACGTACAATTCCAAGCCCCTATTTTCTTATCCAGGCAACTTGTCGGGTTATGCAGCTGCCTGGGGGCGGCTACATAAGCATAAGTACATAAGCATAAGCACACCTGTTCTATAGAGATGCCTAAAGTCTCAATCGTGATCTCATAGAGACCTGATTTATCGGAATCATATCAAGCCGCAAATCAATGAATTCCGAACCCTTTCGCTCCAAGCGTCTTCTCTACCGGGCTGTAGAGGAGGACAGCCCAGCAGACGAAGCTTTCTTCCACGCGCTCTATAACGACCCGCAAGTTTCTTCCAAGACGGAAACCTCTCTGCAACGACCTCTCAGCACCGCGGAAACGAAACAGATACTCAAGGACATTAAACCCCAAGCGCTTTTGGCTGTTTTTATCTGCAAAATCCCCGAGTTGCCGTCTGATGATACTTCCGGCCACGAACAAGCTCAGGAAGAACCCAAGCCCATCGGGGTGATAGTGGTCAGAGCTCCAAAGCCTTCCTTCATTCAAAACCGATCAACCAATTTTGGAATCTCTATTGTTCCGGAGCACCAGGGCAACGGATATGGGCCCGAGGCCATTTCATGGCTACTGGATTGGTGTTTCTTGACTGCCGGGCTACACCGTGTTGAACTGGGTGTGTTCGAATGGAACGAGCGGGCGCGGAAGATATACGAAAGGCTCGGTTTTGTGGCTGAAGGAAGACAAAGAGAATCCTTGTGGAAAGATGGGCGGTGGTGGGATAGGATCTCTATGGGGATTTTGGACCATGAGTGGGCAGGAGCGAAAAACCGAGGGCTGTGATTATCCAGGACTACTTCCGGACCCCGGTGTCTCAACGTACTTTCCTAAACCTCGATAATGCCAAGATATACCGATAATGCGAGTACCTTGTCGCAGATCGTTTCTCTCTCTATCCTGTATTTGGCCTACAGTCCACCTACAATCCTCACATGAACCCCTTTTTCTATATGCCGTGCTGTGCTGGGCTGCTGACTGCAAGCGCACCCTTCAACCAGGTGGGTACCGTTGAGAAAGTTGAGATCTATGGCCAGCGCGAGTGTGCTAAAAGATGCACTAATTCTTATGTCAATTAGGATCTGGCTATAATTTACTTTAAAACTAGAGAATAATGAATATAGATCGGGCCCATACTAACAACTTGTAGGTACCTAGCAACAGCGATTCGGACTTTCGATAAGTTCTCGGTCGGGAGCAGGACTTATATTCCAGTGAGATGTGGGTGCGATTCAGAGCTTTGGAATCATGATTGCCATGCGGGAGGAATCACCAAATCAGCTGGTGGTGCGTGTGGCCAGTGAGAACTCGGAGCAATTCATGGGATACTCCCCCAAACAGTTATTTGAGCTGGAGAATTTTTGTGATATTCTCAAAGATGACCGACCAAGCAGATGTTCTTCTGGATCATATCGATTTTGTCCGAGACGATGCGTATGATCCCAGTGTGGACGGGCCGGAGATTTTCATCCTGTCTAATACGCACTCTATCTTCTCACCCTGGGTTGCGGGCCAGTGCATACATACTATATAGGGTCTTCGCAAGTGAAACCAAACACATGCGACCACAGGGTGTGGAGAACAGGGCTTCCCGTCCGCTCAGCCGTACTTAAGCCACACGCCGGTCAGTTAGTAGTTGGGTGGGTGACCACCAGCGAATCCTGACTGTTGCATGTTTTCTTGGGCTAGTTGACTTTTTGTATTCTAAAGTGACTGACTGATAATTAGTTTAGTTTAGTTTATCTTTAACCTGCCGTATTTCAGCCACATATAATGCATGGCTAATTCTTCAAGGGCCCTCAATACCACTGTCCTAAACGGCAAACTGCCCTATGGCGTGAGAATATGGGTGATATTCTGGAGAGTAGGGCAAGACAGGTGAAAACGGGGTCAGAATTATCACTCCAAAGGTGAGGCAACCAGCCGAACACCATAGGAAAAAGATTTATTTCGTCATGCCTTGGACAACTCGATAGTAGTATCGTTCACTATTAGACCTCATTCCTGACACGCTCGTCGCTTTTTAAAGTCGTTTTTCCTTGTCGTGCACTATAAGGTACGCTTCTGTAAAAGTTCCTTGTTCCTCGCAATCTTTCGTAAGTCTCCTATCGTCACTCGATAGATTTCGGCTTTACAGCAAATAATAGACTTGCTGCGTTCACCAGAAAAGAGCCCATTTTCATAGTTATTCTCAAAAACATACACGGAAGCTCTTCAGGTCGTCCATGGTGAGCTTGTAGCCAAACAGTTGGAGCAGAGCATACTGCAGCATGCAGCCGTGGCCGTTCCTTGAGGTAGAGCGTAAGTGTCAGCGGCTGATTGATTCACTGGAGCGTTACACGTAGAAAATTGATCGCAACAGAAAGACTCACGAGAGAACGAAAGATCACGGTTGATCCAGTCAGGGTTCTGGGGGTTGAAGCTTGGTCTTGTGGCGATGGGCAGGGGTCTATTGTTGATGTGACCCGCGGTGAGAGCGGGCACACTGTTGTCGGGCGGGAGGCGGTCGAAGTCGAGGCGTTTGAATAGATATCGAGATACTCATTTACAGTGGCAGCCCGCAAAATAGAAGACTACTTTTCCCCTACAAATCTTAGGTCAGAAAACAGATCTCGTGGTGTTAGTCCAGAAACCCCCATTCATTGCACGTTCAAAAGGCCATCCGTCAGATTCCACCATGACGAAATGAGAATGCCCTAACTCCGCTAAACCCGACACCCATTTATCACCGATATAGATCCATCTCCAGTCCCTTGGGCGATGTAGAGCGTGACAGAAATCCAGGCCCTCTGATAGGTTGAGCCGGCATAAGCCAATGGCTTATGAGTTCAGTTCCAGAGATATATAACGTGTTCACCATAGCATCATCCATCAATTCCATTCATTATCCAGAAGATAACTATCAAACTACCACAAAGACAACTCAATCAACCAACCACCCAACCAACAAGAATGACCACCTACATTCATAACCTTCCCTCCCTCACAACGCGGGAAGCGATAATTGACGCGCTCGACCGCGCCATCATCGGCTTCGACCGGCACGATGTCCCAATTTTCAACAGCGCATTCTCCTCGTCCCCCGACGTAAGCATGGGATTCCGATACCTACCGGGCGAAGAGCCGCGCGAGTTCAAGGGTTTGGATACCATCCGGGCCGCTCTGCTGGACCACGTAGGGCCAATGGACACGACGCATATGACGAGCAATATCCGGGTCAACCACAAAGAAGGCGAGGAGACTGCGTCGATGACTTGTTATACGCTCGCGCAGCACTGTCCGCCTGGACGTGGGAAGGAGCCTGATGGGCCGAAGTATCTTGCTGCGGGAGAGTATGAGATGGATCTTGTATTTGATAAGGCGGATGGACTGTGGAAGATTCAGAAGTGGGTGCTTGATATTATTTGGACACAGGGGGATCACTCAGTCATGGCGAGGTCGTGAGGAAAAGATGGTGGAATAGGTCGAGAGAAAGGAGCTGCTTATACGTTCAAGGAGGATAGATATGTTTCAGAGATTAGGTAGAGGAGGATGCCGAAGGAATAATTGAATTAGCTAGTATAGGTTGGATTATTGAAATCAGCTTCACCACTCTATCCTCTTCAATCTTTTCTTAGACCCTATCTCGAAACACCCCATAACATACATGCTCTGACAATGTGCATGCTCCTGTAAGAACCCACAAGGACAAGACGACAGTTTTCGCAGGTGTATCTGCCCTCTTTCTCGCAATCAGTGGGCTCAGGGCCCTAGTTGGCGCAAATGAACTTGAAAGCAGTCAAATTGCGTCGATTTCGGTTAGACTCGAATCAGAAATTCCAATCCAATCCACTCGAAACACAGAGTCATAGACATGAGGTGTGTGTTGTTGTTGGAAGAGGAAGAAGGCAAGCTGGGTTGGAGCATGGATGGAGGTGAGAGGATGCTGTGCTGTTTGAGAGGCTCAACCAAACGACGACATAAGCGGACTAACTACAAGTAAATGTTAATTCCCAACCCATGAAACCCATTGAATGTGCACCCAACTGCTGCTTTGTTCGTTCGTTTGTTTCTGTTTGCGGGACTGGGTGCTTTGAAGCCACATTAATCCCACACAACGTTCAACCTACGGCAAGTTGTCAAACAAAACGGAACTGCTCATCCAAAGCTATGCACTGATGTTGCAGCTAAACGTTCTAGATGATTGAAACAGTAACAGATATTATCATTCATAAATCATTATCATTGGGTGACCGTTAGATAGAAGACCAGAACAAAGCCGGGGCAAAAAAAGACAAAGAAATGAATTGCAAGAACGAATCAAAGGGTTCAATAGACAAGGCAGAAAGAAGCAAAGGACCACCCAGAGAAAATAGAGAAGGACAAAAATATCCAAGAAACTAGGGCATAATCATAACCATCATCTTCAAAGACACGAAGCAGACTCAAGACACAGAGACCCAATCAAAACAGAATCTTGCTGAACTTATTGATCATCTCCTCAATCTTCGCGGCAGCAGGATCCTCACTGCCGCGTGGGCTAAGCAGACGACCCTGCGAGTCGAAGCGGTCGGGGAGATCAATGGTCGAATCTGAGTCTGTTGAAGAGGGCTTATTTTCAGATTGGTTTTTGGCGTTGGAAGAATGACGCGAAGAGGAAGAACTGTGGTGGTGGTGGGAAGAAGACGAACTCGGATAGGGCATTGAGGTGCGAGGAACAGAGGATGAATGGCGACGACGATGATGGCGGTGGCGGCGGCGGGGATGGTTGTGACGGTGGCGATCGTTGTCATTGTTAATAGTAGCGTCGCTATCGTCCGTCTCGTAGCCGTCGTCCTCTGCCTTGGGGTCAAGATCAAAGGAGACTGATTTCGACTGCATGGGCTGGCTAACGGATTGGGACCGGCGGCGAGACGACCTCCCATTCCTATTTAGACCTGCGCGGGATGGTCAGCATGGGAATAAATCGGGTGTGGTTCCGCGAACCCACCATCACGAGTCGTGTACTGATTAGTGGGAGGGGTGAAGCTCACATTCTCATCTGCCCTCCGTGGCCGCGGCGCATACTGCTCAGGCGCTTGCCCGGCACCGTAGTTGTAAGGCTGTGGCGGGGGTGCAGCGCCAGGCGGTGGCGGGTAGTCGGGCGGGTTGTACGGCGCAGTCGGGGCTCCAAGATTCGGGGTCGAGCCTGGTGGCGGCGGGAAGTAGGTGCCGTTGGGATAGTAGTGAGGATCCGGGGGTGGGCCGCCTGCAACCGGAGGAGAAGGCGGGTACGGCTCAGGATCATAGCCCTCCTCGTAGGGATCACGATGGCCATCGTCGGCGTAACCTGTCAGGCGTTAACTGAATGCAAAAGAGATGCAGAAAAAGAGATGGATACTTACGGCCCTCTTTCTCGGCCTGCTTGCGCTCCTTTCGCTGCGAATATCTGTGCGCCGCGTATCCCAGTCCAGTGGCACCCAAAGCGGCCCCAGCCAGGTCCCGCGAGCGGCTGCGGTGCTTTCGATGCTTGCTTCGGCGTCGGTGGCGACCCTCTAGGTCAGAGCCGGAATCGCTACCACTGTAGCGACCACCGCGGCTGCGGCTACGGCTGTGGCGCCGCGAACCGTACTCTGCACCGTCCGAGTAGTAAGGACCGCCGGGGCTGGTAGGCTGCCCGTAGTAGTGCTCGGCGGGGATGCTACCGGTGACTGGATCGTTGCCGTACTCAATCAAACCGGCAGAGTTGCGAGAAGGGTCTGGGTACATCTCTGGAGGGCCAGCACTCTGAGAGCGAGAGCGCGAGCGACGTCCGTCGCGGCTGACTCCTTCTTTGGCGGCGTCTTTCTCTGCCTTCTTCTTCTCATAAAAGCCAGTGGCGGCGGCGGTTCCCAGGCCGGCAGCAATGACAGGAAGAGCCTGTCTTATGCGACTGTGGGAGCGTTCACCCTTGCGGGCCCGCGAGTGACTTCGGTGACGTTCAACCAGGCCAGCGACAGCAGCGCCGGCCAGACCGGCTCCGGCCATGTGCTTACGACGTTGGGAGGCACTGCGTTCGGCATCAGGCTCAGACCGGGCGGTGCTCAAAGCACGGCCACGAGATTTGGAGCGAGTTCGGGAGCGGCTGCGACGCCCATCTTTGTCCTTCTTGTTCTTCATGACGGCTACGGCACCAGCCACGGCAGCGGCGCCGAGACCAAGTTCAATCAAGTGCCGGGCATGCGAGTGGGACTGAGAGCGGCTGCGGCTGCGGCTGCGCCGGCCACGGTCGTTGTGGCCGTGGCGATGAGAGTACTGGTCATCATCAATTGAACGAGAGCGCTGTCGACTCTTGCTGCGGTAATAATCGCGTGCATGCGATGCCGCGTTGACGGCGACAGCTCCCAGAGCACCAGCACCCACCGTCTTACCAAGGCGGCCGACGCCGTGACTCACATCTTCGCCTGATTTCTTGCGATGGTGGCGGTACAACTCGGCGGCGCCGACGGCAGCGAGAGCGCCCTCGGCCAGATGACGACGGTGATGCGGGTGTTCGGTTTCAGTTTCCTTGCGGATGTAGACCATGCTGTCATCGCTGCTGTAATCCTGGTCACGATCACCGCGGCGGCGGCTCGCCTGGGAGATGGAGTCGCCAGGACTGAGTTCACGGCGGCTGCGACGCTCATCGTACTCACGGTCACGGCGGCGAGTGGAGTAGTAGGGTTCGTCCTCGGCATCGGAGCGGCGCACCAGATCGTAGTCGGACTCGCGGGAATTCACATAGACGTTTCGGGCTTCATGAACAATTATTGGCTGCTCGCGAATGACGACGGGTGCAGAAGGAGGAGGAGGCCTCTCCAGGTAGTCCACGGACCGGGAGTAGTGACGGTGGGCGGAGGGCTCGGAGTACTCACGATCGTAGTAATCTCTTTCGTAGTCCCGGTCGTAGCGCCGGTCATCGTGGTCGATCTCGCGCTCAGTCTTGCGCCGGATGACCAGCTCGCGGTCGCCGGTGTAAGAATCATCGCGGCGCATCACGAACTCTCTGGAACGCTCACGATCGTCTTCGGAGGGAATGACGTAACGCTTGATGGTGACGGGACGAGAGTCGTCCCAATCACGGTCACGATCTCTGTAAACGTAGGACATGGGCGGTTGATGCGATACGGAAAATGAAATCAGGGGAGGGAAAAAAAGATGAGGATGATGGATGGAGGGGTTGAAGATTAGGGAGAATCAGCGGGAGGCTGAGGAGTGAGAAGAGGTGGGGTGGTAGGTCTGGGCGCTGAGGCTGTGATTCGCCTTGGTTAGCGGATGATGCAACTTCTGGAAGAACAGGGAAACGATGATCCGGCAGATCGGATCTTCGTAACTCACGTCAATCGGTGGATGGAAACGGTGGAAAGGAAGAGAGGAGAGGGAACTGATGAGAGAATCAGAGAATGTGTGAGGGAGAGAGGACAGAATAAAAAGGCAACGACGCCAAGCGAGTCACCGACTACAGCCGCACTGCGAGTGATGTTTTGCCCGGGCAGGGTGTGGCGAAACACGGTGAGTGATCAGGCCGTGGCTTAGACAAGAGATTCATTGTTTACCGTATGTACTTGCCCGCCGAGTCTACCCATGGATGCTTCCCGTCGGGATCCGGGGTTCACCCAGAGATTGCGGTTACACGTGTGAGACCGACAATAGGAGCACAACAAGAGGCACCTCGTATGTATTTCTGTCATGTACATGTACTTGTAATAATAGTTAGCCGCCCAGATAGCCGTTGAAACACTCCCAGCCATATTTGCGACGGTCGGCGCCTGCATCTTCCACGCTACACAGCGCTTACAGCCACGGAACCCTGTCCCAAGTATGTACATTGTAATCAAGCCAACACGGCAAATCCAATAACACTGCCGAACAACAACCCCTCTTCAAACACGGCGGCGGCGGCCGTGGAAAGCCACCGGACTCGGCAGCGTAGCCGGCGTATCCGTACGCTGGGTGCTCTGAATGAGATGCTCAAACGACGCCGCATGCTCGACGCGTGGCGTGAATGGAGCAAAGTCCCACAGGTACCCCAGAGTCCGGAGCAGCGATGACGCCGAGTACGACACCGTCTCCCCGTTCGAGTTGGTGCCCTTCTGCTCGACCTGGGCCTTGGCGATCCACGGCGAGATGAGCAGCGTCGGTACACGGCCGCCTAACCGATTAAATTCGAACGTGTACTTCTCTCCGTTCGGGGCTGTCTCGGTGTATGTCAAGTTGTCCGGACGCACAGCCAGCGGCGGCGGCACGTGGTCGTGGAAGCCGCCCGTCTCGTCGAAGGTCAGTACCATCAGGGTCTCGTTCCACTGGGGGCTGGCGCGGACGGCGTCGTAGACGGATTTGATGAGGGCTTCGCCGTCGGAGACGAGGCCGGACGGGTGCATGGAGTTAGTGCCCACGTCGCAGCAGGACGGGTCGATGAAGCTGAACTCGGGCAGGTTGCCGGCGGCGGCATCTTTCATGAAGTTCGCCAGCGGCTGGGCCTTGTCGGTGTTGCCGCTGGTGAAGGTCCAGTCGAAGAAGAAGGAGTCGATCATGCCCTCATCGGCGGCTGTGTAGTAGTTCTTCCAGGTGTGATTGGTCTCGCCCAGTTGCTGGAAGATCGTGCGCTGCTTCAGGCTGTGCACGTCGGCGTCGAACGCGTCGTCGTTGGTGCCGTGGCCGGCGGAGGTTCCAGACAGGACGAAGGCGCGGTTGGGGTTTGTGGGCTTGGATAGGGTCAGTGGTATGAAGCGGTTGTCTAGGGGGAATCTACTTACTCCAGGGTGGTCCGAGTGCCAGTGGTTAAAGGTCAGATAGTTCTGCACCAGCGATGTCAAGACCGGCACCTGCGCCTCGGTGTAGTAATTGAGGACCTGCTGGGCCAATAGCGTCTTATTGACATCCGGGTACATGCGAATCTGCTCCTGGACGAATCCCATCTGCTGTGGCGTGAGCTTGCCAGCCGCGATGGCGGCATTGTCCGGGGTGAAGGTCCCAAAGAATTCGGCGTTGTTGCCCGTCACCATGTGGTCCGGATCATCAGACACGGAGTCGTAGTCTCTCGCTTTACTGCATACCCTGCCCGCTGACGGGTTGCTCACGTTGTATGGAAGGCAGAAGGGCCCGCTGTTAATCGGGTTCTCCAGACCTTTGAGCGTCTGGCCTCCAAGGATATTGTCGAAGGCGCGGTTCTCCATCTCCAGAACGACGACGTTCTTAATCTTGCTCTTCAGGTTCAGGATAGACGAGTGCGTATGGGCGCCATGGCGCTTGGGAGGAGCGCCACTGACGGCAGCCGCGAAGGCCAGAGAGGCAAGGAGAGTGCTGGAGTGCATCTTCGGGTTGATGGTTCGGCGATGCCGGTCTGCGGCGTGCCAGGGGAAGCGAGCTTTTTATAGAGCAGCACCCTTGAGCCAATTGTCCAGAGCACCCACCGGCCAATGCCAATGAAACACTGCTTCGTCCCACGTTATCCATTTTGCGTGTCGATCGCACACGCGTCTAGCGACTCCGTTGCAACATGCCTGCGGGGGGTGATATTAAGGTGGATCATACTCCCGCAGGGCTCAGTCAAGCTCGGGAGAGGCACAGGCCAGGGGAATTGAGTAATGGCCATTGTTGAATGCATCCGATTGGAGAATTCGGACTCCGACTGCAACAACGGGTCCATTTTGGGGATGTGATCAGCCCCTTCCCCGAGATAGGCAGGCACAGGCAACCTTTATCGGAACAGGTTGCGGAGATGGCCGCGCCGCTAATCCTTAGCCCCAAGCCAGGTGCAACGTTGTTTTCAGGAACATCACAACCTTTAGCGAGGTGCTCAAGTGCGAGTTTGTTGGTTTCTTTTTTTGACAATGGCTTCCGCTAAGCTTGTTGAAGTTAGGAGTTGGTGGGTGTATGTAGTCTGCTTCTCTGCATATTCTGATCGAATCTGCGTTCGGTGTCGGATTTCGCACCGCCATAGAAAAGTCAATTCCTAATAAGCCTGCTGCCAGTGATGGAATATGCCGCAATGATGAAGGCCCTGATGCCGCCAACAATAAATGTTTGTTTGTTGCAGTGAATGCGCATCCGGTGTCTGCCTGGCTGCCTTGCGCCTTTCACATATATAGAGCAGGCATTTCTCTCTTTCCCCCTCCTTCCTCTTCTTCTTCTCTTCATCCTTCTCGCTCTATAAATTTATCAACTCTATCCTATATCTGGCCTTTAAATCGAGCATTTGTATCCTGGCTCAACATCGCCTACCTGCTACCTCTTACCTATCTCTTCGTGTGTGCAACAACTGCCTATACCGCGGTCATGTCCACTACTCCTTTATGGATGGCAGTGCAATCTTGTACGACGGAAAGATGCCGTGAAGTTTCTTTGCGCTGCCAAGATTATTGGCGCCTGGATTCAGTTGCCCACCATGATATTCCCATTGCTTCCCGGAAGGCGCTCCGGGAATGGTTCAAGATCATCACCAACATGACAACCTGACCATCGACCTCTTTTCAACACCGGATAGCTCGCGTCGCCTGACCCTTTCCACGCATCTTGCTCACCCATCGTCCGTCCTCCGTTCTGAGGCCGTGACGGCCGGTTTTATTCTGATCTTTCTGTGTGTTGGCCGTTATGGCCACTGTGTTTATGCTTTCTGGGGTTGTCCGTGCCTTCAACAGACCTCACGCCGTCCTTGCCGAAAACCAACAAACATTGGATTTTCGCTGTGCTCCTACGCAGTTCAAGCAAACTTCCTGTTGGAATTGCAACTGGCCAGCTCTGAAAAGGAGTCTTGGAGCAGCTACTCCTCACATGGTCCCCTTTGAATGCCATGCATGATACAGACAGAGGCCGACCAGTGCAAGCTCAATAACTCGAGCATGTTGATCCACAAAGCCTGCTTGTTTATCATGGTCCTGGACCGAGGAATGTGGAAATTATGAGACCCGTCAGGTTCAGAAGGCTTTCGTTTAAACCACGGATGACGGCATACACTGGTACCTCCGTCCTGTTACAATTGGTACCATGTCGGGTCGAAGACCTGAGGACAGAACTGAAGATGGCATGCGACAATTCAATTCAAAGCTAGCTGAGACGGAGCTCCCCGGCTCTGATCCTCCTAGCTTGTCTGACTTAGAAGGAGTCGCTATAGAAACGCCAGGCCGCGGAAGCTTCACTTCGACGTCTAGCGTGTCGTCAATGGGGGCCAAGCCTAAGCCCTCATAGCCTCTTAGGCCAGTTCCGGGCTAGCTCCACCTAGGCAGCTAGGAGGATAGGGGTGGGGTACAGAGGACAGGATGAAGACGAGAATGGAAGTAACCAGGGCCGCGAGAAACGCCGATCGCAGCGTCTACGCGGCTAGTAGGCGAGATAGTGTAGGGGGCGTGGGGAATGGATGGCAGGATGTTTTTCAGATTGGTCTTTTTATTTCATACTCGCTCGCACAGCATTCGCAGGGACCCGCAACTGCTCCTTAGAGCACGGCACCGAAAATGACCAGCAAGAATACCAGCTACTCACGGATTTCACCTGCTGGAAAGACTGCATGCGAGGGCGTGGAATGTTCCACAGAGAACCCACTGCAACTATCACCCACCCCAGTGCTAGTCCCCCGTCTCAGGTCGAGGATCTTCAAAAGTTAATCGGCCAGGAAAATCAGAAGGCATGGGTGAAGCGAAAGGTTTTCAGTAGTCGACTTCTAGAGCCCCAGAATGCACCAGCCGAAAGTGAAGAGTCGATTGCGGGGGAGCGTCGCTAACTGCTTAAGGACTATAGTTGAGGAGTTCAGCATGCAATATGACGTATTTAGGCTAATTATATGACATCTAACTCACTGCGAAGACGGAATAATCAACACATCCTTAGGGGCAAAAGTCTAACAATATTTATCGGCAGGACAAATACAAATTCTTGCTCCTACCATCTAGAGCTCCGACGGTTTGCAAATGCTTAGCACGGTTAATGGCGGGGAGGAGAATCATATCTCAATCTATGCCCCGCCGGAGTTTGGCTGTACCAGAGGCAAAATAGGGAAAGGTCTCGGAAAATGCCCTAAACAATTAGTTTAACTTCACCGACTAACAATTAACTCCCCGCTGCAATTCTGACTCGACGGCGACAGTGAAGTGGCTTCCCCGCATCTCCATTTATCCTAGTTTTCATGGCGGAGAAAAAAACTCCGTACACGCCTGGTTCTGGCCGAGATCGCATACTCAACAAAGTCCGCACTGCCAATCGGCTCGCTCCAATAAGCATGACTTATATGGTGCCACGAGCGAAGTTGCTATTTAACCGGCAAGCTGTTTACTCCACTAATTTGAGCGCGCACAGCCCTTGCGCCGAGGCTGGGAGGATCGAACTGACGGCAATTGATGGGGACAATGGCAGAAATTGAAAGCATACTTAAAAAGCTACAAGGCCAGTTTTGGAGGAAGAGGCAGTAAATTCGGACTGTCTACGAGCTGGCAAAATTGAGTCGCCATGCCCTTTCGCTGGTATTGCCTCCCTTTGCTTCTTGTGGCTCACGCTCACGCCATATCGATCTCTGTCTCTTCGTCAGGCGGAAACGACACCAGTCCGCTCGAATATGGACTGATGTACGAGGTGAGATAAACCCCGTTGATCCATGTGTGGTTCCCTGGACCCTGCTAACATCGCCCTCATCAGGAGATCAACCATTCCGGAGACGGAGGTTTATATGCAGAATTAGTCCGCAATAGAGCTTTTCAAGGCAGTACTGTGTATCCCTCCACATTGGACGGGTATGAGGGCGTCAATGATGCGGTCCTGTCCCTGAAAAACCTCAGTGTTCCGTTGTCCTCCGCGCTTCCTACCTCAATGAATGTCAAGGCGGGCCGTACGCACGGCACAGTTGGCTTTTCAAACGCTGGCTGGTGGGGAATTGATGTGCAGCGACAGAAGTATACGGGATCATTCTATGTGTCAGGATCGTACAGTGGCAAATTCACCGCGTCCTTGCAGTCGTCCATCTCTAAGGAGACGTTCGCCAGCGCCACGATCCCGGCCCGCCACGCGGCGCACGATGGGTGGACACAGTACGAATTTGAATTGTTTCCCAAAAAGGCCGCCTCGAACGTAAATAACACTTTGATCATTACTTTTGATGCACAGGTATGTGCTACGTCCTTTTCCGCACAGGAAAGGCTGTGGAGTGGGCTAATTTGTGGCTTTTGATAGCATGCGAAAGATGGCTCGCTCGACTTTAACCTCATCAGCCTATTCCCGCCCACATACAAGAATCGGCCAAACGGCTTGCGAATTGATTTGGTGGAGGCGTTGGCTGAGCTTGGAACGGTAACGACCTTGTCACCATTCGTAAGAACCCCGAAATTGACTCCCGTCATAGAAATTCCTTCGCTTTCCCGGCGGGAGTGACATAGAGGGAATGACGGCACCGTACTGGTATAACTGGGAGGAAACAGTCGGACCACTTAAGGATCGCCCTGGTCGGCCAAGCGCCTGGACATATGAGGAGAGCGATGGCTTGGGCCTGATGGATTATATGCTTTTGTGCGATGACCTTGGACTTGAACCGAGTAGGCATTTCCCTTTCTTTCCCCTTGACATGTTCTTGCACAATAACCCAACGGTACACATCCACTAACGAGATGCCTTTCCACCTCTAGTTCTTGCCGTATGGGATGGTCATTACCTATCCAATGAGGTCATCGCCGAAGACCAACTTGAACCCTACATTAACAGTACCCTGAACCAGATTGAGTTCCTGACAGGCGCCGTCGACACCCACTTTGGTGCAATGCGAGCGTCTTTGGGCCATCCAGCGCCATGGAGCATCAAGTATGTCGAAATCGGTAATGAGGACAACCTCTACGATGGTGAGGCCAGCTACTTGGCGTATCGATTCCAGGCATACTATGATGCCATCAAGGCCAAGTATCCAGACATCATCGTAATGGGGTCCATGGTTGGGTTCGGGCAATACAAGGGAGCGGCCGATGACTATCATCAGTACACGACTCCGGATGGATTCGTGTCTCAATTTAACTATTTCGACCAGCTCGATGATAATAACAGAACCTTGAACGGTAAGTGGTAGCCAGCATACCCTCTCTGAGACGGACTACTTTCTTACCTTTCCCTCTGCCAACAGGCGAAGTCGCCACGGTTTATCCGAACAATCCCACCAACTCGGTCGCCTGGGGCAGTCCGTTCCCAGAATATCCTTTCTGGATCGGCTCCGTCGCCGAAGCTGTCTTCTTGATTGGAGAGGAGCGCAATTCGCCTCGGATCATCGGCGCCAGCTACGTACGTCTTCTCCGCCACTCCTTGGACGCGAGTGAGCCTAATCTAAGTACAATTAACAGGCACCTTCCTTTCGAAACATCAACGGCTGGCAATGGTCACCCTGCCTCATTTCTTACTCGGCTGATCCATCGCAAACCAGCCGCTCCACGAGCTGGCATGTTATTAAGGTATGCATGCGCCGCACCCTCCACTTCCACAACCGTTCATAGCTCACCGTCATCCAGCTTCTCGCTCAAAATCACATCACGCACAATCTCCCCACAACCGCCACAGACGGCGGCTATGGTCCCTTGTACTGGGTGGCTGGGCGTGATGACACTGACGGCTCTCATCTGTTCAAAGTAGCCGCGTACAACAGCACTGCCGACACTCCTGTCTCCTTGACCTTCGAAGGCAGCTCATCGCACTCTGCCACTCTGACGGTGCTCTCTGCCGCGGATCCCATGGCGTCCAATGTGGTAGATGGCCCAGAAGTGGTGGAAACGCACAAGTTGGCGCTGAAAGCTGGGCATTCGGGAGCGTTTGAGTTCTCATTGCCTTCGCTGAGCGTGGCTGTTCTGCGAACAAATTAAATGCGCTGTGTTCTACTCTGTAGGAGAAAATAGTATTGCTGTTCAGCCTTGAGAGCAGCTACCACCAATGGTTCATAATCCTGGATTCATTCAATTCCACTCATTACATCCAATTACCCATAAGCTGGTATATGGAAGTATCAAACAGATGATCATGCGACAACTGCGCATCTTCAATCATAGGCATGAGCGGGTCCCCTTGCAGCCAATTATCCAACCCTGTAGTTTCATATTCTTGTGCCTGCGAGGGAAAATCCACTCCATCTGTGCCCATGTTGCTCACTGCTGGACCTTCCTTGCTACCACTTCCGTCAAGTCTGCTCTGAATGTAGACGATACGTTTTCTAAAGCCGAAGAAAACATCTCGATCACCGTTAAAATCCACATGGGGAGTCGACAATGCTCCGACACGCGTTCGCAATTGCGCCAGTGTGTCAGCGAAGGCGGCGGTTTGCTCTGGTTTAGAGATTGCAACAGTTAGACGGTAGGCAACAAGCATTGCAAATGCCAGTTGCAGCCACTGTGTGTTGACAAGCCCAAATTCCAAGTCAGCAGGTAGCGAAAGGTATAACTTGAGCGTGGACTCAGCGGCGTTGAGCGCCGCACAGGACATTTCGTCCTGCCAGGACTGTGAGGTTGCAGATTTTTGAGTATGATGCTGTCCAGCCATAGTGAGAGCAAGCTGGTACAAAGAGAGGGCGGTCGTGTGGAAATGAATGGCGAGGAAGGCTGTATAGGGTGCATAAGCAAATGTCCGGAAGAGGATCATTGTGTTCAGACAAGTCTCAGAAGTTCACTCACGGGTATCGTCAATATTGAAGGATATTCGATTTTGCAGCGCTTCGAGTTCGGATTTTATATTAGTGACATAGAGCTCAGTTCCCGATCCCGGTCTCGTCAGCTCTTGTCCATGACTTGCAGATAGCCGGTCGATTTTTTCTGCGATGCACTGCAGTTGAACAGTGTAGATGAGGTATTTATCATGCAAATATTCCGGCTCGTCATAGAGAGTCTGGCAGCATTTTTCGACGTATGGTGTGTAGTGGAAACCAGATTGCTTCTGTACAAGAATTGCAGCCCTAATATCAAGACCAAAATTAGCTGCCTTAGGACCAATACATTGTGACAAAGACAGCTTACGACGACGATAAGTAATAACAGCCAATGAGCACTCTTTTCTCGTCATTATGCCAAGATTGTCGGCTATTTGTCTCATCATTCAGGTCGTACTGTGGCGCAAAGAGCAGTTTGGTTTTCCACGTTTTCGTTTCTGGCGGTCTATCCAGTCGCAAATCGACGATAAGGCTAACGGCCAGTTGAAGTAATTGGGTGTAGCTACGCGGCTTCGCATGATAATGGGACCTGTTCCGAATGATTAGACTTATGAAAGATCAAATTCCCGGGCATTTGTCTTACCAGGCCAAGAATACCAATAGCCCTTGCAGCAAGTCAAAGGAGACATCCCCATTGAGGACCATACGAGAGGCAACGACCTTCTTGACTTCCGCTCCTAATAACCGTTGTAATGGCATGTTTTCGTACGATGCAGAGGCAAGGATTGCCAGAAACAAGAAGGGTCGGTCCTGCCGTAGCTGCATTGCAGATACCCGGGGAGGAACAACCACAAAGGGAAACTGCGGGGTCATAATCGTCTGGAAAGCCTCTAGATACCTTTCAGCCGTCTCCATGCTCAGAAACCCTCGGTCAACAACATCGTGCAGGTCACTTGCGCCATCAAGCACGGACGTATTCCCGACGTTGCTCGCTAAATCCGAAGGGTCTTCTGACCGTTCCTCCGAGGTTGCAGCTCGATCGGTCAGAAGCTCCTTGATCCTCGATTCGAGAGCCTCGATCTTCCTTTGCCGGGGTCAATCGTACAAGATCAAGACCCTTGAGTCGGTCAAGACCACTCACCGATCCTTTTGAAAGCCATTGAACCGGCGACCGGTCTCACGGAGAATGCATTCTCTTCCCAGACGGAGGCATCTATCCACACAAGTCAGCCTACACTTGCCCCAATGCACCCTAGTCCGAAGTCGACGTTACCGATTACAGGCGTGCGCAGTATCCGGAGATCGGACGCATCTGACCTTGGAATTTGCGCAACTCTGGCATATTTTGGAGACAGTGGGCATGGTTCATGGGTGGAGCAGAGATTCAACTATGCTCTTTAATGCACCTTAAAGATCGGTGAGTTTAGATTGGTATTGTTGCTTGTTGTCATTTTTTTGGGGCGGAGATGGGCTGATGGGGCTTTGTCAGCCTAACTCGATCCTTGGTGGATCTAGTTACTTGGCACACTTGGCACAACCACCCCACGGTTAAACAGAAAACGCTCGAACGAAGTTGAGCGTGCCGTGCGCTCGTAGCGAAGATACTTTTTAATGGGTAGGCTGTTCATTCTCTCTTGAGCTTAGCCGTTTTGGCTCTTTCGCAAGGCAGTACTACTACTAGATTACTCCTGGAGGCAGAAAACTTGAAGTGATTGGAGTGCCCCGCCAGTATACTTCAGTCTACTGGAAGGGAATAATTCAGTCATTGACTCGTCATAGCTCGTAGCTCATATCTCATAATCCCATGAGGAATAAACACAAAGGGGCAATACCCAGTACTAAGTACTCGTACTGCCACACAACAAACTCCATTTTTTGATTGGGAACCAAAAATCGGCTGGCTCCCCCAAGCACCAAAACCAAGAGTTAGGCTAGCCCGCTGCGCTGTAGGAAACACCCCCATCGAATCCAAACTGATGGATGCTCGAACTAAGCGTCTCCCAGGGGACGGATGTGGGACCTAGCCAGTTCTGCGGGTGGAGGTGCGTACCAAGAGTGGACTGCATGGTTGGGTCACTCGCTGATGATGCGACAGTAACCGGGGACTGAGACTGCGATTGGGGCTGAGAGAGGATGAAGCTGTCTGGGACGCTGAGGGAAGGATGTTGAGGGTGTGCCTGATTGGGAGCCAAGTTTGAAGGCATGGTAGAGGCCACAGACGTGTTGAGCATGTGCATCCGAGAGTGGGATACGAGGGGTGGCGGTGGATGTGTTTGGTAGTAGTTGTTTGCGACGTCACTGTCTAGAATTAGTTGGCTTGCTCGGTATGAGGGATAGGAATCACCTACAGGATATGTCGAATGACCGGAACTGCTTTGCTGCAGAAAATACTGCGAACAGACAGAGTTGCAAACATGTCGAGGGCACTATCGAGGAGCCCCTTAATCTCGTCATACTCGGCTACACTCTCCGGGCTGAGAAGTGAAGTCGCTAGAACCACTGCAGCATGGAATGCGTGGAAGCTACCTAGGCCACTGGTGTACCATTTGTATGGGGCAAATTGGGGAGAAGCGAAGAGGGTCTGGAATATTTGGAGAGAAGCTTTAGAGGAAGCGATGCACTTGACTCGTGCAGTGCAGGTCTCGGGTGTAATCTCACCCTGCAGGTATCGACATAGACCGGGGCGGAAGAGAAGAAGGAGGAGCTGGTGGGTGTGGCTGTAGAGGATGTTGAGATTTGCCTGGTGGTGGATGGGGAGAGACTCTTTGGCCGTATCGAGCTGGTAGCGAGCATCACACATATCCCGCACAGCCAGGACTTCCGCTTCGAGTTGTGAAGGGGTGAATCGAGAGACGTGAGAAAGGCCAAATATTGTTTCACATATCTTGGCAGATGTCTTGTATAGACGGAAGGTCATCAGGAGGTAGGTCATCTGTGTTGGGCGGGCTGGTGAGGACGAGAGGTCAGAAGTAGTAGATGCACTTGGGCCCGTCAAAAGATCAACATCGTCGACATCGGCCGGTAATTTCACGTCCTGAGAGAGGACCTGTTGATCGAGACTGCCAAATGATGTGTTTTGAATAGTGTAAAGCATCATCAACCCCGCCCAAACCCGCCGTCGCTCTTCCCGCTCAATAGCGCCAAGTGGGAATCTCTCTGGATCGAGATGACACCCCATTGATACGGCAACATGATGTGTAAATCCTAGCATAGTCCAAATGGGGAGACCACGATGAATCCGCGCATAGTTAACGAGGATTAGAGCCTGGAGTGAGTTGATCGAGTGCCGGAACATGACCCCGTCGGCTGCTAAACACCTTAACGCAGCAGATCTGTAACGAGCAGACAACACCTTAATGTTCCGGCTGACGGTTCTCTCTCGTCCTAAATCAGAGAGCAAAGGATCGTCATCATCTAGCGCACTGACTGCAATGGCCAGAATGGCAAACAACAAAGCTAGCCATGCGAGAGACACGCTGCCAGGATCATGGCAAAAGTGCTGATATTCGGCCTCGAAAGTCAAGTCGTGGAGAATATGAAAAACCTAGTAGGTCTAATTAGCCGTCGGTCTTCAGTCAGGTTGTTCTACTTACAGGGGAGAAAACCCGGAGGTATACGTCTCTGAGGTTATCACAGTACTGGCCAGGGGGCAGAATTGACAGCAGCTCGGCACGTGAAACGCTTCCATTTCGAGCCAGCGGAATCTGTAGATCATCGTCATCCTCAGCGGCATCCGAATCGGGGTTGCGTAGACACTCCGCAGCGGGTCCTTTGGCCACCACCGATTCCCACTGAGATTGTAGCGGAACATACTGGACATATCCCGACGGAGAGGTGTGGAGGGAACCCACACTTCCCAGCATTGGAGTACTTGAATCCCATGTCTCGAAGCCGGGCCCCATGTCGGAATCGGAGAAGCTGCCCGTGGCGCTGAGCGCACCGAGGGGGGAGACTGCACCAGCAGGCGAGCCGGCTTGAGAGCTCACCTGCTTCTGCAGTAGACCTTCGAGATTGCGGATCCGCGCTAGGAGCTCATGGTGTCTCATGTCACCTGACGAGGCCTGCTCGCCTGACAGACGGGGCTGGCCGAGATAGATGCAGTCCTCGGCGCCTAGTCCTCTGCGGACACAGGTTTGGCATGGTCGTCCGTCTCGGGAGCAGCGAATTTTCCTCGTACGGCATGCCTGACAGCTGATAGGAAGACGTTTCCCTGAAGAGCGAGATGCTGAAGCCATGATGACGGACGCTTATAACCCTGCTCAGACTAGGCTTATGGGAGTGGTAGAAGGCCAATTATGCCAGACAGACATATGGAAAATCGAAAGTCAATCGGCGATGGAACAAGATGGATACGCAATGATATAGTACTAGTGGACCGCCACTGTTCAATGGAGACCCATCAAAGCCGAATCGAGTGAATGAGAAAACCCACAGCGGCGTGACAGGCGGGGAGGCAATGACGTTTTAAGCTTTGCAGAGAAGTGGATTTGATCTTGGGAACTGAAGATGCATGTCTTTACCGGCTCTGCAGCATTGTTTATAAGAGACAATTCTGCGGCAGCAACATGGGTCGACACCTGCCGAGGAATCTCGCCGGGGAACTGTGCAGCTCGGTCCCATTTCGTCAGTGTCGACCAAAACAACCATTAGCATTCCAGCTACTCGCAATAGTCCCGGCGTGCCCGACGGCAGAGACGGGTCTGAGAGCTTCTAGAAAACCCGTCGGCGTGCATGATCGGATAGGACCCACGGCAGCGTGGATCCTTTTCCACCGGCACTAAGCAGAATGGAGTATGGAAAATGTTACAGGGGGCTGCTGGAAGAGGCCCCCGGATTGTATGCATGGATTAATCGGGCAGGTATTCGGCTCAGCAGCGCGGTAAAGTCATTCCGCGAATTTCCAGGGTGCCGAAGGAGAAAATTTCAGTGCGGTCGGAAGGGGAAAATGGCTTGATCCTGCTGTCAGTGCGTGGGGTTGCAAGGATCTGCTTCTCATAGATCGCACTGAACTTGCTTAGTCGATCTAGACTAAGCAGGCCCAGTGCCGTGGTCACATTTCCTGGGTAGGCCCAAGCCACCAGACTGCGCCGATCATTGAAGGAAAAAACGGAGTCAAGCGCGTGAGTGGCTGACTGGGAGATCACGGTGAGGCGTTGGTCGCCAATCATGCGAGGTGTTCGCAGCTCAGCCACAATCGGCTCGCGGCACGATCCTTGCGCGATGACGATGGTGTCCCCCATCCGTTGTCGCAGCATCCGATGTTAGTTCCCCGATATTCTTCTAAGCGAACATTCTGCTTCCCGAAGTCCCCGTGGAGATGTCTGCCGCCAGGAACGAATATTTGTCGCTCGATGTCATTGTTTACATTCTACGATGTGGTGGATTTTTGGACCCATGGATCATTTCGCTAGACCCTCAGCGGGACCAGGAGAATCGGATACGCCCGACATGACGAACCGTCTGCTCTGTTCCTTTTACCCGGAACGGCAGTTAGTCTGCTACTGTGGGTGTCACTATTTTAGACTATTGCCTTCAGTTAGAGTACATCGTCAGGGCTCAGACCCCCTGTTCCACCAAAAGCCGAAAAGGGCTGCCGACTGCACGAGAGGGATCGACCTCGATAGATTATTTGCAGGCTGCAACGCACAGTAGAGTGGCAATAGTCTGTCCTCAAGATCTGCTTTCCGCGACCCGCGGGATCAGATGACGGCAGATCCCCCTTTCCCGACAGGAATAAATCCCGAATTTGGTCGGAGAACGGGTGTGTTTCATCGGAAGCCGTGGTGATTGGGTCTCGGGGATTATTAGAGAAAACAAACATGACGATCGAAGATCACTGTGGAGTGGATCCGACTTGTCATTTTTGGGGTTTGGCATGTGAACAGGTGAAAAATGAGATTTCATGCCGGCAAATATTGAAGAGCTGAGCTGAAACGGCGGCCTGGAGAAAAGATTTGGCACACAGTTTCACCTTCTTATTTGAGTTAGGGGAAATTGCCAAATAGAGAAAGCTCTGCGAGTTCTTGCAGCTCTATCACCCTCACATGAAAATGATGCGAGATTTCTATACATCCAGTCTCTCGTCCGAGTGCTATTACTACACATCGCAATAAACATTTCATCCTATTCTGTGGTCTCGGTGAGCTCCCCTCTGTGTTCTCGTTACTCGACGATGCCATGCTTGTTCCTCTCAGCCGTCACAGAGCATAGGTACATGGATGGTGTTCACAAATCCAGCACACCGCCATGCCATAGCACAGATCAATTGCGAACCCAGGTAAATGAAAATACTGCTAATCTTACGCTCAGGCGTCAATATCCTTCGCCTGAGGCTCTGAGCTTTCCACATGGTCTGTGCCCGCTACGTCCTTAACCGTTGGACCCTTCGAGACCTCGTCCGCGAGAACCACCCGGTCGCCAAAAGCGGCCGCAATTTCTTCCAGAGTCTTATGCTTCGTTTCCCTATCGCGGTGGTGTCAGTGGCTCGACAGCTAACTTTGGGGGGTTGCATGCAACTCACGGGAACCACAAGTATGCCACGACGAAAAAGAAGACAGTGCAGGTCACGAATACGTAGTAGTAGTTCTCCTTGATATTGGCAAATGCGCTGGGACCGGCTTCGGTGACTATCATGTTCGTTAGCTTTAGAGCTCCATACTGGCTTGCTTAAGATAGTGCCAATGCTCTCTTACTTGCGACATTAACGATAAAGTGCGATGCAGCCGCCAGACCCATCACCTTGCTACGCAATGCAATAGGCAAGACCTCGGCGCCGTATAGCCATGTCGTGCTGTTGAGGAGACCATCTATACAGGTAGAAAGTTAGCTCTCACGACCTTCCCGGTCTGGTGCTGAGGATACACACAGTAAGCAACGTCAAACAAGTAAATCCCCAGGATGGCGAAGCCCTTTCCGATTCGGTTGTTGGTGTATTGGAACTCTCTCTGCATGACCGCTGCGTAGATCTCGATGAGTATGATTGCCCCCAGTCCGGATATAAGCATTCTGTGTGGGTCAGTGCGTGGTTCAACAATGTGAAGTATTGGGGCCACGTACTTGCGACGACCCCACTGGTCAGTCAGGAACATGGTGGTGATGGAGTTGAAAACGAAGGCTATGGTGCCGTAGACAGCTGCCAGAGCTAGGATGCTATGCGAGCCGATACCGAGTGATTCGTATAGTATAGCTGAGGAATAGACTATTAGTGTTTGCTGCGTGGTTATATTCGGGAGATCTCACTTTGATAGTACTATCCACATAGTCAGTATACATCAGCTAAACTCCCTAGGAATAGAATCCACATACCTGAATGACATTGACGCCCGTCAAAGCCGTCATGGTCTGTACAGCAATCGACCTGCGCAGGTTAATTAACCATCAGCCCGCGACGTTTTTCCCACCTTCTCAAAAACTCACGCAAGCACCCGATGCCTATAGGTCTGGAAAATCTCCCGGTAAGAAGTAAGCTCCCTCTCCATCTCATACTCGATCTGCGCCTTCATGAGCGCAAACTCCTCCTGGAGGTCATTTGACTCGACCCCGCGGCGAATCCTTGCAAACTCGCTGCGCGCAAGCTCATTCTTGCCGCTACGGATCAACTGGCGCGGCGAGTTGGGCATGAACGTTGCCAATCCGATGAACATTATGATACCCCAGGGGATCTGAATCCCCAGCGGGAGCCGCCATTGCACGGGTCCGTAGGGCGCATAGCTGCAGGCGTATCCGACCCAGTTGGACATCATGGTCCCGAAGGCGATGCCGCAGCCGGAAATTCCGCCGATCAGGCCGCGGTAGCGAGGGTCGGAGATTTCGCTGAGGTAGATGGGGACTGTCGCGACCATTCCACTGCACAGATGTCAAAAAAAAAGGGCAGTTTCTGGTTTCGCGGGTGAAAACTCACCCTACAGAATAGCCGGCCAACACTCGGCCTGCGAGGAACATTCCAATATTCACTGCTGCGGTCTGGATAACAGTGCCGACTGTCACAATCACACACATTAGCTGCATGAACCGCACTCGTCCGAGCTTGTCGCCGATGAAGGTCTGAGTGAGAGCCCCAACTGCCTCGCCGGCAATATAGACAGAAACCACCTGAATTGTTTAGCCCTGCTTCTGGATAGGATTTGAGGTACACTCACAGCACCCGTTAGTCCCTCCGAGGGATGGCCCATGTAATCGATCCAGCTTTGATGAGCGATAGCTGCGGAGATGGTTTAGCTCGGTCCACAGAAGCCGGATATGCAGCTACTCACTTGTTGTCGCGATACCTGTATCGAAGCCCTAATCTCCTGTCAACTCGGCCCTCCAAGCTTTCAACCTCTTCTCATAGAGTAGATTGAAGAACACATACAAACAGAAACGTGCCGATAGCGGCAAAGAAAGCAATTCCCAGCGCATACCACAGCGCCATCTTGCCAACAACTGTGTATGTATATCGATTACACTCGCGGGTTTGGTTTGGACCAAGGTATTCAAAAGTGACAGGGAAGATACAAAAAGGAAGAGAAGCATTTAGTGCAGAAACCCCCAGCGTTTATCTATGTCTTTTACGGACTACGACCGATGAGTAACCGAGAGGGAGGGGCTCCACGGAGGTGTGTCACCCTGTGCGGAGTTGAGCTTGGGACATGCCTCTCGGAGGACGACCGAGCGCGCTGCATAGGGGGCTTGTTTTTCTGGAGAAAACGTGGGGGATACGAGGTCGTTGCTAAGCGAGGATCCAATAGAGAAGCTGCTGGCGTCGAAAGTTAAACTGTGTTTTGTTTGTTCACGAGGATAGCGTGGGGGATGCGGGGATTGATCGCCGGAACGGAAGGGGTGATGGCTTGTTACGAAGAACAAGTCGGTTAATAAGAGGTCCTTTTGTAGGTCCTCTAGTGAATAATGGGGACCTCCTACGAGCTATTCGGAAATGTTCGTTTACATCGTGCAGCCGAGTGGAGGAGCGGTGATTGTTCCTGCAGTTAGATGCATCGAGTACACTAGGTGCAAGCTTGGCCATCACGCACCACCTCGGCACTCTACTAGAAGATCAAAATATGTTGTTAAAAGGTCAATTCCTATTTCATATTTTCCATTGCGAACGTCATATGCCCTCCGCCACAGCGAAGCAACTTGTGCAATGCTAGAAACCCAGAAGCCGAACAAGGAAATCGAACGCTTAGAAAACCAGAGCAGCACCCTTGGTCTTCTTGTCACCACTGCACACACAACATTGTCAGTAAATGATATCCTCAATAGCAGTTGCAGAAAAAGCACATACCCCAACTCGAAGTGCTTGCAGCGCTTCAGGGCGAGCTGCTTCTTGGCCTTGCAGGCAGTGCACTCCAGGCGCAGGACGACCTTCTTGGTGGTCTTGGCCTTCTTGTGGAAGACGGGCTTGGTCTGACCACCGTAACCGCTCTGCTTCCGGTCGTAACGACGCTTACCCTGGGCGAACAGGGAGGCCTATCACACAAAATCATGTTAGGGATTTATCTTGGGTTTCGTATTGTTTCCAGGTTGGTTTCTCACCTTTCCAGCCTTGTACTGGGTGACCTTGTGCTGCTGGTGCTTGTGGCAGTCCTTGGACTTGCAGTACGTCCGGCGGGTCTTCGGGATGTTGACCTGTACGCAGAAGATAAATTGTAAGCCTCCATTCCAAACCGAAGGGCTAAAATAATTCAAGTCCTCGTCGAAATATTGCGCGCGCGGATGTCGGATGTTCAGCGTAGGTCGAGGGTATGGGTTTTGCTAGCAGGAAACAAAATTCGGTCGGTCGGGGGGGTTCGAGATTTCAGCAGTCCACCTCTTGTATTCCCGACAGAGGAATGTTCCATCACCATTCTGCGACCATCATCGGCCTTCCCACCAGCTGCATTTCGTATCCATTGTGCAATAAGCGAGGGCATGGGGCGAGTGTCGAGGCATTTTGGGTTGGATAGCCGTCATTCACGATTTCGAGGTTCGGCCACACATTTTATCGTTGAGTATCGCACAATACCCGCAACATCCACGCGGCGCAATAATTGTTTTCGATGGTCGAGGACTCATTGCAACAGAAAGAAGGGGGGATGCCTACCATTTTGACTGACGCGGAAGGCGAGGTGGTGATGGGTTGTCGTAGAAGAGCGGCAAGTCGAGGGTTCAATGTTGGCCCGGAGTGTGTGGGATTTCGTTTCGCTTAGAGGCGCTAACCCTGATTGGGCATGCTGATTCAGCACTCACGTGACTACATACCAAGAAGCACCCGGGACTCTTCACGGAGCAGTTGGCACACCACTACATGTCCTGCTTGTAAATTCTTGGTTGTTCATGATCTATTTATTGAAATCCCTCTCCAAGCAACACCCGATCACTTTTCCCATACCACGACCGCCCCTTTACCAACTCCAATCCCTTCTCCTGCCCAACCACCCACTCACCCTGTGGATGCTCACTCTGCCAGTACTTGTCCCGGAGCCTATCATTGATCTTCTCAATAGTGTCAACGAGCAAAGAGCTCCGCTCACGATCGAGCTCTTTCGTATCTCCCAGTAGAAATCCATCTTGCGTGATAAAGCGCGCCAGCGTGACATGCGCTGATGGCACCGTGTACCTCGAGGTAATGGGGCAGCCGCTGCGAGTTATGCTGTCGTAGATATCGCTGCGCAGGTGATGGTAGGTATATCGATCATCCTCTCCAGCGGCAGGCACAAAGCTCAGTGCTATCGCGGAAGAATCGTAGTTGACCATTGGCTTGACGAGCCGGGCACGATGGGTCAGGGTGTAATCCACCAGCTCTTGTAGCGGGGCACGTTGCTGTAAGAAAGATACTAGGTCTTCGATTTCTGACTCGGTCCGGCAAGATGTGATCTCCATAGCTGTCATATGGAGCCGGTCCGAAGGCATGAACCAGAGCGCTAGACAGAAAATGTCAGCTATCATTCACCAGATTCTTGGGTCACTGACTGGGAGCAAGGACTCGGATCTCCCCTTGGATTTCAGCAACCATGTCCCGGATATGCTGCGGTGGACGAGCCCAAAAGGCCAGGTTATGCCTTGGGTCGATGGCTGGGTCGCCGTCCTCGCCGGCGGCATGGAGTTTTTGCAGGATCTCATCGACTATCCAGCCGGGAAAGCCGGTGCTCAGAATCAAATTCCGAAAGGAGGCATTTCTGGTTGACCGGTGCTTCTCATAGACATCTTGCATGCGTTTCTGCGACAGTTGATTAGCGTGTGTGGCCTCGAAATGAGTCGCTGGGACTTACGGGATCGTTCTCGCAGGAAACGATCACCTGCTGGAACTGAGTTTGGGTGGTTTCTTTGGTCATGGTAGAGATTGTATCTGTTCATGAATTGAGATGATCATGGTAGGCAGATGTCAGAAGATGGTGAGGGGGCGGTAGGGTTAGCAGTAGCCGATGTATAAATATAGAATGGAGCACCCAACCACTACCAACAACATTTCTTGTAGGTAATGGTATAGGAACATCACCAAACTTTCATGTGTAGGTAAAATTGACGCATCGCAAATGCTTTCCAAAATCATTATCTTCTAATGGATTGTCAAGGTTAAAAATTGACATGGGAGGAACAGGATCAACCCGACTGAATCGTTCGAACAGAACAGGCTCTGGTTAAACCGAAATACACATGCTTCGATAAATAGATAATTCCTACCGATCTAGTATTCCTGAGATCTCCTAGCCACATCCAGTCCACCTGTTGAGTCCGCCCAGGCTGATCAGGCAACAAGGCACTTGCCCCACCAAAAACCCCGCGAGGCTCTTTCACTCACTCTCTCTCTCTCTTCTCCATCTTCAAGCTCCAGCTCCAACACTCTTTTACTCTTAGTCTCTGTTACCCACTCCCACCGACATACTCTCCTCCCTCTCTGCAGCCCGACCGAGCTGCCCGCATCACCAAGATGCTGATCAAGTACGTCCGTCATGTTCCCGCTCCTCATTGCATCATCGGCCACCACACCGTCCCCAAAGCCAAAGTCGAAATCCACGTCTGGAAGCAACAGTGAACTAATATTTCTCGTTGTCTTACAGAGTACGCACACTTACCGGCAAGGAGATCGAGTTGGATATTGAGTCCGACTACAAGGTTCGCTTTTCGCCGTTCACTCCTGCTTGCTTATAAGCTCGTTACTGAACATCTGTACTTTGGGTCCAGGTCTCCCGGATAAAAGAGCGCGTCGAAGAGAAGGAAGGCATTCCACCCGTGCAGCAGCGACTCATCTTCGGCGGGAAGCAGATGTAAGCTCAGCCACCACCCCCGCATACGTGTTTCTGTTACTAGAGAAGAATAGCGAACCATAACTCACACAATATTCATTGACAGGGCGGACGACAAGACAGCCGCGGAATACAACCTCGAAGGCGGCTCCACGCTGCATCTCGTCCTGGCTCTGCGTGGTGGATGCGGTGCGATGTAACGGATCAGCCACACCAACCACACAAATCCTAGGGCCATGTCACTTCAAGCCTTTTTTACACTGTTTTTAGATACCATATCATATTTCGAAGGCTGAAATGGATTATTGAATTGAGAAATTATACTATTCACCAGACTCCACGCATTGATTCTACGGATGAGCGTACGCTCTAAATGGCTCGAATAAGAAAGGGCTTCGAATGGAGATGGACCCCTATGCGGAGATCTCAGGGATACCTATCTTGTGCGGACTATGTGGAAATGATCGATATTCCATGCATACATAACTCAGCTCACGAGAAACCGACCGAACCATCGCAACCATACTATCCCAATGCAAAAAACACCCGACAGAATATAATATAACCCGACATGACATGATATGGACACATACCACCGCTCCCAATATGAAGATTTCCCCCCAAAACCCAAAGAAAGAAACAAAGAAACAGATATGTTCCAGAACACCGAGGCAAATGTGGTATATTCGAATCAAGACATCAACCCGGCGACGCCGAAAATGGGGCACTCAAGAGAAGACAAGACAAAGACAGCTGTATGCCGTGATGATTTGCTAGGTGACCCGTTTCCGCTTCGGTTGAATGAAGATGCTAGGAGGAGCTCGTCTGAGCGTCATTGGTGGGCGTGCTGGAGATGTGGAGGGTGCTTCAGTGGTGGCGGCGGTGGTGGTGATATTCGAGGAGTCAGATGGGATTGGCGATGTCTGTGGCGGAGGAGAGGTAGCTGGGCGTTTGCGATTGGTATTCAACAGTGGCGGTGACATTGCTTTGGAAGAAGGAGGAGACGCTTTCTTTCCAGAAATTGGTGGCTTTGACGATAGAGACGAGGCCGGCATGCCCGAAGTTAAAGTCCGTAGCCTGGCTTCCTTTTCTGCCAGGGAACTCCCTTTCGCGGGCGATGAGGTCCCTGCAGCAGCAATCGGCGGCCCAGACGACCGTCCCGAAGCACTGGCACTGGGTGCTGTCTTATCCTTGCATTTGACAACCTGCTCCGACGGCCGGCGATGCTCTTCAATCAGCGAGCGCGGCGCCTGCTTGATCTGACTAGCCCTCGTATGGAGATGTTTCGTCGGCACAGCGAGGGCAACATTCCTCTTCTGCGGAGTGAAAATCGTCTGCTTCTTCTTTGTTCCAGACCCAAACTCCGAGCGCGGCAGAGAGGGCGCCTGGAAACTCCACTCCGAGGCACCGGTCGGTTTCCCAAAGACCGGGGCCAGCCCGCCCATCTTCCTGTCATACGCGGCGTAGCGCTGTCGCTGTGTCGGTCGCTTGCCCGGCAGACGAGAGCGCTCCGAGACGATCTTGGGCGTCAGCCGCGCTTTCTGGGAGTTGAGCCCGTCCAGGGCTAGTTTCATTTTCTCGGCGTCTTCATCGACGGCCCGTTGGGCTTGTTCGCGGAGGTCGCAGTATAATTCGTACCAGTGGTCCGAGTGCTGCGGGAGGTCGTAGGTCTCCCATTGCGGGATGTCGCGCTTGATGAACTCGAGCCATAGTTCTTCGGTGTCGTTGGCGACTTGGGGGGATTGTTGTTCGATGCAATGCTATGTAGGGGAACAGAGTCAGTCCGCCATTCGAAAACTTGGGGGGTGTGGGAAGAGTATGACATACCAGCTGCTCCGGGTTGTCGACTTTTAGCAGGATGGGACGAACTAGCGAGTATGGCAGATCGCCGAGATCGCGGAGCACTAAGTGTACAGATGATGTCAGTACATAGAAATAAATCCCCCTTCTATCGTGTCACTTACGTCGAACATTCCTGATCGCAGAGGCAGTCGCCAACTGTCGGAGCGTTGGGACCGACATTAGGCGTCAAGAGGCGGACTCGATCGGGATATCCGAGCCCACGACGATTGGGACATGAGAGGAGAGTGATAAATCGAGGACAGGAGAGGGATCCGTAACAATAATAGCAGCGACGAAGAGGGACGAAGCAGGGGTTGAGTGGCTGCAAGCAATTGTCGAGGCGGCGGATGACAGATCGGCACATGATCGCCCATTGGCTGGAGCGGAGGGATGGAGGTCGGGTATACAAGGATGGTGATGGTATAGATCCAAGTACCGAGGCATGAGAGAGACCAGTAATAGGAAATGAACTCGTTACATGATTAGCTAGGGATTGGTAGTGGACTATCGGACGAGTGGTGATCGTCGAATACGAGTCTCTAGGACAAGTGCCCTCTACAAAGACTCGGTTCTGTCTAGATCCCACAGGAGCTGCCTTGGCTGTTGCATTTATTCGGAAGGAAACTACCCTTGGGTCCATTCTGAGGAAGTGAAAAGGTCGAATTGGCACCATGGAATACGAGGATTTCAGTCGCCCATTCCATTTCATCGCCACGGGCCGCTTCATCGCCATCCATTACAATGGCAGCGACTTTGAGCTACACCGCGTCCGTCATAGTCGCGGAACGTTATTCCATCTGTCTGATGACGAGGAACAGATAATCTGCAATCGCACCTATATCGGCAGCCTCACTAGTCACCCAGACTATCCAGACGACGTGTTCTACATACACCGGGAACAACAGTAGCGATGGAGTGACCTTCGAGCTTTCCGTGCATAACGGCAAGACACGGATCGTCTCCGACGACGGCATGTTTATGACTGTTATAATGCCTACCGGGTGTGCTGAGTATCTAAAGGAAGAATGCGGACAGCATACTGCGTCTACTCGGTGCCCGCGCTGCGAGAGGAACTACACGATTGGCTTTGTTTCTGAGCCGCGCGACTGCATCACTCTCGTCTCGCGCGGACTGCCTAGCATGTTTGTTTTCCATGATGGTGTGTTCTATTATTATTTTGGTGCTCTTAATGGCAGCTATGCCGAGCTAGAGCGGGTGGAGCGTATTGAGGATGCGTCGCTCTTCCAGTTTGTCGGTTTTCTATCTTAACGTATAGCTGGAAGCTACAGACTGGGTTTTTAAATAGATGTTTGCATGAATGTTGAAAATACCAAGGAAATCTATGATTTAGACCAGAACTATCTCAGATCAATATACCTACATTGATCGTATAACTAACCTAATCACATGATCCATCCCAAACAAACAGTGCAAACAGTGATAGCATCATGAGGGGTTCTACAACTCGACAGACTACATCACACCTCCTTTACTCACACACCAACAATGGCCCCCCGCTCGCAACTCGAGATCCACACGGCATCTGTCCTCCGCCTCGTGAAGGAGGAGGCATCCTACCATCGCGAACTCAAGGACCAGGCCGAGCGCGTCCAGAAGCTGGAGGCACAGACCGGCGGCGACGATGAGAACCGGGAGTACACGCTGAAGCAAGAGGTATGTGTATTCCCGCCCTTTTTCCGAGTGGGGAAAATGAGAAATAGGCACTGACTGGAAGACAGCAACGCGCGCTGGAGGAGACGAAGAATGTTCTGCCTGGGTTGAAGCAGAAGCTGATGGATACCGTTGCCAATCTCGAGGCTCTGATTGTATGCGCTTCTTTTCCTGTCTTTCTTTCTACCAATTGCCTGGCTCATACTAACTAATTCTGAACAGATTGAGGAGGGCAAGAAGGGATCCGAGAGTAATGTCGAGCACATCACGGCGGCCAAGGATGCGATTGCGCAGGCCAAGACGGCCGAGAGGGAGATTTCGTGAATGAATGAAGAAGAAATGTAATTTAGAACGCCAATGCCCAATAATGCCCCCAGTTCCCAGTAATTTACAATGCGAGATCTGTTCCTAATCCGTCACGAAATGTCCATCGTCTCGGGCAACCGGTCATCGGCTTCCTCTCCCTCTTCCAGTTCATCGGACTGCTCGCCCGCAGACACCTCGCCCTCATCCACCATATTCGTGTCTTCCTGCTCGTTCGACGCCTTTTCGCCCGCGGCACTGATGACCTGTCGCAATGGCGACGCAGCCCCCGTCGTTCCCGGCGCTTTGTCAACCTGTAACCGGTCGCCCTCATCCTGGCTGTGCTGCGACGGTGTCATGCCCTCGCTCTCCGGCCGGGGACTATTCGCGCCGCTGGTCTTGCCCTTGGAAGGAACCTCGCCTTCATCTCCATCCTCATCTTCCTGCATGCCCTCCCTGCGCTCGACCTCCTCCTTCTCGTCGCGAATCTGTCGGCGCAGCTGCAAGCCCTCCTCCATAATGCGCCCAAACTGGTCGCGCCGCTCCGCCCACGTCGTTGCGTAATCCTTGCTTTCCTTCTCCAGCTCCGTAATCTCCAGCTGCAACTTCTGCAGATTCGCCTGCTGATCCTCCCTCGGCTTGAGCAGTCTGTTATTCGTGATCTTCTCCGTCAATTCGTCGTAGCTCTTCCGTAACGAGAGAAGGCGCTGCGCCTCTTCCAGTTGGCTCCGCAGTTCCATCGTGTTCTCGCGGACAGACTGCATCGTGGAGAGAATCCGCAATTTCTCGGTCGCATACCGCTCGCGCTCCTGTTCGTTGCTCGTCAGAAGGAACTGAACGCGCGCGATGCTGCCTTCGAACGCGGCGAAGTCGAGCTGGACGTCTTCCCGGAAATGCCGCCATTCTTCCCGGCGCTTTTGCTTTTCGGCTTCGGCGGCGGCAAGTGCGTCGGCGTCGGATGTATCGGGGGGAGGGGTGATAGGAAGCGAGGAAGGGGATACGGTGAGGGCGTCGGGGTTTAAGAGGCGTTTGGAGATGCGCTTGAACGGCTTTTCTTCGACATTGAGGAGGCGTGACTTGTGCAGGGCATCTGGGGCCAACGTGTTAGTACGAAATGAAAGAACTAGGCAGACGATAAAACCGACCTTCATCTGGCTGATCCACCAAACCGTAGGAAGGCATTATTGCGGTAGTGTGTAGGAGGAGGAGGAGTTGGGAGTGACAAAGAAGTTCTGCCTCGTCCTCGTGCCCGCCCGGATCAACACTTCTTTCCATCAGCACCGCGAGCTAGCTAACTAGCTGTCTAGCCCTCGTTTCCCACTATTCGTCACCCTGGACCTACAATATCCTCGGATTTAATCACTACTGAATCCCTCCCCAGCTTATAGAGCATCGCGACCGGTTAGCCCCAACCCAGCGCCCTGATGGACATTGTCGCCCAAGCTCCTGCGACTGCTGTCCCAGTAGCTCAGCCATCCTCCTCCTCGCCAGTCGCGTTGTTGCTGCCCCCTTTACCGATATGACGGAGATGTACTCGGGGCTCCACGTGGGCCAGCGCTTCTCATCCCTCGAAGAATTCAAGACCGTGATCCGGAGCATCTCCGTCAGACAACATTGGGAGTTGCGCGTCAGCCGCAGCAACAAGAAAAGCGTCGTCATCGGCTGTCGCTCGTCGCCCAGTTGCTTCTTTCGCGTGGTATGCCGCTGCAATAAAAATGCGACGTATATCACCAGCCTCCAGGACAGCCATAGTTGTCGCAGGAGCGCGGACTCACCTGCATCTACGCCGGCTCGCTCTGAAGCGTCGCATGTACGCTTCTTACTGAGTGAGATCCCGAAGCTTTTTGATATGGAGACTCGTATTCGAGGACAGGATGTTGTGGATGCTGTTAAGCGATACCACGGTTATCATATCTCTATGCGACAAGCTCAGCGGGCCTTGACGAAGCTCCAGCCGCGACATGCTGAGAATGATAGTGAAACTATGATGGACTTGGAGCATAGTGCAGGTGACCAACCATCGCCTGGAAATTCTCAGCCAGAGTCGCAGGGTGATGGAGGACCAGCATATCCGGAGACTCGATGGCTTCCCGGAAATCTACAGGGCTCGCTTCTTGAGGAAGAGGATAGTCCTGGAACTGACACCCCGAGCCCCCAGGCGCCCCTACCACCCGCAGCACCACCACCACCAAATACTCAGGCGGTGCGGCACCCACCCCCAGCACAGCGCCAGGCCCAAATTGGAGCATCCAACCAGTCTGCCTTGAACACTACTCCGCAGTCAATGAACGTCTCCCAATCAATGAATGTCTCGCAGTCAGCAGTTGGCTTTCCGACTTCTGCTCCACTACCAGTTGCTGGCCCCGAGAAAGCTTCAAACTACCCCCAACGAAACGAGCATACCGCCGTGCCCCAAATGGTTCTCACAAATTTCAAGATTGAGTTCACCTGTACGACGTGTGGAGCTCTCAACCAGAGCTTCTTGCCGAACCAGGGCAATGTCACAGGCGGTGCTTACTTGCCCCACCATCCTGTTCCAAATCAAAGCCACATTACCAGAGAACATGCTCAACCGGAAGCGAATGCCCCTGGCAACGATGTTGGCGAGGCCGGCGCGTACGATGTGAACCCACCTCACTCGCGTACCATGCATGGTGCTTGGGCTCCTGGTGGGCTGGGCGTACCGATGGGGCAAACACATACATAGTTAGCTGGGCTGACGGAGGGGCCTGGAAATTCGCATTTAATACTTCTACTGATCGTTGAGGCAGTTGAGAAAAAATTGGTGCGAAATGTGATCGAACGAATCTATGATTTGATGAAACTGGCTTATATTGGTTCTGAACCACGGCTTTATCTATCGACAGCTCAGGATTGTGGAAATTGTTGTTGAAGAATACCCATTTGATATAGTTATTGCATTGTTGCATATCAGTGAGCTGTACGGATGTGGATCAGATTGGACTGTTAGAGTACTGCTTGGTACGTCTACGATATCAATCACACCACAACATCAAAATCTAGTCCGACGATAAGTTCAATACAAGTACAGTATTTCCGGAAATCGGTGTCACCCCCGGCACTCTTTCATTGTTTCCCAAACCCTGAATGCCAAGATACACTAGACCTATTTAATAATGAAATAAAAATAGTAATTTTCCGGTTTTCTACAAATACCGTCACTTACACAATTGAGTTACATACCACTTGCTTATGAGGGTACGACAGATACGAGTATTGCTGGAACCTTCCGGAGCAATGCAAACAATTCAAACAACTCCAGCAACGCTGGATCTTGCGGATCTGACAACCTGTCATCTTCTCTATCCACGGCAGTGTGTCCGAGTGGCAATCCTAGCGCTTACCCCCAATCTCAGAACCTTAGCAATCCCACAACCCGAACTGCACGGGCGGATCTACCAAATTCGGACTGACAAAAGACCAATGATCCTGCTGATCACCGTACTGCAGTGTATGCAGCCGTCGGGATCCGGTTATAAATCATGACCCACGAACTGCCAATTTTAATTTTTTTTTTTTTTACTATGATGAATCGCGTACTCATTAGGCTGTAAGCTGCATATAATCCAATGAGTTGGATACCAGGTCCTTGCATAGGAGTGACACAAGGTAGCGTCTGTGTGAGGTAATACCAAGGCAGCTCGCGCCACAACAGATCATCAGTCACCACAGCTAGGAAGCTTTGAGAATGCAATATGGTCTTAATTACCCAATGAAACTATTACAACAGTCTAGGCTTGGCGCAAGTGCGCAATTTTATGATCTAGGATTTAAATCTTCCTTTGTGCAGCTTCAATACCACACCTGAAGCCAACACGTACGCGCTCAACTTCGCACTCCGCCTTTGACACACCCAGAAGAGTTGTCGATAATAGTCTTCAGGGGTGGGGCTCTTACTGCCCTTCCCGAATGGGTTGAATTGAGAGAGAACATTTTCGTTGTAAAGCGCATCACTGCTGATGCCCTTTACTGTTAGGTTCTGCCATGTCACACCCAGCTTCTTCGATTTCCCACCGTTAGTCTCGTTACATTGTCGTATTTGTAGTATATCTGGAGTGATGGGCCATTGTGAGATGTCTTGGGGGTTGGTCTTTTGACCGGATTCGTCGTCTGACTGCTCCGCGCTGGAGTTGACGACAGGGTCCGCCATTGGGGAGGGAGATCGCCCGGAGGGCTTTCCGAGCGAACTCGCCCGGTACATCGCTTTCTCGGGGTCGCGATTGACCTCCATGTTGTAGTTCTTCGGATTCGCTAATTTGCCAGATTTTGACAGCAGAAGAACTTCGATGGAAAAAAAATGCTGGAGATCAGACGACTGGGGTTGCCGGTGGGAGGGTAGCAACATTACGCACAAGATATAAGATCAATAAAGTAATGAGATATATGACCATAGTTAACTTAGCTTCTGATTAATAATCCGATTCAAGGCCCGGAGCCCAAAGAAGCCCTCTGTCTCATCCCTTATTGATGTGCTGAACGAAGAGCATCGGACATCTTTTCGACGGATTGGGGTGATTAGTGAACATCTCGTGTATTGAGGTTTTCCTAACCGTGACGGATAGGGTTTTTAGTGAACATCTCGTACATTTAAGATTTTCCTAACAGTCAGTTCAACCGTCTTTGTGGAATCATCAGGCATAACTTATCCGCTCGGATTGATTACTATACATTCCTGGCTCTGGTTAACTTAACTAACTCACTAACTCATTACGGAGTAGATACGATGACTAGAGGGGCTTGATTCCCCTGCCCTATTTGGGCGGGTCTAACCTTATAAGCTCTACCTCCGTAGATCGGTAGTTAGACCGACTAATCAATCACATTCATTGCGAGCTACGATGATCGAACGACTAGAATCAATACAGTGCGTCTATGAAGACCGACTGAGCCCACTTATCCCCAATGATCATACTCATCTTTCTTCTATAGGAATTTCTTTGCCTGATTCCAAGTTGTTATTAACTAACCTATTCGTTTGATTATTACTCTGCCACCGCCACTAACTAATTAACTACTACTCCCTTTGGATCAGACACATGAGACCTTTGCTCGAAATGTTTATTCATATTTCCAGGTGGCGCACCATTAACTAGAGTTGAGGTCATTAGTCAAAACCTTATTTTTTGGGTCCCCGGCTGCGTCGCTACTAATCATAACGTCCTGACTTTGCATAGTAGATTTAAGCGAGTTTAGGCTGTAGTCGGTCCGAATGACAGTTAAGCCCTCGGGGAATGTCGGGAAAGAATGTTGATAGAAATGGAGAGCGGCGTAAGTCTTGGAGGACGGCGGGCTCGAGATTTCCGCCTGGGCCAATCCCATGTCACTGCAATAGAAATCTCCACTTTTCTCGACAGATCTCTCTCGGTATGATGAATAAACAGGTAAAGACTGGTTAATTAACTTTCGACCCAACACCTAACTGACTATTGGTTCGCGGTCAAAGCTTGAGGTAATCGATCGACGAGGATTTCCAAAAACAGCGTCAAGATGCTCAATTAAGAGTGTGGAGAGGCATACATAAGTAGAACAGACGCCGTGCACCCAATATCATTTACTTCCCTATGTAGTCAATGCTTTCTGACAACTCTGTACATTCTTATTTTCTACCCTGTTTATCACTGTCACGCCAGAGCGACCACCTCCAACTTCCCCGGCACTCCATCACCACCCCACAGCCATGACGACTCCTACCAGCATTGATCCCAAGGATATTCGAGCACACTGGGCCAAATATCAGGGCGACAGGTATGTTGATGGCTGGGCCTCCCTCTGGGACAGCGATAATCTGCCCTGGGATCGTGGCTTCCCCAACCCCGCGCTAGAAGACACCCTGATCCAGCGAGCTGGTACCATTGGCGAGCCGATCGCCCAGGACGGCCAGAGGCGGAAGGCCCTGGTGCCGGGCTGTGGACGTGGAGTCGATGTACTCTTACTGGCGAGCTTTGGGTATGATGCCTATGGCCTGGAAGTCAGCGCCACGGCTGTCGATGCATGCAAGAAGGAAGAGAAGGAGAACCATAGCTGGTACCGCGTGCGAGACGAGAAAGCCGGGAAAGGGAAGGTCACTTTCGTCCAGGGAGATTTCTTTGATGATGTCTGGTTGAAGGAAATTGGAGTACCTCGAAATGGATTTGATATTATTTATGATTACACGGTATGTATACTCGCTGCCACTGTTGGGCTTCATTCCGTCATTACTATCATTTTCTCTCCACTTGTCTCTGCGTTCTACTGGGGGACTGCAAGATGCTCTGCTCTCTGCCTTTGGACTGTTGAGGTGCCATTTCCGACCTAGCCTGGATCTCTCTGGTCTTTCTGGTCACTCCTTTTAACAACCATATAGTTTTTCTGTGCTCTGGACCTAGAGCTCCGGCCTAAATGGGCTTTCCGACACACCGAGCTCCTTGCTCCCTCACCTGCAGGCAATCTGATCTGTCTGGAATCTCCTCGTCATAAGCCCCCCTTGGCCCCCGGCCCTCCATTTGCCTCCCCCTCTGAGGCCTACATGGAGCACCTGAGCCACCCCGGCGAGAAGATTTCCTACAATGATAAGGGTCTTGTCAATGCGGACCCGTTGCGAGAGCCCAGCAAGGTGGGCCTGGAGAGAGTGGGGTACTGGCAGCCAGAGCGCACGCACGCTGTGGGCAAGGGTGAGAATGGGGTGATCCATGACAGAGTCTCTATTTGGCGTCGACGTGACTAGAAAATGTGCCTGCGCATTTGTGTGACCCAAAAAGTGAGAAAATATAAATGGAAAATATAGGTGATTTTGGGGTCCGGCCCTGGATTTCAAAGGCCAGCCCCTAGACGCTAAAGTGACAGTCGAAATGAAGGGCCGGGATGTAAAGGGCGCTTTTATAAAAAATTTCGCGGACATACGGAACATATGCACTGGAAGGATTTCCTCAGCTCCACAGCGGGATCCTGCTTGTAATCGTCGCATCATGCAAAGTAAGCGGAGATTATATCTATTCAAGACAATTCTTGTTATTATACATAATTCATGGTATTTTGCACACAGTGTTAAACGTCCAAGGACCATCCATCAAGAGTTGCAAGGCGAATGGCTTTCTCAACATCGCGCTTTCGGAACGCTGGTCCGCGACCGAGACAGATAGGGCTGAAGGAAAGATCTACGACAAGGTCAGTAGATGCATGGAAAAGAAGACACAAAGAACCATTGATCTCGGCACTACTCACATTTAGTGAAGCTCGCGGCGTTGAGTTGCGGAGCCGAATTGAACCGGGGACTGGAGAGGGGCGAGCTCGGGTCCTGAATACGAATCTCTCGCTGCTGTAGCAGCCTTTGCACACCACTCGCATCCATCCACTCATCAGCACCCGATTCATTGACAATTTGCCACGTTCGAGAGGAAACGGTGAGTTGTTCAGGAGAGTAGCTGCTCCTCCTTGAACTGAGAACTTTTGTACTCAACTCGACCGTGTCTCCCATTTCGTCGTGCATGTTGGCGAAGAATCCAAAGATGAAGCGGTCGCGCTCGTTGATGGTCAATCGTTTGCCGAAGATTGCTTTGACCCTTGGATCGTCTACAGATGATCTGGTTAATAGATAGTAACCAGTCTCGCAGCATTGCCGGACCAGACGGTGTGAGAGCGTCCAGCACCCTTGCTTTAAGAGGCTATCGGGCGATACTATAGTCGGGAAATTCAAGGTGGGACTAGGGATGGATAAGAAGGGGATAGTTGGAGACGGCAAGTCTATTCCGAACGGTAGAATTGCTTGTTCTTGGAAGGGTGGCGTGGGGGGTAGTTGTGACAGTCCAGGCCATTGAGCCGCGAGGTCCGACGAGGACTGGAAAGGGTCACCGATTATTGGCCATGAATCAAGTTGCGTTATGAGCGGATTGTGATTTGAGATTATATCTTGTGTATCGCTGAGCGTGGGAGACGTCGATCGTGATACGTCCGCTGGGGCTGCAGGTGCTTGTTCGGCCTCGTCGCAGCCACTTTTGCCAAGCGACACGCATTGCTGTGTAATTTTTTGCAGAGCAGCTGTGACACGAGGCTGATTTTGGAGAATCCCAGCCTCTAACAGAAGATCACTAAAGGAAAGGAACGACTTGCTGAGCTCTTCGATGCCCGACTCGAGTTCCTGTACGCGAGATTGCAGATTGACGATCGTGGTATCTTTTTTCTTGCGATATACTTGCTGCGCAACGCGAAGCTGCTTTCGACGTCTCTGGATTCCTTGAGTCAGTTCCAACTTGCTCTGTAGTTGTTCGGGATGAACCCACCTCGGGACCTTGCTGATTGTTCGTCCCAGCTCGTGGCCGGCCTCTCTTGCGAGGAGCGGGCGCGTCAGTCATTGCTTCGACCATCGTGTATCGCTTTTGAGGCCTTTTCTTTATCTTGAAGATATGCAGTGATGTAATGGATAATCTGAGAACGCGAAAAGGACGTGACGGGGTTGCTTTACTCATCGGGGTCGGGGCGTGGGGACTGTTGAATAATCGAAAAATCGGTGGGTCGCCGCCCAAAGTTTATGGCTTTGAAATTGGCTGGAGTTGGAGATAACGGCTCCGTCCGAACGTCATCAACTCATCATCAAGACCGAGCGCGCCGCAACGAGGAATATAAATCGAATCATCGACCTCAGCTTACTCCATAATTCTCCTTCTCCAATGCGAAATACCTTCATCCGCAGCGTACAGCGTACAGCTCTCGCAACATGTCTTCATTCACTCAGCCGATGCCAGTAGTTGCCTGCGGCAGAATACCCGCGATGGGGAAATCAATCTCCCAGCACGTGCTGCCTGAATATGAAGGTTCTTGATATACATTCCTGAAATAAACAAAGTATGGTGCTAATGCTCCTCAGTCATCCACTTCATCCTGTCATACGAGGCTGCAGAGGCTGAGCTCCCGCATCTGCTTGCAGGTCGCGATCCTCAGTCTCGGAGCCCCAATGAGATCGGAACCCACGATTACAGCCGGCCTCCTCGCGCGGTAATCTTCGGTCGCGGCTATGGGCCTCAGCAGGTTGAAGAGCTTAAGAAGAAATTCGCGGGTGTTGCTAAAGAACCTGTTGCTTGGGTGAGGGGGAACCCAGCGGATTTACCTGCCGGGGCCGCTGGGCCTGACTATGCTCAGAATATCGCGGCGGATATGAAGAAGGTGCTTAAAAAATGGAGGGACGGGGGAGGAAAAGATGAGGAGATTTTGGTCTACTAGTTGTTTTGTCGGGGAGAGATTATCTGATGCCTTGCTTTTTGCCAGTTCGAATCTCACAAACACAAATTCAAGGGCCAATATGTATCAAAGATATTTGTAAGTGGTCTTGGACTTCGCTAGTTGTTTCCCTGGGCTTCGATCTTTTGGCGGTCGATGTACTTCTGGTTGAGGCATAGAATGAGAATAGAAGATTGAACATCCAAATGTTTACACCAAAATCTATACAGTAAAGCTGATGTTTCATCCGCGACATGGGAAGTACCATCGTTGTTCACTTTCTCCTTCGCTAGTTCAAGTGAATAATTCCACTTCCCGGAGTATCGTATTTATTGCTGAACTATATCTGTGAATAGCTGGGGGAAGGAAGGATGTAAATTAATAGATTTGTGCAGAATAGTGACGGCAACATCGAGACTGTATGCAAGTAAGATTCAGATTCCCAAGATAGAACTGCGACATAGACTGGCTTCGCCTGAGTGATTGCCTTAGATCTTCAACTTGAGGTCGGTGTACAGCCCCTCGGAGAGCGTATGGAATGCACGGTTTTAATATAAATATGTATCAGCGACTCGTCGTTTTTTACACGTCTAGGGAAAGGTGATCAGCGCATTAAGAGAAAAATCTAATCTAGATTTAGTAATATAATCATGTTTAAGGGATTGAAAATAGCTCAGTAACTAACTAGTTATTTAGTTATAGTTAATCAGTTGATTGCATTACCTGACCAAAACATGACTCTGCTTAAACAAATTGTACGCTTCTCCCTTCTAAATAACTGACTTCGTTTAGAGGCCGGGATTGATCCATAGCCGATGGCAAGTAAAGTCAGGTGTATTGTGACAATCTGTGCTCCCATTAAGAGCAAAGTAGCTTTGTCGGAAATGATCACATGATGAACTGTTGAAAGATAGCTGATCCTTATCTGAAAACCAGGTTCCCAATTCGCGTGTTACAGAAATGTCCAGCTGCTCCTGACCTTGGAGTGGTCGGGAGAGTTTAACTGCGGGATGCATATGCATTGGAGATATTTCGCGCAAAACTGATGTTGTCGAAGGTGGCGAAAGCTATTTCCCCTTGGCAGTTGCTTTCAGTCCAGGCTCTGAGTTTTAGTTGGCCATAATGATTCTGGGTGAGTTGCGAATCACACAGTTAAATCACATGACCTACAGGATAAGAGTCTCTCCCTCGATGCTGATGGGCCATCTCGGAACACAAGCTCCAACAGTTCCGATCAACATCGGCAGCTTCATTTTTTGATTGGAGGACCAAAGTAGCGAGTACGCGTCTCATACCGTAGTGCATAATGCTGTAACTTGTAGCTATTGGATCAGGAAGGCCGGCCCTCATAGACCTTATATTTAGGCATAAGGATAACCTTCCATGAGTGCTAAAGACCATGGTGTTGTCTGAAACACAGCTCCATCCGCTGTCCACAATCGGTGCGGCAGTACTTAAGTAAAACGGAGATATATAAAGGACATCGAGAGAATTTTAGTTCAGTTATCATTTCCCCGCCCAATGAAACTAGACGCTGCCTCTATCGACGCGTTTGAGAATACGAACGAAATCAAAATAATAAATGAAAGAATCCAGCACTTGACATCTCAAATGTCGGGTCAGCCTCTATTGTATCCTGATCTTAATGCCGAGCGCACAAGCCTCTACAGCAAGAAACCCAAGCTATGACTAGCTTGGAGAAAGTATTTTATACAAGATTAGTGGGATTCTGCCTATGACGAATACATCTCTGGGAATGAATTCACCGAGCGCGATAACACATCCTTATTCTAAATATTCAAGAAGTATCTCCCAGAACGCGCGCAAGGCTTAAAGAAGCACTCTTTAAAGAGACTAAGTTGGATAGCATCATTGGGCGACAATGCCTGGACGATATGGTCAAACTCTGTACATCCACGGAACGCGTGGCGTACTATCCAGGACTCTCTCCAGTGGACAATTGCTGTCCAGTCTGTTCTCAGCCTATGTCTGAGTAAGTTTTTGCCATCAGTATCTATGCTGTCATATTATCCATCGCAGTATTGCAGTGCAAAGGCGAGCGAAGCACATCCTACAGTGTCGAAGACAATCCTTCGGGGCCCACGGTACCAACAACGCTACGGCAATGGGAAACGTGCACACCGGCGGGTACAGCATAATTTTGTGCAATTTTGCCATCTTTGTGCAGATATTTGCTGTGATGAAGAAAAATGGAAGAGCCATTGTCAAACGTATCTGAATAAATTGTACCCTCGATGTGGTATTTTGACGCTCCGCTATACCCTTGTTGCGCCAGAATTTTGCCCATTCTGCTTGGGAGATCAAAGAAAAGAACCGAATGAGAGGTTCCAGCAATGGAGGAGTTCTTTGATAAAATCTTCAAAGAATGAGGTATCTGTTACTCTTTGGAAGACACAAGAAAGTAGGATTCTGTCTTGTGTATATGCGGGTAGAATCTGATACCGTTGATCACGGTGGAATTTCGACACTTGTACGGGTGTTGTAAGGAGGGGAGACCAACCAGTTCTTCTGATCCCTATTCGCCTATCATACCTAGATTTATCTACGTAAATGCGGTGGTATGAGCTAAATTCTGAGATAAGATGATAGTGATCATCGCTCAAACCTGGGTTTTGCTCTTTTGCTTTCTGTCGAGCTGCCTTTTTGGACCACCCCATGCGATGCAGGGCATTGCTGATCGTGGACTTTGGTACGGACACATCAAATTCATCAAGAGAGAAGAGCTCTATCTCATGAAGGTATAAATCCGGTTTTTCCTGTAAATGATCACACAGAGTTTCCAGCATAATCGGAGTGATACTCCGCGGCCGTCCAGCTTTAATAGGAGGAGCTTTGATACTACCAAATAGTCGCAAGTTAGACCGAATCCTGGTAATAGCGCGTTCGCTGCAGCCTGCAGCTGCCGCCATCTCCGAGCTACTTAGTTCATCACTGCTAATTATCTCACGAATCAACACGAGAGTAGACTTTGCTAGGTTGGGAGCCATGGTTCGCTGCACCGCCCGTGGAGGTACCAACCAAGATATCCAGGCGAGGACTGTGAAAATTGACGAGGGCACTCAGGTTGCACCTTCTTGTCTTACAGGTAATCATTCCCGCCGCTAATATGATAATCCGGTAATTTACGATACATCCAAAAAACAGATGAGAGCTGACATAGCCTCTCCAAAAGTAGCTTAGTGTATCTTGGCATTTAGGGTTCGGGGAACAATGAAAGAGTATCGGGGGAGACACCGATTTCCGGAAATACTGTATCATATCACTGATAAACTCAAGCGTAGATTTAGCTAGATTCGGTGCCATGGTTCATTGCGCCACTAGTGTGGTCAATTGTGAAGGAAGACGGGTGTGGTGGGAACGGTGGACGTGGGGCAAGGAGATGACAGGTAATACACAGAAGGCCCAGCTTATACAATAATCCGGTATTTTACGGTACAAGGCCAAGAAACCAGGGTTTTTCTTTGACTATGCTAAAAGTAGCCTAGTGTTCCTTGGCACTAGGGTTCGAGAAACAGTGAAAGAGTGTAGGTGGTGACACCGATTTCCGGAAGTACTGTAAGTAGCTCATCACATTCATGCATAATCTCGGGTGAATATGCCCTCCACTTTCCCCGGATTCTCGGACAACCCGCTTCCCCACATTTTGGTCTGAGTTGATCACAGGTTAGATCGAGACTAGACCGATGCTGCCTCGTAATAAGACCATCATACTCCGCATGGCCCCACAAGATGAGACCCGGGAAAGGGGGTGAAATAATACCGCTGTCGTCTGATCGCCTTGGCGGGACAGTACATAGCGCTAATTGCTAGCATTAGAATCCTGCAAAAGCTGGGGTTGTCGGCAAGCAGCGGCATATTCCCCTAAGTAGCTCTTTGGCTCTTAATCTCTTTTTCTCACTCGACTGAACTAAGTGTTTGCAGACATTGAAGAAGATGGCAGAGACACCAGAGAAAAGCGGGATTCGGGTGCATTGGAAGTCGTTGGCGGCATGCTCGCTCATCTCTATGTCACCATTCCAATATGGTGTTGATTTCACGCTCATAGGCGGCTTCCAAGCTATGATTGGGTTCCTGAAGGTTGGCTTGATAGCTTCGGTCTTGGAGATATATGGAACTGACCGGGTCTTATTTGATGTAGATCTTTGGCGTGCCGGCAGACACACCCATCGGTTGGAATATTCCTTACGAGCGCCAACAGCTGATTTCGTCTCTTATGACGCTCGGCGCATTTGTTGGTTCTTGTTCTGCAGGTAGTCTATCCTGGAGATGCTCTGGAAATGCCTTACTGATGGATTAACTAGGACCTATCGCGACGTTCATTGGCCGCAAGACAAGTCTTTACATTGCCTGTGCCCTGATCTACATTTCCAATATTGTCATGATGACTACTTCCTCCATCGGCGGCCTTTATGCCGGTCGTCTGATTATCGGAGTGGGCAATGGATTTTTGATGACATTCTCTCAACTCTACATCCAGGTAACCACAGAACCATCATAACATCACCCAGGATATTAAGGGCTAACTATCATTTCGATAGGAATGCTCACCAGCCAGATACAGAGGCCTCATGCTAGGAGCCTTCCAATTTTGGACGTCCTTCGGGTCTCTTATCGGCACAATCATCGACAACTTCACAGCAAAGATAGACGACAAGAACAGCTACATCATCCCCTTGGGACTAATATACATTATTCCTGCATTCCTATGCGGCGGCATGCTCATAATCCCTGAATCACCACGTTGGCTCCTCCAAAAAGACAGAACCGAAGACGCGCGCAAAGCCTTGACCTGGCTTAGACCCAACCAGGAGATTGTCGACCAGGAAATGGCAGATATCCAAAGCGCAATTGAGCTAGAGCGAAATCTGGCTAGCGGCGTCTCCGTCTGGGATATGTTCACCAACCCCGTCGATCGACGACGGACTATTTTGGCTGTTGCGGCTGTGAGTACGCAGGCTGGCTCGGGGGCGATGTATATGATCGGTGAGCTTTTAGATTTGAGTGCATGTTGGTATAACTATCCTGAAAATTCTCTACAGCGTATGGAACATACTTCTTCGAGATGGCAAATGTTGGGGACGCCTTCGAAAACAGCTGTATCCTTACGGCGCTAGGAGTGGTTGCTATTTTGGTCAACATTGCCGTGGTTACTCGTCTCGGACGTCGACGATTCTTCTTGATGACCGGTCTCTTGATATGCGGGTTCAGCCAGCTGATTGTTGCTGCGATTTATACGGTGCATCCTGGTACCGAGTCGACGGGCAAGGCGACTGTTGGACTGTCGGTTATCTTTATTTTGGGATACAATGTAAGGAAAGCGTTTTTTTCTAATACTTCTCGCTTGGCTAATGTTCCGCCAGGGAATGGTTTCCACCTATGCCTGGGTGTCTGGTGGCGAGTTACCGTCTCAGCGTCTGCGTTCATATACATTTGGCTTCGCGGCTGCCATTGGGTTCCTTGGCGCGGTGAGTATATCTGACGAAATCAATAGTAATCACACTGACAAGTTGTCGATTGAATAGTGGTTGACTACATTTACCGCACCTTATTTCATCAATCCCGATTCACTAAACTGGGGGTAAGCAGTAACTATTCAATCAATTCTTTCGATATCAATGTACTAATGATAATTGTTATCAGCCCTAAGTACGGCTATATTTGGTTCCCGTCTTGCCTCATTTCAGCAGCTTTTATATTCTTCTATTTACCAGAAGTCAAAGGTCGAACTTTGGAAGAGATTGATGAAATGGTTAGTTCCTGTAATTATCTTTATTGCAAATTCAGATACGCTGACTTCTCGTTTTGCACTAGTTTGAGAAACGGCTGCCTGCTCGAAAGTTCGCCTCCTACAAATGTGTTGGACGGGAAGCACTTCAGGAGATGCAGACCTCGAGGGCTCACACTGAAGATACTGTTCATAGAACCGTTTCTAAGGAATCGGAGAAAGGGACGACTGAAGTTTATGAGAATATAGCGTGATGAGGATCCGGAATATAGCACGCTATGATCAGCTTTGGACTATTTGTTCACTGCCTGTGTTTTCGATGGCTTGTATTCAACAACAGAGGCCTTACATATGCAGTACACTGACAATCTGAACAATCCCGTTTTATACTATCAAGAGTGACCAGAATAAGAACATTATCCATTTCTCGATATAAAAGACAGCCACCTAAATTCACTACTACATCTGCTCCCAGTATAAGCTCACCAGACCACTCGTCCACACTCTATAAAAACTTCTTCACAGCCTCATCAAACGATTCCTCCGCATTTGTCTCCGCATCAAACTGAAAAATCCAATCTTCTCTTGGCAGCTGAATAGAAGACGGATCCTTCGCAACGGCCTCCCAATCCGCCTTATGCCACATATCACGTGTCGTCTCGCCGGTCTTCTGAACTGCTCGCACGCGCTCATACCTGATATCCTCGTACGCACGTACCGCTGCTGGCACAGAACCCTTCCCAGCACGCCGCAGACAAATCGCCATCACAACCCCGTCTTCCATCGCCTGCGTAGCACCTTGTGCTGAGGTCGGCAGAAACGGATGCGCCGAGTCGCCCAACAATGCAATGCGGCCATGTTTGCTCACCCATTTCGGTAGCGGGTCGCGGTATACCAGTTTCCAGTCTACCAGCGAAGGCGTCTTCTCGACGATGGCTTTGCAGAGCGGATCCCAGCCTTCGATCACTTTGTATACATCTTCTAGTTTTCCGGGAAGCGACCAGGACTCTTTGATATCCGCTTCGTCCTACGGAACAGTTAACTTCGCTGTCTCTGATGTTAAGAAGGTACGGAACTGACCTTATGCGTCAATACCCAACAGCAGTCCTGTCCATTCTTGATGGTCGAAAACAGGAAGTGGACGTCTGGTCCAATCCAGCCATTGAATGTGTCTCCATTCTCACAGAAGTGCTTCGTACGCGGATCCTTGATCATGTCTGTATTGGGAAACCTGAGACGTGTCAATATCTGGCCTACTTGAGTGATTATTTCTCTCTCACCATGCACGGAAGACGGCATATCCACTCGACTTCGGCTGATCAAAATACCCAAGCACCAGCTCGCGCGCTTGAGAGCGTACTCCGTCTGCGCCGATCACCAGGTCTGCTGTGACCTGAAGCCAAGTTAGTTAAACCATTAACCGAAGGACTTCAAAAATATTACCTTATTACCGCTCTCAAGTTCTATTCCCGCTTGATTTTCATCTTCAAAATACTTGGTGACCCTCTGACCCAGATGGATAGGAATTCCCAGCTCATCTTTGGCATAGTTGAAAACCACCGTGTGCAACTCGCCCCGGTGGCCGTTAAATGCAGGTGCCTCGGGATTTGGCTTAGGAGTCGGCTGTGTATAGACAAGTTCGCCTGTCCACTTGTGGATCTTGAAGCCATGGTTCTCTAGATGGATACTGAGTGGAGTCATGCGATCTGCCACAGAGCCGTTCGACCAGCGGCGGAAGATGCGGCCTGCATTTGGACCGAATGAAATGATATCGCCTAGCGATTTCAGTTCTGATGGATGCACATATTCGTCAGTGATTCTGGACTATGCGGGTGATTTGAGAGCATACCAGGAAATGACTCGTATATCTCGACATCGTGCCCTTGTCGGTGGCATTCAATCGCGGCCGTCAGTCCACCGAAGCCTGCTTGTGTTAGAAAAGACAAAGACAACATCTCAAATTACCTTACCTGCTCCAACAACAACCACTTTGATCCCTGAGGGCTTGGGCTGTGTGCCGTTAGAAGACTGTGGAACCGTCATCCTGCAACGTTGATTGTTATGTAGACCCAAATATGCCGGCGATCCAAATGAAAAGAAGACAAAATATATCCCTCTTCTCTGATATGTGGAGATAGCAAGTTACCTTAAAAATCATATGCCCTGAAAACCCCTCGGGAGTGCCAGTCTCCATCTGCCGATCGCATTTACTGTAACCGTCTACAGTCTAGGGCTCGGGTAGTTTCACCGGGCACCCTCGCCAATGAGCATTGCCATACTCACTCGCGCAATCGCAAGGTGGAGTGTGATGTTGCGGGGCTGCGGATGTCTCCATATTTTGTCGAGGATCTCGGTTTAGTTTGCCCCGCGTCCCCGCATTTTCGTTTAGTTTTGAGGCGTTGGAGCTACAGTAGCTGCCTAGGAGAAAGGGGCCTTTATTGTGGGGCATGGAAAGAGCAATACCTCGCTCAAGTTCATGCGGGGCCGGGAAATTACCAGCCCAGAGGATCTGGAGGATATATGAATGGACTTACCGATATGTGTAACTTAGGGAATCAAAAGGAGTAGATTACACCATGTCTACCTCTCGTCCAGAGTTCGATGGAAATACTTCAGGCACAGAAGTTGCGAGTGCCTTTGCCAGCCAAATCAAGGGCAAGAATGGTGAGATGCCCAGAATACCGAGGTATATAACAAGTCGCAATCCTGACACATTGCTACAGTGGTTATCACTGGTGTTGGTCCTGACAGTCTGGGAGAAGGCCTCGCTGTAGCAATAGGCGGCCAGAACCCTTCTTCGTTGATTCTGGCATCACGTACAGAGTCCAAAGTCCAGCAGGTTGCCGATAAGGTCCGACAGCTCTCACATTCAACATCTGTCATAACAGTAGTCTTGGACCTCGCATCCCAAAAGTCGATCCGCGCCGCAGCATCCCAGATCCAAGGCCTGGTCGATCGAGTCGACATCCTGATCAACAATGCAGGTATGATGGTCTTGGACCACCAGCTCACTGAGGATGGAATTGAGATGCAATTCGGAACCAACCATATTGGCCATTTTCTCTTCACAAACCTACTCATGCCACAATTCAAAGTCGCAGCTAGCACTTCAACCCGCGGCGCCACGCGAATTATCAATGTCACTAGCGCTGGACACCGGCTGTCGCCCATTCGATTCCACGACTATAACTTCGAAGGGAAAGAGACCCCACCCGATGAAAGACCACCTGATGGCTTACCAGCAATGTTTAATCCCGCATCAAATGGATATAATGGGTGGTTGGCTTACGGGCAGTCCAAATCGGCCAACATTCTCTTCTCGCTATACCTCACGCGACATCTAGAGTCGGCCGGCATACTGTCGTATAGCGTTCATCCCGGCTGTAAGTATCTGCAGCCAATTTCGATTTATGCATGGACAGCAAAGCTTATGAACCATTGACTAGCAATCGTCACGGGGTTGAGTCGGAACCTAGATGAGGCTGGCACCGAGACCATCATGAAGACCAGTGCGGTGTGGAAGAATTTGGATCAAGGGGCTGCAACCATGCTCGTGGCTGCATTTGATCCGGCATTATCAGGTATGTCCGATATGCAATTGGATGTGTCCACGTAAATATGTCACTAATACGTGGCATCTGTAGTCGTCACCGATCCGTCAGCTGTGTATCTTAGCGACTGCCAGTTTGCAAAAACTGCTCCTCATGCGGTGGACGTTAATGTGGCGGAAAGACTGTTCAAGCTAAGCGAGGAACTGGTTGGAACAAAATTTCAACTGTAACAACGCAGTAGATATTCGACAAATGCATCTTTTACTCTGCCCAGAAGCCCTACTTGTAACCTATACTTCTTTATGACTAACCATTCCGGATATTCGGCACAGAGTTTTCGGAGGTCCGACGAGCACACGACCAAAGAACAATGACTGGCGGAATAAAGCCGAAGAGTGGATCCCGACTTAATTTGCCGTCGGCGATCCGAAGCAGCCAGAAGAGAAATGCTATCGGATCGACGTCCACCGGTACAGGATTGGGTCAAGAAAAGGTGGCCTCGAACAGGTCTTTGCTGTCAGTGTCGGACCTGCGTCCGATGCATGACAATTCACCTAATTGCCTTCCAATCAAGACCCAGCATCTATCGCCGACGGAGCGAAAAGTGGCTACTACTGCTACGCTTGCATCGCAGACTTTTTTTCGGTCTCACTAACCATCCATTCATTCTGTTGACTCACCTTATTCATATATGAGCGCAGTGGCTGCCACCGTGGGTTAGAATTGTTTTGTTTTGAAATGCTTGGGATCTCCACATTGGCACATTCCTGTCTTCCCCCACGATTTAGCCCTTTCTTGGCTCGCTCCATCCATCCATTCACCTACATTGGCCTTAGTCCTGTCAATCGCTACAATGAATAAGCAGCGGGCCGCTGAACAGGCCCTACATGACCAGACGAACATCCTGCCATTCAAGCAGTTAATAGTCGTCTTCACGGGTCTCGCCATCTCATTGTTGATGACCAATATCGACCAGAACGGTATCAGCGTCACTCTTCCCACGATCGCACGCGACCTCAAAGCCCAGGACACTATCTCCTGGGCAGGGACGTCGTCGCTAATCGCCAATACCATGTTCACCGTGCTTTACGGCCGATTGTCCGACATCTTCGGCCGGAAGGTTGTCTACCTATCCGCGCTAGTGGTGATGTGCATCGCCGATCTGATTTGCGGCTTGGCCCAGACCCCAGCGATGTTCTACGTCTTTCGTGGTCTGGCTGGTGTGGCCACCGGTGGTATCCAGTCATTGACTATGATCATTGTCTCGGATGTGGTGACTCTAGAACAACGAGGTAAGTACCAGGGAATCCTTGGTGCTGCCCTGGGCGTCGGAAACGTCTGCGGACCGTTCCTTGCTGCTGGGTTCACGATGAACTTGACGTGGCGCGGCTTCTTCTGGTTGATATCACCATTGGCTGCTCTTTCAGCTGTCCAGGGACACTTCTTGATCCCCAACAATGCTCGCAAGGAGAGCTTCCGGAAGAACGTGCGCCGCATTGATGGTTGGGGTATTCTTGCATCTTCCATTGGCGTTATCTTCGTCCTGATTCCCGTCTCCGGAGGTGGATCCTATTTCCGCTGGGACTCACCACTGGTCATCAGTCTGCTTACCATCGGTGGTTGCGCTATGGTTGCCTTTGTGATCATTGAGTGGAAGGTCGCCACGCTGCCGATGCTGCCAAGTATGTGTCTCCTCTTATTATTGGACTGGGAAATGAAGCTGACAACAAGAAAAGTGACCTTCTTCAAGGACAGAGTTATTTCTGCTCTTTTCCTGCAAAGCTTTCTTTTGGGCGCTGCATACCAGTCATTGTTGTACTACCTGCCCCTCTACTACCAGAATGCTCGTGGTGTTTCTCCAATTGTGTCTGCGGCCTTCACCTGCCCTATGGTTATCTGTCAATCTTTCGCTTCTATCACTTCTGGGCAGTATATCTCCCGTCGCAAGAGATATGGCGAGGTCATTTGGCTCGGCTTCGGCCTTTGGACCTTGTAAGTTGCTATTTTCCTCTCAATTTATGCACATTGCATGCTAATCTGCTCATCTTTGTAGGGGCTGTGGTCTTATGCTTCTATTCAAACATGATACCCATCCCGCAGTCGTCTGTGTGATCGTTGGCATTACCGGCATGGGCATCGGATTCACCTTCCAGCCTACGCTAGTTGCCCTGCAAGCCCATTGCACAAAAGCACAGCGCGCGGTCGTCATTGCGGACCGCAATTTCTTCCGTTGTCTGGGTGGTGCGTGCGGCCTGGCCATCTCCGCCGCCATCCTGCAGGCGACTTTGCGGTCCAATCTGCCTGCGAAATTCGCCTACCTGACTCATTCGTCGTACTCGCTTCCAGACCGTTCCGCTCTTACCGAGGTCGAGTGGGATCAGATTCTCGATGCGTATTCCAAGGCTTCGCATTCGGTTTTCCTCTTCATCTTTCCTGTCATCGCATTATGTTTCCTTGCCTGCATTCTTGTTCGAGATCACGGACTTGAAAGACCTAAGGATGTCCAGGAGATCGAAGAAGAGAAGCGCAAGGCTGCTGAGGCGGCTAGGGACCCCGAGGCCGGTGTTACTGGGCCTGTTACTGAACCTGTCTCGGAGGAGGAACTGCCTTCTGAAGAGGATCATGTCAATGATGAAGTTGAGAAACGACACTCCATGTCGTCGACACTTGCCGAGTCATCTATGCCACCATCTCGGGCGGAGCCGGTTTTGACTGTTGATCCTCATCACTAGGGGAAGTATTGATAGAGTTTTGTCCTGCTCTTGTTTTATTGGCAATCTTTTGCATGGGTGGCGCTTGATACCAAACATATCATGCATATACGCATAGAATAACACGATTTAGATCTTGAATAATAATGACATTATGTATCTTAAAGAGCTTCGAAAGGCATCATAGTATGACTCCAAAGAGTTCCCGACACATTTTCCAGAGTCTCAAAATCCGGCATCCACAGCGGATCACTTTCATCCTGATCAATCCAAGGGGCAAGCTGCAGGGCCATCCTAACTGCATGATCTGTATCATCTATCCCAATGCCAACTCCAGAGCCCACTGTAGTATCAGGTGCCAGGCCTGTGGGGTTAGCCGGCGCAAATTTCTCGCCGCTATCCATGCCCGGTATAGCCGTATTCAAATTGGTCCATCCGCGCTGGGCAGTCATAAGCTCTGCCATGCCTGCATTTCGGGCAGTTTCGTTGCCCTGCAACTTCTCCATGGAGGCATTAACGAGTAGTTCAAATGCGTCTCGGTACTTCTTCACCCATGACGCGCGCTCACTCATCACGAATAACACTGTTGAGCAAGCGCGGATATCGTTGCTCATTTGCACGGACCAGACTTCGTCCGTATGGGTCCACAGTGCATACAGCAGAGTAATCCCCGCCATAAAAACAGTTTGCACTGCAAGGAAGGAGTGGCCGTATTCCAGGGTTTGGTGGAGACGTTTGTGGGATTGGCATATTTCCCCTGCAGAACGAAGACAAATGTGATAATATGGATCAGAGATGGGGAGAAGGGGTAGAAATGGTTGGATCAGTAATCGCACTGCTCGGTTGTAATGAAGCATTGGGTACTCGAGATCATTTTCGCCGAATCGAACAAAAGCTTCGTTTTTCCATTCCTGTAATTCGAGATACAGTGGATCCATTTTGGACCGCAGAGAAGGCAGAGACCTATCGGCTCGGTAGATTTTGTTTTGGATGCGGGAGTCGATGCGGCGCAGTTTGAAAAGATAGATGGCGAATGTCAATGTTGTTTTCCTGGTCGCATCTTGGGGAGCCGTCAGCACTGCTGGGTCTTGTACATCATCATCCACATCCATGGGAAGATCGAGGTCTATGTGGCGATCGGAGATACTAAATGGGCGCCCTAGAGACATGCATACGACCCGTTCAAGATAGTACACCGTCCAAAACAATCGCCGTCGCAGCTGAACTGTGAATGGGTGCATATTGATCTCGTTTGCCTTTCGGTGAAGGCCGAGATCGATAGCGGTGCGCATAGCAAGTCCGATCATGTACCACATTCCATGGCTCGATGCTGTACGCAGATGGTAAACGACAAGAAGTACCATTGCTTCAATATTTTGGACAGAACGTGTTTCACACATAGTGGGTACATATTGTAGAGCATCCGAGTAAAATCGCTAGAAACAGGTGAGCAACTGATCATCAACAGGCAATTTTTGAGTATACCTCTGGAGGTGTTCCTGTATATTTATCGCTAATCTGAATCATCGTCGCACCGATAGCGTATACTAGATTGAGCTTGAATATCGCAAATCGATCCGATTGCGAAAGCTCCTCGCGCTTAGTTCTTGCCAACCGCCAGCGTTCCCCATGGAGACGCCATAGTTCTTTCCGGTCAAGGAACGGGTAGCGTAAATGAAGCCGTTTGAAATATGTCTCGAGAATTTTGTATCCCACCTCATCACTTGGAGGCTCTATGTTAGATGGCAAGCTAGGTCGGTCCCGAATGCTAGCGTTGCCACCATTACCTGACTGCGATGCATTGGGGCCTGGTATATGGTGAGGTGCCGCAGATCCAGGCGCATTTGATTGATTCTGCACTTGGGCTCTTGAAAAGAACTGATTCCACACGCTCGCCTGGACCATCTCTCCCAAGTTGGCGGCGAGGGAGACACCGGAGCTCGAACCCACGTACGCAGGCGCTTCAGAGGAGCTCAGCGCAAGAAGGCCCACGATCTCGCCAATGGGATTGTTGTCAAGCCCTGACGGTGGTGTTGCTTGGCTGCCTTGAGGCGTCGCATTTGGAGCAACGGACGGTTCTGACCGGACAAGCTTCTGCTCCAAGAATGCAACTCGTTCTTCGAGAGCTCGGGTGTAGCTATTCCAGTTAATCAGTGTGTGTACCAAATGATGATTAGTCTACATACTCGTCATTTTTCTGTCCATACTCTTCTCGCACGCTGGACTTGTCGCATGTGACCCCCGCCTTTTGGCAGTTCGAGCAGGTCGGATATGCGTTATCGCACTGGATGAAAAACATTAGAGAATGAATACGGAAAAAATAGTTTACTCACTCTTTGCTTCCTCGTTTTGCAGCGAGTACATGCCGTCCGTGTCCGCTTGCGAGGGTTGTCACCTGTGACTAGCGGGCTGGACTGTCTGGACGACTTGGGACTTTGCCCCGACGCATACATGACTGATATGCGAGTCTCAGATAGTACAAGACATTATTCCAGTGTTCATGTGTCACAATACCCTGGCGTGGTGGACTGACGTTGCCTGGGGTGTGACGTCGGGAGGGACGGATGAGGGAAGTTGAGCCGGAGTGGATGCCAAGACATCCATCAACTGGGGCATTCTGGAGCTTCTATACGAACAACCAATCCACAAACTTAAAAAAATGACTGCCTACTTTATTTCTATATGAGAAAAAATGGTGGATTATTCGAGAACAAGCTTGCCAAGTCAGGGACATCAAATCTTCTCTCGAAAAACTAACCTCATGGGCCCCCGGGCCAGCATTGGCTCGAAACATGAAGAAAGCCATGTCTGGTTATAAAATTCATTAGACCGGACAAATATTTTTACTGGCCTATAACCGTTGCTCTGGGAGTAATTGAATCAATAGGCTACCTAGAATACATTACTCTCTTTGATATGAGATTTCACGATTTGTTGTCAATGCATTCAGTCAGTCTCCATCAAGTCCTTTGTTCATCCCAAGATTTTGCGGATGATCTGCGAAGAAAGGTTGCCAGTAAAGGTACGAGTAATTTGCTGAAGATCGAGATTAATTTCCCCAGAATTCCGTCAAAATCCCATCCCTAGAATTCAGTGACTGTCAGTTTTCAAACAACTAAAGCCCTCACTTTATCCTTACGGGCATTGAAGTTCCTCCACTTTTTGAGACCCATGCGAAAGCCCGTTCAATCATTGCCGATTCGTATCGCGCGCACGCCAAAGATATTTCTTCAGTAGAGGGGGGTCTGCCCTTGCTTGCGGTCCCATTCAGGTTCAGCAGGTATGGAAGAAGCTCAGCACAATCATGCATTGCTTGGTTCCCACCCATGCCTCTGTGGGAATACTAAGTCAGTGAGGAAGCGTTAATATGTCATCAGGAATGATACCGGTTAGGTTGCATTGCATGGATCGCATCCCCAAGTAGCCAGATTCTTGCGTGCCCCTTTTCGTGCATCTCCTCTCCCGCCTTCTTCTCAAGACGTTGTCGCCAGTCCTTAGCGGGCCTGGTACTTGCGCGCAAGGGAGTAACGTAAATGCCGGAGCAGTCCTCATCTTCTTGGCCTGTGCTGAGCAGGTCCTTACTGTTGGCCCTCTGTCAGTGGATTTGTTGCGATATTGTTCAAAATTTTTGAGTTAAACGGAGTGACTCACTATTCGGGTGCCCAGTCTTTGATAATGTCCAGGCAGAACTCTAGTCGGTTGGGAATGTCCTGGTAAGACTTGTAGGCAGTGGCCAGAGCTCTGGGGACGTTTAAACCCCAGTAGAAAGACGCCTCGCTCTCATCATAAGCTACATGATTACTCGTTGAATCAGTCGCCTGCGAAGGCAGGTATACTTGACCAAAGATGTGTCAGTAACCAATATAAAACCAGAGTGTGAGCTTGTTGAGTGCATGAACTTACATGCATAAAAAAAAGAGACGCCCTTTGAAAACACCAGAACCGGTCCGTTCTGCAACTGATGCGGGAGTTTATTCATTCGGTCCCTCGGTAGGCTTCCCTTCGCCAAGAAAGACCAGTGCGTGTCAAGACTGACCAAATTTTCCAACCCAACTGCCTTGTTGATTCGTGAACCACTCCCGTCTGCGCCAATCAGGATATCACATTCGTCAGACTTTCCATCTGTGAAGAATACCTTGACGCTCTCGTGTCCACTAGAATCATCCCGCTTGATGTGGTAGGACGCGAAGCATTTGTCATATACAACATTTCCACTTGCTCTTACAGGCTCCACAAGCAAGCTGCGCAGGATCACCCTATTGATAGCATAAGATCTTGAGTAGCTGGGTAAGCTGGTCAAATCCAAGATAGGGTCGAACTTGGTCGAGTACAGGCATGGAGCAGCACCCCCAGATGATGCGGATTGTCCAAGCTTTTGAACGATCCTATTGAGGTGATCCTCGCGTAAACAAACTATGAAGCCTGTCAGAGCAGAATCCCCTAGACGGATTTGGTAGCCCTCCCGTTTGGAGCCCTCTGGGTCACGCTCATAGATGGTAAAATTGATATTCTTGTTCAGGAGACCGTTAGCAAGCAAGGAGCCCGCCAGCCCGGCCCCAATAATGATGACTCTGAAAGGCTTTGATTCCGACATTGGACGTTTCTATCGTGAAGAAGAATTGGCTAGCGAGCATGAGAAAATATCTGTCATTTAAGAAGTACTTCTGGTGACGCTTTTCATAGACTTGCGCTCCCGACATTTCAATAACCGAATGATCGGTTACTGGAGCGGAGGCAACGAATTTTCCGAGTGACAATCCAGGATGTGGTGACGTCCCCAACGCTGGCGAAGAGAAAGGTGGGGAGCCGATGACACCACCCGTAATTGCGGGCTCCCGACGTACTAGTTCCATCTGAGCGAACCGCCTTCACAGAGGACATTGAGGGGAGCAGAGAATAGCTGTATTATTCACTTAGCTCAAGTTGGTCTTCTCGGACATGGGTTAGAAGTATAATTTTCAGAGCAGGACAAAGGTGTTTCGTACTGAAAAGAGTCCCCTCGGGACCCCGCAATTGGCCCATTGTACCTCTACTTGTCCGTACTTAAGACCCAACCAATATGCTTCCATTTCTACATTCCCGGTCTTACTAGAGACTCAATCAAGAGCGATCTTCATAGTGAAATGGAGAACAATGAGACCCTGGAGTATTTTGGTATGCAGCCCTGATCTGGCATTCAGAACCCCGTCTCATCGACTAGGTGCGACGACCTTCCGCCTTCGAGTAGCAGGCCTGACCATCTTCCACGACACATGGCTAAACCGACCCTCATTGTTGCCTCAAGCCCTCAACATCAACGATATAACGGACGTAGATTACATCCTGATCTCCCACGCACATTTCGATCAGTACGTCCCCTCTTCGCATAAGACCCACCGATAATTGTAATCTTACTCGCAATCTTAACTCCCCCTGCTAACCTAGTAATGTCGCTACAGCCTGCCTGGCGCCGATGTGATCGCTAAACGCACCGACGCAATCGTCATCGCCAATGGTGAAGCCATCAACCGTCTCCGCGACGCAGGGGTGCCAGAAACCCAGCTCCTTCCCGTCGCTGGCGGGGAGCGCGTTCCTCTTTTTACGCGGGAGATGCGCCTTGCTGCTGCAGCAGCTAGCCCTACCATTCCCCTCCACCAAGGGAACCCTCCAACTGCCCCCGCTGAGCCACACCATACGCTGGCGGTAGCAGAGGTGCATATATGGCCGAGCCTGCACTGCCTCCTCCCAGGTAGCCACAAGACGCTTCCTGATGTTTTTGACACAGGTGTTCCGTATGATGGAGAGGCGACACCCTTTGATGGCACGCTAGATGTCACTCGGGGAATGAAGTACGGACTATTTAGGCTGAGGGAGCTTGTTTCGGTTGAGGCTATTGCGGGGGATGAGAAGCTGCGGTGTTTTCTGGAGTGGTTGGAGGATAGAGGTGAAGGGAGGAATGTCATGTCAGCTTGTGATGGGGGGCAACTTATGTTTCATGTTTTGCGGAGAGGAGGCGCAAGTGCTGCTGGTGCTGGAATATGGAAAGGAGGAATTCTGTTCAATGCGCACCTAGGTGCGTACGAGGGGATCATGAAGACGATACGACCACGGCCGAATCTTGTGGTGCAGGGTATTGCCGGCAGAGCGAATCTGAACGGCAGACCGTTCAACGGGTCCGCTGCCGACTTTGCAACGGAGCTCCTGAGGTGGGTGGGGGAGCCCGAGAGGGTAATTTGGTGTTTGCATGATGAGTGGTAGGCTAATTCCTCCTTTTCTGCTGAGATATGCACTGACACAGTCTACAGTAGTCTCATCAGACCCTATCGGGTAGACACGACGGCTGCAACTGTGGCGGTGGAATCAGGCACGAGTTCGAGGGTTGTGGATCTGGTGTATGAGCAGGCTTATGTTTTATGATAGTAGAATTAATAGAATAGTTTAAGTGGAATGGTATGCAAGGATCACACAGTTTCGCCTCGCTATACTATCAAGCACAAAATTGGTTCAAGTTCTCTGTTCGATTCACACTCTACGCTGGGGCTCGACTCAGTCTATCACCATCACTCGCAAGACAAGTTGCAGTGCGGGGGTTGTTAACCACAGTCCTTCGTGACACAGAAGCTGGGGCAGGGCCTTTAGTCTGGGGTTTGGAAAACCGAAGTTCGCGCCGAGGTTGGGAAGCTCTCCTCCCTCCCACCTGAGCTTAAGAAGAACTTTAATCTCGCAAGGTAAAGGTGGTATATCTTCTCCCAGCATATGAGCACAGTATACCGCGAAGAGGCAAACAGCGCCACATGGCAAGGCAACTCGGGGATCCGGCTCTCCGTTCTTTTCGGTTCCCCGCTTGGCCGCTCCGTAGTCTGTGTGGATCAGCTTCTGGTCATGTGCAGTAGTTTATAACCGCAGATCGCATCGACGCTTCAATGAAGACAGAGAGCGTCCACGAAGCACTGAAGGACTTTTACCCTCTGTGGAACCTACTAGTTAAATATATGTGCTTACCTACACGTACAAAATCTTTCGTTTATAAGAGATTCTGGTTATAGTTGGCCTAGTCAATTGTACAATCTCGGAGCTGGAGCCGGTTGTGAAAAATTTTTTTAGAAATGAGAAGATTGTAGCACGCATTTCTCTTGCGGAGAGTTTCGGTCAACCGTCTAGAGAATGTATTCATAGACAAAGCTACTTGAATTATATAACCGAAATGCGGTATCGGGTTTGTATTGCATTCGTATCGATTGGTCATGGCTAGTAACTCGGCCGTCAAGCACCAGATGGTCCAAATGACGATAGTGTTAGGGATTGTTCAGAGAAAAATATCGTGAGAATACGATATGGTCGTTTCGGGTGGGTTCTCGTTGAAAAGCTCACCCACGCCTAGTATTAGCCCCTTGCACAGTGTTGGCCATTCTGTACGACTCTCAAGAATGCGAAGAAACTCCTTCAGTATGCGACTGGCACTTCCGGGACTAGACAGTATACCTACCCCTGTGAGATGAACGAGCACATCCGAATCACCCCGGACCCATCGTTCAATCACACTTGATTCATAAGACTGGTCGATTTTGAGCAGTACGCGGGAACCACCGGGCAAGGACTGTTGGTTATGTGTAGAGAGTGCGTTGGGGTTTAGTTTCTCGTAAGCCCAGAGAAATAGAGTAGCGATAAGGAGACAAAAATAGTGATAGCAACTGGGAGTAGCAATGGATCTGACTCTGCCAAGTAAAGCCCCTGCATGCGCAACGCATTCCCGCGATGCTTCTGGATTCAGTTGCATCCATGTGGTTAAAAAGACTTTCGCAGTCGAAATATCCGACTTAGACGCATACCAGCCAGAGTATGCGTAGAGTGTCCTCAGTGGAATGTGCCGGAGGATGGATAGTAAATGAAAAAAGTCGTATCGGAAACCTCGAATAGACCCTCCAAGAATAAGTCCAGGTAGCTCCGATGCTTCCAACAATTTGAACTTCCAGTCTAATCTGCTTTTTCGGGAAGACATTGCAGTTTCCACGCGTTCACCGTGGTCACTGCAGTCATTGAGTGCACAAGACTGGGAGACGGCGATAGCTCGCTTTTCCTCCACAAACAACATGAGATGTAAGGCGAGCTTACTGAACTCTGCTGAATTTAAGAAAGTACTGTTTAGAGCCCATTTCATAGAAAACAACTGCTTCAAACTGGGTGACTCTAGTGAAATCGATATTTGTCAGCTCGGCAATTAGGAAAACTTGGGGGCGTCGAGACAAACCGTTGCAGGAGCCTGGATTATTACTCCATTCGGCTTTATTCCGCAATTTCCACATAGCGTCGGAGGATGGAAGCAGTTGCTCATAGTCTTGTGCGGCGAAGCTAGGCTGCATCCCCATGAAGATGAAGCACATGCAATCCACAACTTCGGCAGGCTGTGAGCATTATACAATAAGAAAAATTAAAGAGGCCAGGTAAATTCCGGGGCCTACTTGGGTTCACTAACCTAAGAAGCAATACACAACACGCCTTTGTGACTCCAGGTGTACCCATGAATGCCACCGGCCATGAGTTTTAGCCGTCGTGACTTCAGGAGATAACAATGAGGCTTTTGATGTATTATGGGAGAGAAATGGTCGAATCAATGTAGCGAGCCAGCTACGGTAGATCTGCAGATTGATGACATTGTCGAATCCTGTGAACATGAGATTGGTGACAGCAAGCAGAACACATTGTGCTAAGATCAGCGTATCGTATCTCTGAGCTTTCAGCGCCTATCGTCGGGTCAGCAGGCTAGGCGTAAACCAGAAGCTCCGGGTGGTCCATACATCAAGTGGAAGAGACAATCTCAAAAGGGTCAGCATAGACGAATATTGAGCTCGTTTAGTCAGTTTCGTGTACTGAGAACCGACTGATGCAACAGCCAGAATAAGGATCCACGGTATGTCCTCCTGCTCCAGCAGCGACGGGTGAATGAACGGCAACTGATTGTCAAAGTATTCATAGTAGAGTTGAATAAACGAGTCAAAGACAGACAACTGAGGAAACAGAAGGTTATTAGAGCGACCCTTAGACTGCTCTTTGTAGAATGCAAGTATGGCATTATAGGCTGTCTCCAGCGGCATCCTAACGTGGCAAAAGCTCTCAGCCATAGTTATGTCATCGTCTGTAGGACTAATGATCGAGTGCACGCTGGGTGTCGCACCTTGCGACCGACCCAGTTGCTGCTGCCCACGAGGCGAAGGCGAGATCATTTCGGACTGATCCTCACGACCGCGCTGTAAGTTGGAACCACCCTGTCTATAATTCTGGGTCGTTCCCCGAGTCGCTCCCGGGGGTGTAATAGAGGAGGCATGGAGATAGCCATAATATGAGGTCGGATCGAAATGCGGTTGCAGATTGACTAGAGGACTATCGTAAAAAGGGTCATCGTGGGGGAAAAGCCAAGGTAACTCGAGTCCCATCTCGAATGCTGCGAAGGACTCGCCAACATTTCCCGAGAAACCAACAGTATTGTCAGGTATATCAAATGAGCCATGTAAATCCAATTCCGAGACATTATTTTCTGATGGTTGCTGATTCATCAGGGGCACTTCAGCGGCACCTTGGAACACAAGAGCAGCTGGCGGATCCAGTGCTGAGCGGGCTTCATCGTTTATTGGTCCTGGGTGGGACTTTTCGCTTTCGTAGACGCAATTGCGACCTTTATTATGACATCTCATACATGGTAGACTACCACTGCACTTCACCTTATCTTGGGAACAAGGTCGGCAGGCGGTGGTGCTTCTCCTGCGCACAACAAGCCCCTTTCCCGCTGGGCCATGAGTTGCAAGGTGCCTAGCGAGGGTATCCCTAAATGATTGTAAATAGCTGCTTCATCATAGGGTCGAAGTGTTTGTCACCTTCTTGAAAAAGCACGCAAGCAGATCTGACAAGAATATGGACGCAGCCCAGAATGGCGGCGGAGATGTCGCTCAAGATGCTCTCCGCGAGTGAATTTAGCCTCACAATATTGGCAATTCATGTCTTTAAAGCGAATGTTGTAAATAACAAGTCTCTGATTACCACAGTATCGGCAAGTTTGAAAACAAGATTGACGAGTGCTATCTGGCGTCTCGTTGATGCGGGATAAAAGTATGCGGAATGGACGAATTGCAAGTGAATTATTATTCTAGCTTACGGCTTAGGCATGCGGGGGCCGTAATGCGGGGAGTTCAAGTAATGCAATGCGCACCCGGCCACCAACGAAATTAACCGCAACTCATTTACCACCAAAATAGCCACAATAAATGCAAATTCAGCGGTCCAACGTGAGATCAGCATAATGCTTGCAACTGGAGCTATTCAAAATGGTTAAATAATTCTGTTTGAGGTGCTGCAAGGGTCTTGAATTTACCTAAATCTACCCTCCGTGATTGAATCAATGGTCGTGCATCACGCGGCGAATATACACCAAATAGCCAAAACTTACCACCACAGAAGTATCTAACCTTCTAAGTTATATTACATTCACAGATCAATAGGGTCTACCACCCCAAATCAATACTGTATGAGAAATGGCCCGAATTCTGCTAGGAAATCGTGTCAAAAAGGATGCTTATATTAGCAAGTACTCAGTTTAGTACTTTATTCGGCGACTGGACAGTGACGAATTGGAGGGTAGGCTTTTCGGGTAGGTAATCGCGCAAAACCTTAAACATGACTAGAGCGATGCTACGGGGTCGTCCACCTTTGTTAGGCGGTGCTATTACGCTACTAAACGTCGGTACATAAGAAGAGATTCTTAGGACAGTATTCCTATTATAGCTAGTAGCCTATGCCATCTGCAATATAGATAGCTCCCCACTATAGATCATATCATAAATAAGCTCATGCTTTTGAAGGAGCTAGGTTTGGGGCCATCTTAGCTCGATCACTCGGGATTAGTTGTTAGGATACCCCTCCCTCGGGAGACTATTTGGGAGAGGGGGTATAGAGGTGTTGGATATATTGAATTTACAAGCGAATACATACTTAAAAGTACTATGTAATCTACGTAAAAGCAATACACGTCCAACTGACAGGGGTACTCCGGAAATACCCCCAATATAGACTAGTGTGTCTTCGCATTGGAGGCGGAGAATCAATAGAAGAGTGTAGGTGGTCGCACCAGTTTCGGCACGCACTGTAAGAGCAGGTACGTCCTTAAAATATAAAAGCACAGAGATATATTATACGCTAGATAGACTGACTAGTGAGCGATTGCCAGCTAAGAATCTCTATCAAGATTGCAAGATTAATTACTACGTACACAAAAAGAACGATGTAATCATCTAGAACAAAGGATATCAATGAATCCTTTCACAGTTTACCAAACAACGCGTCGAATTCCTTCACAAAGCAGGGCCATATGTACTAAGCCCCCTAGCAAACCGCTGGATCTGGTTCGCATAATATGTCTAACGCAGATAAATCAGTCAATCATACATGCGGTTAGGTCATGAGAAACTTACAGACTCAGCTCCAGCGCCCACAAGAAAGCTTGGCAACCACCTTGCAAAGAAAGGCACTGGCGCTTTGTTCAGAAGCAGTTGCATTTTGTCATGCGGAATACTCTCATCCAGAAGCTTCAGGGGCCATCTTGGGTCCACAGCAGCCGGTCGTGCAATTCCAATCAGATCACAAGCATTGTCTTTAATTGCAGCTTCGGCACCAGCACGACTCCGGAACCCGCCTGTCAGCATAAGGATCAGCTTTGGGTGTCGCTGGCGCACTGCCTTGGCAAATTCGAGGAAGTAGGCTTCACGAGCGGCAGTGCGTTCAGATTTGGGTGCTTGAGGGGTTGATTGGGAGGTATAGCCCATCATCTATATTAATTAGCTTCCGTCGTGATTGAATATGGACCTCTACTCACCCTAGTATCCTCGTAGGTCCCACCGCTGATCTCCATGAAGTCGATACCCGCCTCAACGAGCAGCTTGATTTGTGTCATGACGTCTTCAAAGGCGGCAGAGCTTTGATCAGCGGAGTTGAGTTTGATACCCACGCAGAACTTTGGTGGAACAACTTTGCGGATCTCGGACAAGATCTCCAGTACAAATCGAGCGCGTTTCGCGGGCGTGCCGCCATATTCATCAGTGCGGATATTGGTCTATTCGTTCATTAGTTCCTTTCATTGCACGGTATCTCAAAATAAATTAGCCCACCTTGGCATTCAGGAATTGATCTGGGAGCAACCACAGTCAGTATACCATCTTCAGTCCATCCAGTAGTGAACCTACCAAGTAAGTACCCATGAGCCCCATGCAACTCCACGCCCGCAAACCCAGCATCGGCCGCCAGTCTAGCAGTATCGACAAACTGTCGAATCACCCTCTCGATATCGGCGCGGGTCATCTCCCGCGGCTGTGACCAGGTGATGGCCGCAAGAGTTCTCATGAGCCAGCCATCGCCTATGTTCATAGGGACAACACTAGGAGCAAGTGTCGATCCGAAGATGCCACGACGACCGGCAACCCGAAACGACTGACGGCCGGGATGGCAAATCTGCAGGAGAGCTGGCGTGCCGTGCTTCTGGCACGCGTCGGCGTACTTCTTCCACTCCGATAGCAGAGCCTCGTCGTTGCCCGTGTACTCAGAATGCAAGGCCGCATCAAATGGGCTGCCCATGTGGTTGACGTCAACCTGGACGTTTCCTGAACAAAGGTTAGTTTGACGCGTCGTCTCTATGGGTGGAAGTGCTCACCTGTCAGAATGCTACCCCATCCGCCTTCGGCCCAGTTCTCGTAGGCGGCTAGGAGTTTGGGATTTGGGTGGTTAGTTTTGGCCATGAGCTCGGCCATTGCAGCCTGCATGATGTTAATATGGCTGTAGCTGTATGACAATGAGATCAGACCTACCTTGCTTAGGCGGTTGGGGAAGACTAGCCCGCAAGGAAGCTTGACGGGATCTGCTAGTGGGGAAGACATGCTGTGTCGTACGTAGTATTTGCGCCGAATGAATAGATGGATGTATGGTTCTATACAGTGCGGTATCACTGTAATTTGCTTGCAGGCGGCCCTAATATGCGGGCCTTGAAATACGTGCAGGCGTCCCTGAAATGCAATGTGCAGATCTCGATGAGCAAAATCTGCAATTGTTGTAAGTTGAAATGTACAGCACGCTCAAAAACAGGCCCTACCGAAACAGTTATACTCCTCTACCGATAGCAAGAGATCCAAAAGAAAAATATGAACACCGTTCATTATTCAGGCTCTTCAGGGTTAACTTAAAAAAATAGCCTCGGCATTTCGTTCGTCATCGCCCCACACGGAGGGATTAATCTCTCCGTCGACCCAGATCGGCCTGGGCACGATCCAGGAGAGCCGTAGCTTTTTAACTTAATTTTCTGCAGCAGGGAGATAGTGGAAATCCTACCAGTATCCACTTGAGTCTAGGACTGTGACAGTTGGTTGTTATTCGGGGAGACAGGTTTGTCCGGCTTCAACATGTGACGATTCTTCTTCGCGAATACATAGTCCTACATGCGCCAATTCCCAAGCTGATCGTAGGTTTGGTCTGATCATATCGTTGCACTTGGTAGCGGTAGGCCAGAGGAGAAACCAGGATACATAGATGGAGATAATAGGTACATCGAGACACGAGGAAATGCTCCGTGTGAAGTGTGGCAACGGACCGAGGAGCGGCACGGGCGATAACCCCAGACCAGATCTACGGCGTTCGGACCGAGAGGGGCGGCGGAGAGAAAGTCCATTTATTTAGATCAGATGTCATTGAATGCTGTCCTAAGCCAGATCCCAAAAATGCAGGAAGGGGACCCAAAATGCGAAAAACCGAGAACATGTGAGAAAAAAAGGGTATTCAATCAAAAACCGAGGGATCCATCCAGCAGAACATAAAATCGAAAATGAGAGCGCTCGAATTCCAGATGAGGCAGAGGGAGGCAAAAGGGAAACATGCTGAATCCATCATCACGCGGTGATCCTAAGCAGGGACGGTGATTAGAACAGATTTTAACGTCAACAAGGTGAAGCGATCGAAATGAAAGCCTGACATATATAACGAGGCAGGCAGGCAGATAAGTAATGAAGGTCGAGATCTTACAGCTTGGCGTTCTTCTCGTCAACGGGGGAGCCGTTGCTCAGCGGCGGGGAGATCGTGCCCAGGCTGGAGAGCAGGTGGCCAACCTCGCGTTCCAAGGCACGAACTTCAGTGTGCGGGTCGTACATGCGGGCCTTGATCCAGGAGTCCAAGTCGGCATCCGACATATTGCGCAGGGCGGTCTCGCGGTCGACGCCATCTTTCTGGGCGGCGCGCATCACCTCGCGGGTGACGACCATGCTGACGTGGCGGATGCGGGTGATGTCCGGGTACAGGAGACCACGCTCGATCTCCTCGGCGGTCAGGGCCTTGGAGAGGGCCTCGCCGGAGGCATAGATCATGTTGTCGGTGACGCGCACGGCCTTGGAGAGGATGCTGCCCAGGCCGATACCCGGGAAGACGTACATGTTGTTGCCTTGGCCGGGGTAGTAGGTGGAGGTCTCGCCGGCGGAGTTGGTGAAGGACATGGTGGGGAAGGGGGAGCCAGAGGCGAAGAGGCAGCGGCCGTCGGTGTGCTTGACGGCAGTCTCATAGTCGCACTCGGACTTGGACGAGGGGTTGGACAGAGGAAAGATGATCGGGGCCTTGTTCCAGTCGGCCATCTTGCGCAGGATCTCGGGAGTGAAAACACCGCCCAGAGTCGACAGACCCATCAGGATGGTGGGCTGGACATGGTCAATGACCTGCTCGAGGGTCTTGAACTGCTCGCCCTTGTTGTCTTGGCGGGCGAAGTACACCTTGTGGTCGGCGAGCTTGTCACCGCGGTCAGCGGTCACTAGACCCTTGGTGTCGACCAGATAGAAACAGCTACGGGCCTCGTCCTCGGTCATGCCCTCGCGCATGAAGAATTCAACGATCTGCTTGGCGACACCGACGCCAGCACTGCCGGCACCCAGGAACACGGCGCGGTGATCCTTGCAAGGGAGACCAGAACGCTTGACGGCATTGATAACGCCACCCAGGATGACGGCGCCAGTGCCTTGGATGTCATCATTGAAGCAGGTGTACAGACCCTGGTACCGCTCGAGCGCAGGGAAGGGGTTCTTGAAATCCTCGAATTGGATGACGATACTAATAAGCTCCCGTTAGCCGCCGTCGATCACCCGTGTGTGTGAATCGAGTCAAAACCACTTACCCCGGCCAGCGCTCGGTAAGAGCGGCCATCAGCTCGTCCATAAACTCCAGCTCCTCCTCGGGACGGAGCTTGTCGCGGCGGCTGCCCATGTACAGCGGGTCTTCCCGGAGGGTCTTGTTGCTAGTGCCCAGATCCAGCGTCAGAGGCAGGGTGGCCTCGGGACGAATACCCGCACAGGCCGTGTACAGGGCCAGTTTGCCAATGGGGATGCCCATGCCGTTGATGCCCAGGTCTCCCAGTCCGAGGATGCGGGAGCCATCGGTGATACATGTGATCTCCACATGCGACTGAGGCCAATTGGCGATCACTGCGGCCAGATTGCCCTTGTCTTCCCAGCTGAGATACATGCCTAATGAAGCTCGTTAGCGTTCCGGTCTCTCCCGGGGAAGATCGGTGGCTTGGTTTTACCTTCAGGCTGCTGGTAGATCTCCGACCAGCGTTGGCAGGCCTCGCCGACAACCGGGGTGTAGATCAGAGGCGTGAGCTCCTGCAGGGATGTTGTTAGTATGTGATTGCTGATTGGAGCATTACGTGCGAGAGCATACCCTGAGGTGGTCCGTCACCAGACGGTAGAACAGGTGCACATTGTTCTTGCGAAGAGTGCTGAGGTAGAGGAACTTGTCGATTTCGGTGTTCTTCAGTCCCAACTGGGCCAGGCATCGTGTCTTCTGGGTCTCGTAGCTCTCAGCGCGAGGTGGAGTGAGGCCGTAGGTGCGCAGGTACTTGCGGATGTAGGAAGGGTTGGCGGTGTCGTAGTTGGCGGCGTCACTATAGCAAGCACAATTAGCTTTTCCCTTCTTTGTCTTCCAGGCATTGACTCAGTCGAGTGCGAAGTCCAGTCACTTACGGCGACGGGGCAGGTTGGTTCATGAACGGGGTGGCATGCACCGGCCGGCTTTGTTGTTGAGAAGGAAATCGAGCCATTGTGTCAGACTGTGAACGAACTGGCTTACTCGAGTTCGACCAGGAAGGAGGGCAGGAATGATAGAAAGAAGAGAGAAAAGATCGGGCAGCAGTGTCCAGTCTGATTTTATGTACCCGGCGTGGAGCTAGCATGCTAGTTAATATCCCCTGGGGTCGAGCACGCATCATCCAAGACGTTCCGACTGGCAGCGGATTCGCACCCAGATAATTACCCGGGACCGCGTGTCGAGGGGCCTGTTCAGCCAGCAGAAAATCGCCATCGCGGTGAGTCGGGAAGAGTCGGGGATGGTACAAAGGGATGGGGCAGGCGGAGTGGATATTCGGTGACGGCAGCGAACCGTTGTGCTCGGGGGGCGCTGGGCCTGGCGGAATCTGGATCCATCAGAAGCTTCTTTCTTTTTCGGGAATCAGATCCAAGCAGCAAGGGGAGGTTGTAGTGGAGACGGGCGGCGCCGAGTCGCCAATGCGGAGAATCCTCAGTTATTCGCAGTCTGCCATCCTGGCATGGTATGCTACTCGACAACAAGAAACAAGACCATGGACAAGACGGTGTGCATGCTGCAGCGATGATCCATCTGGAAACTACACCGTACAGTCCGTCCTGGCGGAAAGAGGGAGGCATTCTACACGGTACACCTCGAACTCGAACGCCGAAAGGGCGTTTTCGTTCCCGCCCTCGCATGGAGTCTGCGCAGGCACTGTGACTGGCCATCTAGGCCGGGGAGAAGGCGACTGGGTCTCTGGCGCACATCCGTCTCCACACCAGGGAGCTCCCAGAGCCGCAGAGTAGTGCCGAAGTGGACCCGTCAGCAAAAGCAGACGCTGTTCTGGAAGCCTGAGGGTCACGGATTTCGGCGTGCGGAGTCTGCCGCCCCAGATAGGGAAAATTGCTACGGCCGGTTCCCATGTCGGGTTTTTTTTTAGGTGGTTTCGCGTTGGCCGCGTTGGCGATGTAATACTGCCTTCTGAATGGCCTCCCTCGCCGAGGGGAAAGGGGATTATATCCTTCAGCCCCAACAAAACCCCTGAAAGAATTTTTTTCTGCAGTCCATGCTGACGAGTACACCGTACACCTCAGTTGTCGGGAAAGGGATCGGGAAGTGGGCAAGGCGGCATGGAATGTTTAGTGACCCCCTTGCGAGCACTGGTTGCACTAAACGAGCGAATTTTGGACCCATACCAGGGTTGAATAATTTCAATGTCGGGACCAGAACTGGGTCGTTCCTCCAAATTGAAGCTTTTTAACTTTCATAGACGCCTGGCACACGACAATTTTAGGACAAATCGAAATCCAAATCGGACATCAAAATTCAAATCCAATTAAGGAACAAGAATCCAGTGGGACGCTCTCCATGCGGTCTGTCTATGAATGGCTGGCTAAATTCAGCGTCCCCAGAGATCGTCGATCACCGTCAGGGTGGATTGTACGTAGAAAGGTAAACCCTGATTATGTTTTTGCATGGTTATTATTGTCGGACTATTATTCACACCATGCCATCATTATTTCATTATTATCCTTCAAAGTTCTGTCCAATGCCTGGACTCTCCATCTCATTTCCCTCACAGCCTGCACAGTTTGGTAATATGCCTTGTTAAACTCTTCACTGAGGTACTGGCTATTTCAGGTGAAGCACGATATACGGCGAATCGAGTTGAAGGAGAATCTGGATTCGCCCGTGCAGTCTCGCCAATTGTCGAATGTGCATAATATTCACTCCTGTAAGGCTTCGCGCCCGTGTTACTTGGCGTATTGCGCTTGGTTCCTCCGCAGAAAAGACTGCCTCTATCCACACGGTATCGCCAGGGAATGAGGTCAGATTTGACGTTGATAAGTTGATGCCGGGCGCGCTATTGCTATCTGCTGGGAAGTCAAGCTGCGCGTAGACGGACCCAATCCAGTGCTCACGGTTGACAGGCTTCCAATTGGTATCGATCCATATAAAGAGCTTGTCTTGTTAAACGTGCGTAGTCATCGTTTAGCGCGCAGTCAAAATATAGTTGCACCAACGCGGTGTCGTCATTCGTCATCATGGCCCAAAACAGGCTGGGCGCGTCTACTTTTTCTGCCTCCCAACACCTCATAAACATCCATCATCCATGATAGCTTAGCCACCACCACCTCCATCGTCATGCCGGGCGAAACAGAGCCTCTCCTCCCTCGCTATGAGGATGACACCTCCCGCCAGCGCCAGCTCCACCAGAAGCTGCACTCCTATCAGATGCTCCGCGCCCTGTCCGAGGGGTACATGCCATCCACCGAACAGACCATCGCCAATCTGCGCACCCTGCTAGCTTCCGACATACTCAATATCCGTAACCAGGAAATCGGCAGTGTGGGGCGACAGCTCGTGCGCGACTGTCGCCTGTGGATCCAGGTGTTCATCGAGTTTGTGCTGGACAAGAACAGCGAGGATCGGCTGCAGGAATTTCTATGGCATCTTGCCCGATCGAGAGCTTCGTTGGATAGCTCCCGAGTGTCCCAGCAGGCGGGCCAGATTAAGGCACGCGCAGACACTAAAGCTGGTGGGTCCTACTCCGTCGGCATCCCGAGCATTGACTAACAGGTCCAATTACTAGCGTACGATAGCTTTCGCACGGTGGGGGCTTTGCTGCTGACCAACGCCGATTTCCGTCTTTTCGTCGATGATGTTGCTACAGTTGGCCGCCAGATCTTCGCTGACACTGCCTCGTCCCTGTCCGAAACATCCAAGCAAGTCGCCGAACAAGTTCAACCTTCAGAGCAGGAACAGGCAGCAGTTCAAGGTGCCGGGGCCGATAAGGGTCGTGCGGTGTCGGGGGAAGAGATCAAGGATGAAGCTGCCCATGTAGCGGAGGTAGCCGGTGAAGGAGTCGCTCGCACCAGCCGCCAGGCAGTGGAGAGCGCGAAGGAACATCTATCGGGCCAAGAGAGGGATACATTGCTCTACCGGTTGAAACAGGCCGTCCTGAAGCTGCGCGAGAGGTCCGACTACTCCGACTCTGTTTCAACTCTCTCGCACCTGGTCCAGCGCTATGCCAAGCTTTATTCAAGTGCTGCTGAAGAGACAGCGAGCGCCGCACAGGAAGACATCGATGTCAATGCCGACTTGAAGCAAGCCGTGGATCAATTCTGGGAGCTGCTCAGGCTGTTCGGGAGCGCAGAGGAATGGGACCGGCTGCGACAAAAGTTCCACAATGTCCTGCGCCATGCCAACAAGGATCCTGAATTTGAAAGATTGATAGAAGAAGCGGGCGCTTCATTGCGCGACATGCTTACCGACCCGGGATTTTTTGATGCTGCGCCACAGAAACTCGACGAACTGAAAGAGCGCTCTGAAAAGGTGGGCTCGGAGACGAACCTGCGCAGAGATGTAGACGAGTTCCTGGCACAAACCAAACGGACTTTGCATATGGTTCCTGATGACCCAGCTGTGTCCAAGGTCATTGGCGCAACCAAGAAGCTTTATCAAGATGCGTGGGATGCATACAATGACAAAAAGACCGACCTTCCAGCAGACCTGGCCAATGTTTTCCTCCCTCTTTTCTTGCGAAGCATCCAGTATATCCCCATTCCGCGACTGGAGGTTTCCGCGCCGGAGCTGGATCTGCTGGTTGAGAATATAATCCTGGAGCCGGGCCACACGGTCAATTATTCTTCATTCCTTCCCTACCGCATGCACATCGGCACCCGCAACGACATTGATATTGTCAAGAAACATTCGAAACGCACCGAGACAGGCATCAAAACAGCATTCACTGCAACGGTCCAAGGTCTGAACATCAGCGCTCAGGATTTCGGGTACTGGCTCCGCACGCGTGCAGGTCTAATCTTCCACCTCAAAGACGAAGGTATCGCCAGCTTCTACCTCGATCGTCGCGGTATCGACATTTCTCTGGACGTGGAAATTGGCCGTGGCAGCTTGGAGCAGATCTTCACGTTGCGCGGCGTGCGGGTGCGCATCCACAAGCTTGACTACAAAGTCCAGCGTAGCAAGTGGAGGTTCCTCCTGTGGCTGGTCAAGCCATTCGTGAAACACCTCGTCCGTCGCGTTCTGGAGAAGAAGATCGCCGAGGAGATCGTGGCTGCGGCCTTTGCTCTGAATCGAGAACTGGTATTTGCTCGCGAGCGTCTTCGCGCTGCCCGCATTGCAAACCCGCAGGATTTGGCTACTTTTGTCAGAGCTGTGCTGGCACGACTGAAGCCGGCCCCTAATCTTGATGTGGAAGCCAGAGTGGGGATTGACGCGCCGCGTACTGGTGTTTTCAAGGGGGTTTATGCTCCTGGAAGTATTGTTAAGACGTGGCATGAGGAGGCAACTCGGGCGCAGGAAGCTATCGAGGATGGGGATGAGAGTCATGGTCTGCAACGGACGTGGAGGAATGACATCTTTGATGTTGCTGGAGCTAGTTCGTAGGGACATGTAACTTTTTTGAATGTTTTTTTATGATTTTTACGATGGATTCAGATAGGCTAATAGTCACTGCGGATTGCAAGGACCATGGATCAGAATATGAAACAATATTAGCAAGCTCTAAATAAACATCCAGAACTATAACGAGAGCAGCCGCCAATGCAGAGGAATAAACATCGCTTCAAATAAACATGACAAGACAAAGAAAAGTCGTGAACATCGTATTCATACCATCATGATCATAACCGGCATCATATCATCGCATCATGGCGATCCCTTCGTCACCCCCTTCCACCAACGCCGCCATCATTCCTCTCCTCAAATCGACTCTTCACAACCTTCTCACTCAGCGCCCTGATATTCTGCGCTCCCATAATATCCAACAACGATACCTCCGCCTTCAACTCCTTAACAATCCATGAGCGAAACTCCATCGCTACCAATGAGTCAATACCCCCAAAGCCGAATCGCTGTCTATCAAACTCAGACGCTGGAATGGCCAGTAATGACGAGAGTCTCTCGACAATACCGTCCGAGACCACGACCACCGCATCCTCAAAGTTGGCTGTCGCTGTCAAAAGCGCAGCAGCGCTAACAGTCTTCTGTTCACGCCCCTCGCGGTGTTTCGCAACGGCCGTAGCCCTGAAATGGGTAAAGAGCGAATACTCCAAAAATGTAGGCGGGGGGATGCCATTCTGACAACACAGCTCTGCACTGGGAAGACCCAGGACAAGCTGCGACTCCGGGAGATTGTTCTGGGTGGTATATTTCTTGTGTCGCGGGTCAACCAGATACTCTATCGCTGCATGGACTTCATCTTCGCGAAGGAGCTCGAATAGCGGTGCGGAGTGCGTGCACATCGAGCCCCGGTTCTCGGCTACCCAGCCTGCATTCGAGACACTGCCTAGATTGATGCTTGATGCACGCATGCCTTTGGCGGTGCGGTAGGTGGCTAAGGCGTCTTGAAAAGTGTTTCCGGCGGCGTAATTGGATTGCCCCCTGTTGCCGAAGATGCCTGCTACAGAAGATAGCATGACGAAGAAGTCCATGTCATAGGGCAATGTCTCGTGCAGGTTCCATGAGCCTTGGACCTTAGGGGCTATGGCGGCTTGCCAGTCTTCGAAGGGCATTCGGGCGAATGCACCGTCCTATTAAGCCGGTCAGTTTTCTTTCTTTGGTGGGAATGGCAACAAAACTTACCCGCAGTACCATCGAGCACTGGATACATCCCCTAATAGGCGGCAAAGTCTTCGAGCATTCCTTCAAAACGTCCCTCAGCCGCTCTGCATCCGCGACATCGCACCTGAATATATGAGCGTTGCACCCGCTATTCTTCAAATCTGCAACCATTTCCTCGGCAGGCTTCGTGGCACAACCACTGCGAGACAGCAAGATCAAGTTCTTAGCGCCACGCGAAACCATCCATCGTGCCAGACTTCGTCCTAGACCACCCAGGCCGCCGGCTAGGATATAAGATGCGTTTGATTCGAATCGGTAGGGTGTTATCGGCTCAGGCACGACCGGGATGAGATCAGATGAACTAGGAACAAAGACGATCTTTTCGTTCTGTGCAGCCTGCAGCCCTTCCTGGATCTGGGTAAAGTTCAGGTTCTTCACACCTCTAACCTGGCTGATTTTTCCTTCGGCATATAGCTTCACTGTCTCCTGCAGCAAACGGCAGAGTAGCTTTGGTCGTCGCTGCGCGAGAAGGGTCATGTCGATGGTGGTGAGAGTCACATTGCGATGTAGAGAAGCAAGCTCAATCGTTGCATTAGAATGGAGATCTTTATTGGAAGCGTCGATAAAGCGCCCGAAGGGAGCAAGACATGTCAACGACTCTTGAAGAGCTTCATCAGAGAGAGTATTGAAAATGACATCGACGCCTGCACCTTGCGAGCGCCTCATGACTCCCTTCGCGAAGCGGAGGTCCCTGTTTGAGAAAACGTGGTCTTCGGCTATGCCGTACTCCGAGACCAGGAGCGCGCGGTCTTCGACTGTCGACACAGTAGTGTAGATCTCTGCTTTGACGAGCTTGGCATATTGGATGGCTGCTTGGCCGATGGGGGAGGCACCACTGTGGATGAGGATTGTATCCTCTTCGCCTAGCCTCGCTACCTCGCCGAGTCCGTATATTGCTGTGGTGTATATGGAAGGCAAACTAGCAGCAACTTTGATGGGAATTGTCTCGGGGATTTTGACGACTAAATTCTGGGAGACTCGGTCCACAGTGTGGAGACAGCCAGCTCGATCATTCGCTATCATGTAAACAACATGATCCCCAGAGGCCAGGCCATCCACTGCCGACCCTGTTTTCGTTATGACTCCGGCAGCCTCGTTCAAAAGACTGCCACCTTGAAAATTTGATGGAAGTCCAACAGCATGAACACTGATTTCAACTTCTGTATCATTCAGTGAAGTGCTATGTCGCGAGTCAGCCACCCAGTGAAGTTGATCGGTTGCAGAAGAAGTATTCAATTCAATGGGACGATCAATATCCACAAGTCTCTGGATCTGAGGGGTAGCATTTGATGACCGCGCAGCCAAAAAGTCATCTGCATTATCCCATTCGCGCAGACGACCGACATGGATGATGTCGTTCTGCAGGAGGTACTCTGCATGGCGCTCGTTTTCGGGCTGCTCCACGAATTGCCGCTCTAAGATATTGTGCATCTTGACCACAAGATTTTGTGAAGATATGTTCTCGAAGTCACTGACGATCAGAGTCACACAGTTCCAGCCATCGGTATCTCGTTCCCAGCGAACAGTCCGAAGGAGACCTAGACTCATGCTGGAGAAAGGCTCGCTGTGCGCCTCTGGGGCGACCCATAGTAGGCCGTGGCACGCATTGAACATATTTCTCAATGCTATAAACTCTTTCTCCTCGATTGCCGCAAGCAGGGGCTGTTCCAGGTCGATCAAAGATATGCAGAGAGCATTCGAAAAGCTGAGTTCGCTGAGATCTGAAAGTCCCACGACCATCACATTGGGGCACTCCCTTGTCAAACTCTCTTGAAGGAGAGTGACAATTTTTGTAGTCCTTGATGTACCAGAAGTAAGAATGAAGACTTTCTGCGGTAACTTCTCCTTGACCGGAGCAACAGCAGAAGCAACCAAGATACTCTGCCACGACAAGTCTTCCTCGGTCGAGCTGGGATATTCAATGTCAACGCCTGAGAACCCAGACTCCTTTAGGATCGTGTCCCACTCTGACCCAGGAATATAAGGACACCATTGCCGGATAGGTTCATTAGCCAGCCACCAGCCAGGCAACTGGCCGAAGATGAGTGGATACCAAAGGAAGTCTTGCCGCGTTCCCTCTTGCATGATCAGTTTGCCGCCGGGGCGGAGCAGCAACCGCAAGTTGTGCAGCGCCGTGTGCAAGTTGGCTGTCGCGTGGATGACGTTACCCGCGAAGATCAGGTCGTAGGTGCCAGGTTGGAATCCCTGGTCAACCGGGTTTCTTTCGATGTTGAGGGATTGGAATGACATGATATCTTGCCACGACTGAAACCGTTTCTTGGCTTTCTCGAAGAACCTGGAGGAAATGTCTGTGAATCCATAGCTGGCAATGCTCCCGGCGTTGTTCTTGGGATCTGGGGATAGCACGTCAAGAACCTCTGCCGTAAAACTGCCCGTTCCAGCTCCGACCTCGAGTACTTTCAGTGCAGAATGTTGATGGCGGAGCAAAGAGAGGTAAGAATGCAGATGCTTCGGCAGGTTATAGAGATGAAGACTCTCTTTGTAAACCTTTTCCATCATGGAATCTTGCCCAAACATGAGATCAAGGGGTTCAACTTCTTGCTGCATCACCCGGACAATATTGCGGCCCATTCGGGTAGTGAGGGCGCCCTCCGCACTGGAAGCTTCGACTTTATCCCAAATCGCTTGCTTGAGAGCTTTATTGCCGGCCAGCTCCTGGAACTCACTATACGGGAGATGAATTATCGCGTTGGAGACAAGGTCTTCACGCATATGGAGCATCCACTCGTAGAATTTGCGCAGATGCAAGTCGACTTTCACCATGTCGAGATCCCTGAGTTCGTCCAGGGCGTCGGTCACGTACAGCATCGTAGCATGTTGAAACATTTTGACGGAATCTCGAGCCTTCTCACTGTCAATCTCCTTGGGGATTGTCAAGCTGCAAGCAGTCTGAGAATTGAGGAAATGTAGATCTGAACTCCATTTTATGGAGCTACACAATTGACGTTTTTTATTCTCCACAAGTCCCGGCTCCAGAGGTGTCAGCTCAATTCCATCCATGCGGATGCAAGGCGCGTGTGAGTCCTCATCCAGAATCCGAATTTGACCCTCGAATTTGTCGAAGGCTGCTACGGATACCGATGCATGACCTGTGTACTTGTGAGATGGCGCAGAAGTAAGTTCTGCCGATACCCAAACATCCCGAATGAAAGTGGGTAGCCGAATCTTTTCAAGATTCGGCTTCCCAGAGGAATCCAGCACGGCCGCAATGATCATATGGATCATGCTGTCCATTGTGGCCGGGTGGATGAGGTGAGGGTGCATGTATTGCTTTGGCATCGACTGCGCGATATCCGGAACGGTAACTGACCCAACGGCCGCGCCTTGCTTCTGTCCACTGGATCGAACATCTCCGAGATTCTGGAATAGGGGGCCAAAGGCGAGTCCAGATGTTTGAAAGTTGCTGTACATTGTTTGAAAGTTCATGTTCCGTGAACATATCTCTTGCGCTTTTATGAGACCAGCTTTCCAGGCAAGGCGTTCCTCTTCTTCTTCGCGGCCATTGTCAATCGGATCAAGGGGCAACTGGAATTCAACCTTGATATTGCCAGTGCAATGTTCTGTCCACTCGTCACTCGAAGCATTGTAAGAGCTGATTTGGAAGTGATGCCATATTCTTGATTCTGATGACCCTTCAGTGGGTGTCATGGATAAAGAGACCTCAATGCCATCCTTGGTGTCAGGAATAATCAAGGCCCTCATCATAGAAACACGTCGGAGACGAAATCCAGTGATTTTTTTCTCATTGACCAGTTGTCTCGACGCTTCAATCGCCATGATGAGATAGCCAACTCCGGGGTAGACATAGCTGCCAGTAACCTATATATCGTGAGTAGACAGACAATGAACTCTGAATGAATCAACATACCATGTGGTCCTTGAGCCAAGGATTCTCGTTTAACCGGATGAAATGCCTCCATCTTGGGGCATGGGCATTCCAATCTGCCACGGGGGCACCAAACAAATCATGTCGGGGGAATTTCCGAGATCGAATATTTTTGCTTAGGCGACTTTCATATAGGACCTTCTCTGTATGCTTGAAGCTGTACGGTGGCAGATCCACTAAAAGCCTCGCCCGTCTGTTGCCCGTGGGTCTGGAGGACAGGTTGATAGCGTGCAAGTCGAGCGGATAGCCACTTGCAACCAAGAACCCAAGTGTACTGAGCAAAACATTCAAGCTGTGGTCGTTGCGTTTGAGGATAGGGAGGTACTTGAATTGAGGCCGCTGATTCCTGGATGCAATCGTCTCTTTGATGGCGCTTTGTAATGCCGCATGCGGGCCTATTTCCACGATATGATGCAAAACATCGGCGCCGTCATCACCAGCGGAGTTGTATTTAGAACACAGCGCGTTCAAACCACTAGTGAACTGGACAGGAGAAACCATATTGTCAACCCAGTATTGGGCAGACAGATGTTCATCGCAGATCTCTTGTCCAGAGACAGTTGAAAACATGTGTACAACATGTGGCGCTGCCAATCGTTTTCCGTGCGGAAGTGTACCTATCAGACGCAAGTATTCGTCTGCAATGACCTCCATATGGGCAGAATGATAAGCGTTAGTAACATTAAGTTTCCGGGCGAAGACTCCATCTGCATCCAATAGCTTTTTCAGATTATCCACCATGGCCTCATCCCCAGAGACGGTGTTGTTCTTCGGGCTATTGTAGCAGGCGATGATGAGTTCTCCGATACAATCACTGTGAACAGAGTCAAGGTATCGTTGGAGCTGTGACGCGCTTAGACCCACGGCCATCATTGCTCCATTTGCTGCTAGTTGTTTCGACGAAACGTATCCGCGGTAGTACGCGACTTTCCACGCTGCTTCTCGTGACAATTTGCCGGCGCAATAGGTAGCAGCAATCTCACCAGATGAGTGTCCAGTCACACGTGTGGGAAAGATGCCCCAGCTGGTCAAGAGGTCGACAAGGGCAATTTGCAACGCCGTGCACAGGGGTTGGGCAACCTCGGGGAGGTTAACTCGCGAAGATGTGCCTTCGGCCAAGAGCTCGTCTATACATGTGTTAGTAAATAGGAAGCACACGTTGAAAAGAGGCCAATCTACCAATCAGTATCCAAGGACTACCCAGTCGACGAATGTATTCTGAGGCCTCCTCTAAAGACTCCCGAAAAACCGGATATACCATGAGCTCTCTGCCCATGGCCTGGTATTGAGCGCCCTGACCGGTGAAGACAAAGCTGATTTCTGGTGTCTTGGCAGTTCGCACAGGCTTGGTGAAGTTGCATTCAGATAGATTCCACGCAAGTTCCTTGACCGTGGAGGCCATGACGAAGCTCCTCCAAGAAAACAGAGTGCGCTTCTTCGACATGGTGAAGGATAGATCATCAAGAAGATCGCCATGAATTCCAGATTGCGCTGTCTTGCCATTGAGATAATGAGCATACTCGGCTGCAGTCCTCTTCACGCCCGTTTCGTCAAATGCCGTGACGAGGAAGACCCGTGGCACATCAACGAGATTTGTGTATGTTTCCATGGAGCGAAACACCGGAGAGGCACAAAATCCGTCGCTTGTAGGAGTGTCGACAAATACGAAACCATTTCCTGAGTGGTCACTCCCGTCAGCAGGATCGGTGATGGCCTGCCGTGGGTTCCTCAGGCCTGATATGGCCAGCAGCTGGCCTTTGATGTTATCTTTCGTGGGGACGCGAGGGTTGGTGTGATGAATCGCGGGGATCTGTCGTTCGTGGAGATAGTGATAAGCATCATCGAGAACACAGTGTGCATTGGTACCTCCAATTCCGAATGAATTCACCGATACCCTCCGTAAGCCAGATGATGGCCAAGGTATACTTTCTGTGGGGAAAGTAATATCCCACTCTGTCGAAGGGATTTTGGGATTTATTTCCTGGATGTCGAAGTTTGGCGGAATAATACCAGATTCCAATATGAGAATAGACTTGATGATGCTGGCGATCCCAGAGCCACCTTCCAAATGACCAATTGTGGATTTGATGGCTCCAACATAGAGCGGAGTATCACGTCGGCATTTAAATGCTCTCGCTAGTGCTCCGGCTTCAATAGGGTCGCCAGTGCTGGTGCCCGTGCCATGAGCTTCTACAAACCGTGTGCGTTCAATATCCAACCCGGCTTTCCAATAAACCTCTCTGATTAATCTCTCCTGTGCATCAGCACTGGGAACCGTTATACCAGGGGTCCGGCCATCCTGGCTGACACCGGTGCCGCGAATCACAGCTCGAATGGTATCGCCGTCTCTCACGGCGCTCTGCAAGGGCTTCAACACGATGGTGGCCGCACCTTCTCCTCGGGCGTAGCCTTCGGCGCGGGAATCGAAACTAAACGATCGACCATGGGATCCGAGCAAACCATGATGGCTCATGCCAATGGTTTCTACAGGGTTCTCCAAGATGCTCACTCCACTGACAACAGCCTGGTATGGAACTGTTAGCAACCCTTTTTTCACATGTGAAAATGTGCCGAAGCCTACCATGTGAGTCTCTCGAGCCCGTAAGCTCTGCACAGCAAGGTGAAGGGCCACCAAACTACTGGAGCAGGCAGTGTCGATAGTCATACTAGGCCCCTTGAAGTCAAAGAACCAGCTGACCCTGTTTGAAAGGATGGCATTAGTGGCACCGGTTGGTTTGTACTTCAAGGTCGTCTCGGGGTCGGAGTTGAGGATCCCGAGATAGTCATGGTTGAATCCGCTTACGAACACGGACGTGTTCGAGCCAACAGCATTGGTTAATGGGATACCGGCATTCTCCAAAGCATGGTAGACATTCTCCAACACCAGCCGCTGCTGTGGGTCAAGGGTCAGGAGTTCATTCTTGGTGATGTTGAAGAAGGACGCGTCGAAATACGCCGGGTCTTCGGCAAGGAAATGTCCTCCTTGAACATGGAACTGGATACTAAGGGTCAACGATATCCTGAATGATTTTCTGGAAATACTTACAGTCCCGCCATGCTCTGGATCAGGGTGATAGAACGCATCCGCGTTAAAACGTTCGCGTGGAACAGGAGTCCATGTCGTCCGTGCTTGCAACAGCAGCTCCCACAGATTCTCTGTCCTCGTCGCATCCTGGGGAAACCGCGTGGCAAGACCCACGATAGCAATGGGCTCCAGAGTATCAGTGGTCATGCCTCCATTACCAGTGACGCCATTGTCCAGAGACAAGGGACGCATCTTCTTTTTCTTCTTCGCTTTTCCGTCCCTTCCCTTCGTGTCTCATGTCCCACGCTCACCAGAAGAGAAAGTTATCCAACGACTCAAGGACTAGCAAGAAACAGACCCACGACAGAAAGATGAGAAGGATCCATATTTCTAATCGAGAACCGGGCAAGGCTAACGCGATTTGAAGCTTAGGTGCGAAGAGGGGAGTTGCGAACACGCTAAAAAAAAGGCTATCCGACGGCGTTCAAGAACTCCCGAGGTTGATGGTTGCGTCTGGGCCTCCGGGATCCACGCTTATTTTTCTCATTTCATTTTCTCTCTCATTTGCATTGATCTTCACCTAGCCATCAGTGGGTACCCGTGTTTAGACAGAATGGATTGGATGACGAGGAGTCTCTAGCGGTCAAAGCTTCCCACTTCTCCAATTCTCGTTCTTGTAATCTTGTTCCGTCAACAAGGGGAACCGGTGGATCCGCTCTCCGTCGCACAGACAAAGCCCCGTCGCACAATAGTACTAAATACAGACGTAATTTTTTTCAACAATTGCTTGCAAACGGGGCGCTCCATTGGCCCGCCGCGCTGGAAACAAAACAACAGAACAAAACGCCACAATCTCCCCGAGATCATCCTGCGGGATGCCATGAAAAGAGGCTTTGGCATCCTGCACATGTGCTTTAGTCTATGTCGATCGCTGTCAGCACCAACGGCGGACCCTGGTTGAAATTCTGCAGATGTTGCGCCAATGTCGCCTTTTCCATCCATGGTTTGCACGCAAATCGTCCCAGCAGTGGGATTTCGATCACCCTGCAGAAGATCGGCCCTGATGATCCCCGGCATGATCCCCGACGTGGACTTTTGAGAATGCCGCGGTAATCCTTCTTCTATGGTGCATCCTAGCTTGGCAATTGACGAATGCTACTACGCTATCCTGTTTTCTATCGGACCAGCATATTATAGTATCTACACCGTCTGTTGACATCCGAATGGCCCGTTCGAGGAAACATGATTCATGTAGGACCCACACCGGAGGTGTCATGAAAGGCACTGGGCAGCCGTTGGACCTTGCCACCCATGCAAGCTCACCAATATGGAAACTGTCAGGACTTGGTTCGTTTTTTTTTTCATGGGCGTTCCCCTCGGCGCCTCTCCGCTGGGATCTAGACTTGACCACCAAGTCGGGTCTCACCATTCAGGCAACCGGTGCATAATCGCTACAAGAGGTCAAGGCTTTTTGCCTTCCTGCACCATGGGGGTCATCAAATAACGTGGGCATCGTGCATTGGTCAGTCTCGGGCCCAGGAACTCTTTTCCCACTTCTACCTTGGCGGTCCGATGAATGGATTATTCTTGTGTATGCGAACATGTGGCGGACAAGATGGGGTCTGAGCTCACGATGCAGACGATCATTGTGTATCCTCGTGGGTAAGCCCTCGTGCCGTTCGTGGAAACTGCAGATCGCTGGCTGGGTCTAGGCGACATTGCATAGAGTATCGGCCCTGTATTGTTCAATTTGGAATTGCCGTGTCATCCGCTGTGAGCTAAGGCCACCGGACGAACGGTGGCCCAGAATGTGGAGATCGAAGTGAGTTCGCATTTCGCTCGCATCTTGCCCTAACGCATGACTGCTAGCGAAGGACTGTGGGTTCTCCGCTCGTGCCAGGGCGGGGTTGCTGGGATGGCCTACGTAGTAGTTACTTTGTGCGAGAAAAGACAAGTGGAGTATTATTAAACAGTTCGCCTGTGAGATAACTATTAGAAAGAGGACGTTAAAAATACCTCTAGTCATTCAGAATTGTTCCTGGCTCTTGCAAGGGGCTGTTATTGACCGGGTTCTCACCGGGTCCCTTCCGCTGCAGACTAAGTATGACCGGGGTTTATTTACCGAGAACATCAAAGCGTTGATAATTGGGTTTATTTTATTTCTAGTTCAACAGCCACCAACATTCTTTCTAAGTTCAAGTTGCGTTGGTGATGGCAACTGCCAGGTGGACAACAAACTTTGCGGGCCTTACGGCCTAACCGTCGTTGAAGTTAAAACATTCCAAATTTTGCCTTTGATGTCAGCCAGCAGTGCTTTGAAGCGAAGCGAAACTTTTCCTTGCAATTATTTGTCAGAGGGTGAATCATCTTCATTGGCTCGTGTTCAGTATGCATTTGTGCTGGGACACGTGGATATATACAAGCACTGACTGGAAGAGAAAAACGATCTTGATGTTGATGGCATCAATGGAAAAATAATGATACTTTGACTCAAGATGTGCAGCGTAGCAGAACTAGACACCAGTTCTATTGTATATATGCTCATACTCTGACAGCTCCCCAAAACGAAAAGGAAAAAGACCAAATTCTAATCTAGTCCAGCCAATTCGAGAGCCGGTAGCGAAAAAAGGCAGTGGTTACAATGTACAAAGATGAATTCAATACCTCCTCACAGCTCGTCTTTGCCCTCCTCCGCCGGCGGAGGCACCGGCCGGCCGCTATCCTTGGCCAGATCGACACCGATCTTCTTGCGCCATTTCTCCCACAGGGCAAAGAATTCCTTCTCCATGCCGCTCTCCATCTCATCGGGTAACACAACCGTGTACTCCACGTAGAGCTTGCCAGGGGAATCGTCTTCTGACTCCAAGTCATGCAAATGACCCTCCGAGTAATGCGGCATTCCCTCGCCATCAACCGTCTCAACAGATAGTGGCTGCACAACCTCGCCGCGCTTGCGTCCAAGGCGAACCACATGGCCATCCAGATGCGTCAGATTGCGCGACCACTCGCCCATCCATGCCTCTCGCAGCGACAGGGTCTCCTTCCAGAACAGATCCTTGCCCTTGCGGCGGAAGAACGTGCCATCTGTGCGATCTTCGTCTGACGATCCCAGTTGTGGTTCCCTCTCGTCCAGAACCAGAATCAGGTCGCCGGCAACCCAGTCCGGGCTCTCGTCCGCCTCATTCTCAAATACCAGTCGCTGGCCCTTGTCCATTCCGGGCTCAACGTCCGCGGCCATCTCGACTTGGTTTCTCACAACTCGGCTGCCATGGCATACGGGACAGGGGTTCTTGATCTTTTTGCCTTGTCCACCGCACCTGTCGCATTGCATTTGTACCTGCTGGAACATGCCCGGCGCGAGCATGTGCTTCTTAATCACCACCCCGCGTCCACTGCACAGATCACAGGTCTCGACCTGGTGGTCTTTGGACCCGGTGCCCTCACACGTATCACAGATCTGCTGTTTCTCGATTAAGAATCGAATCTCATTCCCCATGTAGAAGTCACGGAGAGGCAGTGTTGCCCGCATCTCCATATCCGGTCCACGGCGCTGTCCTGGCGCGTGTCCAAAATGACCACCTCCTCCAAAGAAGCGCGAGAATAGATCAAAGGGATCATGCGGTTGCCCGCCCGCGGCCCCGCCTTTCCGTTGCTGCTCGACGCCCGCGTGACCGTATTGGTCGTAGACTTTCCGTAATGACGAGGTTGAGAGCACGTCGTATGCGTCTGCGATTTCGACGAACTTATCGCGAGCCGAGTCATCTCCACTGTAGCAAAGCAAGAAAAACACAGGTCAGGATAAAGATGTGATCAACGACTAGGTGGTGAGTAACTCACGGATTCTTGTCAGGGTGATATTTCTTGCTGAGCGTACGGTACGCCCGCTTGATATCCCTCTCCGACGCGGACTTGTCCAGTCCCAGGATCTTGTAGTAGTCCTCCGCAGCGAGCACAACCGCCGAAAACAACACCACGGCTAGCGCGAAAAGAAACCGGTACCACTGCATTGCGTGTAAAAGCTGTCGGCGCGACTGATATAATCCGGGGTATATATAATTGGGAGGTAGAAGCTTCAGCCCAGATAAGACCTCCGAGAAGCCTTGGTGTCGGAGCTGCCTGCAGGAGCGAGTACGTGCGATCGAGGATTAAGCGACAGTCATGGGGTAATGGGTGGACAACCTGGGTATGTCCGATGAGCCTTGAAGGGAATTGCGTGCGGCAATGAAGGACAATCCTGACAGTTCTCGAAGTAAATACGCTCGGATCGAGTACATTAGGTGGCCGCAGGAAGAACGTTGGGCCGATGGTCACGTGGACTGTAGGGGTGGCAGAATATTACCGCCTCATTTTTTTATCGCAAAACTTCTAGACAGACAACCACCTCGCTCTCAAGTCCCAGTGACGCAAAACAACCGCCAAAATGGTTCGCCAACTCAAGCATCATGAGCAGAAGTATGTGTTTTCTTCCCACTCCCGAGATGTTCCTCTCCAGTCCTCCCACTCTCCACAATCCTTCACCTCAAACCAAACCCTCTGCACCAGTTCTTCAATCCTAACAGAACGGCAGACTCCTCCGGAAAGTAGACTTCCACACCTACAAATCCGATGGCTCGCATCGCGAACACCACATCCGGCAGCGATACATGCTGCAAGACCCCATGGACTACAAGAAATACAACGCTCTCTGCGGCTCACTCCGCCAACTCGCGCACAAGCTCTCAGCGCTCGATCCCGACGGCGACGCTACCCGCAAGAAGATCGAGTCTGAACTGCTGGAGAAGCTGTGGCGGATGGGGATTCTGAAACAATCACGCGAGCAGGGGGCGGGTCTTTCGAAGGTGGAGCGGGAGGTTACCGTTTCTGCGTTTTGCCGACGGAGATTGGCGGTGCTGATGGTGAGGAGTGGGATGGTTGAGACTATTAAGGCTGTGAGTTTTCTCTCTCTCCCCATTCCTCTTTTGGATAAAGATGGAATATACAAGTGGCCGCGAAAGGACTAACATGATTCAAAAGGCAACCACATTCATCGAACAAGGTCACGTCCGGGTTGGGACAGAAGTCGTCACCGACCCGGCCTTCCTGGTCACCCGTAACATGGAGGACTTTGTCACCTGGGTGGATTCGAGCAAGATCAAGCGGAACATCATGCGCTATCGCGAGAAGCTGGATGATTTCGATTTGCTGTGATGCAGAGACATACATATACAGCGGAGGGTTGAAGCAGAAGCGGTTTTATGAGATATATACCCCGTGCATAGATCCTTGAACACCAGGGATGGAAAATGGCGTTTCGAGTTTGGGCTTGAGTTGTGTACTGTGCTGCTTGTTTATTTATAATATATGAGATGTCCTTCTTTACTTACGAACGATACCAAATCGGAGGCTGTTGCTGTCGGGCTTTCTACACGGTACTATATATACTACCCAGGTCTATAATCTCATCCCATGGGAGGCGACAATGTGAAGAAAATAAACATAAAAATAAACGGCCTCATCTGTATATCAGAGGCTGGTATCTGACCATGCTAAGAATGTATGTACACCGTATAGTAGTAACCAATGAAGGGTATCTCAGTCTTGATATCGGTCTTGCTGTGGGTATTGGTGCTGATTCGGCAATGTTAACAACAAAAAAGAGGAAAGGAAACAGAAAAAGGAGAGAAACAAACTCAAGTCATTAGTAAAAGTGGCACCACACAAGGAACAGGTGGTCCACGTTGGGGGTAGGATATGATGCAATGCGATGCGATGTCATGGGAGGTTATGCAATCTGATGTAATGCGATGCGATGCAAGGGTATCTGCAATGGGTGTAGGTAATAATGCAACGGAAACAGCAATGGGACTGGGAATGGGAGGGGGCCAATGCTCATGCAGGCGTTCGGATCAAAATTCATGGTATCATCGTAAAGATAGGGCAAGGGGCTTACACAGCACCGGTGCTGCGTATAGCCAAACAATAAGGGAAAAGAGAGCGTATGGAAAAGATAAAAGAGCACCAGCGTAATTCAAGGCGCAGTCTTCGTGCGTAGAGGAGTCCACCGTCGGCGGCCCTCATTGGCATGAGACGAAAGATTCCGAGCTGGATAACCCACCATCTGGACATGCGGTTTATGATTATGGCAGCCATCCTCCTCAAGCCCACAATCCTCGTCTTCATCCGCATGCCTCATCGTCGAGCCAGCCCAATCATAATCCTGATCATCAGGCAAATCCATCCGAAACCTGCGCACGCTGCCCTCGCGACCCCGACTCGACCGCCCCTCCTCGAAGAAGGGAGTCCGCGAGTCATCAGGCCGGAACCAGCGCGGCGCAACACGGCGCCACAGCCCGCGCACGCCACGGCTGGCACGGTCGATCTTCTCGTACTCGCGCCGGCGGGTCGTGGGCGATGTCCATTCCATTACTGTGGCGGGGACGTGGACTGATGAGGCGGATGGGCTGTGGATGTGTTCCTGCCCGTGTGCATGGTCTGGTCCCGAGCTGGGGAGGGTATATGAATATGACCTCTCTCGCGAGGGACGAGAAGGCGCGGCAGAGCTCCCAGAGCGGCGATGAAAGTGGTACTGCTGGTCTGCTGCACGGCTGGAGTGAGACGAAGCAATAGGTGAGGGCGGCGCCGAGCCCGAGCCCGCATCGGACGAAGTCCGCGGCTCAGGCCTGTGCCTGTAACTCGACGAGACCCTCCTCGACGACGAGGGCCGTCTGGCTACATCCTCCAACGACCAAGGGCTTGCCTCCTGGTCCTGGAACAGCCTGACCGACTCGCGATGCAGCGCAAGCAACGACTCGCGGCGTTCCTGCGGCGTGGTGCGCGAAGTACTTGCCACGGGGACGATGGTGGCATTCGGGACCGACCGCCGTGCAGAATGCAGCGAGTTGCGCCGACTTGTTGGGCGAGAGCGGACGGCGCTCCGGGACCCTGGGCGCGAGTGGTTTGCTGAGGTCGGCGGTGATTCCAGGTGTGGTGGTGGATCAACCCTTTTCATCATCTTAGGGGAGGAGCAGTCCGTGGGGGAGCATGGTGCGAGCTCGGACACGGCGATGGCCGCAGAGGTTGTTATTGTCTTTGACAAGGTTTCTGCGTCCATGTGCAGGGTGCATGTGATGGACATGGTGAATGTATTGTCGATCCACGATCAGATTAGGTATAGACAAATCATGGTGGCGGACTGTGCTTCATTCGGGGATTGGGAGTAGAAGAAAATCAAAACGAGAGAAAAGAAGTAAGGACGCAAAAGAAAACATTAAAAGCAACGATGAAACGAGGGGTTTTACACCGCTAGACGCCGTGCCTGAGACGATACTAGCTGGTGGGCCCTTGATTTTTTTCTTTCTGGGCGTCAAAACCTGCAGGGGTCCATCGTTGCCCCAAGGGGAAAGTAGATAGTGGGGTTCTATTATGGTTGTCAGTGTGCTGGCAGGACCCTCCGCCATTGGCAATAATCCTCAAGGCTTTACTCCATGCATGTATCTGTACCTAGTTCGGTATGTACCTAGCGACTAGCCCTAACTCAGTCCCTCACTAATGACTACAGCGAATACTCAAACTCGGGGTTCTCCCGGTCCGTCAAATCGAGCCATCTAGACGACTGTCAGCGGTGATCATGACGACAGAAAAATTGAGAAACACTGACTCCTGATTCTCCAAGCGCACATAGCCCGGCTGGGCCCGAGCCTCTGCCTTGCGCCGATTCTCCCGCCTATACCAGAACCACACACCAACCAATAGAAACAGGCACACGCCCCAGCAGATGATAATTGTGATCTCGGCGGGGACGTAGCGCGGGGCATCCTTGGGGCGGAAGGTTTGGGGTCCTAATTAGTTGAGCGTGGGCGGTTAGTAACGACAGGCTAATTAACTTAACCCAAGCTAGTAACTAGTTTCCCCAACCACCAACTACTATAGAGCGGGGCAGAAACACTTCGACTCACCGATGATGTTCCCCGCGCAGTATCCGATCAGATACATAGCGGCAACTGTTGTCTTCTTCGTATACCCAGCCACATTCGACGAGATCAGGGACAGCAGCGCCACGAACGGCGTCGGGCTGGCCTGCGTCATGTAGTACCCGAGCAGACGGCCGACTTTGTTCGAGAGCGGGAGGGCGACGATTAGAATCATCCCCACGATGGACGCGACCAGCCCGCCGAGACTGGCGAGGATCCGCTGTCCTGTGATGTGCCCGATGTACCCGTTTAGGAGCAGCGAAATCACCTCGACCGCGCCGCCGGGCGTGCCGTATAGGAGGCTCTGTTCTGCGGTATATCCGAAGCTAGTGATCTGATGGTCGTCAGGTCAGTAGTTGTTGGAGGGGGAGAAAATCACACCCAAACTCACCAGCTGGCTAAAGAAATTAGTGATTCCCCCATTCGGAATATCGGCCAACAGGGCATAGAAGAAAAAGGCCCACGACATGGGATCCATGAGGGCCTCTTTCAACTGATACATCTTGAAATGCTTATTACCGATCCCCTGCTGGTTAATGCGCACCCGTGCCACAGCCAGCACGCGGTCTTCTTTGCTCAGCCACCGCGCATTCAGCTGGTTATCCGGGACAACCCACAGAAACACCAGACCGAGCGCGATGGTCAGCAAACCCATCACCAGGTACACGATCTTCCAGGACTCGATAGCGGCGCCGTGCTTCTCTGTGCCGATGGCGATCCCGTATGCCACGAACCCGCCGAGGATCTGTCCGAAGCCGTTGAAGCTGAACCAGATGTTGACCCGGCTGCCTTGTTCTTTCTTGGTGTACCACTGTGTCCGGTTAGTGATTTGGGCTTTATGTATCTAACCGAAGGAAGGGGCTAAGGGTGCTTTGCTCTCACGGACCTGCGAAGTCAACAGCGCAAAGCCCGGCGTCACGGCCGCTTCAAACACGCCGAGGAAGAAGCGGATGGCGATGGCGCCCGCGTAGTTTTGCACGCCGGCGAAGCAGCTCAAAATCAGACCCCAGATCAGGATGCAGGCTGCGGAGTATTTGCCCAGTGGGAGGCGCTGGAGGAGGCGGCTGGTCGGATACTCCCAGGCGAGATACCCTAGCATACATCGTGAGTGACTAATTGCATTGCCAGGAAATAGTAAGCCGAGATACCAAAGTAGAACAAACTCCCCAGCCACTGATACTGATCATCAATCAGATGCAAGTCCTCCTTGATGCCCATCACACTCGCATAGGAGAGTGTAGTCTCTGATAAAAGAGAAGATCTAGTCAGAAGTGACCCCTTTTCACAGTTCGGTGTTCATGTATATAACATACTGTCCAGATAATTCATCCCATAGACCACACACATAATCGGCATAATGTGCCAATCGATTGTTCTCAACAGTCGCCGATTCGTCGCCTCGTCCAGCTCGATCGCTTCCCCCTGGATGCCCTCGAAGGCCTTGAGCGCCTCGTCGGCATCATGCGAGTGCTTCTCCAGACGCTGGGTGGTTTTCTCCACATCCACGGCAGAGGAATGGCCGGCTGCTTTGTCGTCGTCCGGCATTGAACTGGTGCCTAGTGGTATTGTTATAGACTAGAAGAGTGGAAAGGGTGAAGTTGGTATGCAAACAACCTTGGCAGGAGAAGGGGGTTGCATAAATACTGCGTCAATCAGTAGTACATATCCTCCTCCCCTCTCCCTCTTTCATGTGGCGTTATCTGAGAGCTCTTTGTGCTCGTCTGCCAGTGGGTCAGTGATAACAAACCAAAGCGGAGGCTAGGACGTCTGATTGGGCACCGCGAGAGGGGAGTGAGGAGAAGCTAGGATGATCGGCGTCAACACGGGCTGGTGCCGGCAAGATGGCGAGATAGGGAGTGGCCTCCACCCGACAGTGGCATAGTCATAGGTACATAGTACGATTTCTATAGTTTGCAGTAGTTTATATGTAATTATTGGACACGCGCCAGATATGCCGCCCAGCCCTGCTGCTGATACTGCCTCGCTGCTTCAACTGGATCCGGCGCAGCATAGATGCCCCTTCCAGCAATGATGAAGTCTGCACCGCGCCCAACGGCCGACTGTGGCGTCTGATACTGCTGCCCGAGCTTATCGCCCTTAGATGAGAGGTTAACCCCGGTCGTGAAGACAACAAAGTCCTCCTCCTCCGATGGCGCAACAGAAGTACCCTCCACCTCACCCAGCGATCGAGTCGAAACGAACCCCAGCACAAACGACGGGTAGTTGCGCGCGTAGTCCACCGAGGAAGCCGTGTACGCGCCCGTCGCGAGCGATCCCTTCGAAGTCATCTCAGCGAGGATGAGCAGGCCGCGCTCCGGGCCGTGCGGGAAGTCCGCGGCCTGAGCGGTTTGCGCGAGGGCCTGCACGATGCCTTCACCGGGGAGAATGGCGCAGTTAATGATGTGTGCCCATTCGGAGATGCGGAGGGTGCCACCGTGGTATTGTTTTTGGACGGTATTGCCGATGTCGATGAATTTGCGGTCTTCGAAGATGAGGAAGTTGTGTTTTGAGGCGAGGGCTTGGAGGCCGGTGATTGTTTCTTCGCTAAAGTCGGAGAGGATGTCGATGTGGGTTTTTATCACGGCAATGTAGGGGCCGAGACCTGAAGGTTATGACATTCCTGTTAGCAACTGCGAAGAAGAACTGGCCGAGAAAAATGGATGTTCGTACGGTCGGCTAGGTCAAGCAGTTCTTTGGTGGTGGTCACGTCGGCAGACACCGTCACATTGCTCTGCTTGGCTTCGGCGACCTCGAAGAGTCGGCGAGCCAATGGGTTGGGGTGTGTACGGGCGCGAGCGCCGTATGTCAAGTGCGACTTGGAGGACATGTTGGAATGAGATGAAGCAAACAATGAATCGTGAATTCATTGCGGGAACTTTTTACTGCGCCGCTTCACCGCTTTACACATCTACAGATCCACTCTCCTTCAAGCAAGAGTGAAGTATTCAATTCAATTTACTTGACAAGGATAATAACAAGGTGATGGTATTACAGCAAATCCCGTCCGACGCCAAACACACTCAATCCCCACAGCGCACCCTGCGCCAACCAAAACATCCCACCCATCATACGTCCCTTACCCTGCGGCTTGCCCGAGTAGACGTAGCCATACAGGAACAGCGTACGCAGCACCACCCACGCGGCGCCAATGGCCGTCGCATACTCGGGGTACTTCACGCCAGCAACGAGGGTGAAGAGCATAGTCTGCGGGGCGTTCTCGAGGAAGTTGGAGTGGGCGCGCTGGGCGCAGTTGAACTGCTCGGCCGAGGCCTGGATGGACATGGATCGTTAGTGAGGTAGAGAGGGAGGGAGGGAAGGACTGACATTCTCCTTGCACTGCTCAACGGTGGCATAGCAGTGCGGGTAGGGCACTTTGGCCTTCTTACGGAAGCTGGTGGTGATTCCGCCGTGGATGAAGCTGAGGACGGGGATGGCACCGAGGGCGACCGCGATGACGGCGCTAGGGTTAGTTAGCAAGAGGTCCAGAGATCGAAGATAGGAGTAATTAACGCACCCGTAGTTGTTGGGGAGCGTGATGGAGACCATTTTGACTGTAATGAGTAGTAACTTGACGGACTGACAAGGGGGTTGTGGAGAAGCTTTTAAGTTGCGGCGGGACTCGGGCCTTGACTGGGCCGATCAATGGCTCGGGGCTTCAATCTATCCGACTCGGAGGTGTTTCGATGGGGCTCCATGAGGTGCCATCCGGATGATCGTTATTATTGCGGTAGCCTAGATTTATTTACTGTCGTGGGGGAATATTGTGGGGAAATACATGGTTGCTTCTGCCAACAACAATGCGATTGTCTCCCCGTGTCAGACATGATTGAAATAACCAACCAATTACCAGATCAAATGCTAAATCGTGTATGCAATCGCCAATAGATCCCTCAAAACATCACAGCCGTATCTTGCTCACGCTGCCGTACTTGGCCTGCCACGCGAAGAAATACAACAGCGCCCCGAGTGGCTGGCCCACAAGGCAGAAACTCACCCAGAAAATACAGTTCCCGATCGTCTTGCCCAGCTGATCGCGCTTTTTCTCCAGAGGCGCGGTGAGGGCGATCAGAGGTAGCTGGAACATCATCCCCGCAAATGCGACTCCTGCATGGGCAGACATCAGTATCATTAGCTGCATAGTGGATCACAAGGGGAAAAAGGGAACCCATACCAATGAAATTATGCGTGGGAATGCCCACCAGCATCTCATGCAGAATGGCCGACAGCGCAAACACCATCCCGCTCGCCGCCAGCGGACTCCAGCCCCGGCCGACGAGCGGCGAATAGACATGTCGCTTCATGAAGAGGTATACCGGTCGATTCCACGACCTCCAATACATACCCAGACTCGAACTGTTCCACCAATCTGTATAAAATTCGCGGTCGCCAAACCGCATGACCTCCGCCAGGGCGTTCAGGAGGGCCTGGAACAGGGCAAAGAACCCGGCGAGCCAAATGATCAGCGAAATCGTGGACAGTTTCATCACCCGCTCCAGAATGGAGGCGATGTCCATCACGGCGATTTTATCGATCGAGTTGCGCAGGACGGGGGCCGCGTATTGCGCCGACAGGAGCCAGATGAATACCGAGAGGCCGACGAATTCGGCGAGACGCTTTGCGACAAAGGACCAGCGGATGGACGAGCTGCGCGGGTAGACGGGCTGGTAGACCAGTGTCGGCGCGAGCCAGAAGTAGCTCAGGTTGCCAATGGTGATGTTGCGCGGGTATGGGCAAGACGAGTATATATCCGGCAGACCCGGGTCCGCGGAGGGATTGAGCAGCGCGAGACGCAGGTCCCGATTGGTGAAAGCATAGGAGCAGATCTTCAGCCAGACGATGATGGCGTGCAACTCGCAAATGGTCCCAATGCCGGGGTGGTGGATGTAGAAATAGACCACGAAGCTGGTGACGGCCAGACACAGGGTGGCATTCAATGTATGCAGGAAGGCCGTGTAGGGCCAGGTGGATTGGAACACCTTTTGGTCGTATTCCTTTTCCTCGGCCGTCTTTTTCTGCAGGCCAATGGTCTGTTTGGCGGCTCCGGCGGCGGCCGACTCGATCAGATAGGCCACGAGTAGATGGCACGGCACCAGTGCGAAGAGAATCGAGCCTAAGATCAGGTCTTGTTTGCGATAGTCGTGGCATTTGATGCAGATTAGAACTCCATACTGTGCTGGCTGTCAGCGTGCCCGGAATTTGTGGTTTGCAAGCACTTACCTTCATGAAATTCTCAATGATCAATCGCAGATTCATCGCCACTATTTCGCATCAGCAGAGGTCCATATAGCATGATTCGTACCCCGTACCGAGAACCAGCACCATCAGATTCCGAAACCCCAGAAAACTGGGCGTCACATTCGCCTCGCGACTGAGACTGGAGTGTCTCAGCTGCGAGTGGTACGCAGCTACATGTCGATACTTGCTGCGCCGGGGCTTGGACTGCGATGAGCTCAGTGCAGCGTTTACAATTGTCTCGGCTGCTGTAGACGACGTTGTCTCCGTAGCTTCGGTCTGCGTCATATTGCCTGGGTCTTGCGGAGCTGAGCCGAGCCAAGCTGAGCAGTGGTCAGGTCGTAGCTATCCACCGTGCTAGAATGCCCGCAGAGAATCAAAATCCACGAGCGACACAGGTAAATTGGAGGGATGCAGAATGCCCTTGCATGGCAGGAGGAAGAAAAAGAAGAAGGACCCTGCTATACACACCGATAATAATCAAGGGCTCGACTTCGGCGGGGGAATGAGGATCATAGCGCAACAACAGAGATAAGGCGGAATCAGCACGTGCCCTGCTAGGAGACTTCCGTGATCACCTCTCACCAACTCGAAGTCTCCCAGGTGCACACCCATACCACACACAGGTATGGCCTACTACGACGACCATGGGGACCAGGCCGGGGGCCGGTTCACGAAGAACTATGACAGCGGTCCGATGGGACCCCGGCGACCACGTATGTGATGCTGTGGAGGTTGCGATCCTCAGCGCGCGCTCGACTAACAACAACCAGGACTCGTCACGGATTACGGCTCGTCGATGGTGCAATGGATGCGCACGCGGCGCCCACAGTACAAAGGAGGTCACCGCATGGAGACTGAGCGACCGAGTGCGAGTTTCATGTTGGATGTAGGTGTGCTCGGAGCCTTGACAGTCACAACCGGGCTGATTGATTTTTGCTAGATGCTCCCTCCCATGGCCCGAGTCCATTCCCCTGCCGATAGCATTCCCGTGCGACACCTGCATCAGTCGATTGGAAAATCGAAGAAACCCATTACCGTGGTGCGATGGACGCCCGAAGGGAGACGCTTGTTGACCGGTGGACATACGGGGGAGTTTATGCTCTGGAACGGAACGGCCTTTAACTTTGAGACGGTCATGGATGTGCGTTTTGCCCCATTCTCTTGTTATATTTGCGATGTATTAATTTCTGGCAGGCACACTACGATCAAATCCAAGCGGGTGTCACCTCGATCGCATTCTCTCATAGCCAGGATTGGCTGATTTCTGGCGGCCAAAGAGGCGATATCAAATACTGGCGGCCGAATTTTAACAACGTCGAGACGATTGATGACGCGCACCACGATGCAGTACGTGACCTGGCGTGGTCACCCGGCGATACCAAGTTCCTGTCCGCATCAGACGACACGACCCTCAAGATCTTCGATTTCACCTCTCGAACCTGCGACACCGTGCTGTCTGGACACAACTGGGACGTCAAGTCCTGTGATTGGCATCCGACCAAGGGCCTGTTGGTGTCTGGGTCGAAGGACCACCAGGTCAAGTTCTGGGACCCGCGCACGACGCGGTGTCTGACGACCCTCCACAGCCACAAGAACATCGTCAATACCACGCGCTTCTCCCGGGTGAATAGTAACCTACTTGCGACATCATCGCGAGATCAGACTGCAAGGGTCTTTGATTTACGCATGATGCGGGATATTTGCATTCTACGTGGGCATGAGAAACCGCTCTCGTCATTGACGTGGCATCCGATTCACAGCAACTTGATTTCCACCGGCAGCGAGGACGGATCTTTGCACCATTATCTACTGGATGAACCCAATCTGCCCAGCGGCCAGATGCCCACGGTGGCTCCATACGACAGCCCAGACCCCGCCAACACCCCAGCGCAGGTGATCTACCCAGCGCATCGCATCCAATACGCGCACGCCGCCACGATCTGGTCCTTAGACTGGCACCCGCTGGGCCACATCCTGGCGTCTGGATCAAAAGACAACTTTACTCGATTCTGGTCTCGCGCCCGTCCGGGCGAGACAAGCTACCTGAAAGACCGCTTCCACATCGGCGAAGAGGCCGCCGAGGCCCAGGGGACATGGAGTCGCGGCTTTGGCCGGAAACAAATGCGCGAGGAAGAGGAACAAGAAATGCAGGACGAAGCGGACAGCTTGGTCGACCAGCGACGGCCCGGCGCGCCTTCTCTGCCGGGTATCCAAAGCGCTCCTCAACCAGATGTACCGGGACTTTTGCCGGGTATTGGCGCTGCGCAGCCTCCACCGCCTCCCCAACTGCCAGGCATGCCTGGCGCCATCCCGGGCATGGATCCGGGTCGCTTGGCTGCTCTGCTATCTGCCCAACAACCCCCGCAGATGCATAGCAATACTCCGCCACAGGGGATACCGGGGTTCCCAATGATGCCGGGAATGGGAGGTCCACCACCACCGGGTGCTCCGCCTATGAATGTCGACATGGCACAGCTGCAGAAACAGCTACTTGCGCAGGGCTTTCCGATACCGCAAATGCCTGGACCTCCTGGTGCATTTGGTGCCGGGCTACCTGGTTTGCATGGAAGCGGGACACCAGACGGCAACAGAAGATAATTTGCTGCAAAATAGGCGTACGGACACAACATTGGGATGGCTGTTCGGGCTCTGCGATTATCCGGATGTATAATAGGAAGGCGTTTGAATGTTCCATAAGCATTATACTCGTGAATGCGACTCTTCTTTTTTGGCCGCCTTCGTTTCTGAGTAAGGTGTAGCTCAGGACCATAACCGTTTGGGCTGAGCAAGGCAGGGCACGCTGCCTTTGTTTGTCCTTTCTGTGTAGAACGTATTCCGTACAATCTTCAGCGTAGGCGGAGGAGATGGTCACCACAAATGCGACCCGGAGCAAAAGAGTCCACTTCCTCAAAGACCACCTTGCATCGGGAAGCTGGTCAAGATGAGTACCATGACATTGACAGCGCCCCAAACCATGGGCAACCAGGTCGACATTCTAAAGTTTCCCGCTTCATAAACGGCACCAATACTACTCCATCAATTTCGAATTAGCACATCCATCTTCCAGTGTCCTCTTGCACGGTATCTCCTTTGCCCTTGTAGAAGACAAAGAAACTGAAGACGAAAATGAAACGAGATACTCACATAAGTCCGACAATACTCCCCGCCAACAATCCCTCCAAGCCGGCAACGATACTATAAACGAAGGGAACGATCCAGATAACGCTCCAATTGCGACGATGCACCAGCACCGCACACCCGGCGACGGAGAGGTGTGTGGCGGCGTAGAAGATCAGAGTCCAGTAGAGCGTGAAGCGCCAGATGTCTTCCGTGTAGTAGAGATAGTATGCGCGGTGGAAATGGGATGGGAGTGGGTAGTAGAGCGAGGGGAAGGTCGGGGTTTCGTAGTTGATCGGAACGCGGTTGTCGGCCATGTCATAGGTGTTGTTGTTCCTTGTTGGTACTGCCGAGGGTGTCTCGGGCAGCTGGTGGGAGGGGTCAGATCATGGCTTGAGCGTGGGTATGAATGGACATGTGTGTAAGTGAATTATGTTATTGTTGTTGTTGAGCTCTGGTGCAGGAGCTGCGCAGGTGAGCCGTGCGCCTGTTTGCAGTGTTTGCTCAGCGGGCTTGTACTAATAGGCCTGATCAGGCGGCAGAAGTGTAGATCAAGAAGTATGTTAGCCGTCGGTCAGACCTTCCTCTTTCTCCTTTCCTTTTTTATCGCCAACCTGGCACAGAGGTAAATCTTCGTCAGGCATAAAATAACATGGAAGGATGAGAAACATATGTATGTTCTATCTGCGCGTCTTGCTGCCGTTCCGGTACTAATCCACCCAGTATTTTCTGATCTTATTGGCCTGCTTGACAGCCACGATACGTCCCCCTAGGGCGCCATTGCTGTTAAATACTAAGACCGCATAGAGCTATTGACGTTATTGGCTATATTGGCGGAATTCCATTAAACGATTGCTGATTGATGATAAAAATTGTCTGCACTTGAGTTTACCGATACGATATTGGCCAAAGTCTAGCCATATCGTCAAATCGGCGATATTTTGTTATTTCACCGGGGGGGGGGGGGGGGGTGCGCGCGGACGAGTTTTAAATAGTATTCTCTATTCCGCACGTGTGCCAATGGTTGAATGGTACTACTTGCTAGCTCAAGTTGCGACGTTGGAAATATCCACGAACTCCGTAGGCCATGAAAGAAAAGGATGGCATAATCAAGCCACTATTTAGGTGCATAACGTACAACTAGACTGTGACAATATCTTGCAATGCGCTCAGATATATCAGCTTTTAGAAATGAAAAGAAAACAGACCTGACCCGGAAGAAGGCGCGTTGTAGGGCAACTCTACCGCGCTTGGCCACTGCTACTTACACCCATCACGAGTAAACGTTAGCATTCCTATGGCGTCGCCCTTCAAAGAATCCCTACGGATACCTGAGACGTCGGGCGCTGTGCTAAACAGCCTCTTAAATGCAACTTCACATACAGAGAATCGCCAGGTAATACCTACCTGCTGTGGCCATCTGCAGATGCTGCTTCTTGTGTATCCGCCGCCAATTACTGAGCCAAGCTTGACCTGTAGTATCTACGACAATTACTGGGGAAGTTTCGAATTACCTTTCAATTTTCGAAACTCGAGATTTGTCTCGCTCCTGTAGCTTCTTCAGCATTCGCGATTCTACATCACCAAACTCCGTGGAAGACTGTTGCAGTATAGTACCATCATGCTCCGGATTCTATCACCGTACCTCTGAGAGAGATTAGCGCAGATAGTATTTGAAGTACGGTTACTGCATTGCTATCTTGCAATTCCCACGAGATCAATTCGTCTTTGGCTCTGGGATCCAAGACAAGAGATGTGCAACAGGTGTCGCAGTCGTCTAATAGTATTTTTTTTTTGATACTTCTTCATGCCTTATTTCACTACAGTTACAATTTCTTGACCCAGAATTGCCCGACAGAACAGAACTGACCCAATCACGAGTTGATTTTTGCTGGGAGCCCAAATGATGTCGGTGTTGTCGAACCGTTTGGTAGGTCGTTTCTGCCAATACAACAATCTCAATGTCGTCAGCCTTCAGCGTTACGTTGCGTCGGGCCTTCCGGAGAAGAACATTCTTCAATCAATTTCTCTTTCAATATCAACTGCGATCAGCACTCGGAGTCAAACCCTTGTTTTCTTCCGTACCTTTTGCCACAGCTCGGCCGCTGATAGTAATTAACCACTCTATCACGTGGTGGAGACAGGTTAGCGAGTCCTGATCGTAAAATCTCCCTTTTCAATCGGATAGCTGGAGCAGTCTGAGAGTATCTGAGTGCAGTTGGTCTGTCGACTGGTGGCCCAGGACCCATATAATCAAGAGATAAATGTATTGGTTTACAATCCCAAGAATCAGAATACATTCACAATTCTAAGAATTTCATGAGGATGAAGGCAATTCGAAGCATCAACTAAGTATTGACCATGAATTCCTTGGAGTAAAAGAAAACAGATATTTGAATAGCTAAATAAGCACTTTATCAATCTGATATAGGAATTTCGTGCGTGTTCATGGAGATGATGGGCTGCCCATGGGATGGACTGTGCAGGCCTTGACCGAATAATCAAAGTTGACAATCTTCAACGAGAGAGTCGGCCCTCGTTTTCCGTTCGGAAACAGGATACCGGACTCGTCCAACATATTCTTTCTTTCTTTTCTCTTCAATCATCGATTTGTGGGTAATCCCAATTGTCTGCATATGCTGACTGTTGCACACCAGTTGCTAGGTTTCGATAGGGGAATGGCGTATTTTTTCCGGTTTGGGGATCTGCGAAATCCTGGTTAAAGCAGACCAGGCTGATGATGTATCGGAGCCATGCCTAGCGACTTGGTCAGCGCATGCCTATGTGAGGGTCAAGATAGAGAAAATTAACTCACAGAGTCATTAAAATCGCCTTGTGAGTAGCCATTGGGCGGTTTCGGCCAGTCATCTGTCGCATACGCGGAATCCAGAGAACAAACAGGAAGGTTAAACATGAGAGGTTTCGCAGGCTTGGCAGAGTATCCGCCAGTGCCACTCAGGAAAGGAAGGGTTTCGGCAATAGTCCAGTTCTTTAAGTAACCACCTGCAAACTGCGAAGCAAGTGCGGCCTGCGCCACATCGAGGGGGTCAAGATCCCAGTGCCCAAGTTTGTCATATCCAGGAACATAATCATAGGCGTCCCACTCGGTTGATATGGCAGTATTCTTAATGAACCAGTAGCACTTGCCGAGACTGTCGCAGGTTCGATTTTTCACGTCAGGCTCGAGCACAAGGTCGCTAGGCACCTTTCCGTTGATGCGTTGGGAGTCCATAACGATATAGACTTGCTCCTTTTCCCATATCCATGAGATTGCACCGCTAACCAAAGAAGCTTTTATATCTGCTGAAAAATCTTTATGGTCCGCTTCATGGTACTGTTTAGCATAATCGCCACCCTTGAGAACGTAGGGTCCACTAGTAACAGAGTCGCTGTATGAACCTTCGAATGAGCTTTCGTTTACTGGCTCTGCTAGAATAGCATTGCCATAGTTGGCAATTTGCTGACAAAGTGCATCCTTTATATTCACAAACTTTTCTTTGAGGAATGCGCTCCGGCTGGTTTTCATCACAGCAATGCTAGAAGCTGAGTTAACCTTTGTGCTTTTCTTAGAAATACGATATAGGATCAGACGAACTTCGGTGTCGATTTTGCCATTGATAAGACAACGCCATTAATGGCACCAATGCCACCACCAATCTCACCCGCTACAGCAGCGACTTCAGGTAGATCAAACCCTCCAAAGGCGGCCGAAATCCCTCCAAGTACAGCGGCTGCAATAATCAATCCTTCACCCAGTGGACTTATCCCAGGCTCTGGTGTACTATGGTGACTGAAATCTTGGACTAATTGGTCAGTGTAGCCGAGTATAACGGTATTAATCGTGTCGCCGACACTTAGCTGGAGTGTTTTTATCCATTGCTGGAAATTAGAAGTTGCCCACAGGACGAATGAATAAAAGGCGTTCCAGTCGCCTGGAACTGGGGGTCTTTGCCCGCTAGTGCATATGCCACCATCAGGGTAACCGAGGGTGCATCGATCACTATAGGTTGAAGGCTAGTCAGAATCCATCACTACTTAGGTAGGTGACGACAGCATAAGCTAGAAACGTACAAGTCGCAATGTTGTGTACCATAACCAGGTATTCGGTTCATAATACCCATGGGGAATGCTAAGGAAGTTGGAGGCGTGGGTATGGGCTCTCCGGGAGGCACAGGCTCCGGGACATTGTTTCCCGGCCAGATGGAATCAGCTCTTATTTATCGATGGCATTAGCAAGGACCCCTGGCATATCTTAACTTAAGATCTCCTCACATTGTGTCCAACCAATAATCCATATTGAGCTCTTTCCAGACCTTTTGTGTTTTCGGTCCGTTGCAGGTTTTGGCAAAGTCTGGCGCAGATGGCAAAATTGTCGCATTCCTTTTGACATTGTTCCTACCGACTGGAAATGGAACAGCATTCACAGAAGAAAGAACTACTGTGGTTTATTTAGTGAGGAATCCTGTCACTAGAGGTATTAAACCTACCTAAAAAGATCCATGCCAGAGGGGTAAGGACGCGCATCATAGGAAAATAGCAGGACGACCAGTCCTGCGGGAGAAGGTACAGTTTCTTGATACCAGAAATGCAAAAAGAAGAAGATTTGACTCTCACACCAGCTTAGGTTTAGGAGAAACAAATCTGATAGACTATGCTTTGATCGAGTATGCTTTGATCGTATGAGCTGGATGAAGAGGAGACCTTATTCCTTGTTATATCACTGAGCGGTCTTTCAAATTTGCCTGTTGTCACGATTAGCCCCCAATTTACAGATCCGGGGCCGAATGCTTGTGATCGTGTGACACTAGTATTAGCCCTAAGGCATGTGTTAACTAGTGGAACTCGTCTAATAGATTCCTAGGTCGCACCGACAAGCGACTATCACTAGCTGATTTCAGTCTGTCCTAATCTTTGACCTCCCCGAAAAGAGGGCGCAAAGCTTAGTGTAACGTCGCATAAATATTTAAAACAAACCATGGCCCCCATAAACAGCGGGATGATGTCGATCGGTATCTATATGACATAAAATTAGGGCCTTTAGCGGATTATGATATAATAATAACAATGCTTATGGGTCAGGGGCGTCGTCTAGATTAGGAACGTGATTTCACCTACCGTGCTAAGTCATTATAGGATGGCTCCTTCAGACGCACGACACTCGATGTACATACCGCATTTACACATAGTAAATTACAGCCATCAATAGGCTTCGGGCATGGCCCTCACCTGAGTCCAACTTCTGCGCCTTCAATCTGACCCTCAGGAGTCCGTTGAGAGTCACAGCAGCATATGAATATAGGATTGAAATCTTCTCAACACTAAACCGGGGAATAGAGTATTTTCAACACAGACACCGGTTTTGTTTCGACGTCACGGATCCTACGTTTGCGAATAAAATACTTTAAAGAAATCGCAAATGTGCCTCATGCGACGGTTCAGAGATGTAAACCAGTCTTTTTTTTCTAATCAAGCGTTCTAACCTTCTACATTAATGAGCTTCGCTATCTTTCTATGATCTTCCATGTTCAAGCAGACATGACATATGCAACCAGTATTGTTAGTTTCTTGGACCAGAACCTTTCGTAAAAAAAAGCCTAATACGGCGCCTAGAGAAAAGAGCAACGCTTCTCCCCCAAGAAGATGAATGATCTGAGAGGACAAGTTATTTTTGTTGATAGAGTAGCTTTCGAATTTAGTTATGCCCGACCCCGAGTCGCAGTTGGCGGGCCTCCCCTTGTAGTAAATCTCATCGTAATGAAAATTCTATCCACCTCCGGGTTTAGAATCGATGCTACTACAACTGCTTATTTCGTCTGTCTATATCTGGAACTTTAGCTTCGGTTAACGATACCTTTTCACTGAAAAGTCGAAGAAACACGTCCAACAAGTACATGAGCTATGGCCTCTGCTCTAAATCTTTAAACAGGTCTTTCCGGGGCCATCATGCTTCCACTATTTGTACAAGGAATCAGGTCTCTAGATGGAAAACAGGATAAACTATTCTTTTCACTTGTGATCTGGTTTATTAAGTTCTGCCCTTATAGAGAATGGGCACTGGATACGACTTCTCTATTCAACTAGTGATATTATGCGATGGACATTACAAAGTCGGGTATAAATTGTGCTGTAAGGTACTCTTAGGATAACTGTTCAGTGATAGGGTATACATAACCGGCGACTGGTTTTCGCTTCTAGTATATCAGAGTAAGAATGGCAGCCACCAAGCCTGCTACGACAGAAATGACGGTCTTTGACTGAGCGCAACGGGACGCACTGCTAGTCGTAATGTTTTGGTATGCCCAGTAGCCCTGATCGTAGCCCACAGTTCGCGTCCAAGCCGGCCTCTCGCCGTCCGTGTTCAACAAGTCCGAGTGCCACGAGTCTATCACTCCACTCATGGTTATTTTCACGTTACCCTCTCCTTGGATAACGCCGTCTTGCACCCCTGCCCTCACACCAACATAACTAGCAGTGAGAGCCTTGCTATCAAATTGAACGTCGAGAGTGTCCTGGGGTAAGGAGCCAGGCCAAACAGACCAGGAACGGTCTTTATCGCCTTTGCATGCAGGCATGCTCACATTTCTGATGGGGGTCCAATTAGCCCCTATCGCCGTCTTTCGGCTAGTTGAGGCATTATAGGTGGATATGTTCGACTTCGATACTCCCAACTTAAATACTTCCACCCTGGTGAATCGCATTATCAGTAGTCGTCCATGTTGAGGTCTTCTGACTTGGAAGAACACTCACACGGTATCTCCCAGGCTAAAACTATATCAGTATATATTATCATGAGGCAATTTTGGGTTGGCACTCACTCAATAGATGCCAAGCTCCCAAGGATTGTTCCAGACTTGTCGGAATCTGAGTACGTCCAGCTAGGCCTACCAGAGTCTGCCCATGAGGTAAAGTTGAAATCCAGAGGCCAGAGGCCCCAGACCATATTGACCTCTACCGATGATGGTTGGTTACTTGGTTCTATGACAGCAAAAATGCTGTTGAAATGCCGGATGACCGTCGTAGAGCTGTTATAATTGCTGCAAGGCGTGTTCCACCGATCTAGGTTGGGAGAAGGGACAGTCAATTCAAGCTGGGCAGTTCCATTGTAGTACCTATCTCATCAATGTCGGACGCACGAACAGACAAGAGAGGGTATACTAACGATCCCGCCCATTTATAAATCTCACCCATCGAATCGCTTTTGATGACATCCTTTGGACGGAAATAAGAGGCGTTGCTCTGAGCCAATGCAGGCTCGAGAACAATACTCCATAAAAAGACTGAAATAAAACGTGAGTGCTGCATGTTGAGACGGGGAGGGGTATTGGAAATGCATATATTCATATCCAGGGCGGTCGACCATCAGCGACCCTTATATGCGCCAAACGCGTCACGGTACACGATTTACAGCGAGCCGCCCGTGCGGGGTTTACTAGAGGGGAATAGGCAGGATATTCCTTGCGAAACATACATACTCTTGGGAAATGGGGCCATAACAGGGATCTGCGTAGATGGACCTGCAAATGTCTGTGCGATGACGTACTTTTCGAGCGGGCATTTGGGTGGCTCTAGGGAACCCGAAATGTTCCTATTCTTCTCAGCACCTTAATGCAGGCTCTTTATTTCCCCTGTTCATCTACGTGGGTCGTTCACCATACTGAGGCAATCTCTTCGGTGACATTAAATATGACATGCCCCAAAATGCGGTGAGTGCCCCATATATGTGGTATTGGGCGTAGCACGCGAGGCCAAATATCCAATGAAGGACGAAAGGATTGTTGAATTACAACTAGTTAGGCAGTTTCAATGCCTGGCTACTCGGAATACTTAATTAGATACTCCGACATATAAAGAGTGGGAAGGGACTGTCCCAGCCTGATCAGCTCGAAACAGAAAGCTTGAATTCCGATCTAAATCGTTTGCTACTGGTTTATTCATCCCAGATCAAACAATTTGGCTCGCCCTTGATCGTAATGTTTGCGAGGATCTCACCGAAGTGGCCCGTTGAAATGTCTCTTTCGAATACAACCACCCGGCGGTTTGATTGTAAAGCCACAGCAACACGGTCTCCAGCTTTGTTGAATATAAAGTTTCGTGGGAATGCACCACCGGATGGAACCTTCTGATCAGGCACCACACTTCCGTTATCCAGCGGTTTGAATCCAACTAGATTATCCCAGTACTCTTCAACGGAGCTAGTGAACTCCAAAGAAGGATGATAAGTTGGCGTGCTGTTACGGTTTGAGACCATCACAAAATGGTTATCAGGCTGGTATGTTTGTTAGTGTATAAGATTGATATGGAGGCTCTTGAAACTGACTGAGACATGGATCTCAGCTGGTCCATTTTCAGGCGGAATAGCGGCACCGCCGTAAGTATTTGTCACATCAATTTGCTCGAATTTTATCCCACCATTTGGCGGGTAGTGCACTCGATATGAGGTAAAGGCGCTCGTGATTTCTGCTATGAGAAAGTAGTAGACCTCTGAGACGTCGGTTGCATTTGCCAGTCCGTATGGAGACCAAAACACGCCATGGCGAGGGCCTGAGCCAGGAAGTGTAGGCGATGAAGTTAGTTCAGTCACATAGCCTGTATGTCTATCAATCTCAAAGACCTGGATCTCATCTAAACCAAACGCATTGAGAACTAGATATTGCCCGGTTGGATCTAGAAGCACCTGATGCTGGTGCGGCGCGGTCTGACGACGGCCGGGACCAGGCTTCTTTTGGTAGAAGAAAATTTCCTGCAGCGGAGTCTCGACTCCTTGATCTGTAATGTTCCAGAGAGTCAAAGCACTTCCATTGCTGTTGACATGTTAGTCCGTCATGATGATTGAATTTAGGGGAGTGCTATAAAGGATGAAAGAGTCACTCACTAGTGAGAAATAGCCAAAACTTTTGATAATACAGTGTCATAGATGATTGCACATGATGGGCCAGAAGGTATAGATCTTCGCTCCATCATGGTAAGCTTCCCACCCGTGGAGACCTCGTATGAGCTTACGGAGCCATTGTTCCGGAGGATACCTTCATCGAGACAGTAAAGAACACGATGTATTTCATCAAAAGCCAACCATGCAGGGCTAGGTGCACATCCGGTATTTGAGTCTGTTATTTTCAAGAATGCTTGATCATCGTCCTCTGTAAAACTAAGACTCAGCACCTCACCACCATAGGAGGAGACAAACAGGTTCGACTTCTTGCTGCTGCTTGCATTGCTTGCTGCGCAAACAAGGAGGAGGAGGATCCACGGGTAAGATAGCATGGTGAAGCAGAACGATGTTAATTTTTGATTTTGTCTTTCCTGTACTATTTTGCTGCATATATATATGTGCGCGTCTCTATACCACGTGCAATCACAAAGATCGCCGAATGCGGGGAATACCCCGCGGGCTGCCTCTCGGCGGAATAGGTGCATGAGGTCTATATCTCGGCTGTAAGAGAGGACAGCGATTGGTTTTTCCCCAGTATTTAGCTTGATCCTGATGGGCACTGATGAGTCGGACTAATGGCCGGTCTCGGGAAATAAGATACCCCGACGTAGCCGTCCAGTTTCGGGGTGCTCGACCCTGCAATAGCCGGTCCGAGGACCTACATTTCCACCACTGGTGGACTTCCGCATAAATATGTGCGTCATAGAGGATGGTACCGGCGGTTTTCGAGATTAACTAGTCTTGTGGCCCAAAGGCTGTAGAAATTGCCCCTTCTGCTAACACTGCATGAGATCGGAAACAAATCAACTTGTCTCTATGCGAGTCCTTTAGTCAATATGAGCTTCAGACAGTGCAATCCAGGTTTCAATAGCATTACAGGACCAAAACCGACACTCCAATTATGCCTCAAAAACACCGCCTATCCTTTCGCTCACGAGGCGGGAGTGTACATTCCGTCCAAGGAGCAGCTCTTCATTACAAGTAACCGCATCCATATGGACGACGGTACGCAAAAGATTCAAATATCAAAAATATCGTTGAACGAGAGTGGGGGCTTTGTACAGGAAGAAATCACACCGGATATCCCAATGGCGAATGGCGGAGTGAATTACAAAGATGGAATTCTGTTCTGCAGCCAGGGAACGCATGACCGACTTTCAAGCTTGATTTTGATGGAGCTCAATGCCCCTTACAAGTGTGTTACAATTGTGGACAGCTTCTATGGACGTCAGTTTAATTCCATCAACGATGTTGTTGTCCACAGCGATGGTTCAATCTGGTTTACGGACCCAATTTATGGCTATGAGCAGCAGTTTCGACCAGCACCCCAACTTCCAAACCAGGTGTATCGATATGAACCAGAAACTCAGTCAATCCGAGTCATGGCTGATGGATTTGGAAGACCAAATGGAATTTCTTTCTCTCCAGATGAGCGAATCGTCTACATCACGGACACAGATCATGCACATGGCGATGGGACTATAGATCTTAGCCGTGCATCCACCATGTAAGTTTCTCCTCAGATGCCTTCTTAGACGATGTCCCTCGTGCAGAATGTGTTTTTTTGACGTCGGACTATTGACAGCTACGCCTTTGACGTTATCTTCTATGACAAACAACCATTCCTCACGAATCGTCGGGTTTTTGCGATGGCGGATACTGGTATTCCTGACGGTATCAAGTGCGACATTCGAGGAAATGTATATAGTGGGTGCGGCGATGGTATCAATGTTTGGTCTCCGGGAGGTCTGCTCCTTGGGAAAGTTATCATACCAGGCGGCGTTAGCAATTTTTGTTTCGAGAAGCCGGGCCAGATTTTGGCCATGAATGAGGAACAGTTGTGGCGGGTGAATCTTGCTGCTACTTGTCGTGGATCACTTCTCAAGCTTTAAATAGGACCTTAGACACAAGGACTGAATGTATTGTGCACGTATTAACTCAGGAAAGTAGCCAGGTAGATCAATCTTAAATATATTGGTAGCTAGCTACCAAAAGTATGTGCTCGATGAGACGTTTGCTACCTTCACATCCACGACAACCTTATTAACCTTTCCCCTTCAAGGGTATATCACAGCTACGCTGGAGGACGTAAATAGTATGATCCTTCATTTTCATATTTCCGTCTTTTAGAAGAGTTCAGAAGATGGCCATGGCGTTGGTCGTGCTTGCTGCGCCACCACGCAGAGCCAGTGGGCTCGATGCCAAAAAGAACGAATACCGCCCATTGGAGCGACAAGCCTTAGCAAGGGATTCTGTGTTCCATAGTTCTCCAATGGGGCACCCCAGAGCCCCCAAGAGATGTTCATGCAACCAACCAAAGCCCTCACTTGGAGGTGGGGTGGATTCGAATGCGGGCTGGTCTCCTGCGACAGCAGCAATCTGGTTTTGCCAAAGCCAAGCCACAAATTCGGGTTCCTGCGCAAGCCCAATGAATCGGTGCTTACCCGGCTCGTTTTCAACGCATAGATTGTGATGTCTTGCCTTTGGTTCCGTGGCCTGGTACCACTCTAGCCATCCTGTGCGGAAGACGAGGATATCACCCGGGTGGACTGTCGTCCCTTGGGACTCGAGGATCTGCTTCACATCCCCCAGAGTTATTTTCGTCCCGCCGTTAACGTCTAATGATTTTCCAGCATTGGTCGCCCAGTGACAGTAATCAACGAGAACCCCACGTCCTGCAATTCCACCATTTTCAAGCCATTCTATTCCAAAAGAGCCGTTAAAAAAAGCTTTTAGCCTTGGAGTTTAAGATCGTTACCTACTGTGGATTCCAAGTACATCACTTGTTTTGAAGTCTGAAGCCCGGTAGCCGTTATAGAACAAATTGGCAGATCGAATTGCAAAATGGCGAAGTCCATCCCACTGACTGGATGCTTGAGTGTTGAACGTGATGTTATCTTCATAACAGAATGGTGCCACTTTTTTCAGATCGTGAACTGGTTCAGGACGACCGCCGAACGCGGAAGTATCCTTGCCAAGGAAATCAATAGGAAGCCTTTGCAAAATATTAGCAAGACTGTTAAAACAATCATGCGGAGCACTGACTCGAGGCAGACTGATTCGCCGGTTAAGAGTTCCTCGCGCGCAGCCTTCGCCTTTCTCTCCTGACTTAGGAAGTTGAGCTGAAGATGTCAGGGAGCGTGTTCACGGACGAGAGGCCTTATCATTAATTGTAACAAACTCACAGTCCCTAGTTGATCCTTTTGCACGTTTCCTGCAAGGGAGTTGAAATATTCCCATGAGCAGTGAAATCCTGGAACGAGTTCAGGGAGATCTTCCCACTTGGGAAACGAATGTCGCTGCATATTCGAGTGGCATACACACTGTTTTTTTCCTTCTGGTTTTCAACAAAGCCTCTCTTGAGAAATAGAAATCTCTGTATTCATCCTTTGTGTCGGTTTCCGGGTTAGGGGAGGCAACGGCGCACGGCTATTAATGTGGGGCTTAGAAACCGTTCGTTGTGACCCCCCTCATTGTCTATAGCCGTGTCCGCTAATGATTTCATAATTCACGACTCCAAAAAATATAACAGGAGGGTCAATTGCCAAAAGCTGCTTTCCCCATCAGTTGACCGTGCTTTCAACCTCTTTCTTTTTCATCTTCAACTTTCAACACACAACATGGCTTGTCCTGCCTGGGTTCAGCGTTGGGTTCACCCAAAGGATTCTGTGGTGATTATTACAGGCGCTGGTAAGATTGAGTTTCATTGCATTTACAAAACCCCAGAACAGTGGAACGGCCTGACCGAAGATTGCTCTTAGGCTCTGGAATTGGTATGGCCACCGCCCTTCTGGCTGCCGAGCAGGGATACCAAGTCGCCGCGTGGGATATTGTGGAGGGAGGAGTACAGAAGACTAAGGAGCTTGCGGGTGATCTTTCAAGTCAGATCTACCCGATTATCTGTGATGTTGCGGATGAAACTGCTGTGAAAGCGGCCATGGAGAAAACGGTGGCAATCGGCAAACCTCACATGCTCGTAAATAACGCGGGTCCCGTTGCTATTGGCAAGACGGCCGGGTTCATGGACATGACTAGTGCTGCCTTCGGCATGGTTCACTTTATCACAACTGCATTCTTGGACACCAATCCCGTGGAAGGATCAAGCATTGTGAACATCTCTTCGGTCGTCGGTCCCATTTTCGGAGGAGGTAAGAAAGACTCATGTTTCCCTTAAATCTGATAATGGTATTCTTCCGTAACACAGAAGCTAACAATTGACCCTCCATCTGCTAGGCGGTCCCTGGTACGCCGCTGCAAAGGCCGGAATTGCAGGTTACACCAAGAACTTGGCAGTCCAACTCAAGGGCTCTACACGTGTCAACACCGTTGCCCCTGGCGGACGTAAGGGCTCTCCTGATTCTGCTGCACGTGGATTGAAGGCTGACAATTTTCCCCTCATAGCTATTCGGACACCACGTAACTCCAAGTTCATCGACGAGGGTGTCTTCAGCAAGACCCTAGAAAGAAACCCGACAGGCCGTCCCGGAAAGCCGGAGGAACTGGCGAATGGTATCCTCTTCTTGCTTTCACCAGCTGCCAGCTATATCAATGGCCATTTGCTAGCCATCGATGGAGGTCTCAGCATTGCAGAGTAAACATTTCAAAGTTGGTATTCTACAAAAAAAGGAGTGTCAAGGTACCAGACTGAGAATATCCCCATTGTCGAGAAGACCCGTACATAATACCTCTTTCTTGTCCATAAAAGTCTGGAATGAATATACGTTTGGTGGTTCCGCAATAGTCTTCGGATTTCTATGGGGCCCATTAGACGGCGGTGTGGCCAGATGGTGTGTCATGCATGTCTCAAAGTGCATACCAATAAATACAAAGGATGGCTTCATGAGTCGATCCGCTATGTCAAATCAAAGCCCGGGGACATATGCCACAGGCGTGGGGTAAAGCCCGGGGAGGAGACGCTTCACGTGATGATTAGCCGGTGTTGATTGCCGGGCTCTTGGGGACAACCCGAATGAATCTCTTGCGCGCTCAAAATCCCGTTGTGTTACTGCAAGGAATTGTGTCAGAGAAACTATGAAGCGAATCTCCAGGGCTTGTGTGCGCTGCAGGAGACACAAGGCAAAATGTATTCTGTAAGGCCCTCGCAGTCAATCCGGCTATCGCAGCATGTGTGATCAATCTGACCTCGAACTCCCCGCCATACCCCTGCAGTGAGCGATCTGGTCACATATTGAAACCACCATGTCAAAAATGTGTCCAAGCTGGCGTGGACTGCGTTCTTGCGACTTCCAACCGCGGTGGATATCGTCGACGGAGAACGGAAGAAGTTGAGCCAGAGCGAGCCTCTGCCGAACGGAGCCCGTATCTGAGGGCGGAGCAGTCAACGTCTTGGTCACCTCACAGTACTACTCTGGCCTCTTGCACACAAGACGGAAATGGCGATGTCCCTCGGCAGGGTGAGAGCGTTAGTATGCTCGAAGGAGCAAGTATCGATGATACTTTCGCTTCAACCAATCTGCACAGTACTTCAGATGCCCTCAATATCCTGAGTCAAATAGCCGGCAGTGCTTCAAATGCTGCAAGCCATCCAGAAGCGTCACATATACCCATGGGTCAATATGCAACCGCGTCTGAAAATGGCCTGTTTGAATACTATCTTGTCAGCTCAGGTATATTGACTCCAGTCCAAGTGCTTAACCTTGTCGAGCAGTATGTTCCCATTTTCTAGGAAGTACCATCCAGAGATGTCCCACATGAAGCTCACTCCATGACAGCTTCGCCACTACCTACCACCCATTTTACCCTATCGCACCAGCAAACAGTTTAAATCGAGCATGCATATCAGAAACCGCCCGGAAGGAGCCACATCTATTGACTGCAATGATTACTATTGGTTGTAAAGGCATGCCGAATGGAGACCATATATTCGAGTCATCCGGTCAGTACATGCAGACTCTCATCTCACGGATTGCAGCTGGGAAAAAATGTGGAATTGAAGCAGTAGAGGCATTGCTACTACTGGCAGAGTGGGAGCCCCAAAGTGTACTGCCTGAGTCCACCAATCCGGGCTGTGGGCAAGAGGATATGTCAGCGTGGATGCATATCGGCCTTGCTATTAGGCTAGCATATGCACTCAAACTTGATAGAAGCGTCTTTCGTAACGATATGGGGAATGGAGGTTCGATCGCCTCTCGGGAGCGGTTGGTTTGGGCAGGTTAGATAGATCCCCTTATCCCTAGTGCGAAGCAAACAAAACACTAACCAGTCAGCAGCATGCTACCTGTCCGATCGCCAGATTTCCGTGCGCATTGGCAGACCCTTTGCATGCCGTGGTCTAGAGCCGAGTATTGCTTACGGCAGACATGGCTTCCCGGTCATCGAGTCTCAAAATTCAGGACATGATGACATGTCTAGGGTTTTCCAAGCTCGCTTGGATTTAACTCAAATATTTACGAATGTGCATGAAGTCCTTTACTGCAATCTGGGTGCTGGTACACCAATGATGTTGCTAGGAAGCTATGCAGGCTACTTGGATGATTTTCGAACAGCCATTGCTACCTGGAATAGTCTTTGGGGATCCCTGACGTGTACTATCTACTTTTTAAAGGAAAAGGTTATTAGAAAGGCTAATATTTCCCCAGGTTCACATAACGTGAAAATATTAATGCAGCTATCGTATGAGTATTTGAGGCTGTACGCAAATGCTTTCGCCTTTCAAGCCGCTGCGCTTCGAACATTATCGCCCAATAGGTCAGCACTTGATCACGAAACTGACCACATCAAAAGCCTTGGATCTCTTCCTGAAGCTCGCTTCAAGTATGAGTCAATCGATGCCGCCAAGTCGTTGCTGACCATTGTCAATAACTACATTCTGTCCGCGGAAAATCTGAATACGTTCCCAATACGCTTTCCTTTGTATTAACGACCCGAATCACCCTCTTCCCCAATTCCGAGCTGGCTAACAAATTTGAAGGTATTGTGTCAATGCTGCTGTTTTTCTCTACAAGGTAGGTGTTGTCTGTATAAACAGACGTTTGGCCTAGTATTAATAGGCTGCAGATATGGACCCTCAAGGCCATTTCGAAACCAGAACGCGAGAGCATCCGCAGATTGATTAATGATACAATAAATTCCCTTCGAAGAGGAACCAATCAGCCCTCGGAACTCGGAGCGAGGTATGCGCATCTACTCGAAGTTCTGTGGGAACGAGCAGATCAGCGGCCCGGCATCAATGATGAGACCTCGGACTTTGAGAATCGAACATGTCAAACAGCTCGACCACAAGAATACGCACCTCGGGAAGGGTTTTCGTGGCTCGACTTGGAGGCTATTGGGGACTTTGTATGGGGTGATTCGGTTTTAAACGAGGGCTTTGATTTCGCCAACACACAGCAATCAATGGACAACTTGCGCGAAGGTGTCGACTGGAACGACACGCATATGCTCGCAGGTAATGAGTTTTCTCGAATATTCTAAAAAGCTGGCCTTAAGTGATCGCTGTGAAGTTGATTTTACGGAATTTCAGAAGCATTTATTCGAATTTAAAACATTTTTTTTTTTCAGTCTCCACCTTTACATCTTCCACAAGTCTGCTTGGTCCACGTTCATCCAGGTAGGCCCATCGTATGTGTCGTAGGGAAGTGGGCATGGCGGAATGGAGTCCTGGATGCTCTCGGGGGTGTAGGGGTTGTGATAAGTCGTCGACTCAAGGTCGGGGGAGCTAGAAGCAGGCTGGTCAGTACTCAGGTTGTAACACACGGGATACGGAACATACTTGGCGAGAGGGCCAGCAAAGAGCCAGCTCTGATCTTTAACCCATCCATCATGGTGATTACACTAGAAAATTTCGGTTAGTCAAGAACCGGGTATTGAACCAACTTTTGTTGCGGATTCTGACCTTGATCGATCGGTACCAGTGGAAATGCCAGATCTTCCACTCATTTCCTTTCTTAATGAAATCAACTATATTTAAGATGTCAGGCCTCAAGGTCGGGTGAATTGCCATCGGAAATGGAACACAAACCTGCATAGGCCCCGAAAAGCCAGATAGGCTCAGGGTCTCCCTTACCGTCCTTCGGCATCACAGCCTGAACAGAGGGCGAACGCCATGTGCCCTTTGCGGTCTTGCCATCTCCAGCAATTTGAACCATACCGGTTGTCAAGAACGGAAGCAGGAAATTCCCTTTCAAGGCAGCAGATCCAAATTGCTCGGTAAACAAGGTTTGCAAGGCAGCTTTGCCCCGGTAGACGCCCCGGTCTCCAACTTCGACGGACACATCGGGCTCATCCAAGGCAAAAAAAGAGAGGGTCTTGTGCATGTTCTTTGCCAAATGGTTGACAGCGTGTCTATCCAACAAACAAGTGTGAGTAAGAAATTGGTTATCTCCATCAGATACTTCCTCATACCTTCCCATTAGCAGATTAATTTCACGCTCATCATTGTTGCGCTGCACCTGAACCTCTAGTGCATGGATGCGATCTTCTAGGGAGGCTGGCATTGTTTCTTTTGCTGGTTGGTTTGGTGTCTTTGGAGGGATAAGTGTGCTCTGCGGGAATTTGTCGCGGCGCGATTTGCTTATATAGGCAAATCGGATAAGGACGCGCTGGCGGTACGATGACAGAGGCAATGGACGAAGTTAGTGATGAGTAAATCCCGGTAAAGTGCCTTGGTTTGCTACCGACCGAAGATCCTCCGGGGCGGCAAGTAACCAGAGCCGAATCTCAAGGGGTCGGCATCTGCAGGCTATGGCAGCTCGAACCGGCCTCTGAAAGAAAGCGGGGCCCCACAAAAGTCTTTCAGCGATGTTAGCCGAATGAGAGATGGAATTGGCCAGCCAGATTGCTCGGAGACGCGGGGAAAAGGGCAGCTAGCGCATCAAGTCAATCGCCTCCTAATGGTGAGTGCCAATGTCAGCAACATGGCAACTTAGGGTTGGCAGCGCCGCCTTCATAACTACTCCTTCCCTTCTCCAGATATGCTTCCCTAGTTGATCTCATCTCAGAAATTTTGGTACCCCTTTTCACAAGTTTACAACAAACCTCACCATATAATTTCACAATGTTACCATCCTATGCCATCTTATGTGCAGCCTCTGCTTCACTGGCTGGTCTGTCGATGAAATAAACTCTCATCTGGCAGGAATCCTCACTGACGAGACCTTAGCACTGTCGCTGGGATTGGACGTTGGCATGATATCAAGCACGTATGTTCTTTGCATTGCTATTCCCCCTCTCCTCTTGATGTATTATTGACTGTCTCCAATATAGCCTTGTCCAACCCCGATTCTTGGCCTATTTCAATAATCCATCGTCCTCCCAGACAGGAGGTATTGTTGCGGCATTTAGTGCCGGTGCAACGTTTGGAGCATTTGGTTGCTCCTATTTCGGAGATCCTCTTGGCCGCGTCTGGGCACTGCGCATTGGAGCAATAGTCGCGGTGATTGGATGCGGCTTGCAAGCTGGGGCAGTAAATGTATGTTTCGGCGTCTGCTCCTTTGGCTTTTGATAGACATGACTCACTCGGCTTCAGGTGGCAATGCTAGTGGTCGGCCGCCTTGTCAATGGATTTGGTGCTGGTCAACTCACAGCTATCTTCCCCGTTTACGCCTCCGAGGTAGCTCCCCCGAAAATTAGGGGCGCCTTTGGGGGCCTTCAAATGGTATGGGCGATATTACGTTGAATTTCCTTCGAGGGCCCTCCTAACTTTTGATTTAGCTCATGATTGAAACCGCCATATTTGTTGCAACCGCAACTGGGTATGCTTTCGGGATTCACTACGCTGGCGACGCCCAATGGTAAGCAATACTGAACCCCTCGCACAGTGTTTTGCATCACGAATGAATTAATACTTTGGAAGGCGTGGACCCCTCGCTGTTCAAGCTATTCCGCTTGCGCTTCTGATCCCTATTACTTTCTTCCTCCCGGAGACACCCCGTTGGCTTGTTCGGAAAGGAAAGGAAGACAAAGCCCTTCACGTCCTGAGCCGCCTATATAACAGCGATATCACAGACCAGGTTGTTCAAAAGGAATTCGACGAGATCAAGCGTCACATCGAGGCAGAAGAAATTTCATACAAGCCTAGCTGGAAAGAGATTGCCGCTCGCCCAACCTGGCGTCGTCGAACTCTACTCGTGATGGCAATACAGTCCTTCTCTCAGCTCACGGGTATCAACTGCGTGCAATACTATGCTGGTAGGTCTTCCACAACTGGAGATGCATGTTTCGGGCCTAACATATAATTATAGCATCTATTTATACTAAACTTGGGTTTAGCACAAGTCAATCTCTCTTGATTAACCTTCTTTATGGAGCATTTGGTCTCCTCTCTGCTGTGCTTTGGGTCTCCGTTCTGGATCAATTCAAGCGTGTGCGGCTGATGATCTTAGGAACCGCTTTCATGGCCGCAACACTAATCGTGCAATCAGTCTTGTCGGCTGTCTATCAGTCCAAAGCTCACCCTAACCCAAATGCCCTCAGAGCTGAGGTTTCTATGTTTTTCCTGTTCCAGCTAGCTTTTGTTGCCGTCGGGTAAGATGTCTTCCGTTTCCCTGGCTTGCATTATACGTGATATTAACAAATTTTCTACTTATAGGATGCTCACGTGGCTGATTCCACCGGAGATGTGCCCTATGGCAATAAGGTATGGTTTCAGGAGAAAACCCCCAAATTAAAGAAGTTGTGGCTCACATAGGATCAAACAGGGCTAAGGTTAATTCCGTTTCAGTCTCTGTCAACAACATCATGGGTCTCGTTGTTGCCCAAGTTGCCCCAATTGGACTGGAGTCAATTGGATTCAAATTTTTCTACGTTTTCGTCACGTTCAACATCATCGGTGTCGCTTTTTATTTCTTCTTAGTACCCGAGTATGTTCACCTGTTATCCCTTTCAAGTGAGCCATTCTCCAGTCTAATCAATTTTCTCTCTTCTGCAGAACGTCTGGCTTGACGCTTGAAGAGATGGACGTCAAGTTTGGGGACCAAATTATCGATTTGGATGCGGATGATAGGAAGAATGCTACTAGTGTGGTGCATCAGGAATCGGTCTAAATAGTCTTATGACATTAGGCTCTTATCAAGTGCATTACAAATGAACAAGACTTTGATACTCCTTCTTGATAATCTTTCTGGTAATTTTTACACTTACGAGGATTGTAAATACCCCACATTCCCAGGTAATTGCCCATCTTGCTGTTCATGTATAAAGAGCATTATTCGCAATTGTAGATTCCAGGTTGGTATAACAGCTCTATAAGAATACCTTTCTACTCCGATCGGCTTGCGAATAGGTTTGATAGGCAAGAAACTGAGTATATTTGAAACCTAAAAAAAATGAATGTTTTTTGCACAGGTCGTATTTTAACATCGCCCTTTAAGTGCATGGTACTACAGTTTCGATGGCTGTCTGCCTGCAACCCATCGGCCATTTATCACCCGCCCTCCAACTAGCCGTGTTTCGGCAATCCCTTGCTCCACAGGAGCAAAAAGCTGAACTCCGGCTTTATCCACGCCATATTTCGCGATCACGTCTTGACCACGTCTTGACTTCAGATAGTCAATAAACAAGGAACATTCTTTTTTAAGACCCGGGGTGGACAGAGGAGCATGGAGAGCGTAACATGAATTCATGAGCGGATGGAAGGGATCTGTAGGTTCGAAGAAAACAGTGCAATTGGCTGCGGCACCATGGCCTACTTGATAGAGAAGTGTCGACCTGTCATTGAGCAAGTATGCTCCCGAAGCGGTGGCAATACTCACGGCATCAGCTGGGTTGTACTCGGTTTGAACATACCACTCCGATTTCTCGTTCCAGGGAAACCGGTGGCAACGACGCCATATGTCACGCTCCTTACTCATAGTGGCTGAGCCATCACTCCTGCTGTGGAACAGGGATTTCGTTGAATGAATTCTCTCAAATGCTTCTTCAATGGACTTTGCATGTCTGACATTGGCCGGGTCATGTTCCGGTCCAACCAAGCAGAAGTGATCATGAAAAATGCAACCTGCGCTTTCAGCCCAGCCTTCGGAAACAGCAATATTCTCCTGCTCGCGCTCGTATGTAAGGGCAATATCGATGTACCCGTTGAAGAGAGCGAGTTGCGTGTTCCGAGAATGGTTGCAAATCCATTCAATAGAACCCGTAATACCTTTAAGTGACAGGTAGTCTAGTGCGAGGGATTCAATCAGCCCCGTGGCACCTTTATTCCCATTATTAACATGTTTTTCCGCTTTATCTGGGTGTTCTCGTCGCCACGGAGCCGAGCTTTTCTCGCTTACCTGCACCTCCGTTTCTATTTTGAAAGGAAATGTTAGCCGAGTTGGAAGAGAGACCTGAATTGTCCTGACTTACCCAATTCTAAGAATTACTTTGCCTTTTCCAAACACCCGTGATGGTTTTGAAGCAACGTCGCCGTGCTGTTGAATGATAGTTTGGGCCAGGGCCATCCTTGAAGGACCGATCGGTTGTATTAGATGATGGGATGTTGAGACTGCGTAAGAAGCTGTGTATATATGAGAGCAATACGGTCTTGTAAAATGAAAATTCAACAAATCGTGATTTTTCTTGTTGCAGTGGCCCAGATCCGTTACTTGATGGTCGGCGGCTATGGCAGGCATTAGCGGCTTTTGCAGGAAATTGAGAAAGTTGCCCAGTCACGTCACCCTCTCTAGCCGAGGAGCAACACCAAAGACTAGACTTGCGACACGGTCAGACGTAACTGGCTTGTTTTGCTATCTCCCGCCACCTCCTCCAAAAACAAAATCAGGTCCAACCAAAAATAATGTCAAACCGTGCCAATCCAATCAAAATCGAAGACAGCGTTGCTCTGATCACTAGAGCATCTGGAGGGTATGAAGGTTTACCGGGCGACAAAAAGAATGTCCTCCCGAAAAGTTTAACAGAGAACTTCTTTAGCACCTGCTCCGCATGTGCTCGCAACTGTACCAATGAAGGCGTTAACCTGGCCCTCATATATTCTTCCAGCGAGCAGAAATCCGCCATCTTTTTTCGTGGTTAAGCTCAAGCATATAGAGTGACTTCATAGTTGTTAATCACCAACAGTCCGGTAGACTGAGCGGGACATCTATGCAATTAAAATGGTGAGATTCTTCTTCTTTGTTTTGAAGGACACTGGAAGGAAAATCCTTACTGGACAAACAAGCCGATAAGGAATCTTCTCCTATGCGACGAGGATATGAGGATAGTAATCAACCCGGCGGAGCTCCGAGAATCGATTTCAAGTTGACCCTCAATCTGACGAAATTCCAGAGCAGCCGGACTCAGACTACTGCCTGTATTATTTCCGTCACCATGGGGTCAGTTCAAAATTTGTCGAGCTCGTTCAAGCTAGTCGTGGCTATCAGTCAGCGAGGAGACTCTGGCAACCAAGCAGAGCCGGCTAGTAATACCAATGGCGCTACACCTGGGAAAATTGTCAACCTCCAAAGAGGTAATTTGGAATGTCCTGTTCACATAACTATAGGTTGAGTTAGCGTGTGCTGACAAACTGTGCCAGGGAGAGCTAGACCTGAATGAGGGTTCATAGGAGCGAGCGCCAAACACTTAAGGCGGGGAGGAGCTGAATGCTCGCACTTTGGCTGTAACTGACTAATATATAGGCGAAACTACGTAACGTAGCACGTGTAGTCGCTTTTAAAAGTTCTTTACATGTTTTCTAGGAGTATCATCTCTTGAAATAGCAAACGAAAACAACAATAGACTAGATACGCGCCTCTGGAAATGGGTCGTGCAGAGTATCTTGTACGCCCGTAGGTAAATCTTTCTCTCGTATATAAATTCTGGCCTTGGAATTTGGACTCGTTCTGGGCTGTCGGGATTGCAGTTATGTCATGATGAGTTAATGGAAGCTTTTCGTTGCCCCATACGACCATTGAACTAGTTAGATTTCTTCTCAATTGTCAATTAATTTTGCTTCAAATGACACAGCAATATTGGCACAATGGGATTACCAGTGAATACAGCAGATCTTCCGAACAATGGCCACATCCTGGATAGCCTTCCCCATTCAACCAGTGAATACGAGTATCGGGGAAAGAAACGCTTCTGGGATACCATTGATGCAGAATTGAATCTATTCATGAATGATAAAGTGGGAGCCAGAAGCCAATATGTAGTATTTTCACATTTGGATGAACATAAATTTCTCAAGGATATCAACTCAGAGGGTTTCAAATACTTCGATTCCTATGATGCACACTCGAAAATCCTCCTCATCAAAATGCCGACCAAGGCACATGAGCAAATTTCCAGGAAGTTCGTCAGCGGGTTGGTCGTCAAACTATCCCGCATGAAGGATGGTCTCCAAGATGAATTGCACGAAATGGGATCCGCCGATGTTGATCTAACGTCACGGCGCAAGCAACCTGACCAGTCATTTTGCCCTGTAACCCTCCCACCGAGCCGCAGCGATAAGTTTCCGACCATGATTATCGAGGCAGCATTCTCCGAATCCAAAACAAAATTGCGCAGCAATACGAAGCTGTGGCTGGTCGAATCAAAGGGCGATGTAAAAATCGCGCTCATTATGTCTACGAGCAAAAAGCGAAAGGAGGTAACGTTTGAATTATGGCAGACGTTTGGGAGGGCGACTCGAAATGAGCCTGGGAAGATAGTTGCTGAGCTCAAACAGACAGTGACTGTAGAGGAACATGGCGGTCATGCCCGAGCCAGTGGGAAGTTGACTATTCCCTTTGAGGATCTTTTCTTGCGAAGCGCTGTTCTTCCTGAAGAAGACATTGTCTTCACAGAGCGTGATGTTGTGAAGAGAGCATGCCAGGTCTGGGCCGTGCAGAAGTTCTGATCTGATGGTTTTCGTTCTTTGTGTGTTTGTGAAATTTCAACCTAAGGAGATTCTACTATCATTTGTTGTTTTGAATACATCAGCCCCATCTGCTACATTAATATTTCTCAGGTAATGATGATATTCTTGACCCATGTTTTACTTTCGGTCTTGATGGCTCACTTAGGTCAAGAACACCGAGGCTTTTAGTGGTGATGCCGACAATATCTTCTTCTTGACGGATAATCTCCGGCTTGGCGTTCTTAATTGCGGTTAAGAATGGGACAGGAGTCAGGCAACCTTCGCTCCTGGATAGATCACCTCCAGGACGCAAGAGGCTGCTCTCACCGTCCATCTTGACTAAGGGCTTATACAATCACGTAAAATCGAAAACCGGGCGAACAAAAGATTGTGGGATCCTGAAGGGTGGGTGACTGGAAGTAAAATAGTCGTCGAATGTTCGAAGCATTGCTGGTGGAGAGAGGCTCTGCCTTGCGGGGTCAATGCGCTAGCGCCTGATCGACATTTCGCTAAATGTCGATACCGTACGTTCCTTCAAACAATAACCGCTGCTCAGATGGAAAGAGCAAAAGAGGCAAACAGCAAAAATGAAAATAAAAATAAAGACATACAACAGCCAGGATTCGCTAGTGGCCACCCACCTAACTACTAACTGAATAGTTATCTATCTTAAGTTAGTTAACGTAAAATGAGCCCGTATGTGGTTAGTTTTCCCGCTTCTGGTTTAGCGCCGCAATACGCAGTCATGTAATCTCATCCAACCTTAACTTGCATGATCTATTTAGTCCAAACCTCCCTGCTGGGAATAATCTTCTCCTGAGCCAGGCGATCAAACACTCGGAAATACCCATACGCAACCGGGTACTCCTCTGTGAAACCCACACTCCGGATCTTATCCAAGCTCAGCTCGCGGTTGCGACCCAGAAAGCTGAAGCCTGCTGAAAGGAAAATCCAAGTCGCCTCGGGAATCTCCCGAGGGCGCAGACCGTACTCTTCGCACATCTTCTTGTAGTCGTCCTGGTGTGCGAACCACCATTTGTCGATGTCCTTCCAGCCCTTGTCCTCGGGGCTTGCGCCTTCAGCATTAAGACCAAAGTATTCGCACATCTTGGGCCATACGAGAGTCCAAGGTGCGGGGGTCGCGTTGTCGGCCGTGTTGAATGCCTCTCCGTGCGCCTGCTCCGGCTTCTCGACAGACAGGTAGAGCTCCGAACGGGCGATGATATCCTGTGAGGATGGCGTATACGTGTGGACATAGTTTGTGTAGGGTCCTGGGAAGGCAGCGGTGGCACCGGGGCCGTTCAAGTAGCGGTATAGCATCAAGTAGAGCGCGAGAGGCTCGACGTATGTCATGCTTGTGGGAATGGGAACATGGCCTGGACACCGGTGACGTCAGCATGGTCAAACCCAAGAAAGATGAATACGCACCGACGATCTGATCCGGTCGAACCTCGCACCATTTCCAAGATTTGCCTTTATTGGCTTCCTTGATCAGGTCGACCTGCGCATAGTAGAAGATCTCGTCTCCCCAGGGCGAAGGGATGCGCGGATTGTCCTCGCGCAAGGGAGGATTGATCTCGATATGTTCTTGGAAGCGAAAAACAGCGACTCCATAATTCTGAGACTAATCAGCCAGAGCCATTGACTGGTACTAGATTGGTACATACGTTTGTTCCAGTTTGAAGCACGAAGAACTTCATATTCTTGCACAGCCGGTCGACAGCGTGCACGGCGTTATAGGTCATTCCCTCATTGATATCCCGGATAGCCATCACATCCATGGAGTATGCAGTTGCATTGGAATAGGCTGCTATAGTTAGATGATGACCGTTTGCATGTAATTCCTTCCTTACCAAGATAGTACACGTGGGTGACATCTTCCAGGTTAGGAATTTTCTCTTGCAACTGGGACAGCACCTCATCAAGAGTCCCCCGCAAATTCACTCCGGAATGCAACTCCAGTCGAGGATCATGCGGTAAACCACTTTTCTCCAGAGGCAACGGCCTATTCGTCAAGCCGATCACTCTGTCAAAGGTGGTGGGCGTGGGGTATGAAAGAGCGCATCTGGTGACAGCCCAGCCGGAGATACCGCTGGCCCCAAAGACCAGTGCAACATTCTTCGATTCAGCCATTGCGATTGTTGTCTCCTTTACTTCAACGAGATATCAATGCTTGCGGGGGCGCAGACTCCTTCTCAGGCTTTTTCGACAGGAGGTGGAATATTTAAGAGCAGCATCCTCGGCCCCTATCTCTTCCTCGCTAGCAGTGCCATTGGGCCAACCATTTGCTGCTGGAGAAATACCAACATGGTGGAAAGCAATTGCCCCTCATGCAGAGTTGCCGTTGGTGTCAACTGTTCGTTAACCCCACCCGCGTGGGCCCGCCAAGAGGCTAATGAATCATTTGAGCTCGTAGCGAGGGCGATGGCTGCATCAAGTTTCTCGGGACCGGCTGAATCGTGAATAGTTTAGACGCCATTCGTGGAACCAAGGCAGTGAATCCATCGGCCGAGGTCCGCGCCAACGCCAACTGACGGAGCGCTCGCCGATCGATCACTGTTCCAATCACTGTGCGGCCCCTGTGGAGTTTGGGGGCCGCGATATCACGCAACTTCGCCAGTCTTAGTGCCTTAGGTCGCCCGTCTTGTGCAGTGGATTTGATGGCAAACCCCAGGGGCTTGTTTCTACCGATCTTCCCTTTTCAGCAAAATTACCAGGCGCAATGGCCACGATCCGACTGTTCATCGTCACAGTACGAATCCTTTGCTGTATATAATCCTTTTAGTCCCAAGCTGTTGGGTGCAGAACGTGCCCTCTGTGGCAACCAACTCCTTAGTCGACGGGGCGTTCCTCATTATTAGCTGCTAGTCGAAGCCTTTGGCCGAAAATCGACAAGGATGCCCCAGACTATGGCAAATTGTCTTAACATGGGGGCCGCATACTGAGCCTGTTGACGCTCCTGACCGCACTCACTCCTTGCCACTCCGCAACGCGTCGAAGATGGATATCGCCCAGAATACGGCGCCCCCAGGCAATGTTTCCGAGAATCGACATGCGGCTATCTTTGGCGTGGGCATTGGGTTCATCGCGTTTGACTCCATTGTCATCGCGCTGCGCATCTATGTACGCGCTTTTATGCTGCACGCTCTGGGGACTGATGATAGTAAGCCAATGGAACCCAATTTGAGAGCCAAACTAACAAAACATCTAGTTCTGATGATAATTGGCGCAGTAAGCGACTTTCAACCATACGGCCAACGATCTCTACTCAATCGCATTCACTCAGATACTCAATTTCGGATTATCAATAACGATTATGATCGGATCCAACTACGGAATCGGAAAAGACGCGCTTGCCATAACGGGAAGCGACATCGTGCCTATGCTGAAGGTATGCATCCATTCCCGTTCATACACCATCCCTGACGATTGCTAGTGTATTTGGGTTACCCGTCTCCTCTACACGCTTTCTATGGGGCTGGTCAAAATGTCCTTGCTGTGGTTCTATCTCCGTCTCGATCCCCGCAAATACATGCGCTGGGCCGTCTTCTTCGTCATGTTCTTCAATGTCGCCTTATCCCTTGCGAGCTTCATAGGCGCATTGGCGAGCTGCAGCCCTCCATCGTCGTTCTGGACTAATCCAACGTCGAGCGACTGTATGCCAATGGGACCACAGCAACGCTTCTATGAGATCAATGGCATCTTGAATATCGTGACGGATATCTTGACATATCTACTCCCAGTTCCAATGCTCTATGGGCTACAATTGACTTGGCGCAAGAAGGGGGCTATTCTGGGAATATTTGGGCTGGGGATTTTGTCCATTGCTGGTGCGTATGACCTTCGATTTATCCAGTGGATAGTTACTGATATTTTGCTATTAGCGGCATGCGTTCGCTATGACTTTGTCACGAAATTATCCTCGGCCAAAGAAAGGTATTACCTCCTCTTGGCTGACTCCCTCAACTGGTGCACGATTGAGGCTTACGTCGGTATGTATCTCCCATCCTAATGGCATATCACCTCTAATTGTTCATCTACAGCCATCTTCTGCGGCTGCGCTCCTCCCCCTCTCCGTCCTGATCAAAGCCTACGCCCCATCTATATTCGGTTCTAGCGCTGCAAAATACCCGAGTAGCGCGCAGTCGCCCGGAGCAAGCTATCTGCGGCGACGGAACCCTCCAAAGAGTAATCGGCGTCGGGGTCTGGGCGATACGACGCTGGGTAGTCAGGATGCCATTGTTACTGTCAGCAATCCCGACCAGGATCAGGATGGGATCATAATGAAGACGGATATAGAGATGGATGTGGTGACGCGGAAGCCGACGGAGGATATGACTTATAAGAGGGAGTACTATGATTTTGCGAGACAGCGAGATAGGAACTGAAGGTCAGGTGGTGCTGACAGGGTCATCTTTTGGTACCCAAATCTACCAAGAGAAGGACGGACCCGTTGGTGATTACGCCAAGGAGGTCGAGCATTTTGCCCACATCCCGAATCTTGATTCCCGAAGACACAGGATAGCAAGCAGACTTATTCCAGGCGGGAACCAGATGCATCATTTGGACATCTCTAGGCACACTATCCCGGTGTGATTGTGGAGGTGTGCTATTCACAGAAGAGCCGATGTGTTTCCTACCTGGCGGATGACTATATCTTAAACACTGATGGGAGCGTGAATGCCGTGGTTGCCTTCGACATCGATTACAAAGGATCCTAGAGAGCGACCGTCACCGTATGGCGACCGGAATATACAACGGTAGATTATGTAGAGGAGTTTCGGGCGACCGCTGTCATAGAAGAACTGGTGCGATCTCTTCCGGGACAAATATTCCAGATGATGATTGAGTGCTGACAGATAAGCAGCCCTTTCGGACAGACTCTGGGTTTCCAGCTGAGGGAACTACGCCACGACTTTCGCTGAGGGACTTCGTGACGGAAGAGCTCTCACGAGGCCCTGCAGGTCTCGAACGAGAAATCCTCATTACATCGAAGCAGCTTTGTGATTTTCTTTCAAGCGCCGAAGCAAGGCAACAGCTACAGACGCAGCATCATGGCTCAATCAATCGAATTCGACCGGGGACTTTAAAGCGTCGTCGACCCCAAACTCCCCCTGAACAACCAAGCTCAGAAGACGAAGGATCTGGGGAAGGGAGAAGAGAAAGTAAAAGTAGGCGTCAAAGTAGCGACTATCGTCCGGGCTCGTCGTCCGGGGACTCGAAGAGTGAGCTGCATTAAAATTTTAGATTAAGTCTTACCCAGTTCTTACCTCTATCACCCTAGTCTCTAAATTTCTCACCTATATTACCTACACTCACCCTAGCGCACTTTCTATCGCCCTTTTAAAATAATCTGGGTGTTAAGGGCATGTTGAGAATTGGCCTTGCACAATATGTGGCTTGAGTACGGCTGATCGGACGGGAAGCCCTATTCTCCACACCCTGTGGTCGTATGTACGTTGATCAAAGCTGAAGACAATTGCATAGCCTTCCAATAGACAGGGTGACAAACAGGTGACATTCACCTCCGGCTGACGCTCCTTGAAATTCCAGGAGAAGAACACACAAGGAACTATCGTTGTCTCTATATTACATCGAGGACCTGCACACCGATGCATAATGTATTCACTTCGCAAACTATCGAAACAGGCTGTGAAACTGGGTCAGACAGCAGAAACAGACACAGCAGTATTGTTTAGGGCAGATTTCAAGCCACTATCCGCTTGGATAAGAGAGGCGGAAGAGATATCAAAGGAGTCCCCGTTGCTAGTTGTAGCCAGAGGGGAGGCAAAATTGATCGAGCCAAAAAAGGGAACTGGATTTTCAGAAAACTCCTCCACAATCCATTCGGCATACTTGCCCGTCAAGGGATAACTAGGTTCGTCAAAGCTGAAGGTTTGAGATTTTCTGTTGTTTTTGTTCTCCAGATATATAGTACCTGTAGTCGTCGAAGTAGCCGTGATGTTGATGTATAGGGCATCCCCGCTCGTTAGAGGAAGGTCGTCGGTCGTGAAGAACTGGGCATCTTCTGGATACCATTCATAGTACCCACGAAACTGGGGTAGATAGGAGCCGTCATGGGACTTAACACCCCGAATATCCAACCCAGCTTGAAACAGGTTGTCCAAGCCGCCCCAGCCGTCGATTCCTAGCCATGCATAGGCGGAGTAAGCCGCATCGTGGGGTCCGGTGACAGTGGGCACAACAATAGTTGAGGAGACCGATGTGAATGGCGCACTATCGTCTGTAGTCTGTATAGCACCGCACCAATTGGAGGAACTTAAGTCATTGTCAGTCACTGTGGGAACTTCAATGTTAGCCTGGGAATTCAACAAGTGTCAAAAGAGTTGCTCTCTTACGCGACGATTGACTTATTGGCAAATCGGCCAACGTGGATGCAATAGAACAACTCAGAAGGCAAATTTTGGTAATCCGGCTCATGGTTTTATAGATCCTTGATGCTTTTTAGAGGGAGAAAAAAAGCCCAAGCAATCCGTTGATGGGTTGTTTCCTTCCGTCGTCGAATCGACACCTTTATAGTTAAAACAAATTAAGCAAGGGGCAATTCCCAAGAATTTTGTAACATCTCATATCTCATTGCCCATCTTATATCTCATTTTCCGGAGAGATTTTCTAAGGAATGCAGGGTAAAAACTACGTTCCTAAAAAGATATAGAAATGTGATAGAGTTTTAATAAACCCGTCGTATTTGCATGGGTAGGTTGAATCTAGAAATAAAATATAGCTTCGTTTTACACTTCAGATACCAAGTACGAAAGGTCCTGAATGAGTAGCCAAAAGAAAAAGAGAAATGTAGCCCTGCGCCACCGCAAGACAAATGAAAACCTTGCCCTCATGAAAGCGGCGGCAGCTAAGACAGGAAAGATCCATATCGATCACAACCCCGATTATCCTGGTGGCCGGCTCGGGGCCTAATAACAGACAACATGTGGCTCAAGTCTTTGCTACAAAAGGATTAAAGATTGCTCTTACTTCTACATATACCGTCCGAAGCCATTGTATCCCTTACCTAGTTGTTTCAATAAGTTCATGCAGGTTTTCATTCACCATGACCTTCCTGACATATATTCATCAATATGCTTCTATTTGAATATATTCTCTAGCGTATCTCTCGCTCTATTCTCGAAAAGTAGGCGAGGGTCAGTCATGTAATCTTTTTTTCATCGTGAATTAGTACAAAATAGGTACTTTAAGATTGTACCACATAGTTCTCCATCAATCAGTACAAACCAGCCTCCCATCTCTATTGATAAATTCACAGCGATCGAAGAACTTCTCCTACATCACCACCTACTCTGCCTTACTCAGCAGCTCTCTCAACTCTGCAATCTTATTGATAGTTACTAACCCACGATTTCAGGGTTGTTTCCCGCTACTGCCTCATTGGTGTCGTCGGAGGTGGGGAGTATCTTAAGGAGACGCCGGAAAAACACTCCTTTAAACTTCTATTTCTACACCAGAGAACACCCAACCGGCTTACATTCCTTCAAGCTCGAGGTCCATCAGAGCAGCCTCTATTTATCTAGGATACCCGAGGAGTGTAGTACTAATATACATATGGTCGCTCGTACTTAACAATCGAAAAAGCACTCACAACCTTGGTCAGCATAAAAAGGCCCACCGCCACTGTACGTCTTACACGTGGAGTCATCAACATCTTCACTATTGTAGAAAGTGCTTCCAAGCTGAGCCACACAATTTGATAGCCCGTAGTCTCCCGAACCAACAGACCAACCAGTGCCGTTGGTATACGTGCCGTTAGAGTATATCCAGTAGTCATCCTGGTTCTTCTGGTAGGCCTGAAACGTGAACTGAGAACCATTCGGATACGTGAAGAGGCCATAGTGGTCGAATATTGCCGTGTTGGCTCCTGCACCCGACATAGGGTCACCTCCGGGGAGGTCTTCGCTGTGGAGTTGGAGAGCAATGGTGCAGGTGTTGCTGCGCTTGATGTGTGGGACGGCAGCTGTGGAAAGAATGAGACCCAAGCTGAGCGTGGCTGGGAAGATTGTTCCGAATTGCATATTGGGTAGTTGTGTTTAATGGGCTGATATAAATAGGTAGACAAATTTGCGAGTTGTCGTTAATGCTCTTGACTTCGACTTGACGAGACAACTTTATAGTTTTTGGACCTGGAAGGCAGACCTACTATTCTCCGCTGAAATTGCCTCTTTCCCCTAAAGACTATGGCAAAACAACTGTTGAAACATATTGAACTGCTACGCTGAAGTAATATGGGATGATCCGGCCCCAGATCTACTTACCACTAAGTAGCTGTGTGGGACATGCCCAAGGAAGAAAGCTTATCGAGAGGCTGTTTATCCAAGCTTGTGGGCCCGGATCTTCCCTCGCAATTTGCCTCGTCTCACCCTCGACGACGTGACGTATGGGGCGAAAAGACCTCTGTTTCGGTTTGTTTGCTGGCGAATAGTCTCGAGATGAAACAACAGAATACAATTAGGCTGCTTTTACACATTGACGCCAACTTATTTTTAACCTCAATCAATGGGCGAGGAGCGATGGAGATCAGATGGGGCAACTTCAAAAGACAGTATTGGATAGAATCAGTCTCAGCAAATGTACACGCATTGATCACCACTCAGATGATTCGCCCCCAATCCTTTTTTAGAAAGAGTGGGGATGATGGTAGTCTGGCGTGGCAAGAGAGAGTACCCAGCACCGTACTGAGTCAAATACATTGCGACTTCCCGAGGTTGATTAAGTCCATATACTGCAATACAAGGCTGCGGGCTCATTATTTTGGAGAAGAAGAGAACAACGTAGTTACTCCCGACCTTATCGCATTTGACCCTTGATCATGTGATGGCGTCTGGGGATGATCCTCTCGTGCGGGGACGCCCTGGTTTCCGCTCCGTTGATACTTCCGAGTTGAATACCCAACATGCGAGCATCTATCAACTTGGCTTGTGTGTCGGCAGTTCTGGCTGTGCTATTCTATGGTAAATATGCCAACAGCCGCGACCCGGGTCTGAGGTTCCAGCCAGTGGATGGTGCGTTGGATTACGCCAACCATGCAGCTACGCCAAAGAAGCCAAATATTCTCTTCATAATCACAGATGACCAAGGTATTTTGAACTTGAACTTGGTTATTGTCAGGTAGCAGGCTAATTAAATTGGCTAGATTTGCTCATGAACTCCATGGATTTCATGCCCATAGTCAAGGATAAGCTTGGACGCAACGGAGTCACATTTGAAAAACATTACTGCACCAGCGCATTCTGTTGTCCATCTCGGGCCAGTTTATTTACTGGGAAATGTGTTCAGTAAGACTTCGAACTCATCACGAGACAAAGGACTGGCTAATTACAACAGCAATACTAATGTGACAGACGTAAAATTGCCATGGGGTAAGATTTTTATTGCTATCATAGATATTGCTAGAAGGTACTAAGAATTGTACAGGAGGCTATCCGAAGTTTATCACTCAAGGCCTCAATAACGACTACCTTCCTCTATGGCTCCAGGAAGGAGATGTCAATACATATTACGTGGGCAAATTTCTCAACGGTCATGCCACTCACAACTACCGAGACCCCGTTGCCCCAGGATGGACCAGTAGCAAGTACGGTCGAAATATGGTGGTCCATTTTTAATTGTTACTAACCTTGCCAGCTTTTTATTGCAACCCGGGATCTACGACTATCTAAATACATTCTGGGCGAAGAACCACGGGCCATGGACGGCACATCCCGGTGAACATGCTATTGATATCACGACCAAAAACGCTTTGGAAATGCTTGACACGGCCGTCGAGGATGGGAAGCCTTTTTTCTTGACCGTTGCTCCAGCAGTGCCCCACATGGGAATTAATTCTACTACTCTCGAGTCCTTCTTCCCCATTCCCCAGGCAAAATGGGAAGATGCGTTTGCGAACGAAAAAGTCCCGCGAACTCCAAATTGGAACCCAACTGAAGCTAGCGGTGCTTCCTGGCTCTTGAACTTGCCTCATCAAAACCCGTCTGTCGTGGATGGGCTAGACGAAATGTATCGCCGTCGCATACGTTGTGTTGCGGGTCTAGATGATATGGTTGGCGACCTTATCGCCGCGCTAGAGAAGCATGGGATTCTGGATAATACGCATATTATCTATACGACTGATAATGGATACCACATTGGCCAGCACCGTATGGGACCCGGCAAGAAGACTGGCTATGAGACAGATATCAACATCCCATTAGTGTGGCGCGGCCCTGGGGTGCCGGCTGGGGTAGTGACCAACGCAGTGTCGACGCACACTGATCTTGCACCTACCTGGTTGACACTATTTGGACTACCCCTGAGGACCAAATTGGATGGCCGAGCCATTCCGATCATTGTGAATCAACCGTCCAAAAAGAGCGGCGAGCACGTCAACGTTGAGCTCTGGGGCGACGCGGCCCCGTACGAGGGTACCCTGCCTTACAAGAAGATTGGATGGGGAGTGAAAGGAAAGCACGACAATACATATAAGGGGCTACGCATTGTTGCAGACGAGTACAGCATCTACTATTCCGTCTGGTGCACAAACGAGCATGAGCTATACGATATGCTGACGGATGAGTACCAAATGAACAATCTTCTTGCCGACACATGGGATATTCTTAATGTCCCAGAAGACAAGATACTACTCAGACGGCCCTTGAGGCAAGTCGTGGCTAGACTTGATGCTCTGATGATGGTTCTGAAGTCGTGCGTTGGTATCGAATGCACCCACCCGTGGCTTCAGATCCACCCTCGGGGTAATGTAGAGACTCTCCAAGATGCACTGAACCCAAGGTATGATGGGTTCTACGAGTCTCAACCCAAGGTCGCGTTTTCTGCATGCAAATTGGGGTATTTACTCGAACACGAAGGCCCTCAGTCGGTGATGAAGTATTCTGAAGATTGAGAGGAATTTATGTCACTGTGTACATAGGAGCAACCGGACGTGAAATATTGTTGTGGTGCTCCATTTGTCTGAAAGCACAACTCAATATTACTCTTCAAAAATTCCAAGGCAATACTGGACTCCTCGGGATCAAGTAAAGAGTAGCGTTCTTAGCAGACCCCTTGGGAGGCTCTTTGTGCATCTGCTCTAAGAATCGCCTCCACTACTGATGATGAGTTTGAAATACCGTATATAGGTTTGTACTAATGTTCTACAGGTTTCGCGGCTTCAGGTCTATATACTGTAGCATCGTTTTAAACAGTAGAGGTCAAGACCTCGTCGGCACTTTCGTCATCCTTTTCCCGCTCTTCCGAGTTTTCTTGGACTGTCTTGCATGGATCCAAAGTTGGGCCACCCCCGGAGAAATCAGAGCTTACTGCTTGATCATTTCTTAGGCGAATCATAGCCCGCAACTTCAAATACAATGGCCGCATAGCCGGCGCTGTTGCACATATGTGTGCCACTGATGTTTCTGCGCATGACCAATAGAAGGGACTGCGGATCAAATATGTTGGGTCCCTGACTGCGTCGACATGTGCCAGGCTTGGTATCCGTGCACATGCAGTAGCGATAACGCTTTGAAAAAATGTTAGCTTCTATTGTATGTCACCGGGGCGGGCTGTATCTCACAAGATCCCAGCACTGAAAAGTGCATATAGAGCAAACTTCGTGGATTTTGAGACACGAATCTTGTAGACAAGATGTATGGGAAGAATCAATATCACAATCTCGGTGGCAACGTTGATAGCTGCACTTGCGTAGGCGACTCCCGAGATGCTAAGGCACTGCGCGTCGTTGCGCTTTAGATCCCAGATTGCGCTGATCGGGACACATTGCCAGATTACCATTGGCATCGTGATAACCAAAGATAGAGTGACGAAGACCATTGTGGCAATAACCCATCTATGGAATATCCCTTTCGGAAAGATACGGAGGTAAAGCCAGAGAATGGATAGTTTGATGAAGTAAATCACGAAACCGTAGACAATCTCGCAGAGGTAATCTGAAACAACTTAGAATTAGCGACGGACGCATTGGCAATTTTACCAAGATACTCACACCAAATAAACGGCATTTGCGCTTGCGAAAGTGATGTGAATCTAAGATCATAAAGATGGTATCCCATGCCATCAGTAACGCCTATTGCTTCTTCATTAATAACCAAACATTTCGTTGCTCGCAGTAAGTATTCACGTACTAAGATTGCTGAAAGTGAGGAGTAAAATAGAAAATAGCTAAATCTTTCTGTAAGTCCTCGTTCAAGCCAAATTTATGCTATCCTGGTGACTTACCACGGCTATAATGTGGCACCAATCATCCCACCAAAAAAGGCGGACGGTGTACCATCTTGCTATTATGCGAGATAGTACCATGACAAAGGCAGTCACACCGCTTGCAACTGCGGCCGCTCTCATAGAACCATGATCGTTGTTATGAGATCGGTCACACTCCTGTGCCCAGACATACGCTATTTCTAAAAAAAAATTTCAGCCTTCTTGTTCTTAGAAAATGAGATTTTGAAGAGAGGATCCTACCATAGGCATCTTGAAGGGTGCAATTATTTACCACACATCTTGTTATATATGGCCGTGACTTATAGTTGTCGCACAGGCAATTAATATCCGTGATCGCGCAGTGAGTAATTGAAGTGCTTTGTTCCACACATTGTAGCTAAAAAGAGTCAGATACAAACAGAAAATAATGGTAGAGGTACTCACAGGGCATTCTGGTAGCCTTCTGGTGGAATTCTCATGGAGACTTGGGGATAAAGCCGTCGCGTGAAGCAGAAATATCCACAGAACTAGTAGCGCGTTGAAGAGTTGCGCCATACTGCTGACGCAGCGCTAACATATCTGGATATGCAGCAAAAGAAAAAGAGCAATAAAGCTAGGATCTTTCTCGAACGTGGCCCTGTCAATATGCTTATAAGAGTTTTTTTGGTGGATCCTGCAACTAACCGCCTTCAAGAGTAACATGCACCTTCTTCTCTGGTCGGGAAGAACCATTCCTCGGAGGACCCCCAACCAGGGCATAATTGCCTTGTTAGATTGGAATCGTGCGTTGAACCAGGGTTATTCAAAACTAGGATGGGCATCTTGGAACGGGGTTTCTAGTTCCGGACCGTAAGGTTTGAGTGAACGACGTAATGGCAAACCTTATCCTGGAGTGAGTTATCAAATTTCACCACGCAGCTTATTTTTCTATGACTAATATTTCTTTTGGCGTCCACCGCTTACTCAGGGTTTCTCTAGTTTCATCGTGGTGGTCAAGTGGTGTGTTACCATTTTAGGTAAATGGTTTTACTAGATGCGACAATCTGTGTGTGGAGCCAACAAGACAGTCGTTCATAGACATATTTAACAAAGCATCATAACCTTCCAAGACTGCCCATAGGTCAGAAAGAACTACCCTTAAATACACCCCAACACACCTCCACCCAATATAGTTCTCACTTTAGTCAGTGGTTTGTTTGATCTTACCGAGGCTTGCGGGCGAATTACGACCCCCATCCGAAGCAAAGCTCTCAATGCCTTTTTCAGGATCAACAACGCTGTTCCCACGCTGCACTGCTTGAACCAGCTCCGGGTGTTCTGCTTTGAGTTTGGCAAAATTCTTTTCTGCCTCCCAGTTCCAAATGCTGTCACTAGCGAAAACGAGATCCATTTCCTCTAAAGTGCGCTGGTTAGACTCTGGATAGAGTGCCCACACGATGGGAATACTCAGGAAGTTGACCGCCCCGAAGATGTATAGAGTTTTCTCATTCAGCTTGTTGAATATGGTGGGAAGAAGCAACACCTATTCGTAATATCGTCGTAAGGCATGCTTCATTGAATCAATGGTTGTTGTTTGGGGAAAAGACTTACCGTCCAACCATTACCAATCGACCATCCCACAACTCCCCACGCATTTCCTCGAGCACGAACTTGCAAAGGGAAGGTCTCAGCAGGGTAGAGCCACGGGACTGTTAACCAGGTGGCACCAAAAATCATAGTGTAGAGGAACACAAAGAATGTGGCCGCACCCCCGACGCCACTGCGAGAGCCAGGGCTAGCATTAATGGTAGCTCGGGCAAGTCCACCTGCAACAAACATGCAAATACCCTGCCCGACTGCCCCCCAGTAAAGTGTCCAGCGTCGACCGATACGGTCCAGGGTAAAAACACATATGAGAGTCGCGAACTATATACGGCAGTTAGCGCGCGAACTGTGTCCCTTGGATTAAATGGCAGGAGAGGAGACAATTCATGACGCACCATGTACGTGATATCATTGAGACCAGAAACCCAAAGTTGGTCTTTAGCTGAAATCCCAGCGATCTGGAAAATAGTTGGGCCATAAATTGTGATGCCGGCAATACCAATCCATTCTTGCAGAATTTGAAGCCAAATTACAAGCTGTACCCGGCGAGCTATGTGAAGTTTGCCCGACCCAATGCCAAAAAGCATGTGAAGATAGCTCTGGTTGTTAGTAGCTTCCTTTTCCATATCGTCAGCATTGACAATATCATTATATTCAGCCACGGCGAGTTCCTTCTCCTCGCCTTCTTCTCCACGCAATCGTTTCAGAATGAAGCTGGCTTCTTCCTTACGATCAACCTTAACTAACCAGCGGGGGGACTCGGGCATGAACCAGATAACCACAGAAAGTACAAATAGAGGTACTATCTGGAAGGCGACAGGGAATCTCCAGATAAAAGATGACATCTGGTCATAGTACTTCGAAGTTCCACTAAGCGCTTGATCAGATGCGATGAATGAATGGATACCAGGCGAAAACTCACAATTCAATCCAATAAGCAACAACTACCCCGAAAATATTGAGTGTAAACTCTACTGAAACAAATTGGCCTCGAGACGTGTGACCGGCTGTCTCTGTGGCCCAAACTGGAGTGATCGCGTTCAATACCCCTGTACCTATTCCGTTGAACACACGCGCTAGAACATAATGTTAGAACTGCATATCACCAGCAGGAACAATAATCATACCGCAATACATCCATTTTGCGTTTTGCGCCGAGCATTGCAGACAAGCACCGATGATTGACCAGATGGATCCCATTCCGATAGTGGCGATGCGGCCATAACGATCACCCAGAACACCGCCAAGAAGGCACCCACATAGAGTGCCGGGCAAATAGTAAACTGCGACCTTTATCGCAAAATGTCAGTTGCTTGTTGTTGGTTTGTAGTTGTGAGATGGTACGAGACTTACAATACTACCTTGAAGCAGGGGCTTCGTAACCACGACACTGCCTCCTGCTTCACTGTAGTAGCCAAACCCCATCAACTCAACGTAGTTTCGATTCGTGTTCACGCCGCCCATTAAACCTTGGTCGTAACCAAAGAAGAAAATGGAGACACCGGCAACCAAGCAGACAGCATTTAGAAGAGACTTTTTATACAGTCGGTTGGCGACATTTCGCTTGGACAGAGGTCCATCGTTGGTCATTTTGGGCAAGTAAAGATAATGTTGCAAAACACGGCCGAAGATGTTGAATAAAGAAGTCCGAAAATGGGATTGTGAGTTGCTCACTGACAGGGAAGTCGAGACGCAAGTTCCTGAAATCGAGATCAACAATCGCAGGGGTGGAAGGTGCTTGCGTTTTGTACGCTATCTAGCTTTACGAGGACTTCTGGACAAACAACCGAACCGAAAACCCCCCAAACCCTCCTTTAGAAACTGCCAGTCGCTAGGAAATGCCGGACAGGCAACTCATTACCTTTTACGGCGATGCTATGTCCCTACCCCCGCTTTCCAGTAAAGTGCAGATCATACCTCTTTGGACGGCGACAAAGCACTAAGCCTTTCCTGGCCGTGGAAGGGACCTTTTCACGGCCACTTCGCCGAATTCCCCGGTGATCACCAGAAGGAAGGGTTCTCTAATCCGCTCAAAGTCTCAGTCACCATGCATATTTCATCGTTGTGTATTCGCCAATTGCTTGCCGAATCCTCGGTTGTCATGGCTACTGCCTCGTCCCCGGATTCAAGGTCCCAACTAGCAGAATCAACTCATGCTCACACCGTACTGCAATGGTCGATTTTCCAAGGAAAATATTGTCGGGACTTCCTGATCAATGATTTTTTCCAGGCTCAGGATGGCAATTTACCTTCACTCGGGGAAAGTTCGACGCTCCCAATACCTGACGAAGACATGAGTTCACGGGACTGCAGCCGCCTGATCATGGACGTATTCCGTAACTCATTGACAGCTTCCTGCAGAATATCCATACGAAGAATCCTATTCTCCTTGTTGAATATCTCGTGAAGCATGGCCAGAAATGTGCCCAGCAAGGTGTTGGCTGAGATAGCCTCTCGCGTCTCGTGCTCCTCACATGTGCACTTGGTAGCGTTGTTAAGCATTTGACACGTCTATTGCCCAACAGGCGGTGTTGAGAAGCGAGGAAACTGATATAACATCTTCTTCGGCGTGTTCTAATAACATATACGCCCAAAACTGCAACAAGCAGAATCATGTTTTACAATCGCCTGGTGCTGCCGCCGCCTTGGTTCAATGAAGCATACTAATCTTGAGGCCAATGCTACTCTTTTGCTGGAGGTTAGTGGCAACCTATCAAATATACAACTTGCAGCTTTAGTTTATCTGACGTACACTCTGAATCAGGTGGTAGTTACTCTAAGGACCTATCAGTACCAATCGGAGGGAAAACCGCGAAAGTTCTAGCGCAGTTCATATATTGGGCATCAGAGATATAAAACGATATTAGAGGATGTGGTGAGAAATGTGAGAGGTTTCTAGTCTTCTTTTGGCATTCTCTCCGGTGCGAGTTTGTTCTTGTTGCCAGGATGATTCTTTTATAGTTCCTCCGAAGACAAGAATATATTGCTGGAAACACAGTCCGTGAAATCCGGTGGCTCTGCATTTGCCGCACCAAGAATAGGGTCCCAATGAAGCCGAAATATGCCTTCGCCTTCCTCAGTCTCCAACCACAAGACACTCTTGATATAGATGAATGCGTCGTGCCAGTTATCCAGTGGTAGATTAGCTGCTATATCTCGAGCTTTCTCTACCAGCACGACATGGTGAGTAGTATCAAAGGAGGCCACCATTCCAACTGCAAGAAGCCAGATATCAAGGGAATCATGCACACGAGGTGTCAATTCCAGCTGATTGAGATGCTCTATATACCGAGTGACAAGGGTGTTCAATATAACTCCATGAGGGTAATACGTCGGCCCTTGGATAATGAACATGTAAAGTATTATTGCATGGCGAATGCATTCTGTGACCGGTGTTGACTGAGATTTCCCCGTATCTGGAGATGACAGTAGTCGGTGTACGACAAAACAGGTGAGGTCATGAAGCCGGGATGGCGTGTAAGGTATCCGCTGCGCCCGCTGGAAGAGGATACGTAGACGAATGAAGACATTCCTGACCGCATGGTCGGTAAAAACACTGCTCAATTCGGGTGGATTATCATCGATGGTGGTCGATTCCAACCGCCATTCTGGAACAGGAGGTATGCCATCTCCAATGCCGAGGTCATCCTGCGTCTCGAATTGAGGATAGCCCATAATGAGCATCGATACCCTTTGAAATACGTGAATGGCTAGCCTTATTGTTTATCAAGCGTGGACTTACCAGCTGACCATCCTTGCGGTAAGCGGGTTGGTCTGCCTTACAGCATTGATGCCACCTCTCATGTGAACTAGTTTTTTCACTCCGTCAACATGCATTTCGCTAACATTAATATTGCCCTTTCCAAACTGATGATTACTAAATGTTAACGGCCTGGTTTATTTGTAAAAGAGATATACATTCAATGATGCTCTGGAGAGTATCTCACCTCGATTGTTGCCAAAGTAATGACTGAATTCAAAGTCCCGTCTTGTACGGCCAGTGTCGTGTCTTCGATTTTTCGCCGGAGCAAAGTCACAGAGTCGGCCATGAGGATTTCCGAGATTCGAAAACCCCTCTGGGCTAGCAATTCCTCATCGAGACAAGCTGTTTGGAGTGATACGTGAAATAATGCTGGGTCGCCCAGAGCAAGTGGCCACCAAGAGATAAGAAAAGGATTTGAGACTGGGTTCAGATCGAGAGGATAGTACTGAAAAGCAATCTTATGAAGAACTAAATTGGTGAGTTGCGCTTTGAGCGACAGCGTTGATTGATACATACAGCTATGGATAAGGCGTTGGGCGTGTTCCCTGGGAAGCCTTGTCTGTGGATACGAATCGAAAGGATCGAGACCCCCAAATCTATAGCTAGGTATTGTGTTGGATTCAACAAGTTTTTTTATCGATTCATTATCCGCTTGCCCAGAAGCTGCTGGCGGGGCCGCCGACGGTTCATTTGCATAAACGCACTGAAGCTGACGCTTAACGCAGCGAGAACAACGCGGCTTGCTGAGGTCACAACTGCATTTGGATTTGGCACATGCAGCACAGGACCGACGCAGAGTTTGGCGCATTTTTGCAGGGTAAGAATTCGTGAAATTGAACAACCAAAGGAAAAAGGCATCCTGCGGAGGAGAAATTCTGCTTAGTAGAGAGTGGGGGCCTTTAGGGCCTTGTCCCTGGCCGAAAACGCACTAGACCCCGGTGCCTGTCTCGTCGGAGTCTAATCCCAATCGGGTAACTTATATAATATCGAAATTATGAATTGAAGAGAAACCACGGGGTCTGTAAGAGCTATTCAGTATAAAAAGAATCATTCGTCCCCTGGTTGTGGGAAATTTCCCACCGTCACCAATATGGGTACCGAGATCTCCAACACCTCCGGTGCTCAGCCACAAATCTGGGCTTCTAGAAATACACATTTGAAAAGCACTGTGTCCGACCTTTATGTGGGATGGTCTACCTGGCAATATGTGGTCACTTTTGTACTTGCCGTGCTAATCTTTGACCAAGGTATTCAAAATCCATAGAAGGTGTTACACCCAGCTGATGCAGTCTCTAGCTATATATATCAAGCGAAAGGGTTCCATCGCTGGCCCTCGATTCAAAATTCCACTCATGGGCCCGTTCATTCAGGCAATCCATCCAAAGTTCGATGAGTATCTTGTCCAGTGGGAGAGTGGTCCTTTAAGCTGTGTGTCTGTCTTCCACAAGTGAGCCACCTCTCCAGAATATAAAAGCCTTGGGAGAAAGAAACTGCTCATGCATTCTGCAGATTCGTCGTTCTCGCCTCCGACCGAGACCTAGCCCACAAGATTTTCAAGTCGCCCTCATACGCCGAGCCATGCATAGTTCCGATAGCAAAAGACATCCTAGGTTACAGAGCATGGGTTTTCCTTCAGGGTAGAGCCCACACCGAGTACCGAAGGGGGTTAACTCCTCTGTTCACCAATAAGGCTCTGGCCACTTACCTTCCGGTACAAGAGAAAGTGTTCACGGACTACTTTGACAAATTTCTTTCTGCCAGCAAGGCAAATCATGAGCGGCCCATGGCGTTCATGTCCCTATTCCGAGAGATCAACTGTGCGCTTTCGTGCCGAACCTTCTTCGGTGACTACATATCCCAGGACGCGGTTAAGAAAATCACAGATGATTTTTACCTTGCTACTGCTGCTCTTGAGCTTGTTAATATTCCTCTGTCCATGTATATTCCGTTTACCAAGCCATGGTTAGGGAAGCGAGCAGCTGATGCTATTCATATCGAGTTCGGGAACTGTGCGGCTGCATGTAAAGCAAATATGGCGACTGGCGCAACGCCCACATGCATCGTGGATCATTGGGTGCTCCACATGATGGAGTCCGAGCGATATCGCGAGAGGATTGCGTCGGGCGAGGCTGAGGCGGAGAAACCAACGAATCTCATCCGCGAATTCACAGACAAAGAAATTGGGGAGACGCTGTTCACCTTCCTCTTTGCATCTCAGGACGCATCCAGCAGTGCCACAACTTGGCTATTCCAAGTCCTTGCCCAAAGGCCCGATGTACTCGATCGACTGAGAGAAGAGAACCTAGCTGCACGTGGTGGTGATAGACACAAGAATTTTGACCTCCCAATGCTGGAGTCACTCACCTACACCAACGCAGTTATCAAGGAGCTACTCCGCCACAGACCACCCGTCATCTTCGTTCCCTACCTTGCCACAAAGAACTTCCCGCTTACGCCTAACTACACCGTCCCCAAGGGCTCTATGGTGATCCCGTCCTGTTACCCAGCTCTACATGACCCAGATGCTTACCCCAATCCCAATGTTTTTAATCCTGACCGCTGGATATCTGGGGACGCCGAGTCCAAGACAAAGAACTGGTTGGTTTTTGGGGCGGGACCTCATGACTGTCTCGCAAGGAGGTATGTGCCTCTATCGATGGCAGGTATGATTGGCAAAGCAGCGCTGGAGTTGGATTGGGACCATCATGCTACAAAGAGATCGGAGGAGATTAGCGTATTTGCCACCCTTTTTCCAATGGTAAGTACTTACTGCTGACTCGTCTTCTACTTTTTATTTCCACACGTGGCGTGTTCTGATCTCGCGACATAGGATGGATGCCAATTGGTTTTCAGAAAACGCTCCTAGTGACACGTCAGTTGTCGGGTAACGAAACCACAACTCTACTACTCTAGTTCCTTTTTTTCCCATTTAGAGACAAAAATGAATACTTTTCATTCCAGATGCATGGTTTGATTAGGGAAGGGCCCTAATTCTGTGAAACACAAACTAGGTTTCAGATAGGCTGTACACCGCGGTGTACAATTTCCAAGAGGACCATATAATTGAAAATTAAAATTGCTTAGGTAGCTCTTTTATTCAGACCATGCCCATGCAACCGGCCCGTTACAAGTCCTAACATGCAAGTCCAAAGATGCTGTACGAATAAAGTTAGTAGTGGCTCAAAAGCCAAATGTCAAAGATGGCCATCAGGAAGTGAAGTCATACATATCACCTCAGATGCAGTGCATGCAGCTCCCATGCAGCCAGCAAGGGCTTTCACAAAGTGTTCACTCGGGCAAGTGCATCCAGTATCCAGGTGTGATTTACAGCCTGCTACCGCGGCGGCCTCCTCGTTGCACTGATACTATTACGCGAATCTAGTTAGTTGCGCACCCGCAATTTTAATTTTATATCAAAAACACTTACCAAGCAAGGGGTAATTAGTGGAAAAATAAAAGCATCTTCTCCTACTGCAAAGGGCACTAGGGCGGTTAGAGGGACAAGAACTGAAAATTTCATGATGGAAGTTTTTTTTGCAGATAGCTGGAGAGAGAGGATTGATTGATGGCAGTCCCGTAAAGTAGGCACACAGGTCTCTTAAATAGCCAACAGCACAGAGTATGAATTTTCTTGATGAAGTGAAAGTTGAAGCAAACAAATTGGTAAGGAGATTTTGATGCAATAGGATCATCCGGAATTGAGCCCTTGAGATCCCTGGTCTTGTGATTATGTCTGGAATATGTACAGCATAGTATCCCGAGACTTGATTTTTAGATACGGAAAGATGCTAAAAGAAGGCGGGGTAAATACAGATATCAACCTACCCAGTCCAAATCATCTCAGCTATGATATTTTATGGACTTCATACGATCTAGCTTAGTTGCCCAACATGTGCATACCTACGTTTCTCCTTCACCCATTGGATCTAGGCTGGATTTTAAATTTACTACCTTCATATTTCATAAACAACATCAGTACGATTCTATGTAAACAGCCTTATTTTGCTTTTTCTTCTTGAGTGACTTCAAGTTGGATTATGGCCACGTAGGAATGTCTCCCCCAAGGACTCTGACGGGAGAAACCACTGTTATTGTGGGCTTTATTATCTGAGATTTCGATTGACATTCTTCTCATTCTCGCTATACAACAATATTTTTGTCACTTATATAGTATTCTGAGCCTTTTGAGACACTTCCATCAGATTTTATGGGCGGCCTTGCTCTGTAGGGTCCTGGTGTGCTTCTGTCGGGGTGTGGGGCAAAATTCCCTTGGCTGCTCCCATTGACTACGTTAACCTTTCTGTCTTTGCGTTGTAGAGGACTTATTCCCGCTCCGTTTCTATTTCACAGGCGTGAGCCACCGAGGATCATGACATAGGTCACCTTCACGATCGGCACCTTTGAAGCACGCATTGGGATTCCAAATGCGCCGTTGTATTTAGCAGTGGAGTTTTGAGTCTGGGGCCTAGTCATATTGAAGTGTCATATCTGGCATCAAATGTTCCGCTTATGGTTGACCAAACGTCTGTCGTTGCGAGTGTACGGCTAAGCTGTAGATATACATCTGGATATGCCACCTTCAAAGCACAAGCTAGTCCTAATAATCCATCCGCCACAACCTCACAATCTATTCATAGGAGCCGCCCCCAGCCGACGAGTGGAACGCAATTAGGTAATAGCTTCTTGGCTGAGCCGACGGGATCTTGATCGAGCGAGGAATGTTGAGACCATGACAGATCTCAAAGGCGGCTAACGCCAATTATGAGGCTGGTATGATGGAGTTTCAATCTGTTTGGGCGGGAAATAAAGTCCGTGATTTTATTGCTGCCGCTGATCCAGAATTATGGCGACAACTGTGATGTTGTAGTGCTCGTTAATCTCACTAACGCCAGGGTTATCGATGGACATCGGCGGTCCCCGATATGGGCTCCACCTGGGGCCATCGTTGTACCCCACGGAACGTCGTGGTGAAATGAAGATCAGACTTTGAGAGACAAGCAAATTATCCGAGACTATGGATATATTAAGGGCCACGTGCGTCCCCCTCCTCGCAATTTCTCAGGCTTTGAGACTGCAGGGAAGTTCCCAAGAGCATCTTGAAACTTGACCCAACGCTATCAACCAACAACAACTACAGCTTCTCAAAACAAGAGAAAAAGACACACACAAAAACTCTCAATATGACTGGAAAGGAAAGCAACGGACTCAAGTCCAAAGTCCGCTCCATACTCTCCGGCAGCGATGCCAGATCGAGAGCTTCAGACAGTGATTCTTCGAGAACATACCCTGCGTAAGGTGTTCTCTGAAAATGCGGGCAAATGCCTCTAACGACAAGCAGTGATGAAAGGTATCAGTTCTATAGTGGGACCTACGGACCAGCACCATCCTACAACGGTATTCCTGAACCTATGCGTATACCGCTCGAAAGTATTAACCGCTCTCAGGCGATCAGTGTTTTGGCAGCTGCTGTCGGGGGAATGGGTATCCTCGGTAAGAGGAAACCCAGCGAACATGTGGAGGGGGTAGACCATGATGAATTGGGACTTTGTGTTTCTATCGCTGTTCTTCAGATGGACTGAGAGGATGTGACTTTCATCCGGTCTGGATGGAATTGATGCACGTGCACTTGAGGCTTATGTTTTTTGTTTCGGTTTTGATTTATGGAAACTCACTATTGAAACCAAGTATCATCTGGAATGACACATGTTTATTAACCAACGTTCATTTTTTATTGTGTTGCAGAATTTAGGCTGTTCCCGCCACAACTCGGGTCAGGGATTTTGCATCTTGTCGGACGGCGTTCCGGAATGCCCGGTGATCCGGATCGCCCTTGAACATAGTCACTTCCACCACAAGTTTTTCTTCGGACCTATCATTGTCTGGCTGCTTATTGCAGTCTGTAGACATTTTTTTCTCCCGCTGACACACCCTGGCTGTATGTATCCGCAAGCCGTGCGTTGCGCGAAAACCAGGATATCGCGACTCTAATTGAGCCAAATTTAACTAAATTTCTTTTACTGCATTTCCCTGCTCATTCACTTATTATTCATCCCCCAAATGCAAAGCACAAGGGTTGTAACCCGCGCCCTCTCCAATGCCACCCGACAAATCTCTACGACCACTCAACTCCAAGCACTATCCGGCCTCAAGATCAACTCTGAGCGACTCTGGCAAACATTACACGACACATGCAATTGGGGCAACGCCCATAGATATGGTGAATAAGTATAACACCTTAATCCATCGCCAAATCCTCTCCAACTCGTCATTAGAAACCCAACTGTCACCGGCATGGCCCGTCTCACTCGGACGGATGGACGCTCATGTTAGAAGGTGGCTTGCTGCCGAGATCAAGAAGTTGGGATGCACTCTCTCAGTCGACCATATGGGTAACATGTTTGCGTGCCGGACCGACAACCACAAATCAGCCGCGCCGATGATTGCTATGGGTAGTCAAACCGACTCGCAGCGCTGGAGGTACTGCGCACAATGTATTAAAATGGATTTCAGACGAACTACGATATTGTGGTTGTCAACCGGACCAAGTAAGTTTCTCTGACCTTCTATTTATCTCAATCCTAATTTGCGTTTACATTTCAAAGTGAGGAGGAGCCCGGTTATCCAAGTCCATGTGCTCCTCCGGCATCTGGGCTAGCGATATCCCGACCCAGAAGGCATGGGATTTCCGCGACATTCATGGTCCCAATGTAACGCCCCGGTCAGAGCTTGAAAGACACAGGTATCTAGACGAGATACCATGTTCAAATGATGCACGCACCGGGTTCCCGCTCGGTGCACATTTCGAGCTGCACATTGAACAGGGGGCCCATTCTTCCCGAGGACAAGCGGTCGATCGGGATCGTCCAAGGCGTGCAGGGGTACCGATGGCTGACATTTACCATCCACGGGAAAGGTGCGCACACGGGAACGACGCCTCTGAGTGCGCGACATGACCCGGTGCTTGCTGTGTCTAGAATGATCGCGGCCTCGAATGATATTGCCAAGCGGCATGGTGCGCTCGCTTCAACAGGGATCATCAAAGTGCCGCCCAATGCATCTACTGATCTACTGACTGTTGCTTCGGAAGTGACCTTCACACTTGATATCGGGCACCCCCAGGACAGCGTCGTGCATGCCGTGCAAGGAGAATGTCTGCGGTCATTTGCACAGATTTCTTCTCACGACGGCAAGGGCGGCCGTTGACTGGACACTAGATACCGACTCACCGGCCGTGCAGTTCGACCCAGGCTGCGTCGCATCCATCCAAGTCACGGCCGACGAGTTCGTCGGGCCAGACAAGTCAATGCTTAGGCCTGGCGGCGCCGGCCATGACAGCGTGTATACTAGTAAGCACTGCCCAACGGCGATGACCTTCGTGCCATGTCGTGTGGGTGTCAGCCATCACCCGACGGAGTATTGTCCGGTAGACGATTGGTTCATTTGCCTTCCCTCCCTCTTCCTTGGCTTGATGTTCTGGATGATCTCTCGATCCTGACGGTTTCAGTACTCTTGGCACGCAAGCCCTGCTCGAGGCGGTGGTGCACCACGATCATGTCCGGTGGGGGAAGGCAGCAGCGGGATCGGAATAATTCATAGCCAGGTTGGTTGAATACCGCGGTATACACCCAGTTCAGTAGGGTTTGGATTCTGTTTCACTGTAGTAACATGGCTCTTTCCCCCAACATCTGGTAATCTATTTATACTCCGTATGGAGCGGAGCAAGTATGCAAATGCTCTGTCGCAGGTTCCACAAGTCGCTACCCGGAAAACCCGAGGCAATCCCCATCGTCGTGTGACACCGTCCCTGCTTCAAATGAATATTTTCCGAGCGATGAAATGGGCTCCCGATTTCACCATTTCCCAATAGGGGGACATTTAATTGCAATTTTAACTGGACTGGACCCCACTTGGTAAGACACCGAGGGATGTCCCGATTCGTGCATCGCAGAATGGTTGGGTGAGCACGGCATTTTCTCGCCGAACGGTCTTTTCTCGGCGTGAGTGTACTCACAGATCCCGTCCCATAGCCATCGGACTAGTCCCTATAGAGCAATGCGCCGCCTTTCCTTTTCAGGAGCGTTGGCAAAAAAAAAAAAAAAAAAAAGAAAAAAAAAATGGGACGGTGGAGCCGAGCTGTACTACTGTGGTATGTATGGGTGTGCGGTGTACACGAGGTGCCCATCGGGGTGTGTCCAAGGTTGTATTATTGATTATTATTGTGGTGTCGGATTAAGGAGATCGCAATCAGAGGAGATGGCACGGTTAACTCGGGGCTAGCTAGTGCAAGTGATTATTGACATCCTTACATCCTTCCGCGTCCCACAATTTCCCGAAGCCCTCCCCACACGGGGCTCAGCTCCTCCCACAGCGCGGATGTGTATTGTTGCGACGATGGAGTTAATATGAAGAATGTCCAGGTCGCTCGTGGCGACTTGACCAACATAGACTATCCATCATCATGATATCAGGGATAAACCAATAGACGGGGTTGTGTCCGGCATCAACCAGAACCGTGATCATCACCGACCACCCGGAAGGGGAAAGGGTCGACGAACCTTGATGCTGACTACATTAGACCCAGTGTGGGTGAGCAGGGCCCAAACCTAACACGCTGGTTGATGCGCGCACTGACACACTACATAACAATGCGGTTGGAACCGACTTGTTGGCTCGTGTGGCCGCCTGATGCGCGCGAAGGATCTGGCTACTAGGAAGCGGTTAGGGTTCGCGCAGCTCTTCCTTTTACATCATCGGATCTACTTATGACATGGGGGTGGCGACTATGGCATACAATCCGGGGGACAATTACCACCGCGATACATAGACGACAGTTTTTGGTTTTTTTTTTTTTTTTTGGCGGCGGGCAAACTGTCAGACACGGCACGGAGACGGGGTTTGGTTTTCGGTCTAGGGAAACCAGTAGTGAGGGTGTCCACGGCCTGGGCGATCCACCGAGGAAGTCTATCCAGCAGTAGGTCAGCCACGCTCCCTGCGTAGCTCGGCAATGCAGAAGCGACAAGAAGACGGTCTGCAATTTCGGACGGATGGTTCGCCAGTTCTAGGCCAGGCGGTTAAGTGAGCTGGTTGGGTACGCTCCATCTTTCCCCGGAGCAACGGAAGGGACTGGCAATCCCCACAGAACCATAGCACGTTTTGGGATTCTTATTAGATTTCCTATTAGTCGGGGCGACCCAGAAAGAGGAGCATACCATCATAAGAGCGTATATTATTGGTGGGACAGATCAGAATCCGCCTGTCCCTCCATCTCCAGAGTGTATGTAGTGCTGGTCGCAGCGATCGACAGAGGTAACAAGGCCGGGTACGGTAAATACGAGCACGGCCGCATCGGTGGTGACGGAACATATTAAGGTGTCCTTCGTCCTTCTCTTCTGTTCTCTTCCTTTGCTCTCTCCATATTCCCTCCGACACCTCCTCTACAGCTTTCCCTTTGGCATACACACCCACGCACACCATACTTTACGAACTTGGTGAGTGTCCCCTCCCCCCCCCCCCCCACTCCCACGAGCTTAATGATCCCGCTCTATCGATTATGTGCATGCTACCTGCCGCTCGTTCACCCCGCTAATGCGACCTAATCCTCCAGAGAACGTTCCATTCCACACCCACTGCACTTGCGCCCGGATTTTCCCCAACCATGTCGCATGCCGACCCCAAAACAAAGCCCAACGTGGTAAGTGAATTGGGTTATTTCTCTGCTGTCAACGCACCGATCTAACCTCACATCCGCAGGTGCTGGAGGCCCACGAGGTCGACACATACCACGTCCCCAAGGCATTCCACGAGAAGCACCCGACCGGCACCCATGTCAAAGATATCGACGAGTACAAGAAGCTCTACGAGGAGTCCATCCGCAGTCCCGACACCTTCTGGGCCCGCATGGCACGTGAGCTCCTCTCCTTTGAACAAGACTTCCAGACCACCCACTTCGGCTCCTTTGAGAACGGTGACAATGCCTGGTTCGTCGAGGGCCGGCTGAATGCGGCATACAACTGCGTGGACCGCCACGCGCTCAAGGACCCCAACAAGGTCGCCATTATCTACGAGGCCGACGAGCCCAACGAGGGCCGCAAGATCACATACGGCGAGCTCCTTCGCGAGGTGTCGCGGGTGGCCTGGGCTCTGAAGCGCGCCGGTGTACAAAAGGGCGACACCGTAGCCATCTACCTGCCCATGATCCCCGAGGCCGTCATTTCCTTCTTGGCGTGTGCCCGTATCGGTGCGGTGCATTCGGTCGTCTTCGCTGGTTTCTCGTCGGATTCGCTGCGGGATCGTGTTCTGGACGCCCAGTCCAAGGTGGTGATTACCACCGACGAGGGCAAGCGCGGTGGCAAGGTCATTGGCACCAAGCGCATTGTCGATGAGGCGCTCAAGCAGTGCCCAGATGTCAGGAACGTGCTGGTCTACAAGCGCACCGGCGCCGAGGTACCCTGGACCGAAGGTCGGGATCTCTGGTGGCACGAGGAGGTCGAGAAGTACCCCAACTACCTGGCTCCGGAGTCTATGAACTCGGAGGACCCGCTCTTCCTGCTCTACACATCCGGCTCGACCGGCAAGCCCAAGGGCGTCATGCATACCACCGCCGGCTACCTGCTCGGCGCCGCCATGACCGGTAAGTACGTCTTCGACATCCACGACGATGACCGCTTCTTCTGCGGTGGCGATGTCGGTTGGATTACCGGCCACACCTATGTTGTCTACGCTCCCTTGCTACTGGGATGCGCCACTGTCGTGTTCGAGAGTACCCCGGCCTACCCCAACTGCTCCCGTTACTGGGATGTCATCGACCAGTACGATGTCACGCAGTTCTACGTCGCCCCTACTGCTCTGCGTTTGCTCAAGCGTGCTGGCAACGAGCACATTCACCACGAAATGAAGCACCTGCGTATTCTGGGCTCCGTCGGTGAACCCATTGCCGCTGAGGTCTGGAAGTGGTACTTTGAGGCGGTTGGCAAAGAGAAAGCCCACATTTGCGATGTCCGTTCTCTCTCTTCCCAGAACTTGTTTTAGTATCTAACCTTTTGCATCTACAGACCTACTGGCAAACCGAGACCGGCTCCCATGTCATTACCCCTCTGGGTGGTGTGACCCCCACCAAGCCCGGCAGCGCCTCCCTGCCTTTCTTCGGCATCGAGCCCGCCATCATCGACCCCGTCTCCGGTGAGGAGATCACGGGTAACGATGTGGAAGGGGTCCTTGCCTTCAAGCAGCCCTGGCCTAGCATGGCTCGGACCGTCTGGGCCGCCCACAGGCGCTACATGGACACCTACCTCAACGTGTACAAAGGATACTACTTCACCGGTGATGGCGCGGGTCGCGATCACGAGGGCTACTACTGGATCCGTGGTCGTGTCGACGACGTGGTCAACGTGTCTGGCCACCGCCTGTCGACTGCCGAGATCGAGGCTGCTCTGCTCGAGCACCACATGGTGGCTGAGGCCGCCGTGGTCGGGATCACTGACGAACTCACTGGTCAAGCGGTCAATGCCTTTGTTGCTCTAAAGGAGGGCAACGAGACCACAGACCAAGTGCGCAAGGACCTGATGATGCAAGTGCGCAAGTCAATTGGGCCCTTCGCGGCGCCCAAGGCCGTTTTCGTCGTCGAGGACCTCCCCAAGACTCGCAGTGGCAAGATCATGCGTCGTATCCTGCGGAAGATTCTGAGTGGCGAGGAGGATAGCCTTGGTGATACCTCGACGGTAAGTTCTATCTTCTCCCTAGCGTGATGCATGAAAGACTGACATGTCATATCAGCTCTCTGACCCCTCGGTGGTCGACACGATCATCGCCACCGTGCACAAGGACCGCGGCCAGGCATAGCCGGGTCATGATGAATTTGATGATTATGAAGACCTTGTGGGTGGAATATCTGTAAAAATCCTCTTGGAGGAATCACGTTGGTATCACACATGACGGGCCTGCCACTCCAGTGTATGGCAGCTATGGATGTTTGGATTACTTCCTTTCGGTTGTGTTGTTCTCCATACTTGTACTTGAGATTCCCTTGTCTGTCCGTTTCAGCAGCGGTGTGGATAGTATATTGTTCTGTATAGTGTATTCAATGCATTTACTTTTATTCGCCTTCCATCAATAGGGTCGTGGTGAAAGAGAGTCCTCGACATTTAACAACAGCAATGTCTCACTTCCCGGTTAGGCAGCATTCGTTCACGTGACAGGAACCACAA